GATTTCGATACATCTGATCTTGGTGGAAGTTGAACAGTGTTAATTGCACTTGATATGGGGACAGCAGTCAATAGTTTGATTAAAGCAATGTCGTTGGCAAGAGTTGAAGGATCCCAATCTTCATGAACGTAATGTCCAGAAGCTGTTATTTTCACAGGCATATTATTTTTATTTATCGATCCAAAGTAAGCCTGAGCGCCAGTATAATCTCTTACACAGTGAGCTGCTGTGGTGAGCCATTGAGTGGTAATCAAAGTGCCTCCACAGAATATACTAACTCCAGGACGGTAAATAATTAGATATGCGTAATATGGGAATTGGTTAGTAGCAGCAATGCTTCCATAGACGATTCTTGTGCTTCTAAGCTTTGTTACATTCGCCAAAATATCGTCGAAAATTTCATCTGGAAGAATCTCAAAATTCACAAATCCATCAACTTCTTTCAACGGTTCAGGCTCGGGTTCAACAATTAACGTTTTCTCATCGACATCACCGGTAATCTCATCAATTTCCACATCTCCAATTAATGCAAATTCTTCACTTTCAACAGATTTGCTTAAAGCAATTTCCAAAAAACCAAATATTAACAACAATTTTATTAAACTTTTCATTTTGCACGAAAGAAAGACCCCGAATAACTGTGTGAAGATGAATGCGATATTCTTTTATACAATCTTTATCTCGTTATCATTTAAAGCATTATCTGGCATTATCAAATTATACTGCGTAAGCTAATTGCTGGAAATAACTTGAATAAAGCATTTAGCAAACATTTGAGCCGAAAAGTAGGAGTGTCAACTATTTTAATGATTCATTTACAACCGCACATGTTCCTGTGATTTTTTATGCATGGAATTTTCTGTTATTATTACAGAAGCTGTTGCTTACAAATCTCTTCATAAATATATTTTCAAAATGACGCATTCTTTAGTGTGATAGTCTCATTTCTTAAGAGGAAGTGAAAATTTAGCAGTTTATTTAACTGATAAGCGGAGCAAACAAGAATTTTTTTTCTTTCCTGTTTTTTATTCCTTCGTCATTTGTGTACAAACATTCAAAACTTTGATTTCATCATTTTAAGGTAAACTTTTCCACTAATTAATATTTAAATAAAATTAACATAATTAAGTTATGCGTCAAATAATCAGTTATGATGATGTCAATATCTTTATTGAACTTAATTTCTTTCCATTTGGAAAACAACTTTCTCGTGTAGATTCTTCGCCTAAGTTGTAGATTTCACGTTGATCATTTTATCTGAAAAAGAAGGAATTTGTTAAAACATTTCTTAAAAAAATCCTGAAACTTTTCATACATTTCACCCTTTTATGAATTGCAGGCTTTTTGGTACATGTGATTTTATTAGATCAAGAAAAATAGAACCCAAGGCCAAGCCTTGAAATGCCTATATGGAAAAATATCGATTGGTCCTAAATTTTCTTTATCAAGTGCTGTTTTACATTCACAAGAAATGCAAATTGTATGCTAAAGTAAATAATTTTTTTTGAACAAGTTCAAAGTTTTTAATGAAAGTGGGAAAAAGTCAACCTATACAACTACGACTAAACGATACATTTCCAATATCTTTTATCCTTTCTATTAAGTTTAAGTCATTATTGTAACGGTTTTTTTTTCAAATTTTATTACAGAATCTGCTCAAATTGAATGGTGCCGAAGTTAAAAACAATAACAAAGTGACATAAACTCACTTAGAAAATATTTAAAAGAAAAAATAATATTTAAAATACAAAATGATTAGAAATGTTATTATTCTCTATGCTTTTAAAAGAAATCAACCTTTAATCTCCAAAGTGCCTTCAAGCTTATTCAGATCAGTGCACAATTCAAGATATAAATTTTCTGAGGAAAATGTAAATTTTAGTGATTTAGGAGATGAGTTTGTAAGCCATGTTGATGAGCCTAGTAAAAAAGTAACCTTTCAACAAGTCCTTGAGACTTATCAGTCTAAGTTTGGAGTGTCCAGAGATGAAGCTAAAGAACTCGTTCTCGAAGGAAAGACAAAGTTTAAAATTTCTTTGGAAAAAATAAGCCAAACTTTCAAATTATTAGCGGCGTTTAAAATTTCTCTTGACAATATCAATAAGAATAATTGGGTAATTACTGCTCCTTTAGGTAAATTAAATACTTACAAGTTCTCTTTTTTTATGTTTAAATTTCTTTTTCTGCTTAAAAATATAATTTTCAGAGTATTTAGAAGGAAAACTTCGAGCGATTGAAAATCTTGAACCTCGTGATATCAACGACTTCTTCCCTCTTATTAATGCCGATACTTTAGCCTTGTTAAAAGCTTCTAATATAGTCAAGAAAGAAAGGAATGAAATACCAAAAGGAAACAGAATTTACTACATTGCAGATCGATTAAATATTGAACCTGTTTTACTATCGCAATATGTTGCCAAACACATGTTCATCTTTGAAGTTCCATTCACTTTTATAATAAATAATTTGGATTTAATGTTAGAGTTTGGAATGTCATCCGAAAACATTATGAGAAATTTAAGTGCTTTTCGTTGCTTTCCATCATCAGCAAGACAACGTCTTGAACGTTGTCGTTCAGTAGGAATGAAAAATCTCAAACCGTGGCTGATGAGAACGCCTGACAAAAGACTGAATTTGGTTTTAGCTCGATCAATAAAGAAAATAGAAACAATCGGCGATAAATCTATAGCTGAATATTTATCAGAACGCTTGAATACGGATATTGAAGAAATGAATTATATTTTATCTAAAAACAAAAAGATTCTCTCAACTCATGTGCCAAAGGTAATTTTAAATATTTTATTTAGAAGTCACAAATAATTTTCATGATACAATTAATTTCTTAATTACTTTCAGATTAAAGATTTCCTCGACTTTCTTCTTATTGAAGAGAAGTTTACTCAAGAACGCGTATTATCTTCAATTACTATTCTTTGTCACTCGCTCGAAACAACAAGACAACGTCTTGACGTACTTAAAAAACTTGGTCATCCTCCTTCAACATTAGCAATCTTGTGTCAATCCAAACGAAAATATGATTCATACATTAATAAAATATTAGAAAGTAAAAAATAAAAAAAATTAAATAACTTTTTGAATACATAAATAATTTTTTTAAGCTTACTTTCGTGATCAAACGTCTACTGATTTCAGAATTTATACTATTTATAAACACCGAACATTCATTATGATCTTTTACATGTTTACAAGACTTTTAATAAGAAGTTGAAAAATCCATAAGCGCTTTTAATAACATTACTGTATGTCTCCAAATCTATGTTCACAATGCCAAATGCTGAATATCCTTGTTTCCTTTGCATCTCTCCGATCATGATCAAAATGTTTTTCTTTATTGAAATGTCTTTAATTTCATACCATTTCGAACAGTACAATGATTCTTGAAGCTTTTCACACTGTCGATGAATAAATTATTAAAATATTTCATAGATTGGAAGAAAGTATCACTGAATAAATTATAACTAAAATTTCATCGTCAAAATTCTCACCATAGTTGACAAAATGCTGCCAAGAAAACAATAAATAAATAATTGAGATGCTATAGCTGACATAATTGTGATAGACATGATATCAATTTCAGATGTTAATTTAATCAAAGTAGAAACTGCCATTCCAAATGATGTCAGAAGTTGAATGAAACTCATTATATTGAACACTTCACTTGACGTCTCAATGAGATGAAGAACACGCAAATGCTTCTTAACAAAAATTTTTATAAAATCTCGATTTGTTTGTCGATCAATTTTTGAAGCATAAATGCAACAAACTGACAGTTCAGCTACACAATGCAATGTGAACAGCATAAAAAGGGCATCGATTCCTTAAATGATTTTAATCAGTCTCAAATAGATCAATTTTTAATTCCTTTTCTTACCAATTATCAAAAGATTAACTGACATATACAAAATCAAAAATGCAACATTGACTTCATGAGATGGATGAGAATTAGATCTAAATGAATGGCAATGGTTCATCAAAGATGTAAACATGATTAAAATTTTCAACAAACCTTGTCCAAGGAACCTTAACATAAATCGGCATTCCCATTGTTGGTATGAAAATTAAAGATCCAAGAATTAAAACCAATGTGACTAAGAAATAAAAAACTGCGAGTGCTGCAATGACAACTCTTATAATTCTTTTATATTTCTTGTCAGACTCCATTTCTTCCAAAGTTTTATTCTCGGATATTTCCACCATTTTTCCCTTGAACTCGTGAATGTTGTCAATTTTCCCACAAAACACAAAAAGTTTAGAAAAAACCTTTAAATATTTGTAAACTCGATCATGAATTGAAAAGCTTTGAAATGAAGAAAAGTTTAATTTCATTTACCTGAATCATCATTAAAAATCCAAAAATTGTTGAGAATTGTTTTTCCCTATCAGCTGTAAAATCATAGAAAATGTTTTTGAGAAAGACAAAAGAGTAGAACGAAAGATAAATTGAAAATTTAATCCAAAATCTTCTGGAAATTTCTCGTCTTCCACCAAAAATGTTAAGTGCTGTGAATTTAATTAAGTTGAGTTAATTGAAAACTGAATGTTTATCTATCTATCTATAAAAAAGAAATCTCACATAAAATATTGAAAATACTTTCAATAAATTTAATTTCCAAATTATAATTGGCGTTACTTATTAAAAACTTGTCAAATAATTTCTTAATACGATTCATTCCGAGTTGTGGTTTTGTTAACACTGAACAGGCGAGAGAACTTTAATCACTTAATATCAAAATGAAAATCCTTTTATATGTAAAATAAGGACGGAAGAATTATAATTAAAGTACAATTATAATTAACAAGTAGGGAGTCTCCTTACTATATAATTAAGCTTACAAAGATAGTTCATAAGACAACTTTTGTAATCACAATTATTTTTATAAAATGTGGGAAATTTCTTACTTTTTGTCAATTTTCACTCATCCTGAATTTTAAAGAATAATTCTAATACAGTGGACATTCTTTATAAGAATTCTCCTTGTAAGTAAAATGCTCTTTATAAGCCACACACTCATATTAAGAAGTAATGTTCAAAAAAGTTCTTTATAGGAAGAAGCTCTTTATGGAGTCACTCCCTTCAAAATTCTTATAAAGAAAGTTCACTGTAGATACATTGTTAATACGATAATTTGGAAAGGTAAATCGCCTAGCTTCGCCTTAAAATGTCAATTAGATAATGAAATAAAAGACTCAAGTTTAATATTTAATACATTTATTTCGATTTATTAGTGAGAATTGTTTTCTTTTACAAATAGTTAATAATTTCTGATGATAACTGAAAAAAAAATCATCTCAAATTCATATCTAAAAATTTTCAAGCAGGGAACTTCAAGTTAACTATATAAAAATATTAATTTTAACTTTATCTGGTTACATGTTTTCATTTTTGTCTACATTTATCTATTGATTTCGGGACTTGCTCTACTTTTCTTGTTTGAAATACAATCAGAGTTTAAATTTTCTATCGAAATTTAGCTTATCAAATAAAATTTAAACTCTGGTTTGAAATTCGTTGCAGTGGGTTTGGAAGAAAACTTTTTACTTTGAAAACTGATAGTTCTTATTAAGTAAAGGACTTGGATGAGTTGATGTAATTACATTTTAATGTTCACTCCTTCTAATGTAATGTTCTTGGCTTTCTTGTTATCTCAAACAATTTATACAAATTAAGTTGAAGAAATATTTTATTATTTTTATTTCCATTAATTTTGAAGTTGCTTGTATGTTTCAACTGTGAAATTGATCTCTTTTCTTTAATCCCTATCATGGGTGTAAGTGAGTTAATAGGAGTAAGTTTAATTGCATGAAAATGACAGTAAATGAATTAAAAATTTGAAGATTTCTTGATAAGAGAGCGAATAAGAATGAGAAACGAAAGATTCACTTTAACAACAATTTAACTTCAAACATGAAACTTTCAATGACTTAACGGATCTCAACAAAACTTTTTATGGCATTCGATGTAAATATGTAGAAATGAAAACAAAACAAAAAGGAAAATGATTGAAAATATTTAAAATAAAATTAATGTCTTGATGATGGTTTGTTGAATTGGCAGTTTGATTTCACCACCACGTTGATGTTAACAGATGACGAGTAAAAATAATTTTAATTCTGCTTGTACTGTGCGAGCTTCTGTTGAAGAAGCGACAGACGTTGTGCAGGAATATGATCGACCTGTGAAAAAATAATATATTTAGTTAAATTATCAGTTTGTAAATTAATAAACTTACATCTTTTCTTGTTAAAGTTGTTAGGCGTGATTGAATTTGATTAAGATTCAAATTCTCATCTGCAATTTTGTTATCCATCGGTTCATTCTCATCATTCTGCAACTTTCCTCGTACTCGATACATGTTCAATTTTTGCATCCAAACGTCAGCATTACTTGAGTTACCAACAGCTTGATTTCGAACTTGATTTTCATCACCGTTCACTTCATCTTCGTCTTGATTATTGTTTGTGTTATTTTGTGACAGTTGTTTGAGTTCAGCAAGTCCATTATTGATGTAGGTTTGAAAATATGGACTTGCACCACGAAGGAACGGCTGAATGTCAACTTCTGGATGCTTTTCAACAAACTCACTCAGTTGTTTAAGACCAAGTTGTGAAGTTTCTTTATCAGATATCAGTTTAAAGATGTTCGATACTTGATCATGTGTCGTTCGTTTCATTCGATCTTGAGATCTTTGTTGAGAAGAGACACTGCCTTGTTGATTGTTATGATCACTGGAGTTAGCTGTTGGTTGTTCTTTCTGTTCAAATGATTAAAATGAAATAGTTTAAAGAAAAATTTTCCTAACTTAAATTATAACTTACTTTAAGAATTCTCAACACATAAGTGTTAAGTTCAGAGTGCTTAGGAATGTTGTTAAGATGTTGGACGATGGCGCCTCCTTTGATCTTTGTCATATTATGAATGATTGTTTTGATCGTTCTCATTGGAGTATCAGAAGGTCGTTGTGCCCACCATTGTGTTGGTAATGCCAGCATAAAATCATGAATTTCCATCAATAAAGCTTCATAATCCAATTCATCAACACGTTCAGGTATTAATTTAACATTACGCCAAATGCACTTCATCAAGAGTTCGGTGAATTTTGGCAGGGCACTTCCGGAACAAGTTTCTTTAAGAAGTCTCACAAGGGCACTAAATAAGAATAAAATTTCATTTAGAAAATTTTCATTCAGTTCTATTCATTTTTAACTCACCAGTTCAAATGTGTGAAACTACATCGGTCAAGTATCTTCAAGCAAATGCTGTTGATAACTTTTATAAACTCTTCCCCAGCTCCAAATTTATGATCTGACATCAAACCCAGAAGCACAGCAATCAGATTTTTAATGCTTTCTAAGCTAAGATTTTGACCGAGTGTTTTTGAATTGAAGAAATTGAAAAGGCTGCTCAAAAGTGGCTGGTAAAGTGTGACGGCTTCCATTACAGGACGTTGCGAAAGATGCTAATATTCGTGATGAATAATTAATTAAATAAATAAATATTTATAAGGATATGAAATTACCTTAAATTGTTCTAAAACACTTTGAATGTAAATCTCATCGTAATCACGTAAAACTGCTTGTTTCTCTTGTGATTCCAAAATATCAGACAACTCATTCAATGAAGCATGCGATACCAATCGATCGGGATGTCCAATACCTTTAATCATGCTGAGAAGTTTGGTGTCGAGTCGTGGCGATGTTTCCATAAGATTAACAAGTTCGGGTGCTGGTGCTGTTGCAGGTCTCGTTGGTGGTGACGAATAATGTTGAAGACTGGAAGCGGAATACACATTAGCTGTTTGTGGACGTGTTGGAATTTTTGATAAAAGATGTTGTAAACGATCAGTCGGATATGTTACACCATTGCTTGGAATTAAACGAATTGGTTGTTCAGTAAATGACAAATCAAGTGGAGAAAGTTGAGTTTGTTTGATCTGATCAGCTCGAACCCAATCTTTCTCAATGTCAGCAATAAGCTCAGCATTAAGTTTGAAAGGTCCTGACACAGATCGCTGTGCATTTTGGGCTGCTTGCTCATACATTCTGTATAATAATTTTGATTTAAGAAAGAAAGGAAAATTCAAATTATTTAAAGAGAAAAAAATTGAGAAATATAATTAAAAAAGTAACAATCACAATCCCCGCAGATTTTCCTTTAATTGTCTACAAGAAATTACCATGCAATGACGAATAAACGAATAATAAAAGAATTTACAAGTTAGAAAAGGTTTGAGAACCACTGGAACAAATGCAACAATCACAAATTTTTCATTTTTTTTTTTAAACGTACGAATGAATATTGTTGTCGTCAAGGGGAAACAAAGGTTCCCCCCAATCAGGTGATTGAATGTCGTCGATATATTTCCTGATCAAATTATAATCATCTTCGACTATATCGAATGATGTACTGAAAATCAAATTTTTACCATTTCTTGTTTCTTATAAACTTAAAAAACTGAAATAAAGAGAAGAAAATAAAAAAAAATTCTTTTACTCACCGATTTGTGACTGGATGTGAATCTTCTTCAGATGGTAATTCTTCTTCACCAGAAAGCTCTCGTTGATCATCATCACGATCTATTGGAACATTGACAATCTCAACATGACTTGGTGACGGTTTCAATTCAGCAGCTTGCTTTGGACTCTTTTTACTTCTTTTTATTCTCTCATCCAACATTGATAAATCCTTTTCGTTCAATTGTCCAATCATTTTGTAGACTCTTTCGCCAGCAAGCTCATGTGCTTTGACAATACAATTAAGTGCAGCAGATCGAACTGAATTATCGCGATCACTAATTTGTCGTGCGATTTCTTTGAGTGCATGTTGTGGTGTCGGTTGACAAACACTCAAATTATATGTTTCAATTAGATATCCAAGCTCATCAAGACATTCCGTACGTTGTCGTGCATTCTTCGACTTCAAGGCATCCATGACATAAGCAAACACCTTGGAGAATGAATAAACATGACAAATTTGACGTAGAAGATGTCGAACACCATTGCGAACAGCATCTTTTGGATCACCGATTTTTGTTAACAAATGTGGAATAAAACTCGATCCTTCAACATCTGTTAAGCTGTGTTGGACTTCAACAAGTCTTTGGAATACTAAATTAAGATATTCCAACCCTTTCAACAACACTGATGGATTTGTGTCGTAAAATCTCAATGAAAGCCATTTAAGAACCAAATCAAGATTACAAATAAGTCCTTGGAAATTTTCATTCAAATCTTCTATCAATGATTCGATCACTTTCAAATGATAACGAAAATCATCGTGAAACATGTTCGCCATAAGACTTTTATTAACATTTGCATTGTTCATTTGTTCCTTCAATAAATCGGTAAACTCTTCACGTGGAGTTGTAAAATTCCATTTTAGAACTTTCATCTTTTGTTCATCTAATAATCGTTGATGTTTTGAATTATTAATTTGGAATAATGGTGACAAGTCAACATCTTCTTCTTTCTTTTTATTTGAACTTGCATTTGCTGATCCTGGCTTTGAACCACCACCAGCACCACCTTTAATCGCTTTGCTACTTGCTGACTTCATAACTTTCTTCTCTTCCATCACTGGCGCTTGTTGTTTTCCTTTCGGTAAAGGTTTGACTGGCAGATTTGGTCGTGCTTTGTCCAAAGCTGCTTGAATATCTTTCTTTGTCGCTGGCTTTTGTTTATCCATCGCTTTCATCATCGCATCATATCCCAAATGCATCATAATTCCCAACACACATTCATTTGCATTCTTTCTTACATCAGCATTACGATCACAAATGTTTGCATAAAGATGCGGCAAACATGCAATGAGTTCTTCTTTGTTGATGCTTTTTGTTGGCATATTTGGAAGTTTCTCAGCCATCCATCCCCAAACTTCAGTTTTTAATGATGGCGTTCCGCTCTTTAAAGCATCAGCAAACATTTCTCCATCAAAGAATTCTTTATATCCACATTGATCCCCCCATGTGTTGATACATGTGATGCAAGCTGATCGAAGATAAGCTTTATTGTCACCAAGGCCACGCAAGATTCCAGGAAAGAGAATTCGAACATGTTGCTTACATGACGGACCCATACTTGTTGCTAATTGTTGACAAATCTCAACCGCTGTTTGTGCTATCTTTGCATTGCTGTCAATTAAACGTTGAGCAAGAATAGGCGGCAATTCACCAAGATTTGATTTGATGAGTTTATGTTCGTTGAGAATTCCTTGAAATTTCACCAAACCTTCGTTGCGTGTCTTCCAATTTTTGTCACTAATTTCAGCAATTAATGATTCAGTAATCATTGGGGAAATGTCAATGCGTGGCAGAAGATCATTGGGATTAATTGTTACAACTGGTGATCCATCATCGTCACCACCAGCATCATCATCGTCATCGTCTCCTGATGTTTTCATTCCATTCGCTTGAGGTCCACGCGTTGCAGTCGGCGGCTTTTGTCCAACAAACTTATCGAACTCACTTTGAATCTGTTGCTTTAATGCTGGCTTTTCATTGTCAAAGAACATCATCAAAGTATTTCCCATGTACAGAAACATTGTTCCAAGTAAGTTAATTGTTGCTTGTCGAACTGTTGGATTTGTGCTATTGACACCTTTCTTAGCATCGTCAATCATCAATTTTGGATTTATTTGAAAGCCAAAATCTTTGATCGCTTGACTCACCCATAACAGTGATTCTTGTTGAACTTTCGGTGATTTCTGTTCGAAGGCAAATGTCATGACTTTCGACACAACATATTCGAGTTTGATAGCTTCAGCGATTGATGATAAAGCAGCAGCAGCAGATGAGCTGTTCTTAGGATCGCCAAGTTTTTCTGTGATATCATTGACAATGTAATCAGCACTTGTTACTGATATTCCAAAGCTATCAACAATTTGTGTGACTGCATCAAGACGAAGCTTTAAAACTTGGAAGTTTGTGTCTTTGAGGCCAGGTTTTTTAGCAAGAACTCTCACAAGGACTTGTGTGTGACCGCATTTAGCATCAAATGACGACAGTAATTGTTGAAATGATTCAATCGATGATAAACGAGTTTTCCAGTTAGTATCAACTAAACCAGAGATGACATCTGAAGGCAGAATCTCCGTTGCAATCTCATCAACTTCTTCTTGTGACATGTCGCGTTCCATTGGCAAGACATTTTTTGAACTTGCTGACTTTGAAATGCCTGATGATGATTTCTTAATTGGTGCTTTCTTTTGAACAGCTGCTGATGCTGGTCGAGCTACTGGTTTTGGTTCACTTGATCCACCTTTTGGAGCTGCCTTTGCAGGTGCTGTTTGCGGTCGCGGTTCTTTCTTTGCTGCAGGAATTTTCACTGTTATCACTGCTTTCTCACAATATTCTTTAATCTTCTCCATCTTTAATGGATCAACTTCAGTCAAGAATGGCGCAATGTTCTTCTCACCAACAAGCTTCATTGCTGTTCCAATCGCTTCTGCTGATGCATCGCGAACAGTTGGATCTGATTCATTGAGTGTCTTCAACAAAGCTGTGACATAAGATTTGAGAAGTTTCTTGTTGAGAATTGTTGGAATTGTTTTCGTGAATGAACGTGCAAGAAACATTGCAGTTTCTGACTTGACGCTTGGATTTTTGTTTGTTAATGCGGCAAGAATATCTTCCTGGATCGCTTCAAGATTTGTTGACGGATAAATTGCATCGACAGCTTCACGCAATGCTGACACAACATTTGGTTTCTTCTCCTTGAACTTCTCGAGAATTCCTCCAATACATGCAACAGCATAAGGTTGAAATTTCTTCGATAATCCTTTCGCAAGCATTGCAAGACATTTTCCAGCCAAGGCAACAAGCACCACATTTGTGTCTTTCGTTATAACTTTCTTTAATGCTCTCACTAGGTCACCATAGTCGCCTGTTTGAAGCTTCGGATTCTGCACTAATGAATCCAAAGCATCGAGAGCTTCCTTTCTTTCCTGCCATTTCTTTGCTTCGAGTTTCTCGTAAAAGTCTTTTGGAAGCTTCGATAGAATGTCAACTGGATCAATGAGATCCATTGGATCGATTTCAACTCCTCCACTTTCAGCATCATCCCCTATAAAATTTAAAAACTTTTTCTTAAAATAATTTCTAAAACGGCAAAATTTCATAAAATTTTACCTTCATCATCACCTTCAACGTCATTTGATGCGACAGCTTCGAGAATTTGCTTTTGTTGTTGCGATCGTAGATATCGAGTCGGAATTGCTTTTTCATTTTTCACTTTCTCAAATTCAGCTTCAAGTTCAGTCAGAACAACTTGAGGAAGCGACTGAATTTGTGTTTTAAAAACTGGTCCAATCCATCTGAAGATTTCAATTGTCAACTGTTTAGATTCATCACGTACTGTCTTGTCACGATCGCTGAGTAGTGCAGGAATCTTTTTGACAAGCGGCTTAACGCTCACGACTTTTGCTCCAAATTCGCGTAAAGCAAGAAGCGCAGTCGACACACATGTTGCGACAATTTTAGGATTTTTCTGGTCGAAGCCTTTGATGAGTTCGTCAATGACAACTTCGTGTTTCTCAATTTCGATGTACATCAAAGCAATTTGTATGCCCAGTTCCTTTGTCTTTGCTTTTGGTGCTCCAAGGCATTTTGTGACAATTCCACTGATGACTTCACCGACAGTCTTTCCAGCGATTCCACAGTTTTCAACAAATAAAAGAGCAGCTTCAAGGCCTTTCTCTTGAGCCACTGCATTGCTATCCACAACAAACTTTTTTATTAGTCCAAGATATTTGTTCCATTCCGGCGACTTCTCGTCGTCAATCTCACGGAATTTCTTTGCTGCTTCTTCATATCCGTCAACACGAGCTTTCCATAGTTTATGAACACAACGTTCATCAACTGGTAATTTCTTATATTCTGTATCCTCTTCCATTACTTCAATTAGTTAAATAAATAAAAAAAATCAATGAACAAATCAAAACGAAGACTCAGTTGAGACTGTTTGAAACATAAGCTGATTTGAAATGTTCTTTATATCTGTTTTTTCTTTGACGATTCTCTACTGCTGCTCTCCTAGAATGAAAAGGAAAAAAGTCAGACGTAAGTAAATGACAAATGGCAAGAATTTCCGATGAAAACAATAAATTATTTTAAGCCTAATTAAACCACAGACAATGCAGATAAAATTAGTCGAACGTGAAGTACTCGATCGATTAACATTGCCCAATAAATCATGAAAACTTTATTTTTGGAGAAATCTTCTTTTTGCGCTTGTGCAAAATTGAATGAAAAAGAAAACGTTTGAGAGAAGATTTTTTTTGATGATGGAACTGACGGAACAACATTTGTTGTTGTTGTTGTGGAAAAAGTAGAAGAAAAAATGATGACAAATACGTTAGAAATGCCAACAAATGCATTATGAGGATGAAAAAAGATTAGAACATGCAGTTTCCAGAGTTGGACATAGCGACACATCGATGTTGTGTTCTATTTTTGGCCCACTTAGCCATTTGAGAAAGAAGAATACTGTGAAACTTATTTCTACTGCGAAGAAAAAAAGAAAACGCATTTTCTCATAATGCAATTCAATGCGGTTTCTGTTGTAAATGATATTATTTACGACAAGATATTTCATCGTGGGTGGATAGCTATTAAACTGGACAAATTTATTGATAAATTAAGCTTTCAGACATTTCTAACGGTTTCTTTTCACTGATGCTTCGTTTTTTACCTTTATAAGACATTTAACAGTTGTTCATTCACTTTACCTTGGGTTTATCTGATGGTAGAAGGATTCAAGTTAAGCTATTAGCAGTTTTTACAACTATTAAATGTCAATTTTACTGATTAAATAAAATTTTCGCAGAACTTTGACTTTCTTTTTATCCAAACACTCTCTCACTCTCTGAGTCTTGTATACCCCTTTTTGTAAGACGTACAATAGCCGCACATTTGAAAATATTTACACCGTTAAAATTTATCCGTTGCTCGTCTTTTATTATAATATTTAATAAAAAATAAATGATGTCATCGAAATTTGCAATAAATATTAAGAAACTTATGTCATCTAATGAAATACTCTTGCATGCATTGCAATGAAATATTTTCGTATAAAGACAGATTCCAAGAAGTCAAATTAACATAATGATGAATATGCATTTTGTGACCTTCCACCTCTGCCCAATTTATTCACATAGAGAAACATAAATTTATATTTTTCTTTTCCGTTTTTGTTTTTGGTTCATCAAGTTCACATTAATTGTGAATTAATTTATTTCCTCTTTTCTTTTTGAATCTCTTAAAACATCAAAAAAATGCACAGAAAAAAATTTAATCCAATCATTACATTTGCAAAAAATGAGCATGAAATGAGAGTTATAAATGATAAGAATCTTCGCCACTTCATTTTAATAATTTTTACATTAATTTATGATGTTGTTTAATGAATACAATAATACAAAGTTAATTTTACCATCTAAATTTATGTTTTTTTTTCTTTTGTTTGTTTTTCATTTCTTCCTCCGATTTCAAATTAATGATGAACCGAATGGTGGTCTTTATTCAATTGTTAATTTCTTAGGATTGTTCATCATGTTCTACAAGAGTTGATTATTTTTTTGCCTCCTCCAGGTCTGGAATTGCTTCATCATCTGAATCTTCTTCATTATCGATGTCATCGAAAGATGGTTTTCCATCCATATCGCCTCCCATACCTCCCATACCTCCCATGCCGCCCATTCCTCCGGTTCCCATATTAGCCATTAAATCATTAAAGTTACCCATGTCACCAAAGCCTCCAGCACCACCACCACCTTGTCCCGCATCTGAATCATCATCAGATCCCTCATCCTTCCATTTATTGAAGTCAACTTTAAGCCAATGTGGTTTCTTTTTATCATTTGTCAGGGATGGCCAGTACTCTGAGGCGGTATCAGCTTTATTGATGATAAATTCATAACATCGGCCACTATTTTTACTCTTAATTTTTTCGGGATTGATTTTTTTATAGAAGTTCATTGTCACTTCATGATGTTTGTTCTCAGGAAGGCCAACGGCTTTGAAAAAAAGTGAATCTTCTGTGAATCTAAGGATGAAATTGTGTTAAAATTTATGTTTCACATAATTGAGTGAGAAAAAATTACTTTATTTCAGGATCTTTTGTTTCCACGTTGAATGTAACGAAAAGAACATCATTTCTTTGAGCCCAAATAACTGGGGGAGGTGTCCTAGAAACCATAAAAACAAACGGAAAAAATTAACTTTTTGTAGGTTATGAAAAGAAAGCTAAATTAAAATCAGTTCTTTCTCAATTGAACCTAAAACTTTGATGAATAGATTAAAATCTTTTGAGAAGTAAATATTTTAAACGAGAATATGATATTATTAACATATGACTTCATAAGAACATTCTAGACAAAGTCATTTTTGAAGTTCTAAAACACGCCGATAAAAGCGAGAAAAAACACTATTAAACCCCATTCTTCCAGGTTCCATTGATATTTACAACATTTACTAATAAACAAAGAATAATTTAAAGCTTACACTGTCGTCGACGACATTCTAATTAATTATTTTAAGCGGTATATTGAATTTCAGATAATGAGAAAATTCTAAAGTTTTTCAATTACTAAACGTACTCTAATGCATCAGCAGCGGCACCTACGATTGTATTTTGGGGCATTAAAGCAGCTTCAATAACAACTAACGTAGTTTCTCGAGGGCATTCAATCAATTTTTTCTTTGAGATCTTACGAAACATTTTGAAGTTGAAAATTACTTGAAAATCATCGAAATCAGCTCAATTTCTGTTTGTTACATACCAATTTTCAAGAGAGTACAGTATTTTAGTAATTTATTTGATTTTAGGTCCTAAAAGGTATCAAATAAGTGCAGAAAACATGTTGAGAGCCTGTGCAGGTCAATTGGTTAATGTGATGCGCGGATCATTTGGCGTTTCGCGTCTTGGAGCTATCGGCGCTATCCGTAATTCCTCACATTCAACAGAAACAGATTCTGAGTTTGATGCTCGTTACGAGGCATATTTCAATCGAGCAGACATTGATGGATGGGAGGCTCGTAAAGCAATGAATGATTTATTGGGCATGGATTTGATTCCTGAACCAAAAATTGTCATCGCTGCATTAAAAGCTTGTCGTCGTCTTAATGATTATGCTCTTGCCATCAGATGGCTTGAGGGTGTTGGTGATAGTTGTGGTGACAAAAAGAAGGAAATCTGGCCATATATGCTCCAGGAAATTCGTCCAACACTCAACGAATTGGGGATGGAAACACCAGAAGAGTTGGGATATGATCAACCCGAACTCGCTTTGAAATCAGTTTTCGAGATGTAAATTAATAAAGCTATAAGTAAACAGCTAACATTCGTAAGACTATTTCTGGATGAACCATGTTATGTAATATTTTTTTCCTTTCTCTGTGAGCACTGAATTATGGACAGAAATAAATATTGGAATTAGTGCTTCTTTAGTGAAAATTCATAAATAAGCATCTTGTTTTATTGATTCTCTATATACCAAAATAAAAAGCTGTCACCGAAAAATATCTTCATGGCTAAATCTTCATCATAATATTTATTAAATGCTGAATAAAATCGAATATGTCTTCAGAATACTTCTGATTTATTTGCTGTACCAATCTTTGAGGATTTTTGCTGCATCATGAAGTGTTTCATCATTTTTGATGTAGCAAAAGCGAATGTAATTTTCCCCGAGATGTTTGTTGGGTTTCGTATAAAAAGCTGAAGGCGGAATTCCTTGTAACGAAATATTTTTAGTCATCCACTTTGTAAAACGATAATCTTTAAATTCATCGCTCTCAGAGCTTAAATCAACTTTATCTGCATTGTGAGACCAATCAGCAATCATGAAGTAACCAGCTTCAGGCAGTGTTACTTGAAAACCAGTTTCAGTTAGAAACTTCGCCATATAGTCTCGTTTATCTGTCAGTTCAACTGCTAAAGATTTAAAGAATGATTCACTTGAATTTAATCTTGTCAATTCAAATTCAAATGCCATCGCTGTAGCTTCTTGTAGTGGCGTTGCACATGTGTAAACTGCATTCTGATGAACCAGTTGTAAGTTTCGTAAAAGATTTGCTGGTCCATAACTCCATCCAAGCTTCCATCCAGTGACACTGAAAGTTTTTCCAGCTGATCCAATCGTAATTGTTCGTTCCCACATTCCAGGAAGAGTATTGATGCGAATATGTTTAGCTGGTTCAAACACCATATGTTCGTATACTTCATCGCTGATCACAAGAACATTCCACTTCTTACAAAGATCAGCAATCATTTCAAGTTCGTCAAGTTTAAAAACTAAATGCACATGTGAATGTTAATTTGATTAAATTATTTTAAAGATTATTCTTTAATTTACCTTTTCCCAAAGGATTATGAGGAGTGTTAAGAATGATTGCTTTCGTCTTCTCATTGAAAAGCTTTTCAAACTCAACAGGATCAAGTTTCCAATCAGCTGCTGATAAAACGCCACTTTTGGTAGGTTTAAGGGCTATTGATCGAACAACCCCGCCAGCAGATTTTATTTGATCGTAATAACAATCATAGAATGGCTCAATGATGATAACTTCATCGCCATCATCAACATGTCCAGTAATTGCAGAATATAAACTCTGATAAGCACCAACGGTCACAAGAACTTCAGTGTTTGGATTAATTTCACGACCAATCAGATGGGAATATAATTTAGCGATTGCTTGGACTAATCTTGGATGTCCAAATCCACGAGTGTATTGATTAAGGAGATGATTTCCATGAGAAACTTCTGACAATGCTTCAGTGACATAATGTGGTGGAGCATAATCAGGAAAACCTTGTCCTAAATTCACTTTCGGCTTATGTTTCAATGCAAGCGCGACATATTCAACCCTGAGACAGAATTTTGTCAATAAACTTCTTAATTCTATAATTATTTCTTACCAAACACTTTCTGAGGTATCTTGAAATCTTTTCGGTGGTCCAAATTTATCTGAATTGGCGGAAGACATTGTTCTCGTCGCGATCAAAGGAATTCTGGAAGAATAAAATCCAACACAACTTTTAAATCTGGCGAGCATCTAGTAATTTAAAAGAAATTAAAATGACGAGATAATTTTGACTTATACAGCAGTGATAGCTTACACCAATAGAGATATTTGATAATAGCGATTAAAACAAATTTATTGTATTTTACGTCTATGTTTGAACAAGACATTCACTGATAAGCAAATAAACTCAATACAGTGAAGACCGAGAAGAGAAAACTTACAAAATTAGAAAAAAATTTGATAGTTGCATGATTTCTCAGCGTTTACTTTACTTACGAGAGAATGAAATTCAACTGAATGTATGTTCAATTTAAGGAAATTGAAAGGAACTCCAATGTAAAACTTACGGTCAGTGAATAGAAAACCAGTAAGACGAGATTGCGAATATTAACTTGTTGATTTTGGGAAAGAACTAAATGACGTTACATGTAGGTTTGAACAGAAATTTTATTTTTAATGAAACTATAAAAGATTATTCAAATGACACCTAAAGATATTGTCTTTCACTTATTTATTAAATAATCAGTTACACTATTTCTGTACAACTCAAAGGTCAATTAAATGATGAGAGAAATTATGCTTCAGAGGAGTAAGAAAGCTTTCGTGGCTTTAGAACAAAGTTGTACTAAAATCTCTGATGTTTCATGTCATTGTTGCACGTTTTAAGCATCAAAACATTGAGATCTTTACAAATTTACCTGACATCACTTTTGAATAATCCTACCATGTGTTTACAAAAATAATCAAATTCTAATTTTTAACTTTTTAATTGTAGAATAAAAAAAATACTTTGTGAAATATTAAATATATTAAAAACCAAGTGTGAAAATGAGTAAATTACAAAACAAACAAAAGATTAAAAAGAATAAACATCCAAATGAATCGAAAAATTCTTCTAAAATTAAAAATAATGAAATTTCTAAAAAGGTAGAAAAAGTTTCTGTGAATGCTGATGCTCCTTCAAAGCCAAGTATCTTAACGAAGAAAACAATTTCAAAAACCACAAGTAAACTACCAGATGTCAAGGACTTTTGGAATTTAGAAGTAAAACAAAACTCAAAAAAGCAAAAGGCAGTCGAAGATGATGATGACAGTCGCAATGTGAAAAAGCAAAGACTTACAGGAGCTGAACGATATCAAAGATACATTGATGAAGAAGAAAGAATAAGAAAGATTGAAGAGGAACTTGCTGATCCCAACATCGATCCTCACACACCAGATCAGTTTGAAAGAGCACTTTTAAAAGATAGAAACAGCAGTTTCATGTGGATCAAGTATATGGCATTCCATCTTGAAACAGCAGAAACTGAAAAGGCTCGTGCTGTTGCAAAAAGAGCTTTAGCAGCGATTAACTTCCGAGAAGAAGGAGAATTGTTGAACGTTTGGATTGCTCTTTTGAATCTTGAAATTCGTTTTGGCACGGATGACAACTACAACGAAACACTTCGAGAAGCTGTTCAAAGAAATGATCCCTTCAAAGTTTATTCTCGCACACTTACAGTGTTACTTGAAATGGAGAAATTTGAGGAATCGAACAATTTTGTTGACATACTGAAGAAGAAGTTCAAGCCGCTTCCTGATATGTGGCTGCAAGTTAGCGAAGCGTATTTAAAAATGAAAAACGAGAAACAAGCAAAAGAAATTCTCCCAAAATCATTATTAAGTCTTAAGGAGAGAGATCGTAAGTTAATTATTCAAGAGTTTAATTTCTGATTAATTAATTATTTTTTAATTTAAGATGTTGAGTACATGGTTAAATATGCATTAATGGCAAGCAGATACGACTTAAACGACTTCTCACAAACAATCTTTGAGAAGATCCTCTCAAGTTATAACAAAAAACTTCCAGTGTGGTTCACTTACATTAACATGATGACGAAAACTGGTGAAGTTGACATTGCGCGATCTTTATTTGAACGAATTTTAGTTATTCAATTTCCAATGAAAAAATTAAAAACAATTTTTCAAAAGTACGTCGAATTTGAGACCCGACATGGTAATGCTTCTAATATTTCAAAAATTAAGAAAATGGCAAGAAATATGTTAGAACAGGAAGCTGGATCTGAATAAAAAAAATTACAAAAGTATTTCGTTTGACATTTTTAATGTTTATTTACATTCTTCTCTTCATAAAATTTTGCGGGGATGAACAGGATGATTCAATTTGCTTAAATCAGGAGTATTTTTTTCGTATTCTGTTATGAGTTTCATGGCTTCTTCAGCAACTGCCCATTCTTCGGGATTCTCTTTCTTGAAATTATTGTACCATTTTGTGATAAGAGGGAATTCATCGAAAGTTATCTCAACTGCTTCCAAACAAATTATTGTTGATACAAACGCAAAGTCAGCAATGGTCACGTTATCAGAAACGGCATATTTCTTTCCAACTCTTTTCAAATATTCTTCAAAAGTTGATAAGACATCTTGAACTTTCTTGAGACCTTCCGCATCTCGTTGATACTAAAAAATGATTTTTTTTAATCTTTGAATGAGGAAGTTAAAATTTCATTGAACTTACATCAAAGAAAATTGGATCAATGGCGTATCTTAATATTGGTGGGTACAGATATGCCATGTTAAAACACATACGTTGAGTTATCAAAGCTCTTACATTTGGGTCTTGAGGAAAGATTGAAGCATTTGGAGCATATTTGTCACACAAATATTGTGAGATTGCAATATGTTCACTCAGTAAAAATCCATCGTCATCAAGAACAGGAATTTGACGTTGAGGGTTCAACTTGGCGTATTCATCAGTGAAATGTTCTCCAGAATTGTAGCTGATATCAATAAGTTCGTAAGGAATGTTTAAAGCCTTTAGCGTTGTGCGACAAGTTAAACTGGGTGGACCATCACATACCGAGTATAGTTTCATCGTCTAATTAACGAATAGTAAATTTTATTTAATAAGTCTAATAATTATTTACTTAATTCAAGTACATACGATAAAAAGCTGCAGTTAAAGTTTGAAATGTTTCTTTTCTAGCAGAGATTAAGTGAATTTAACACAACTTGTTTCCAAGGAGAATAAATGCAGACTGAGTAGAACAGCGTTTTAGTTGATACAAATTTGTCTCTTCTTGATCGTGATAAAACCTTATGAAATGACTCTAATGATTGATTCGTTATTTATTACCATTAAAGAGATTTTGTTTTAATACATTTTATTCAGTGGTTCAAAGATTTACTCTCTCTTCTAAGCTGATAACAAAAGCTGCACTTCTTTTATTTAATACACATTTTATTTTCTTCTGTTTTATTGTTTGAAAAGATTTTTGAAATATTTCTCGCGAGAACTTTCATGAAGCTATTGAAGAGAAATTTGGCAACGTTGCCCAACTTGTCACACATGTTTTTATTATGATTTTTGCCGCAAGTTTTGGCAAGAACAAAAATAGCAATTAAAAACGTTAATTAGAGTAACAAAACAATGAATTTATTACCGAAAACATCTGAAGAGTTTGCTACGAAGGAATATTGGAATAAATTCTTTCAAAAGCGAGGAAAATCTGCATTTGATTGGTAAATAATAGCTTTCTTCTATCTTGAAATTAGATTGAAAGTTCTGATAATTTTAGGTACGGTGAATATCCAGAATTATGTGGAGTTTTAAGCAAATACATTAAAACAATAGATCAAATTTTAATGGTAATTAAAATTTAAGAAAATTAATAAATTTTTAAATTGTTATTTAAACTATTTTCAGGTTGGCTGCGGTAATTCGAAGTTATCAGTTGATATGTTTGACGTAGGCTATAAATCGATCACAAACATTGATATCTCTGAAGTTGTCATTGAGCAAATGAAGAAAACATATCGCGATCGTGGAGATTGTAAATGGATAACAATGGACGCGACTTCTATGAGTTTCGACAACGATTCTTATTCTGTCGTGTTAGACAAAGGAACGCTCGATGCAATGATGAGTGAAGAAAGTGAGTCGATCAATGAAATGGTCGAGAAATATTTTTCAGAAGTGACAAGAGTGTTGAAGACCATGGGGAGATACGTTTGCGTGTCATTGCTACAAGAGCACATCATAAAGTCACTTTTAGACTTCTTTCCGAAAAATAATTTCTTGTTTCGTGTTGTGAGATGTCTGGAAGCTGAATCAAAGACTTCCACTACAAATGAAGATGGTTCATCAATGCCAGTGTTTCTTATTGTTGCTACAAAGTTAATGAAACTTCCAAATGTTATTCTTGAGATTTCACATGATGGTGAGGCGATTGAGAGACTTCAAGATGCAAACGTTTTAACAAATTCCATTCTCACAACACAACGAGCTTCAATGATTCGCAATGGTCTAATAAGAAAAAGTAATTTCGATGATGAAATCAATTTCGATCTTTATCGTCCCAATGAAAATATTCCTCGATTTTCACTTTTCATTCTCGATCAGAAAATGTCAGCCAAGGGCGGTGATTATGCGGCTTTCATTTGTCCACAAGGCCGTGAATGTGAATGGCTTTTTGCTTCAAAGCAAGGAAGACGAAAACTTCTCGAATCAGCACAACATTCACGTTTAGCGATTGTTACGATGCATCGAGATCAAACTTACACATCGCTTGATGATGTCAAATTAGAGTTGAATGAAACAGTCAAATCTTTTGCTCCGAGAAATTTAAAAGATTCAAGTAAAATTCCATTCCTCTCTTTGGGATCTGATGTTGGCACAAGGAAGATCATCTGTAGGGGAAGAAGCGGTTTATCCGGTGAATTTGTCGTTGAAGATGTTACATTAGATACTGGAAAAACTTTCAGACGTTTAATTTTCCTCAGCAATCAAAACGTCATTCAATCAGAAGCGATGCTTAGAAATGTGAAGAAGAAGAATGTGATTGACTTCAGTTTCTTATCGTGTCAACATCACGCTTATATGATTCTTGGCATGCAAACAGTGCCATCAAAACATAAGCATTTGGTCATTGGATTGGGTGGCGGAGGTTTAATCAACTTCATTTATCATCATTTGAAAGATTTCAATACAACTGTCGTTGAAATTGATCCAGAAATTGTAAACATTGCGAAGGAACATTTTGGCGTTGTTGAAGATAAAAGTCGAATGGAAATTGTTGTTGATGATGGTTTGGATTACCTCAAAAAGATGTCAGAAGATAAAAAATTGTTTCAATCAATTCTCTTTGATGTTGATAGTAAAGATCAATCATTTGGCATTAGTTGCCCACCAAAAGAATTTTTAGAAATTGAAATTCTTGAAATTGTTAAAATTTTACTTCCATCGAATGGAATCTTCATATTAAATTTACTTTGTCGCGATCAGGACAGTCGAGAACAAGCGATTGTGAAGTTAAAGAAAATGTTCTCGTCTGTTTATTCTTATAAACTTGAAGAAGATGTCAATGAAATCTTTTATTGCTTCAAAGAAAATCCTCCAAAGATTGAAGAAACTTTCAAGCAATCTGGAAAGAAACTCAACACAATTAAGAAAGAAACAATCGACATCAGCAATTTAATGAAAAACTTTAAATTGATTTGAATTTTCTTTTTTAATAAATTTTTTCTTTAATTTTCTCTAACGAACATGAGTTTTCATATGATTTTTGAAATGAGTTTTCCTTAGGTAACTTTTATTACAAACTTTGCAAGTATTTTCAGCAAAACATTTTTGTCGATAACTTTCATCGTGAAGAAATTTCATGTGTCGTTGATATAAAATTCTTCGTCGAAATTTCACATTGCAAATATTACAAACATGATTTTGTTCCATGTGAGATTCAACGTGACTTGCTCGTGCTGATGAAGTTTTATAAGCTTTGTCGCAATGTGGACATGGATACGGTCGAATGTTTGTATGAGAACGAATGTGAGTCTTCAAATCTCCTTGATCTTTGCATCTTTTTCCACAAAAATGACTGAAAGAAGAATCGATGAGTGCTTAAATAAATTTAATTAAGATAAACAGCAACTCACCATGCAAACACCACCAAACCAGTGGCAACTTTCAAATGATGTAAAATTTCGCTTTTCCTGAAAAAACTTCTGTCGCAATGATCGCACAAATATCGTTTCTCTTTGCATATTTTAGTGTGAGCTAACTTCTCATAAACAGTATCGAATTGCATCTTACAAAAACTGCAAGCAATTTCAAGATCGGGAAAGATGTCAGGATGACATTGTCGCAAATGATTCCCAAAGGAAAGTGTTGGAATTCCTTCAAATACACGTCCATCAAACGGACAAATAAAAGCTAACGAATGAAAGATCAACAAATGATTTTTGCATTCATTTTCAGTGAGAAATTTTTGTAGACAATGACCACAAGTTGGAGCATTCTCATCAATAATTTCCGGCATGTCATCAATTTCAGTAATGAAAGTTTCACCATTTCGATGCACAACTCCATTAGCAATAATTGGTTCACGTAAACTTTCAGGCGCTTCTCGATGTCGTGAAAGATGAATCTCGAAGTCGTCGTTTGTACAGAAGAACATTTTGCAGCTTTCACATTCAGGAAATTGAACATGAGGCGTAATAACATCGAAAATTCTGTGGCAATTCTTATGAACCTGCAAATGATTTTCACCGTCAAATCTTAGATGGCAACTGTGACATGAATGTTTGTTAGGGAATCGAACAATCAACGTTGTGTGAGTCTTTTGTAAATGAATCCTAAATCGTCCTCGCAAGTCAGTCACATATTTACATAACGAACAATGCCACCCCTGTTCAATTCCATTTTCTGTCACAATGTCTGTTTGTTGACTTTGCAATTGCTCCTGAATCCAAAGTTTTTGATCGTAGCTTGAATGTACATCAATTACTTTTCGAGACATATTTTCAATCTTAACATCACTGGATTCAAGTGCAGATTCATTTAAATGAAGTTTTAAATGTTGTCGAAACATGCTTTCAGATTTAAAATGTTCGTGATCACAACGATTACAACTCCATTGAGTTTTGTATCCCATTGGAGTTTGAATTAAATAAGATCCTTGTTTAAGTTCGTTTCTCATCCATTGTCGTTGTTCTTTTGATTGAAAATTTGATTTTTGATATTTTTTTGGTCTTATTTTTTGAGAAATTTTATGTTTTGGTAAGATTTCGTTTACTAGAGGAGTTGCCTTAGGTTCGTAATCATCTTGATAATTAGTTAAAGTAATGAAATCTAAAGGTTCATCCTTTATAATTGTTGAGTCGTCTTCAGCAAACTCATATGATACAATGGCATCTTCATTGTCTTTAAGGTTTACAACATTTAATTCCATCATCTCAGCTTCTTGTAAATCTTCACATACTTCTGAATCGATTAAATCATTGCAAATATTTAACTGTTGATTGAGATCTATATTATTGGAATCTAAATGAATAGCTAGGAGCTTTGAGAACTTTGAAACGATGCAATCTGTTTCTAAGGAATCAAGAAACGCCATAACCATCTCAATTATTTGAATTTTACGAATGTCAGAAGGTTTCGCATGCTTTCGTCCTTTTTGTTTCATAACATAAAACTGTGAGAGTTGATCCTTACAATTAACACACACGAGATTATTTCCTTCATCATCAATCTAGAAAAAAATTAGAAAATGTAATTAAGCTTCGTAATAAATTATAATTTTACCTTTATTTGCATCAAATCCATTAAGAGTTGTCCAAAATCTATGTAAACTTGATTGATGATTAACGAGTTAGTGTCCATGTGAATTAAATTTTTAGTTTCTGTGCAAAAATAACATTGTTCTTGAGGAAAATCCATAATTGTTTTTAATTTTTATATGATTGTTATTATTTAATCAAAACATAACTTTAACTTCAGCACTTTCGTTAAGTTTTGATTTTCCGTTAAACTTCAGCACTTTTTTGTTTACACAAAATATACGAGAAATTGTTAACTAAACTATATTTAATATTGGTGACAGTCAAAAGGTTGTCGTAGAAATAAATTAATTTAAAATGATTTCTGATGAAACAATGAAGACTTTGTGCTCCAAGTTGGTTCCATTAAATTATTTAGTAAGAAAATATTTGAACCAATTTTAAATGAGATTTTAAAAAATTCAATTAACTTTTAGAATATTGCATCAGATGCCAGAAAGCAGAGAGAAAAGATAATTCAGCAACTTTTTGAGAAAAGAAAAATTCCAGAATCAGGATTTGATGATATCGTGATAGAAACTTTAGTAACTGAAATATCTCAACTTGATTCCAACAATTTTCCTTCAAAGTGTGGAGTTGGAGAGCGGGAAGCTAGAATTGCTTGTGGTAAGCTCACATAGAATTCTTTTCTATCATTTAAATTTATATTTCATCCTCAGATCTTGTCAGACGTCGACATTATGGACTTGGACATGGAGTTGGAAGATCTGGTGACATTTGTGAAAATCAACCCAAAGCTGCTGGTTCAAGTATTCTAAACCAACTCACTAACATTTTGACTCTTGATCTCATCAAAATGATGGGAATTAGAAGTATTGAGAAGAGTATTTTACTTCCAATGGCCACAGGAATGTCGCTCATGCTTTGCTTTCTAACATTGAAGTCACAAAGATCATCCGAAGCTAAGTACGTTCTATGGTCGAGAATCGATCAAAAGTCTTGTTTCAAATGCATCACGACTGCAAATCTCATCCCTGTCATAATCAATCCAATAAGAAATGAAGATGAATTGCAAACAAATCTCACTGAATTTGAAAATCAAATTAAAATTCTCGGCGAAGATAAAATTGTTTGCATTGTTTCAACAACTTCTTGCTTTGCTCCACGTGGCTGTGATGACATCGAGGGCTTAGCGGTTCTCGCAAAGAAACATAACATTCCTCATGTGATCAATAACGCTTATGGGTTACAAACAACATTCTTAACACATCAAATTGAGCAAGGAATAAAAGAGGGCAATGTTGATATCTTTGTTCAGTCGACTGATAAGAATTTATTAGTTCCAGTAGGGGGTGCAATCATTGCTGGTCCACACAAAAAACTAATCGATGACATTGCCAAACACTATGCTGGTCGAGGGTCGTCATCACAAACTCTTGACGTATTTATGACGATTCTCAGTTTAGGTCGTGATGGATATATGAAACTTGTTCGGGATCGAAAGGAAAACTTTAATTATTTAAAAGAAAGGTTTGAAATTTTAGCAGAGAAGCACAAGGAAAATATTTTAAATACTAAACGTAATCCAATATCAATTGCAATGACATTGAAGAATTTTGATGAAAATAATGTTTCAATGATTGGTTCAATGCTTTTTACTCGAGGTGTTAGTGGTTGTCGTGTGATTACAACAAAAGATGACAAAGCAATTGATGGTTACTTGTTTCAAGGTTGGGGAAGTCATGTCACAGATTTAATTAACAACACACCATACATAACAGCCGCAGCAAGTATCGGCATTACAAAGATCGACATTGATGCATTCATCGATAAACTCGATAAAGTTCTTCTTAAAGTTAGAAACAATAAAGAGAGTTGATGATCTTTATTTGAACGCTTTTTTTATTTTCTAAAATGAAGTTTTTTTTATGATCACTGGCGCTGACGATCCCACATCCGCTCCCGAACTCCACTTTTAGTCTGTCGCGATTGCGTGAAAACAATAGAAAAAAACCAAAATAAAGAAGAATATGCGACAATCATGAAGTTTAATTTTTTTCTGGGTTGACAAACATCAATCGTTCAGTTGAAAAGCGTTTCGAACCATTTGATTGTGCTTTCGAAATCTGTGTTAGATTCTCTTTCTTTTGATTCAGTTTCGGGTTTGTGACACGAAGCATTGTACATGCGATTTAACTTGTAAACATCATTCAGAGAAAATTTATCGCGTTGTCCTAATTGTGTAACATTTCGCAATGGAATGATTGTGTCGTTGCCATTTTTTGAAAATGCTTTTCTACTGTAATGCATGATTGATTCGTAGTCGTAGGAAGTTCCGTAATCGGTGACGATACTTTTGTTGTATTTTTTAAAGTTTGATTCATGACCATCCAAGATGTTCTCCCAAACAATCTCAATGTAATCGTCACGATTTGATGAACTGTGTTGATGGGCAAAACCAGCTGCGTGCAGAAATTCGTGAATCACTGTCCCTTTCTTAACACATTTCGGCGAATTCACATTAAGTTGTTGCCCACCTTCATTCTGCATTCCCACAGATGACCAGCAACCTTCACGATTTCCTGTCACAACAACCCAATTTTCATCTTTCGAATTGTACGGTTTAAACCGAAGACAGGTTTTTTCATGATATTCGAGCATTGCTGACATGATCACCAACAACTCGTCGTCACTAAAATGATCTTCTTCGATATAGAAAGGAATTGTCGCATTGGGCCATCGTAACGTTTCATTAAGTATTCCATTTCTTATTTCATTGCTGTAAGTCATTATGTCACCTTCATAAAGGCCGCTTTTCTCCCAAATAAATCCTTCATCGTCATCATTATATTGAACATAATTACTGAAATCTTTAACACCAAAAACTTTTAAGAATGAAATTAATTTAATTTAACTACACTCACACTCATTGCCATGTGAATTAAATGCATCTGGATTAATTCCATACTTGACTTGTGGTGGAACAATTTGAAGTCCAGAAATTAATTTACTTCCAAAGATATTTACAAAATTGCTTGCTATTAGTAGAAGGCAAGTTAACATTTTATATTTCTTTGAACTGTTTAAATTTTGAGCGAATCAATTTATAAGACATTCGTGAATTCTTATCATCATTGTATGCAATTATTATTCCCTGCGTGTACTTAGCACTGTTTGTAGATAAAAATCCACAGCGAAATGTCAGCAGCTGTCCCGTATCAGAACAATTCGTATTCAATTCAAAACACATGTCTGAAAACATTAAATGCTTCCTTTTTTTGGCAACAAACTGATTCTTTACGCGCTACATAAGCCCTCAGAGAAATTAAGTTCTTTTTTTACTTTATTTAATTCATTCACTTCGCGCTGTTAACGAATTACGAAAAGCAGTCCACGCGACACAAATAAAAGAGATCGCCTTTCGGTCCCTCGATGTATCATTAAGTATTGAAATTTATTATTATGCCAAGACCGAAAGTCTACAGCTGCCCCAATTTTTTTTTGTTCTCGTTGTCTTCCTTTTTTATTGTGAGGCACGAATGAGACGATGAAAAAAATACTTTTTATGATTGCGATCGACTAAATATTATACATACACCTGGAGATGTTCATTGTGAGTTTCTTAAGGCTTAAGATTTTAAAAAGAAATTACTGACAAGTCATATGCAAAAGATCATCACATTCAAATCAAAAACCGCAACGATTCATCCAAGCTTGATAAATGAAGTTTTGATTACACAAATGACATGGAAGAAAATTCCATTGCGTAATGATTCATTAATGTTTCGCTTCAAAGCCACCCCGACACCAAATTGGATCATCAATTTTAATTTTTTTCTAAGCAATGATGAATCGGATGGAATGTAAAAATAAAAAGGGATTCGTAGAATGCATCCAGGAAAGGTGTCGAGAGTAGGTAAGATTTCTGATCCCAAGCAGATGACATACGAACATAAAGAATGTGGAAATCGATGAATGATGAGTTTGAAATTGTTCATGTTATTGTTTAAGGATAATCGATGGATGCAACTTCTCGAAGCATTTATTTTCTCAGTGAAGTTTTGTCACGTGGATTCAGCATGTCACGTCATGATTGTTTGCTTACCCTTCGATATCCCTTGTCGCAGATCGTATCGCTATTTTACCATATTTACTTTAAAGATCAAAGACTAGTGTTAAGAGGAATTAAATGAAGTTATAGCGTTTATTTCTTAAAGGACATGAATAGAATAATCGTCATGATCTGATGACTTTCTTTTCCTTACCAGCAGAAGTTAATTATTTAGAAAAATTTGTTATTGTTGCACATTAATGACACACTCTGCTTAACATTCCTTCATTTTATTTATTTAATGATCGTAACTTATTATTTTAAATGTAATCTTGAATATGTAATAAGAAAAATTTAGTTTTGTTAATTGTAAATGAAACCATGTTGGTTCTCAAACCTTTTTAAACTTTACGAAAGATTCCCAAACGTTTTGATATCCTTTTCTCATCAAAGTGAGAGCAAATCTTTTTTGTTCTAGTGAATAAAAATCTATAAAGTGATATTTAGATTGTAAAAACGTATTTTTTAATGCTTCAAGGCTTAGAGGCTTCTTTTTAAGGATAAATAAAATATTTAATGTCTCGTTTGAAAGACAACGAATTCCTATGATCTAACGGATTCTTTCTGTTCATTGTTTATTCACGAACATCCTTTTCTCTTTCTTAAATAACCACTAGACTTAAAATACTCATAAAATCTCATTTATGAAAGGCAAACAATCTCCAAAATTAAATATTTTGTACAAACATCCTCCAGAAACGAGGCGATTTCTATCGTCAGAAGCAAATTTCAAAACTCCAATTTCATAAAGATTTTCAGGGTTCTATTGTGTCGCTTTACTCCAGGTGTTTTACTTATGTTTGTACCTTAAACTGATTTTTTTCTCTCCTTCTTTTTATTTTTTGTAGCATTCTTTTGTTCGTTAAGGATTTTCTTATTTTTTTTCGCAACCAAAGTGGTGCGTTCATTCCATATGTGCTCCGAATAATCTTCTGCTTCGACAATAGGAAATAATAAATTTACTCATGACTGACTCTACATGAGGCTTCTGAAACAACACACTTGAAACCGTGGCATCGGTTGTTTGATGGATGGAGAAGATTTATTTAAACATGTTTTAGCGTGTCTTTGAAGAATGTTTTTCTATCGCGTAAGCGACTACCTGAACACGAGTTTTCAGTTGTACAATATAAATATATCTCCTAACTCCCCTAAATAGCTTCCTTCTTTTTACAGATTTGCACGTCTGTTTGAAAAATTGCAGGCCATTTTTCAGCCACACAAATTTGCCGGAAAGGAAGGAAAACACCGCCAAATACTATTTCATTTCATGACTCCATTGTGTCTAAGGTGACAACTCTCTGAGGGATTGCAAATATCTAAATGCGCAATAAAAATTTCAAGCATAATCGATTTTTTCTTTACTCTCTTAGCCAAATGATGATTCATCGTAATGAAAATGTAACAGAGGGGAAATTTGCGATTCCGAATAGCTTGTTGAATGACGTAATTTTCCATTGAAAAATAAAACATTTTCCAACCCTACATGTAAGTAAGAAAATTTTAGTTTCAATCATTGATGTATAATTTCAATTTCCCGTTGAAGATTTTCATCATATTTCGAAGTGTTTCTTTATATTTTATGTCTTTAGCATGAAAATTTTTCCAAGGGTTGGATTAATGTTGCCAACATTTATGATAGATAAATGCGGAACTAAATTCTCGTTGAAATCAACGTTAACCATGATCTTAACTATTATAGAACAACACCATAAATACCATGAAGGTTTAAATTTCAAACTTTCTGAATAGTAAATTAAATAAAAGCGATTCCTTTATGCTAATTCACCCTAACTTATCCCATTTGTTGAACTTCCAATGAATTTTCAAGGACACCTTTTTCCTTCTTCTAAACATTCATTTTTTGGTTGTTGTACTTGGGACATTATGGCATCATAAAACTAAATACTGTAACACTGGAGGGTTTAGGATGATTGAAAATTTACCATGCACATTCCTATTTTTATTTGAATATGGTGAAGTTAAACGATTGTTTCATGAACATTTTTGTCAGCGTGAAAGCTTTCAATAAATTCAGAATAATGGGGAAGTAAACAAATATCAACATGAAAATAATTGTCTTCAACTTTATCGAATACTTCACAAATAATTATGAAAGTTGAATTAGAATTTTATTAAAATTTTGATATTTTTGAAGTTATAAGGGAAGTTAAAGACCAGAAAGTTCAACTTGAAGCCCATTAGATTGCTCGAAATTTACACAGAACAAATATTCATGCATTATATTCACATAAGGGTCGACTTTTAAAAATCTCCAATAAATCATTTATGTTTAACATCTCGCTGTTGAATAAAACTTTAATGAAAGTAAAGCCGTAAAAGCATTAAATAAATATCACATCCTTTTCTATTCTGTTTGTTCACGTCGATTTATAACGCGAAACGACAAGAAATTAAGAACATAAAAACCTTTTGCACAAAGTCGCTCAAAACAATTAAAATCCAGAAAAATCCATAAATTTTATCGCTAAACAAAGACGAGAAATTTATTTACGAGCGATCTATTGTTATGAATGTTCTTCTTTTATTTTTAGTTAAACTAAGTAGATATACGATTTCGATAAAAGTAGCTTCTTATTGCCCTTTGCTGAAAAGTAAAAAGAATAAAAGTGATCGTCAGTTTCCAGTTCAGTTGTAAACGAGCCGTGACAAAATTTTCAACCTTATATCATTCAACTTACAAACAGAAGTTGTAAAAAAGTCTTTAAAGAAAATCGTAATTCGAAGCGAAACCAAAACGCGTTTCTTGACAAAAGGAGAAGAAATTGGATGGAAATTATGAATGGAAGACGACGTAAAAAAGTTTTTTTTTATGAATTTGAAGATATTAATAAATAAGAAAATTAACCGAGATAAATCAGTTTGATTCATTAGCGTGAGGATTCATGCTTATGATGGGGATATTCCTGTCACTTCTCCTTTTACGACCTTAAATGAATTTCTGTCAACCCCGGCTTTTTGTCATTGTTAGCGAGAAATTTATGATGAATTAAATTAATTGCTGATTTGTTTGTACTTAACAATCGTAAGATCAGCGGTGAATTCCTTGAATTTATTAAACTAGAAAATCTTGATTAAACAACCAATAAAAGAATGTTTGAGATAAAATATTTATTTTCATATGTCTTGTTGATCATTCGTCTTCTAAATTTTACAACTTCTTGCGAAAAAAAGTCTTCATGGTGAAATCGAAGGTTTTGTTCTTTTAAAAGAAGTTAACTTTACAACTTCTGAAATAATAAAAATTTGAAATTCAACCCTTTTCAACCCTCTCTAAAAGAAATCTACTTACGAATGGCTTCATAACTTTCACTTTAGTGATAGATATTGACGTGTTAAAATATAAAAATTCATTACACGACTTTAAAAAAACTTGCATAATTTGTTTTTACGATTATTACTCTGAGAAATAATTTTATTGTTATGAGTCTTATGAGACTTATGACAACGATTTTGTTAAAGAATATTCTTAACGATCAGACTTAGGACCTTTGGCTGATGAGGAAAAAATTGAATTCTTGTGATTTTTTATTTTAATATTTTATTGGCAGTTACTAAATGTTATTTGTTCAATCAGTTTAGTGACGAGTGAATTAAAATTGATACACAATAAAACTTTTAAAGGAATGTAAATCATCGGGTAAAAATTTCATTCATAACCAGAAACCGATAATCGGCATTATCGAGAATTTTTTAAGTTTCACATGTTCAAAGAACTCATCACGTTAACTACATAGCTTTGGGCAGAGATGTACAACAGTTAAACGATTAATGAACCAACATTTCAGCGAAGGCTTTAAGTACTTATTTGTAGCACGTCATCGAGGTTACAAAGAAAAATCAATTAAAATTATTTATTGTTTATTAATTGCTCCCGACATCGTGTTTAATTGGAGGAGTTTTTAAAACAAAACGTATTTGTCAATAAAAGTCTCTTTTTTCTCTTTGAGTTTTAATAGATTCGAAGTCATTAAATGAAGGTGGGTTTAAAAAGCAAGCAATAAATCTTCGCTACAAATCGAAATCAATGAACGGTGCAGTTATAAACATAACACATGCAATGCGAGAAAATGAATTCACAAGCCTGATGATGGTGAGAATAAATCTTTTTTGGGCTATTTTATGTTATTAAAATTGCTTATGTTGAATCAAGTTATGTTTATTAATGATTTAATGTTGATTAAGTATGCACATAGAGATTCATGATCATTAAAAAGATTACAAAGCAACACCAATAATGATTAGTAAAGCTCATTTGCAGTCTTTAAAATGTTTTACAACACTTTATTAAAAGAAGAATAATCAAAGTTTGAGCTTAAGGCGGTTTCGAAGATCAGATATTCAGTGTTACATTTACACAGATATTTATACCGTTGCTATTGTCAGTTAAATACTGGGTTCAATCAAATTGATTTCAAATAACTTTTTTACAAAATTTAATATGAAAATCTCAATGACCAATTAGACTTTTAATATTTTCTTATTTTAGTATCGTTGACAACCTCTCTAGATCAATCGCTTGTTCATATTTATTCTTGTGTTTAATACCTTCATGCCCATCTCTTTAATAAGCATAACAATAGAATGATGAAAATTAATTTATTACGCCAGATTTTCTCTTCAATATTTCAAGTTCAAAATTGTCTCCTCGTTGCGATTTAAACGAGTTACACTTGAAACTTTTGTTTGTGAATTTTTTTTTCATGTTTATTTTGATTATTTTTCATTGTGAAAATAACAAACGAATCCTGCAGGGAGAACAAGAGATTTGATGAAAAGAAAATAAATTAGATTTCTGTTCATAAGCGACACAACCCAACGTTTCATTACTATCCGCGCATTAAAAGAATAATTTTTGCAAAAAGAAATTTGAATATCAAAAGACGAATATTTATGATTCAGAAGAGTGAAATAAGAAATGACAGAAGAATAAAAAAGGGTTAAACTGATTAAAAACATATTAATGTCCACTGTAAAGGTTATTGTTGAATGTCCTAATAGAAATTTCTTTCGCTTGATGAAATTGTATTCGAAAGGGTAATAAAAGTCCCGACTTAGCGTTATTTATCAAAATAAAAACTTAAAATCAGCAAGAAAAAAGGTTTTTGCAAGATTCTCTCACATTACGGATTATTTAACAATCATAAAGAGTTAAAATTTCTGCCACATAAACAGTCAAAATTATTAATTGCTTAATCCAATTCTATTGTTGCTAGGGTTATAAACTTGTAGATATTTAAATTATTTTTTTAAGTTTATTTAACAAATGCGTTCAAAATTTTCTTCTTAAACCTTATAGTGTTGATGTTCAACATTACCAATGTGATCGTTCATCCAACCATTCAAATCATATCCTGGATACAATTTTTAATAAAACAATTTACAATATTCTTCTAAAAATATTCAACCCTTTCTTAACTAACCATCTAACTTCATGAACTAGAAAAATAAAATAATTTTTTACGTCGTTACATCGTTAGTAGAATAAAAGAAGCATCGGAATTTTCTTACTAGAATTCACTGAGTTTGCGATATTAAAAAGAGATTAAAATTTATAGCTGTTTCAAGTTACACTTTTTGAATCTTTTGTTTGTAACGAACCCTTTCAATAGCGTTTCCCTTCTATTCAAGAATCTGAGAAGGGTGGCGGTTTCATTCCAGCCCAGTTCTTATGAGTTAGTTGTATGATTTAAAGAGATGAATCTTTAAGTTTAGTTAGATTCTACCGTGAGAATAACACGAAACAACAAGATCATGTTTGGAATATCAGAATGCATGCAATGAGAGGTGGTTTGTTGTGTCCAAACATTTATGAATGCAAGAAATAAACAAGAAATAATTTCTCAACAGAAGCAGAACTGTTTTTCGGTATGAGTCAAAGTGATTGGAAGTTGCTGAGTTTGATTTCTCATTGGAGAAAATTAAATAAATATAAAATATGTAAATGAGTTTTCAGACTATTAAAAAGTTATTTTTCTTTGTTTACTTCCGAACGATTATGTTTAATGCTTAAAGCTTAAATTGTCATTAATGCTTAATTTTATTATTAATTTAAGAAAAATATTATAGAAAATACTGAGGATGGATTAGCATAAATAAATCCGAAACTAGTCGGTAGAAAGGAGTCAAAGAAAAATTGCTTTTTTATAGTCTGAAATGTCATTTAAAGTTTTAACAAACATAAGACGTAAATTCGCGTATTAAGTTCATTAAAAATAATTAGTGAAATTATTGTCATAACTTTATTCTACGGAATTTTTAAAGTCAAAATGATTATCAGACTAGTTGGACTTCAATGTTAGCAACATTCTTTAAGATGAGATCATAAGAAAAATGAAAGATTTCTTACAATTGCATAAGACATTAATTCAAACGTTTCTTGAAGCAATTTCTCGATTACTAGAAGTGCAAGTGCAGTTGTGCTTCTTCGAATTCTTTTGCAATTCTTGTCATCGGGAGTCATGCTTTGATAGGTCACATAGGAGTTGAACTATTCTTGATGTTATCATTAAAAAGATATGATTTCTAATCGGTAAAACTTCAATAAATATAATTGAACACTTAAAACGATAACAGAGAAAATGCTTAGGGCTACGGGAGATCGTCCCAAAAGATCAAATCCAAATAATAAAAAACAAAACTTCTTCAAGGCATGCAATTAAGGGACATCAAAGCAGATTCGGAATCACTTTAATTTATTCACGAATAACAGAAGAAATGATTGAGAAAAGATGAAATGAATTGTGAAATTGGAGAAGTCTAAACTTTTAACATAATACATAGATGATTATAATGTTTGCCTGAAACGATAATTATAGTAAGATCAGATAAAACTCTAACGTCGGTTCACTGCTTTCCATCTTTTTTCTCTGCTCTTGTTATTTCTAAATATTTGAATTCTAGTTCATTGCTTGAAAAAGAGATACTTGAAGTTGGAAAAGTTCAGGATTCATAATTATGTTAAACTTATTAAAGGATATGCTATTTGATTTGTATTATCTACTGTTAATATTATTATAAAATAGGGGAAGACAAAACGTTTTTGTCGATAGAAAAGCTAAGAAAGTAAGAAGCGATTTCCTTTAAGAAATTATTCGCTGCTGTTTTTCACATCCCTTCGCTTTAATTTTCAACTTAGGAAACACTTTTGAATGTTAATCATATTCAATTCAACGTATGCAGACTTCTTTCATGATTTCTCATCATATATAATTTATATTTATGCGGACAAGCACAAGATGAACAGGAAACGTATGAAGGCCTTTACCATTTAACAAACTTCCATTGAAATCTAGCGAGTAAATAATAATTAAACGGTATTGTTTTGTTATTTGATATCAGAATAATAGAAATCTGGATCTTCAAGAGCTACTTTTTTGTTGCTTCTCTTGTATGTATATTTGTTGTTCTCACACGGAACTTTACCTTTTTCTCTGTCTGACATGACGTGATATTTGAGGTTCCTTTTCCATCATTGATTGAAGTCTTTTGTTGTGAATCAACGTGCTTGTGATGGATTTCTTATTTCTTTCTTTTTTTGTTGAGAATTTATTTCGGGGACAAATTTTCCAGCCTCTTTCCTGGCTTTTAATTTTTTAGCTATTCTATTCATGTCGAGTAATGTATCACAGCATAAATGAAGCATAATCACCAAAAATTGTTCATGCTTTCATATACAACTACTAAGATTCAATTTCTCATCATCTTAGAGATTAATTTCTCATTGTTATTTCACTAAACTCAATTTAATCCTTTTCTGCCCATTTTCTACTCGAGCTGAAGATTTTCCATCCGACTTAGCAGACAAATTTTCATCTTACTTTGCTTGTGAAACATAAAAGAGAAAGATAAAAAATTGGCACAAGAAAAAAAGAAACGAAATCTACTTTTGGATTCCTTTTTGTTAAATATTTTAATTTTCATCTTCTTTTGAGTGAATTTCTTTCCCTTTAACTTTTTTTTTCTCAGAAATTCTTTTTACGTTTTCCTTTGTTCATTTTTGCCTAAAACTAGAGATTTATTATTTCCCTAAAACCGGTTTAGAACATTTCTTGTTTGTTCCATTTTATTCTTCAAACGTTTCTTTTTGCGATGCTGTAAATGCAATTGTTTCGGATAATTAATTTAGAATTAATCATCAATTTGTGATGGTATTAATAGGAATACATTTAACTTAGAAATTGTCAATAAAATTTAATAACTTTGGACTTAAATGCATACTTAGATACGTGGAAATCTAATGCGTATTTATGTTAAGAAATGATTTTATGTTTAGTTAACATTGTGCTACTTTCCTAACGATGTTCTGACAGCTTAAAGAGAAATTGCTAAGGTGATGTTTCTATGCATCTAGAGCTCAAACTTCAATATAAAATTTAATTAGATATTTCCTGTAAGACTATAAACCCTCATCAATGTACTACGCTTGTGCCAATGCCAAGTATTTTGTGCTTCGCTTCATTTAAGTATGATTTCATCTGGATCGAATTGGTTAATGTGTCGATTAACAGCTGAACGTTGTTTTTCCTTCTAATAACGTTTCCTAAAGCAGATCCTGGCACGTTTTCCTATCAGATCCTTCTTATTACCATCAGTTTTGTAATTTCTGTTTCCATTGTTTAAAAAACTTTTCATTTTATCATCATTCTTCCCGCAGCACACAAATAAGTTTGTAAACATTTGAAAAGTTTCACTTATTAATCTCACCTGCTCGTTGTTGTACAAGAATTTAATAACGATATAAACAAAATTTCGTGTATTTTTATATCATTCTAACGATAAAGTTATGATGGATTCATCATTTCGAAAATTTATTCATTTGATCAGCTCATTTCGTGTTTCACATCTAGTGGAGCCGGAAGGATCCCGCATTATTCAATGTCCAATCATTTCTTCAATTTATTTCTTCGCTAGACATCTGCTTTTGTTTTGAAAATTTATTTTCTTAAAAAGAAATTGAGATTTCAAAGACGTTCGCAGAACATACATTATAACTTCCTTTTATAATAATTTCTTCATTTAAAATTTTTATCTGACATAAATGTTGGTTAAGCTTTTATTGAAGTTTTCTTTATTTAAGGTTGGATACATTGCAAAACGCCATTAAAGACTTTTTAATAATATGTTTTTATGTAATTTTGTAGAAGAAATTTCTCTGACGCAATCTATTAGACAAATGTCAATGTTTAAAAATACTAACAGATATAAAATTATAATTGTTATTAAGTTTATTGTAAATTTATGTAATCAAAATCGTTCTCGAATGTTGTCCATAGGCGTTGTTTGTTTATTATTGATGAAGTCAATCAGGACTCACATAAAAACAGAATATGAATTAATACATTAATTGCAGATGTATGAACATAAATAATCTTCAGCATGGTGAGCTATTATAAAACGATATAAAGATATCAAGTAAAGAAAGAGTTTTATCGGACATTAAATGGCTCGTGCATGACTTTAATTTATCTGTGAATAAACTTAATTAGTAAAAAACGGAATGTTGAGATTAAAACTCGGCAGCTCAAAGGTAGATAAACATCAAAATGTTAGATGAATGTTGATAGCATGATGAAGTGCTAATTATTAATGCGTTTTAAAGTTAACAGATGAAATAAATATTCTGGCAATGCCATATGCAGTTAAGACTTTCGATAATCGTTAAACGTTTAATAATTAAAATTTGAAACGTCTGATTAATTTGTTTGTGAAGAATTTTTCTCTTTTTTTTGGCCAACATGTTTTGAAAGAATCATAAATAAAGTAAAAAAACCATCACGACAGGTGATCCCGTTCACTCTCAGGGTCATTTGTCCAATGCTTAATTTTATTAGTCAAATAATTTTTTTCTTCTTATGAGAGAGAGAAAAGTAATTTTTATATTTTACTTTACGACTTGCCACTAAGAATATTGAATATTCAAGACGTTTTCATGAAGAGAATATTCGTCGATTTTATGATGCACTTTTGAGTGTAATTTCGACGAAGTTTTATTACGGCAATTGACTTTCTAATGGTCCAGTTTTGACTCCTTCTGAGAAAGGCAAGCAAATGGTTTACTTTGGATTGCTTTATGAGCTCAAATAATTGTAAGAAAATTAAAAAATTGTTTAAATTTGCATTTTATCGCTTCAAGAAATTTCATTTTACGATCGACGTTGTTCAGCAGACTTCCAAGAAATATGAAGATTCACTTTTGACCACCATCTTCTTACTTTCTTTCTTTCTTTGCATTCAAAATTTGCAAAATTCTTTTAAAAGCAGATGATTTACTTCTTTGCATTTACAATTTACACCTGCAAATGCAGTTTTGCTTAAACATTTAAAGATTCTTTATGCAGATTTTCTTTCGTTTCGGCGTTTGAAAGAATTGCAAATGGTCAGTTAAGGAATGTGACAATATTGATCAGGTAGATGAAATTTCTTCACATAAATGAAAGCAAATCTTCATAGATTTCAATCATAAGCAGTTTCTACAGAATTAAAAGCTAAAATCTTTATTATTGTCTTGAAATTACCAAATTTCTCTCGAAATCTTTTCTATCACTTAAGAAAAAAATATTTCAAGTAAGAAGAAATCGACGATGAGTAACAGCAAGCGGAAACATGAAGAAAACATGCAAAGCAGCAAGAATTGCTTTCCCATTGTGTGTGAAATGAAAGTCTTGACCGTGAAAATTCCGTTAAAAGTCGTCACATTACTAAGCTCTACCACGTGCTGATCTATTCAAAGGCCCGTCGCATTCTATTGTTTGACTCTTTATGATGCTGGAAAGAAAAAATTTATGATTTTGATTGAAACTCTGAATGCTCTTTTCACCGTTCTTTGTTACTATTGTGTAAGTTCTTAGCGATGATTTATTATTTGATCACTGATTAAAGTCAAAGTTGATTAGTTTGTCGATTCATTCAACTTTAAGTTGCATTTCGTGATGAGTCAAGACACTGCAACCACAAGCCACCTGTTGCACAAAATACAATCTTTTAAAACAAAATGTGAATTTAATTTCCACAAAACTTTTCCTTCCTTAAAAATAAAAAAGTTCAAACAGTTGGCTCATTCACATTTGGGAATTAATGATTACCTACTTCCATTGCATCCAACTTAAGGATAATTTCTCAGATGTTCAAGGAAATTAAGAAAGAATCTTAAAGTGTTTTCATCCAATCTGTATGATAATGTGAAAGAGGAAGACACAACTCAAAGAGGTCAAATGTTCATCAAAAAAACGAAGCAGTGAAGATGAATGAAGTTGATACAAGAGGATTGATGCAGTTTTTCCTGTTTATATTTTCCTTCTTTTGGCATCATCTACTCCTTATCAATATCTTTCAAAAAATCATCACTAAAAAGCGGATATTCTTATTCAAAAGACGATCAATGTTGAGTTGATGAAAACCCTTTTGAGTTTCTACCAAATTAACGATAATATTTTTATTTCTTTTCATGCTATTTTTTTTGCACTGCTGCGTAAATTTCAAGTTCAACCCTTTCCTTTCCTTTATTTCATTGTGAGATTCATTCGGTTGTTGTTGGTTGCATGTTTGCATGGAAGAATTTTGAAACTTGAAAGGTTTCTTTGAAGCTTAAAATATGCCAGGTGGAAGACGTTGGTTGGATCCATTTGAAGTCTTCACATATCCTGCTTAATCTTAACTGTAATTAAAAATCTCTTATTCATTTCTGATTAATGTCGTTTAGGGTTCGCGAAATGCCAAGTGATGCAGAAAATTGCATTCTTTCTCGAATATTTAATAGAGGAATTATCACACAAGAAATTATTTATTTATTCAGTATTTAAATCAAGAAATGGGGTGATGATTGAATGTCTGTGAACCTAAAGTGGCAATTCTTTTTCCACTTTAAATTTAATCCATGCATAACTGATGCAATTTTGATCTCAATTATGTTGTCAAATGAGATTTTAAATTATTTGTTTAAGAGTGGATGAAATGGAAGCTTCGACGAGTTGTTGCTCGATGACGACAAGCATTTGAATAGTAAAATCTTACGACGAAAAAAACATTCAAATCCTTCTATTAAAAATGATATTTTTTTATGTTGTCCAACTGTCATCTAAATTTTCAGTTGTTGGTATTGTCAAAAGTCGACTTATTGCCTTAGAGAATCAACAAAAAATAAAATAATATTTCCGAGGAAGGAGCAGCTGGCAGTGAAACAACATTCGAAGCGAACCAACTAATAAAAGAAAATAAAATTTTCCTACCTTTTCTCTTTAATGGTGCGTACCTTTATGCTTCGAAGCAGCATATGAACGAAATTATATTTCTTTTATGTTCTTCGACCATGTCTTTATTTATGTTTCTATGGAAATTTTCGGCTTTAGTTTGTGCAAAAATTATTCCAAGCGAAAATTTGCTGCTGCTGATTTCATTTTTTTTTATTTTTCGTAGAATATTTAAGTAGGACTTGAAAAAGCATTAATATAAATACAAACATAGATCAAATGATGTTGATTAAAATGAAATGAAAGAAATGAGATTAAGTTTTGGACAGGAAATTGGGTGGACAATGATGAACTGAGACTCATAAATTGTGTCTTGTGAATTCAGATGCAACCAGCTCACCTAATGCTCTAGAAAAAAGTAACCGAAGCTGATCAACTTCTTTTTCTTCCCCTTCTATAGACCGACGCAAACATTTCCCATCGGTTACCCAAGCCGAAACCGGTTTCAAATTTTGCTCATTTACTCTTTGCGTCTGCTGCTTGGCTTTTTGGCTGAAAGAATGTACTTTTGTGTGTTTGTTGTCGGTCGCTGTATCACCTTTTTGTTGAAATTGGCAAAAGCAATGAATTGACTGAATAAATGATGGAAAACCTTTTTCTTTGATTTACACATGAATCTGATAAGTTTGAATACACAATTTGGGTTGGAAGTTTCACTTCCTTAATCACATAAAATCAAGTTTTTAATGTTGATTCAATCGTAAACTGATCACCTTTTCTGGGATATTAAAATAAATGTGTAGATATTAAAATGGGAAGCAAAAATTTAACATCATTTGATGTTCGTCTCATTCACCTTTAATAAAGGTGAAAATTTCTCCAACTGGTTGACTACAAAAATTGCACATTTCATGCTCGAATAAATGAATGAAATTATTTTACCAAATATTACGTTGCACAATTCATCATCGTAAGTCATAATCATGCGATTTTTAGCTTTCAATTCATGTCAAAAAAACTACATCTGCTCCATGAAAAATTCCTTTTGTTTCGGAAACTTTTACCAAGAAAGGAGTTTCATACGATTGTGTCATGATCAGATGATTTGTTCTTCCTGCTTGCCTGCTTGCCATTGAATTTTATAATTTCAATGCCATTAAAATTGAAATTTGTTTTTAATTTCTTCATACAAGAGAAATTTCGCCAATTTCCATCTGCTGATGCTAATAAATGTTGAATGTTGACGAAGATTAAGCGGTCAGTTAATTTTTTTAGTTTTATATCATCAGATGTAACCGACGAAGAAATTATTTAACAAGAAAAGAGAAAAATGTATAACGAAATGATACCAACAATTTAAATTCAGAAAACCTTCAAACATCTGCTAAAAATATGAAACGGAAAACAATTCGCAATGTCGTAAAATTCAAGCATTAAACGAATAGTTATCAAGATCAAGAATTTTAGCATAAAAATGTTTTCGAAGAAATATGATTTTATCATCAAAGCAAACCTCACATTTCATAATCATTGGAGTTGGCAAATTAATGTTGTTTTCTGTTTTCACCTGCAAAGATTTTTCATCGTTATCGTTAATTGATATTTTTGACATTCTTTGTGTTAATGCTAAAATTTCTTACATCGCGATTACCAATAAATAAGAGAAAAACTCTTGAATATGAAAGAAAAAAACTAATGCTTTAAACTGCAGCATTGAACATCATAAAAACGTGCTCACGAAGATGCTAAAATATCCCAAAAATGAAAATAATTAAAAACCAGGTAAGAAAAAAGGTTCTTCTATTGACAGAGAAAAGATTATGTAGCAGTAGAATACACAAGAAATAAGCATTAAGCAACATATGAATTGTGCCTTGTTCCCCTGACGAAATATTGAACACTCGCAAAAAATAAGAACACAAAAGCGAGAACAGATTACGAAAGAGAATAAGCAAGAAAAAAGGGGAAACCATTTATTATGAAAATAAATTTTCAAGTCAGTCAATGTCGGTCTGTACAGTTGAACATGTTGCGACTCATAAAATTTTATGGAACAAATTAATTTTGTTACCAAAATAAGATTTAATTTAATTTAATTTTATGAAATGAAAATTTTCAACTTTTCCGACTTGTTATTTCCTGCAACTCAATACAAACACACGATATGTTTTATAAGAAAAAGAATAAACGCTTTTGGTGTTGTTACATTCAATTCTTCTCACAGGTCATCCGTCTCTCCCCACTTCTCTCAGCGTAGAGTCGCATTTTGTTGTTGTAGCCTCTTTTTCCAACTGATCATTTTATTTTACAGAAAAAAGAGTTTTTTAGTTACATTCATTCAATCACTCGAAAAGCGTGGTTGTGATCGGTTGGTAAATAACCGTTGTCGTGTCGCTCTCGATCAGAGCGTCAAAGAAGAACATCGAATGTTCCTTTCTTTCATTAGTTGTGCTTCGTGGAAAAATATGAGATTGTTACCGTGATGTGATAAGGAAATATATAAAAATCGACATTTTAGTGAAATTATGAAGTGACAACGTAGAAAAAAATAAAAGAAATATGAACAAACGCATGTGATTCAGAGATATTTTTCGCTCTCAACGACGTCGTCATCAGCGGCGCTTTAGTTGATAAACTTTTGTGCAAAACGTGAACAAGAAGAGAGAAAAGTAACTTTGCGATGTCGTAGAATGAATTAAATTGAATTATCCAAGCATACATAAGGAGATGAAAAATGAATTGATCCCCGAGCGCTGAATAATGTGAAGTTGTTGTGAGTTTAGGTTTCTTACGAAATTGCGCCAATTTATGCATTTTAAACTGACCAAGCGGCTGAGACGAAAATAAATCGAAGTCATGAAGCTTTGGATTTCCCAATGAAACTCTGTTTTATTTTTTTTTCATGGTGAGTATTAAGTTGAAAGTGATACAAGTGATGATTTTCTACATAAAAAAAATAAATGATATAACAAAGATCGAGGCGTGTGCTTAAGATTTCTTTTAATAATTATAATTGGTAAAAGAAATTGCGTGAAAATAGAACAATTTAGATAATTTTGAAATGAAATGAGGTTGAAAGAAGAGAATCATGGAAAAGTTAGAATTTTTTTTATTTCATACTGATGAATGCTTTTTGATGGACGTGTTGGAAAAACATAAAAAATTAGCATAAAATTGCCTTCTTGTGGTTTTATTTTATATTTTTTTCGGTTCTTCATTCTTCATAAAAGAATTTCTGACGGCAGATCTGAAAAATGATTCTCAGAAACTTCATTTGGAGAAAATTATATGGCACGTTATATTCTAATTTCCATTAAAAATTCCGGCAAAAATAGGGGAAAAGATGAAAATAATGGTTCAGAGATTATCAAACTTTTTTCGTAATGAGATGAAAAGTTTGAGAATCATTTGTTGATATTCGTGTCTTTTTTGCATTCCTCTGAGATTCTAATAAAATCGTGTCTCTTGAGCTCATAATATTAATGATATATCAAGATATTACATAAATGAAAATCGTCTTTGGTTCGTGGTTTAAATATTTTTTGTTCTCATCTTAATTCTAACGTTTTCATGGGCTCGATATCGTGCTTGCTTATTTATTTACTTTTTTTTCGTGAATGCCATTTAATAAATGAAATGAACCGTTAAACATTTCGAAGCTTCTTATTTTCGTTTGTCTTCTTATTGTGTTTATTTTGTGCCTCGCTTTGATATGAAACAGTTTTGTTGCTGAGTCTTGATTTACGGCTCCGTTGTCGCATCTTGAATTTAGTAATGCTTTTGTGATTAAAATTTACATTAATAGCGCTAAATTCTTCTATTCGACAACAAACATCGGAAACGGCTTTTTTAATACTCTACTTGGCCACGTAGAATTGTTCTGGTGACTAATTTCTTGTGATTCACATTCTAAAATAAAACAAAAAAAAAGTAAACGCAAATGCTCTGTTTCGACATGTTCACCGAATGCTCTCAAAGTTTGAAGAAAAATACGGAAAGAAGCCAAACGACGACATATGCTTCGAAAACATATAAAATTTAATAAGAAAAAATAATAATTACGAATGATGATAACAAATCGTTATATTGAGAAAGAAAATACAAAAAAAAGGCTCCAGGAAGAGACGTGAAATTAAAGCTTAAGACGACATCGGTTGCCATCTGCTACTTGCTGCCTTTTATGTTAGTCTCATGCATCATGCACAACAAGTTAAAGTTTAAATGGAAAATAATGTGAAGGATCTTAATTATGTACCAATTTGAATTGCCTTTTGATGTCTTGAAAGTTAAAACATTTGACTTGATAGCAGCGTTTAAGAATGTTTGAATTTTCAAGCTCAACAAGTTTATCCTTGAATGTTTTTCATTCAATTCTTAATTTTAAATTCTGATCTTTTATTGACCAATCGTGTAAAATATACATTTAAATGTTCGTATTAATGTTTGAGTAACACATGTTGACAGGAAGCTAACTCAATTTTATATTCGAATCAGTTGAAATCCAAGTGTAAGCGTGATGATTGCAATGAATTATTGAAGCTTAAAAACATACACAAAATGCTACCTAGCAAGAAGTTAAATAAATAACAAAAAATCAACGAATTCAAAAAGCCTGGTGACTGACAAAGCGAGACACATAAAAAACGTTTTTTTTTCTCCAATTCCCCCCATTCAAGTTTACATGAGGAAAACAGTGAAACGACACACCAGAAGATTGAATAAAATTGATTACGTAATGAAGTCGCGTTAAAGTCTTTCTTTATATACTTTTCTTCTTCCACGAATTTCGCTTTATATTTGCGCGAGATTTTTGCGTCATAATATTTTGTCCGGTTACGTCTTTAACTTTCTGATCGGATGTGAGTTTCATGCAAATCTACTCCAAAGCAGGAAAGAATGCGAAACAGTAGGATAAGAAGTTTCGATAGCGAAAACAATAAACCTGTTGATTTGGAGAGATGTCGTTGGACCACAGTGTCGCACGAGGACGGTCATTCAGCTACCTAGCACAAGCTTTTCAGGTTTTATTGTTTTGCTGCCAATTTTGGAAGTTAATTAAAAACTGTTTTTGTTCAACTGTGTCCGTCTCGAGTAAGAATTTTCTTTTCTTATTTTTATTTTCGGCAAGTCGCGAGATTTTAAGATTATGACGATGCATCTTCGGCTTTTTATCATTTCATTGAAACAGCAGAAGAAAACCACGAACAAAGACGACTCGCGAAAGGAGATAAAGATTGAAACTTAAGATTTATTTGATGTTGCGAAGCATAAAGAAAAATGGTTTACGAAATGAGGCCGCGAATGTTGAACAATGATGATAAAATTCGTGGAAAAATATCGATTGGAGTATGGAAGAGAAATTAGAAGAGCGTCGCGTTTTATGGCCGCAAGGCCCACCGAAAATCGAATACCACACAATAAAAATGGCAGCAAAAAAAATTGGCAAGCAAATTGCAAGCATCTTGCTTAAGGCGATTTACAAAACTTTACCGCGCAGGTATCTATTTAGAAAAATAAAAATTTGAAGAGCCATTTTTGAGAAATGAAGCTGATTAAAGTGTTCACGATAATTTTCCTTCTTGCACGTTACGGTATTTCTTCAGACACGATGATGAAACAAAACCCTGGAGGAACAACTTGCCCCCTTAAGTAAAGAAATGACCAAAATCAAATGTTGCGTGTTTCTTTGTAATTTATTCATTTTAACAGAGCAACATGACTTTATTCTTTAAAGAATTTAATTAGAATTTATGCTGATCTTTGCTGACGATTGGATGTCCAAGAATATCCGGAAAAATAGCAGAGCATGAAAAATATTTCAAAGTGGAATAATTTTAATTCTTTTCTTTCTTTATTCACGTTACTTCCATTTTTCATACCTCTAATCAAAAGTCTTAATTTAATAAAAAGTTTTTCAGTGAAAACTTCCGCTAAAATGTTCCATCGTAATTGCTAGCAATGAGATTGTCAAGTCGGTTTTTGATTGGGAAAGTGTAACAGCTGTTTGTATTTATCAATCGATTCAATTGTACCTCAAGGTGTGCTTCTAAACGAGCTCAATCGCTTATCTAAGAGTTGACATTTTTTTCTACTAATTTTAATGTGGTAATAAAAAGGAGTTGCATGTGTTAGCTAACGATAAATTTATGTGTGAAATATTCATCAACGATTGAAATTTAAATTTAGAGAATTATTCAAAAATATTTTTCTTAATTTATCATCAGAACTGAAAAATCATTTCGTTCTATTCTTTCTTCCTTTCATGTCTACATCACCAATAAGTACACACAAACTGTTCTTTCGTAAAATAACTGTACAACATTAACCGAAACCAAACAAACAAATTAAAAGAACTTTTCTGATTCTCTTCTCGCGACGACACACCGAACCGATTCTTCATATGAAACGTAGAGATGAAAATTAACATTTCGTTTGTCGTTTTTCTCTCTTTCTCACAGATCCAACATCGCAACATCTTACCATGACACATCGACTTAACGCGATTTTTCTTCTCCTGTCTTCAACTTCACCGATTCCACTTCATCATCTGATGTCGTTTTTTTGCTTTGACGGGGCACAGCTTTTTTTGGACATTTGTTTGCTTGAACGTCTGGAACGAGACGAGGTGAGTCGATGGATGATCAATTTACTTGTTGAACTCGTGTTCTTAAAATAATGTTGCTGTTGTTGTTGTTATTGCTCGCTGCTGTTCAGTTATAATAATTTCAACAACATCAGTCTGCTTATTGAGAAATTAACGTTCCATGTCCAAAATAAAAGGAAGATTTTTCTCTTTTTTTTCGTTTTGGATTTGCACAATGCATCTTATTAGCATAAAGCAGTTTCATCTGAGTATAAAACGATAATTCATAACTTACATTACCTTAAACGTTCATCGCTATTCTTTTTTGATATTATTTTTTGAGAAAAAGTTATGCAGAATCTTCTGAAAAATAATAAAAACAAGAAACTCGAAACAATTCCGTTAAACTTGACAACGGAATTCCTCGCTGCGATCGCTTTCGAATCGTGTAAAGAAATTCACCGCGGAAACTTAAATTTTGGACACCTTAATTTAATTATGAAGTCTGTTGTAGTTTTCTGCTTTCAAAAAATAATACAAAAAGATGTGAAAAATCAGTTCCATTGAATTATGAGAATTTCGAAAGTAAATATTGATAATTTTTAAATAAAAAATCAATAACTGAGTGATTTAGTTTTGCAAAACTGAAGTCTATAAAGAAAAAAGAAATCAATTTCAACGATTGGCTGCAATCTTCTATCTTGAATAATGTTGAACATAAAACATCGTTGACAGTCGTGCTTAATGTAAATTTCTCATACCTAGTCTAATGTTATAATCAAGTTTCAATCGTCTGGTCGATTTGTTTCCTTATTTATGATACACGACTTACACACGTCACATGTTGTTGATGTGTGACGAGATCAAAAGAATCGTAAAATAGAAGAAAAAAAGAATTTTTACAGACAAAGCATTCGAAATAAAATAAGTCAATAAATCTTGCTTAAACTTATTACAATTATTTTCGATCATCTTGTTCTTCTCCGTGAATTATCTCGGAATAATCTTAAATGAATGGATAGAAAAAGGCAGTTAGAGAGAGAGAAAACGAGCGAAGAAGTAACAACAAAGTCAATTTGAATTCAATTATTTAATTCTATTGAACGGTCGATTTCGATTTGATCGTGCGCGGGACTTTTTCTTCTTCTTTTATTCTCCTTAGTACTTTTGAGGTAATATTTTGATTTTTACCAATCGATTGTAAATGAAGAAGAAAGAAAGAATGAAATGAAGGGCAGAAGCAACAGCAGCAGCAACAGAAAAAAAGTTTCCGTTATTCAAGAACATCGTATAAGAAGCTACGTTGAATTTGAGTTTCAAAGCGTTTGCAAGTTCAAGTTGATGTCATTGGCAGTATTGTCACTGATTTTCAATCGCGCGATTCAACGCTCGTTAATTGCATACACGCTTGGGTTTCTCAAAATAAATAAATAAATAAATAAATAAAAACTCGCATCACGACAATTGCAATGACGTGCTTTTAACAGTCAAAGCGATTGAATGAAAAATGTTTTTAAAAAACAAAGATTCACTGGTGAGACGATGAATTGTTCACAATTAAGCTTGATATCCGTTCTTTAGTCGCCGATTTTTTTTTGTGGACTACGTTGTTGATCGGACGTTATCTTCAAATTACCACGAAAATGAAATCCACACGCCATAATGTGCCTTCCGCCATTTATCACAATTTTTTGCTCGCTTGCTGACCAAAACGCGAGTGTATTAAATTTTAAATGAAACTTAATTTTTATTGCATCAATGGCTCTTGAAACGATTCTTCGATTCTTTAAACAACAAAACAGAAACCCTCGAAATAAAAGAGTTGTATTCGTCTTGGCATCCAACATCGTAAGTAGTAAATGAATGTCATTAAAATCCACCACAAAATATTTATTAATGTTCGAAATTTTACTCGAGACTCTGTTTTTAAACAAAAAATGATGTTTTTCAATTTTCGCGGATGGTTAAAAAGATTTTAACGAAGGAGTTAACAGAGATGACCGCTGGCAACGATATATTCAGTGATCTTAATAACACATTCAGTACGTAGCTGGCTATCATGCTGGTCACAGTTAATGTGGAGTATTACAGACCATAATGAGAATTGTTAAATTATCATCAGCGTCTTGCGGAACTAGATATCGACGTCTTTAATTGGCTGTCGATAAATAACTCTTTTTGGTTTTATACTTTAAGTAAACCTTTATCCCCAGCTTACTTCGAACGCAATTACATATTCCGATTGTCCGTTCGACGCTATTTGATCAAGCTACAACAATAAATCATACTTCTTTACTTGGCTACTTTCTGATCTCAGATCTCATTCAAAACTGTAAGAAACAATTCTTCCTTCCATTTCAAAACAAAATAAGAACGAAAAAAATAAAAAAATACCAAAATAGAAACGAACACAAATCTCACGATGAAAACGAAGTAAATGATGAAGAAGAAGAGAATTTAACTAGCAAGATTATGATTGAAGATTACATTAATTTGATAAGAATGTATTGAATACGCGAAGGAAAGAAAAGATGATGAACTGAAATTCTTTTTAATACTACCAATGGATAGAGTTGGCTTGTGAGTCATTCATGACAGCAAGACGTGAGAATAATTATTCATGATGATAGTTCCGGAAGCTTTAAATCTAATCTTGCGTGGGACTTAATTATCTAAGTATTTAAATTCTGCCAAAATCAAAATTCTCACATTTTTAATTTATTATTGCAAAGAAAGCCAATTATCTAGGTAATCATTCGAGCTTTTCCCGGAACTTGCTTTGAAATATCTTCAACATTTCAGGTTTATCTCCTTGTGCAGTCTTTGGTCGATTACATTTATTAGATGGAATGAATTTGCTACCAGTCATAGATGTTGCTGGTCGATTAACTGTTGATTTTTCACAAGATAGCAAAGTCTGTAAGTTACGCGCTAATTTGTGAGAAGAGGATTAATGGAAGCGATATGATTAATTACTTTTGATTCGCGGACTTTACAGCCACTTGTTGATCGTTTTAAAGCTACTCCACTCATTTGATGAAGATGCTTCTCAATGTTGAATATGCCGCCTAGTTGGCCATAAGGTGTGCTTGATATTTCATTAACAACAGAATCACATGTGCGATTAAAATACTTGGCGTACTTGTGCAACACTTTTGTCTGCCAACTTTTGTCGATTGAAGGGTATTCCTCGATAAACGCTCCGAGAATCCACGGATGCTTTCGGACCTTTTCAATGGAAAGACGGAGATCGCGATTTGGATTCAACATCTTCGAGACTAAATCTTTAAACACTGAAAGAAACATAAAATTAACAACAGCTTAATTTGAGGCTGAATTTATAAATGACGAGATTCGTTTTATGCTTTTATGTGATTATAGCAACTTCAAATGTAACGTCATTCAAGTATCTCGACATATTCTTATCATTAAAATTCAATCAACAACATACGAAAAGATGCTGAGCCCATGAAAATTTGATGCTTCATTGTTTTTACGCCACGTTTTATTTCATCCAAATACAACTCACGACGACGATGAGCGCTAACGGGTTTCTTCGTTCCAATCTCAAACGGCAACCGACCCACAACCATTGCGAACAGAACAACGCCTCTAAAATCAGATTAAAAGTTTTCTTTTTTGCTTTTTCATTTCCAGTAAACAAAGAGAAATTAAAAAAATAAGTAAATTGTGTCTCGCTTACAGAGCCCAGATATCGACCTCGAAGCCGTATGGCAAAGCAGAGTGCAATTCAGGCGCAGCATATTCGGGGCTTCCACAATTCGTTAATAGCATTGATGTTTTCGAGAAACTGTTGCTTAAACCAAAATCAGTTAATTTAACTCTTCTACTTTCGACATTTACAAGAATATTTTCTAATTTAATGTCTCGATGAACAACACGATTCTCGTGCATGTGATTAACAGCTGAAGCGAGCTGACGTGCTATTGAACGAGCAGTGATTTCATCGAGTCGTCCACGTTTCTGATTTCTCACATAATCACAAAGATTTTCACCGCCATATTCAATTGCAATACAATAATGATTTCGAGTCTCCATCACTTCAAACAATGTTACAATTGCTGGATGATTAAGTCGAGACAACATGAGAGCTTCTCGCTTGAAATTCTTCTTCATGTAGCTGTCCTTCATGTCTGTGATGTTCATAGTTTTCAATGCAACAAATATTTTATGCTGACGATGTTTTGCTTCGTAAACTTTTGCGAAACTTCCTCTACCCAAACAACGACCGGTGAGATCGTAATTACCGATTCTACTCAAATGATATCGTTGACCATTCGATGACATTTCAATGAAAGCGAAACAAAATACCACAAGAAAGAAGAGATTCGCGTAAAAAAAAGTTATAAAGTTTAGAAAACTTATTGACAATTCCAACCACTTTAAAGTTGAAACTTGTCACAAAGCTTGCTGCTTGTTTTTAACACCATAAAAGAGAAAATTCAATTCAATTTCATAAGAGAAGCCATTAAAGTTTCCTTTAATTCCTTTAAAGTAAGTAACAAAACAACTGTTAGAAGTCACGAATATTCTCTCCAAAAAATAAGAAATAAATTCAATCGAAAGAATTTCCATGGAATTCTTTATTCATCAACTTAAAAACAGCTTAAAGTGTTCGAACATTTTATTACCTGTTGTTAACTGGTTAATTGAATCGAACTTATGTAGTCTTTTTTCCAAATACGATGTCGTAATTCTTCGTTTTCAATTTGATTTCCTCATCGTCTTCTCTATCGATTCGCCATCACGTCATGTCCAACAACATATAACATTCATAAAAAGAAACAATAATATTTTATTGATCAATATAGAATACAATTGTCTTATAAATATGTAAGTAAAACTCTTTAAGACTCGATTGAGAATAGGTGAGAGAGAATGGAAGGAATGTTTACGACGTGTAACAAGTACATTCTTCTATTTTTGGCCACTCTGGCAATGAAACTGTAAACGTCCGGCGCAAAAACAACAAAAATAAGCAAAATAAGTAACATTTTAAGCGCTTATGATTACCCCGAACTAACCGTTTGATCGTGGGCGCAAAGCTTATTTTTCTTGAGCCGTCTCGGAGCTTTCATGATACACAATGAGATGACATGGTTCATTTGGGCTCAAGCGAGAATTGATGATGCCGTTAATTGTTGAATTTTGATGATGAATAAGAAGATTTTCGTTGATTGTGAACGGCTTAGAAGAATTTCTTATTGAAAATGTCTTGTCGATGTCTTCTTTTTGTTAATCAAACTCTAATGGAATTTTTTTTCTTTTCCTTTATATGAGGTCTGAGATCTCCCCTATTAAGGGCAATATTACAACATCAACAATATAAAAATGTGATCCAATAATGTTCACAGGAGTGTAAATAAAAATGTTGAGCATTAAACTCACGATTCATGCATTGAATTTCATATCACACATTTTTTTATTCGCTCTTTATGTCTGTCTCTTCATTAAATTAAATCATGTTTATGGTTTCGTGTTACCGAATTTTAAGAAAACTAAAAGAGCACGAATATGAAAAAGATTTTTGTGTTTTCAAAGAGTTTAAGAAATTCTCCCACAAAGTTTATGGGGTGAAGTTTATGGATTGAGTTACCGATTTCCTTTTACGTTTTTAAATGTCTCATCTTTGAAACATTTCTCATTAGAAGAAGCACGATAGATACCTAATTGTTTCCAATTGATTGCAGAAAAAATATCAAAATTAAAGAAAAAAAGACTTCGTCAGTTCCAATTTCATATTTTATTCAGCGAGAATTTCTTTGAATCGCAAATAACAGGTTACCAACTGATATCTCGCTGATGGGTCTTCCTTCTTCTTTTGGATTCTTCTTTTAAGAAATGCTTGAACTCTTTTTTTTTGGGATTTGCTTCGTTTATTTTTGGAAATGATCGACAGCCGAGGATTTATTTTGCGCTGACCAAATCGCGTAGTCTTAACGAGAAGAAGAACTTTCTGATGTATGTACCTAAGAACTTTCGTCTTTCTCATGTTGTTTTTGAAAGAAATCTTTAATAATAGGTTTTTGCTCTGTTGATCCACTTTTCAAGAAGAAGCTATTTAAGCTGATGAATTAGAAACTTTTTTCTAGATCTTTTATTATATTTTTAATTTTTCTTTCTTTAAGAAACATGAATAATGACGAAACCAGTCTGCCAACTTCTTCGTTTTGCTTCCAAAATATTTTTCAAGATTTTTTTCTTTTATTTCGAGCATTTTTCTTTTCTTTCTTTCTTTTCTTTGTGCATCGGTCTTTTGTGGTCGGTTGCAGTTGATGCAAACTTTGGTTAATGATGCAGTTTTCAAGATCATTTCAAATTGCTGTTGATGATGATCACGGCTTTGACATTCGAAGGATTTAGTATACGTTTTGTGGATCATTAAGATGCGTTTAAGATTTCTCTCTGCCTTCGGGTGTTGACTGCATTTAAATTGCTGTTAATTGCGAAGTTTCATGACTTGATGAAATTAATTTGTCGCTCAAATATCTTCCACATGTGTTCTAATGAATTCAATATAAATGTTAAATAATTTGATGACCATTGCATTAATGAAATGTGAAAATTTTCTTTTTATCTTACAGATGTCTTCAACTCATCTCACTTGACAACATTCTGGTGGATATTAACGGTAAGTTCAACCTTAAATTTTTTTTTTTTTGAAATAAATTCTTTATTTGACCTTCACGATTGAAAATTATAAGACAAATAACACATCTCCGGAAGCAACAAACTTATAATTTATCATTTTTACTGACAAAGCGCCGAAAAAACAAAAATAATTCCACAGCATGTGTCTCTGAAAATATTCATGTTGATACTCGTTCTCCATTATGCTTAAGCACATTTTGATTAAATAAAACAACAAGTTCCATTCACGAAAAGCGAGAAACGCAAAATTAGCGATGATGAAATTTCTCAGTCGTGTGACGAGAGTTCTCATTTCTCAGAACAACTCTACGAGTAAAATTGACTTTTTAAAGCAACTAAATGTTGCGAGAATGATTTCTTTTTTGTGTATATAAGTGCTTCTTGCTTATATTCTACAAAATAAATAAACAGTTTTGATAATTTCTTACATGTGAGACGTTACATTCCAAGCAATTCCTCTATGAGTCGTAAAATGGAAACACATTGTGAAGACTTTAAGATTACAAAGTGCGATCAGTGTTGTGTTGAATCAAAAGATATTTACTGAAGTTTGTTATTTTGTGAATTGCAATTACTGAAAGAGATAAAAAGTTGATAAAAGGAAGGAGTGAATTACTATCATTTATTGGTAGGTGGGGATGGGTTTGCAATATTTCTTTGATATTTCATTGCTTTCGTTAATATTGCACTTGTCCCGGCCTATCAATGTATGAAGATTGTCAACGTTGGTGATCCTAGCAACAAATAAATTATTTATGCCAATGTTATGTCTCGCTTCGGTTATTATGCAAAAGATATTAAAAATCTTTTACGAATATAAACAAAAGCCTCGAGCCTGGATTTATGAGTACATTTTATGATGAATGGAAAGGAAAAAGAAAAACATTTTTGCGCATTTCATGAATCTCGATGGAGAATCGAAGATTTGTAGCATCAGGCGAACGAGTCGTGAGTTGAAGTGTCGTACACATTAATCATCATTTTACGTTAATTAATGCACATTCAACGTCGTTTCAAATTAAATAAACTTCAATTCGAACTCTTTTTTTTACATTTATTTGTTTATTTATCTCTTCTCGGCAAGATACGATGAAGTTTCATTTGCATTTGTGACTCTGATACCTCTGATGACTTTCTTCACCTCATCCTACGCTATTTAACAAGACTCAGTTGCGAGTTCACTTTACACAATGTTTTCTTGATGATGCTACAAATTTTTCGTGCCTTCATCGTGTTGCATTGTCGTCTTACAAAAAGAATTTCATTAAACATCGAAACTTCGTTCTCTGGTACCGTTAAGAAGTTTCGTTCACTCGCGAAAAGCTTTCTTTATGGATCATCGAATGATTTTGATTGCACGGCAAAAAGTGCAACTAAAGAAGGTCAAACCGCGCAATTATTTTAATCCCCACTCATCTCCCAACCTACAGTCTTCTAAGCTGCTAGAAATTGAAATGTTCTCATCTCAAGTCATGGCAAAATAGTCTTTATTTATTCCATTAAAATAATTCCATTTCGATTCACCATGAAACTTGATATCTTTCATCGAACAGTCGAGGCCTTTAATTAGATAACGTGGCTGAAATGATTCTCCATTGAACAACAAAAGCAATTCAATGTTCAGAATATCTTTTTCCTCTTGACAGTAGGCGAGTAATTCACAATTCAATGCAATTCTTATCGTTTCATTGCTTTTAAGGCAAATCTTTCTAACCCAAATAACTTTGTAAGAATCAAATAAATTTTTGAAATATTTTATTAATCAAGTCAATAAAGATGAGGCTTAGTTATTAATTGCATTAATATTGGAGCAGAGATAAGCTTAGCTATCTAAAACACAAAACCTTAATTATGACTACATTTTAAAGGTTTAAATAAAGTTCTTAGCTTACGGACTTTTAAAATAGTAAAAAGGTAAAAAACATAAAATTTTCTTTTATGATTACTTAATAATCGGTCGAACGATGGTATGCAATCAAAAAAGGCGCGGAAAGTGCAATACTGAATATAAACCATAAATTCAAGAATTTTTTACCGTAGAAATCATTTACGTTGACTAAAATTATCTCGTATTGATGGTGATGATGATTGCGCAATATTTCTTAACACATCTCAACTTGACATTGATTCTTGCTAACGGGGTTAACATCATCGATTTGTTCGACGAGCAAGTTCGACTTTCGCTTGTCATAATTATCATAAACTTGAATTTAGAACGATGTTCTTTAATTGACTAACGATGAGCAAATAATTAAGCGTCACTGCTGGGGCTCACTCATGTAAAAGCCTTGTGGGCACAACAGACATAACTATGCAAGAATTGTTGAAAGTTTTGACGTGTCTTTAAGCATCAGAAAGCAGTAAAATTTACATCTAATCAAATAACATCACAGCCACGCACATCGACGATCGTTAAATTTTCGAAGAACATCTGCAAATGATTCTAGATATAAATTATCTTAGTAAGGAGGTTGATGGTGATGCTTATAACTAAACGATCGTCTAAAGTATTCTTTAACATCACAAAAAGCTTTGACATGGGATGGGGTGTGCTTTAATGTTCTATTAAAAGAAGAATTTTTCTCATTTTATTTTACAGCATCTTAAGTTAGCGCCCGTCAATTTAGCGTTAAGATAATTTGTTGCGACTTTTGTTCATTCATCGTAGTTAAATATTTCTGCATGTTTTTCTGTGAATCGTTACGTGACACTGAAGGAAGTAAATTTCAATTACTCGACATGGTCGCAGCGAGACCTTTCGATGCGACGTTAAGAGGATTCCAATCAATAAACTAGGATTTATGAAGCAGAAAAAAAGTAATTGCACCGATGAGATGAAATGCAAATTCTGTTGCTTCTTTTTCTCATGTTTACGATTCTACAAAACGAAATTGCGAAGCTTTAATTCTTTCACAATTGTTTTGTGTTGAACTATAACTCAATATGCTTGTCGTGGCGATCTTCTACGGAACTTAATTTAACATTGTTCTTCATTCCGCAGGAAAAGATTGTTTACTAACTTTTCATGTTTCGCGTTTCAAATTGCCTTTGTGTGTTTGTGTTTAGAATTGAAATTGATTTTGTTAAACTCGAACAAAACTCAATTTTTGGATTTAAGCAAAAATTTATTTTTTAATTTGAATAGCTAAGAATCTTCAGAGGTTTTCACAATAAATAATCAAAAGCAACAGCGATAATTCAACTTATAACAAATTGATTTGAACTTCAACTTACAATTTCTCAACTCACACTCGCTCGCTCATCAAAATGTGCGATAAATTTCAACTTAGAATAAATGGTAGAGAACCTATTCGCCTTTTGTTTATTTGCCGCAATGTTTAACTGTAAAAAATGAATTTCTTTTGAAATAGAATAGTGAAGAATGAACGCTTTTCTTTAACGCTGTTGACGACCGAGAAGAATTATGACACGACAAGATCGTTCGGTAAAGGGGATTGTGGCCTTCGCGGAATTATGATTAATAATTGTTGTGCATTCGCGAGCTGCTGATTTGTAAAGAAAACTTACCACAATAGCATCGTCGGATTGTTTGTCTCGATTGCAATTTCTTCACGGCTTTTTAACAAATCTTCATGTCATTTCACGCGTATTGTACAGCAATTGTAATAAGATAGAGAGAGGGAGGTTAATCGTCTCATCGGAATATAATGAAAGCACTTGAACGATGACGGTGGATATATGATTGAAACTGCTTAAGGCACAAAACTTAAACTTTGCTCGTAGGATTTAAATGCGGGATGAGAGTCTGCTTCTTTATGCTTTCATTTTTCTTTCTTTTTTTATTTTTTCGCCTACTGAATGATTTTTAATTAACGATTCAGGCGAATGATTAATTGAAAATTTTGCGCTTTTTAAAACCATTCGACACGATATTTTCTGGAAGGATATTGGGATTTTGTGTCTTTAATTAAAATTGTGAACTAGCATTTAATAAGATTTCATTTGTCTCTTTAATTCCAGATAACATCGAATTAAAATTGCCAAAGGATGAACGTGAGCTGAGTTAACAAATAAACTGCAAAAACTAAACGCCATAGCGCATTCCGGTGAGTTTTTTTTTCGAACTTATTTATGCAAAAGAAATCGTTATCGTTGATCATGTGCATTGATCGTAAGTTGTTGATTCAGACATTTTAAACGATGAAGTAATTCGTGATTATAATGAATTCTCATTAGAGCCTGTGGAGCAATTTTAAGTGTTTCTTTTAATTGAAATAAATGTTAAAAACTATAAACTATCATCTGATAACAATTTTAAAGAATCCTCGAGAAGAAACTTTTGATAAGCAATAAAACATCTTGAATTGGAAAATCACGAAATGCTTTTAAAAGTTTTGTTTTTGGTATTTTTGCCATCACCATAAATTCAAAATCTTTTTACAAGATGAATGAAAGGATTTCCAGCTGCCGATTGCAAGCATTCAAGCCGAAAATATAAAGGCGATGAAATTCGATCCAGCATGAATTTATATTTTATGGGTTAATAATAAAAGCGTCGCAGTTCGTTGGTAGTTCAAATCAATGGACATTAAATGATGTTTTCGATGAACGATGAAAACTGTTGCTTCAGGATTCGATTCGCGTTTTCTTACTTAAATATTAAACAGGAAGTTGACTATCATCTTTCGTTTGCTTGCGACAAAAACCAAATTCTTACAGACACAAAATCACCGGAAAATTTCGAAGCGTAAAGAAAGCAAAAAAAAATTCATTTTTATCATTAACGTCGCGATGTTCTTCGAAAAGAAGATTTTCGGAATGTTCATTGATCTTAACGGTGAAATTTGCCGTAAAAGTGCAGGCAGAGTGGCCCATAAAAACGCAAAATGACTTTGTCGATCGTGTGCTACGACTCGAAAGCATTAAAGGATTGATTAATATTATGACCGTCATAATGCAGACGATTTTATTTCAAAAGAACTCGACGCTTATATGATCACAAAAAATCTGAAGAAAAGGTTTGCTTCTGATTGGAATTTTGTCGAAATTGTATCAATGTTCAGAGCGATTTTATTTTTTTTTTGTTTCTTGCTTCTTTTGTCGTTCGCTGCCATTACTTTTCGGTGTCTTCTCTTTTAAGAAATAAACTCGCCATGACGAGAATATCAAATGACCCAACAATTAAATCCATCATCCAATTTTTTGTTTTGTTTTTTTTTCTGGGCTGCTGTTCTTGATGATGTGTTGGAAGAATTGCTTTAATAATTTTGTTGGGTTTCTCACTGTTGGCCTTGAGAATCGATGAGTTGATATTGAGACAGAGGATTTCATGGGAAATTTCTGCAGCATTACAGTCTCGAATTAAAGTTTATGATGTTTGTTTCACTTGAAAACGAGTTTTCTGCATGGAACAGTCTCGTGTCTTGATAGCGGAAGAAACATATAGACGATGATCATTAATCGATGTTGATATTGGAAACAGAACGATTAATAAATCATAGCTAATGGCGATTTCGATGAGATCGTTAAAGCCACAAGGGATAAGATTTCGATAAGAGAATTTTATGCTTTATATGGAACGAAGGCAGATCTTTTTTGCCAGTTCCATTTGTCGAAACTTTTTTCTTTCTTTCTTTTTCGTCTTAAAGTCAAATGAAGAGAATTTATTTCATCAAAACTTTTATGAATGCAAAGAGTGAATTAATGGATTTTACAATATTTTTCATGCTTAATAAATGTCAACATTACTTAGTTCAATAACATTCATGTATTTCAATATCTGAATGTTTATAGTGTACTCATAACATATCTATCTAGGCGCAGTCTTCCTTTTACAAAGTAAAAATGCAATTTCTTTCTGTTTTTTTTTACGAAGTATTAGATAATTGTTATTTGTATGCACATAAATTGTAGTAAAAAAGAATAAGAAGCCGTGAAATGGTCGCGACATAAATGAAGAGTTATCATGTGATGTTAATATATGGAAGAATATAATTAAAGTCAATGGGTAATTATTGTATACACAAAGAAGAAAAATAAAGAATGAACTAAGATGACTTGTGTTTAAAAAAAATTAAACTTTAATTGCCAACGAACGCCAAACCGAGCGCAATTTATTCAAATGACTTTGTCTGAATGCAGATTATAAATTGACCGCAAAGAATTCTTCTGCTTTTTTATAAGTTCGCAACTAGAAAACAATCAGCCGTTGTGCTGTTATTGTTTTGTGTCTGTATGGGCGAATGCGGAAATAATTTCATTATAATGATGACGAAAATAAAAAACGATTCCGTTAAGTGAGAATTTCACGGAGAAGGTTACTTGGTGCTTAAGAACCTTACAAATGTTCCAAGTTATGAAACAAAAACAAACGAATGAGAAAATTTGAAGATGAGAAACAGAAGGATTGAAATTTCAGTCATAACTTTTTTATCTTTACCATTATTGCATATTTTTCCATTAAGAATTTTAACGAATATCTCACGTTACATCGTCAACGTCCCGATATTTAATGCACATCAGTGTTGATGAGTGTCAAATTATTTATAAAAGATTTCACGAATCTAATCAATTTTTAATGGTTAGATAATATTATGGCTTCTTTCATCGTTTCTAAACTGTTCCTTATATTATGCTTTATTACCTTCCAGCTTTTGTGAATTTAAAAACCTTAAAGATATATAAATTTAAAACAATAACCATTAAAGGCCATTTGAAGAAATTTAATTGAGAAAAGAAATTTTAATTATTCTTTCTGATCGCAAGTTTTTATTTTCCGCAAAAAGCGTTTTGAGCGGAACGTGAACAAAGGGAAAAATATTAAATATTGACGCGATTAACTGTCTTCTGTGCTCGAATTCAATTAAACATTTAAACAAATATTTTCGACGATTTTTCATAGTCATTTCAACTCATAATCCCTTCCTGCGCACAACGCGTTGTTAATTTTTCTATCGTAATCGTGGAAAAATAGAAAAAGAAAAAGAAAAGAAAAACATTCAAAATTCTTGTAAAAGAAATTATAGATGAGTAATTCCATTATACGGCGCTATGAGCTCATGGAACCAAATTAGATCTATTTTTTTGGGTTTTAATATCTTGATTGATGATAATTTTTATTCATAAATTTTCATTTTGCGTATACGATGCTAAATAATTGCAGCAATTATTCTTGAAACCCTTTCATTTGAATAAAGCATGGGATGAATTTGTTTGTTAAGTCACTTTAAAATTCAAAATCATTTGAGTAAATCTTTGGAATTATTCATCGTGAGCGTGACAAGCAACTTAAAAAAGCCCCACGAAAGCTTTTTTTCCCATTTCAACTTTTTCTTCTCTTCATTCATATATAAAGATAAATATGACAGTTGAGACAATTAACAAGAATTAAAGTTTAAACATTTAAATACTTTTATACCTTACTCGCAATTACTTCAGTTTCAATTAGCATCAGTTTCAGTTGTGACTTCCTTTTGCACAATTATGATAAATAACTCGATGATAAAAGTTAAGTAAATGCAAATTTTCGGTTTCTCTGACTGGTGTTTACTTGTTGTTTCTTTTTCTTTCTCCCGAAAATGATCATAAGCTGGGCCAATGAACCTTGTTGAACGCTGATCGTAACGAGTTGTTATTTTATTTTCTGGGCTCTTAATTCAATTTAATGCATTTTTAGTCTGCTCATTACTTATTCCATCACAATGCCACCTCTCAGCGTTTTGTATTTCATTATTAATTTAACTTACGGTATTTCGGGTGTCATGGTAGATGATGAATTAGAATTCATTTGAAATTGAGTCCAAGTAATATTTAGAAGACGACGACCCACACTTTCTAGCTGCATATGGTTCATGTCGCTCATGTCAATGAATTAATCATGGATATTCTAATTTTATTTTGAGAGGATTTAAATGGAAATAAAAAAGTGGAATAAAAATATTCTTTCAGTAATCGTTGATAAAATGTTTCATCAACTTGAAATACCTAAATAAAAGTAAAGAACTAAAGCTTCTTTTTTTTATAACATTTCAAGAGTGAAATTAAGAAATAAAATTCTTTAAAGTAATAAATTTTGTTCATCTAATTCATTGAAATATTGCTTGCTAAATTGCTTACTTTTAATGGTTTGCAGTTTATGCGAGACTTTATGACGCGCTTAAGAAGCAATTTTAAGATAATCTTTGTTGAAGGAACATTAGAAATTTCTACATGCTCACGATTGAAGTGAATTTGCTGTTTATTCGTGTTTACTGGAGATCACGTAAATGGAAGTTGATTATTGATTATCCTATCTGGGTTGAGTTTATTGACCTTGATAGATTCATAAGCTCATAAAGGTGGGAAAGGTTTAAGTTTAAATGCTTAAGGTTTATGTAGTTTATGTAATGAAATAAGCATTGCTGCATATACATGTAGGTAAGAAAAAGAATAAAAAGATTGTTTGTTTGGTTGCATGCTAATAATATCTAAGAGAAATAATTGAAGAAGATCTTAAGAGAAGACTAATTAAATTTATATATTCCATTCGAACGCGCATCTCCTACAAATATTTTCCTTTTATTACCACGGTAAATCATAAAAATATTAAATAAAAATCAATAATGTTCATAACTTCAATATTAAAATTTACATCATTATTGGGAAATTCAAATCTGGAATTATTATGTGGGACATAATCAGATCGCTGGTTGTGCATAAAATTTAATTATAATAATACTACATTGTACATATATGTATACATATATGTATCTATCGTAAATAAGTATTTGTTGCAAATTGCAATGAAATCAAATTATAGGGTTCAACTACATCGTTGCTACATTGTAGAAAAAAATAGATAATGCTGTTTTTAGCATTAACATTACAGCTACAATTTACCTACATTCTCACGATTGATTTTATGCTACAACATTTTAAAGAAAAATATGGAAGTATCTTATAATAATAAAGTAAGTTTCTGTTTTAAAAAATTTAAAGTAGTGTTGGATGTTATTTAAAGATTTAGCTGAAAACAATCTGTCTCGAACGATGAATTAATCAAGAGATAAAAATATATTGAAACATTTCCAAAATTAAACTGATTTTGTTTTTAAATATGAAGAATTCTTACAGAAAAGTTGCGACAAACTCTTCAAACATTTCATTATGATTAATCTAGACATGAACACAGAGGCAGGCGTAAATTATTTAAACATTTTTCTTCTTTGCTTTCCATATGACTGTATTGGCTTCGAGATTGTTTTATTATCAGATCGTGATTAGAATGGAAAAATAAGAAAACAAAATCTGATCGCATAGATACGTCTCGTTGAGATGAAGAGTTCATCACTTTATCAACGTTTTCAATCTTCTCCTTGTTACGGTTCTGCTGTAGATACCATTATAATTCAAAATCCATTAATTTATTTAAAAATTTCCAGAAACATGAGAAATACTGAAATATAATATTAATTATAATATCGTATCGAAATAAAAAGCAACTTGCAATACAATTGAGAGAAGTAAAATTAACTATCACGACTACAATCATGTTCGTTGGATAAAGAATGAAAAATACATGAAAACTTCTTTCTTTTTAATTTAAACAAGCCCAGTTTTGTTGTTGTTTGTTGAGTTGAACTCTACAAACAGGCGGGAAGGGAGAAACGAGAGAACTTAGTTTGAGAAAAACGGTCAGGCCGAGCTGAAAACAATAAAATTCACAAAAACAATATAAAAGAAAAGTTTTAAAATTATTTTTATATTTTTCAATGCTCTAATATGATATCTACATCGGCTTCGGCTCTTTGCAATCGTCAATAACAAACACATGCGCACAGCAGGCTTCCCAAAAACCATCGACAAAAATTTGTTTTTCATTTGAAAATTAAATTTGTAAAGCATATCAGTATTGGTAGTATTTAGATTTTCAGTTCATATTTTTTCTTCCTTTACTGCTTACGAAACGAACACATCAAATTTAATAATTTAAATAAAAGAAACGTAGTTTAACATATATCTTGTATGTTTAGAGAGTGGAAGTAAGGAATGAAAGAAAGAGAGAAAGAAAATATAAGAACTAGATGTAAATTTAGAAGTATTTTTTTTATTCATCACATTTCCCCTTTATAAACATGACAACAAAAGATTTGTTCAAACAAAACCAGACCCGGTGCTCATACGATATGAAAATATTTACATCTGCTATGCTTTTCTATAAGAAGTAGTGAGACTTAAAACAATTTTTTTTTCCTTTCTTAACTTCAACATTCAATAATTTAATGGTAAAAGAAAATAAATATATTCATATATTTTTGGGTTGGCAACATTAATAATAATAAGCAGAAGAACGAAGGAGAATGAAAGAGAAACCATAAAAAAAATACTCAAAGTCGCTCACTAACACTTCAACATCACCGGACGGAGAGCTATAAAATAAAAGTTAAATATAAAAATAAATAAAAAAAACATTAACATTCGTACGTTTTCATGAGACTCTCGGCTCCGGGAGCGGAGATTTTGTGTTAGTGTCGAGTGAGTGAGAGAGAACGAAAAATTATTGAAAAATATACGAAGTCAATTTTAAGACATTTTGTACAGAATATTAAAAAACTTTGTATGAAATAGTCGTGTTTTTAAGTTTAACGTCGAAGTGAGATAATAAAACGAACTAGAGCAGCACTGCGTGGCGTTCTTTTGGGTGGATAGAGACTCGAATAAAGATTAATTGATCATTGAGAGGGTTTTTTTGTATTCCCATGCTTAAGACTGCTGCTTCTCATGTTTTGTGACGTATTTTTTGTAAAGCAGACATTGCTGTGAGCGTGAATATTATTGAACTCAAAGTATTCGTTAGTAATTAAAGAGAAAAGAAAAAAAAATTAAAGAAGCAAGAAAGAAATTGTTTGTTAAAGTGAAGGAAAACAGCTACAAAGTGGATAACATAATTTTAAGTTTTATGAACGAAATTCAACAACAGCAACAATATTACAATATGGTCAACACAAGTAAAATGGGTGACTTGGATGTCAATTTGATTACGTTGTATGCTCGAACACCGGCCCTGTATGACAAACGTAATCCCTTCTATAAAGATAAACAGTATTCGGAACGAGCATGGAACGACATTTCAATGAAGTTGGGATACAAAGGTAATCGCTATCAGCACGATGATGTCGCTGACTTAGATACTGAAAGTCTTGATCCTTTTTCAGTTGAAATTCTTAAAGATCGCATGCTTCAACTTCGAAACCGATATAATCTTGAGAAGAGAAAAATTGAATCGATGCGATCAGCAACATGTCCAAATCCAAAATCAACGTGGGCACTGTACAAGTATTTACTCTTTTTCGACGGGCACATCAAACAACGACGATCCTACAAGATGCTCAAGAAGATACAAGACGCTGAGGCTGAGAAATCTCGTAGTAGCGATAATCGACATGAGAACTCTATGGCGAGCTCATCTAATAACGAATCATTCTCTGGTGATTTTGCCTTGATGTCTAATTTCATGCGCGATCGCAATAATTCCATGAATGAGATTAAGAATGAAGAAGATTCCGACCTTGACATGGTCGAAGCCATTCCAATACTCAACGACAATTCATCTGATTCTCAAATGTAAGACAAAACAATTTTCTTTTACTTAAACTTGTAGCTCTGTCTCAACCGGATGTCGTCACTTAACGCTGATGATTTGAATTAAATTACTTTCAGATTAAATTTTAACAATGCCAATGGTGCCAAAAACGGTAATGCTTCGAATCATCAAAATACGGAGAGCAGTCCTATAAATGATTCTTCTGGTGGTCCGCCACCAATGACCATTATTCCCCAGCATCCTTATGCTGCAACAACTACCTCAACATCCTACGACAGTTTCGCCAATCTTGATAAAAAGTTCAACAAATACAATGCATTTGGACAATTTATTGCAGCTTCATTAGCTGATTTAACTGACGATAAAGCGACCGATGTTATGCAACGAATAACAATGGAAATATTTGCAGCCCAACGCGATCTAAATTAACTTCTCATGAACATAAATAATTTAATGATTTTCCATTTTCCTTCTACATTGATTGCCAAGTAAACAACAAACCAACAAGTCCGAGGAACAATAAAACAAAACAAATTTTCATTAATTAAATATTATTGATTTAAAATACTATTTAAGTTATAAGTTCTCGACTAAATAAGTATGAGGCCATCTTCACTCATATTATTGAATAAAACCTGCATTCGTATTTTTTTATTGTATCAGAACCGCAATCGTTCAAATTTGAACAAAAATAAAGAACAATAAAGAATATCGTCGTCATTTAAGATACAAGAAATTAAATAATTCTCTATTTTGATTGAAATGTTATTGGCTTATGACTCGAATGAGCATTGAAAAAAATTATTTAGTATCTGAAATGAAATATTTATATGCATGAATATTAAGAGAAGAATTGCTTCGAATTCAAATGGCAATTATAATTCTAATATCTAATTAACAAAAGATAGGATCAAGAATATTATTAGCGACATGTTAATTGTAGATTTCAAGATAAATAACTATAAGAATAAAAAGCAAAGAAGTAAAAGCAAGAAACATTTTTGAGTTAAGTTGATGTTATTTAAAATGAATTATATAGAATATAAGAATATTTTTCATTTTTTTTAATACCTAGGGAAAAGAAGAAGAAAAAATTATAATAAAGTTCATGAAATATAAAAAAATTAAAATCGATTGCGATTTACAAAGAATGGAAAAGAAGAGAAAAAAAAAACAAAATTATGAGTTGCTTGAACTTAGCATTAGAAGCGATTTTAAATTCTCCCCTACATGCGCATCTGCCTGTTATTTAAACTAAACCTCATGAAAAAATAAATTCCAATTATATAAAATATTTTTTAATTAAATATTTTGTTTCCATTTTCGTTCGTATGTGGTCGTGAGTGTTAGTAATATTTGAGTTTAATAATTGAAGTAACAAAAGTTGGCTTTTATTTCTCAGAAAGTACATGATTCAACAATGAAATATTCACATACACAAAATATCGTTACGAAGTGAATTAAAGAAATATAAAAATTAAGATTTTACTTAGCATTCTCCATCTCATTCAACCTAAAGAAGTTTTCTTATAATGCGATTTCGTTTTCTTATTCTTAAAATTTTACATTTGTCTTAGACAAAACTTTTATTTATTTTATGATGATGATGTATTTTCTTCTACTGCTTGCTACAAGCTAGCTTGCTTACATGAAAAACGAGAATGAAAAGCCAGAACTAATACAGAAAGATTTTTTCGATATTTTTTGAATAGAGAAGAGAAGGAAAAAAATTATGATAATCTTCATAATTCATGCTTTTTCTTCTCCTTCACATTGTGAACGAACGTCGACTTTGTTGTAGTTTATTTTATATTTTTTTTTCTTTCTTTATTTCATTCTTGTCTCACTCGTAGCTTGAGTAATCGTTGTTTTTGTAGCTATGTCGATGTCTTACATTGATTTCGATTACATACAATGTGTAACATTTTAAAATCCATATTCTGTACCTCTACTTAAATATGCCTAGGTATTTAACTATTTTCAAATCATTGTTTTCTTCTCTTCCCTCCATCTCGTTTCTATTTTATTTTTCATTAAAATTTAAAAAAATTGTATATGGGCACAGGCACAGTTAAGAGACGAGAGCATTCGAAACCGAAGTGAAAAGGCAACAAACATGAAGAACCCGAAAGATTATCAGTTGAAAAGTGTTAGTGTTTGTGTATTTATGATAAGTTTCTTTTAATTTTTCGGGGCTCCCTTGCTTTTTCGACACAAAATATCATATTTGCTAAATAAAGTATAAAAATATTGAAATAGTTGAGAAAGTGTGGGTGGGAAATTAAAATTTTATTATAATATCCAACATGAACATTTAACAGATTTTTTCTTTCTTCTTTTTGTCGTTTACTTTCCTGCTCTAGTCTTTGGGTTCGACTACAATGTAAATAAATATACTTTTAGATTTCATTTATTGAAGCATTGTAGTTATTTTGTAGATAAAATGTAGAATTGTGTTCGTTAATTGGGTTGAGAGACTTAAAAATGTTTTTGTTTTATTTATTTAAAAAACAAAAAGATTTGCGATTTGTATAAAATTTATCGATCGAGGTAAACCTTTGTTGAAAAACATTTCAACTTAAATCATTCATTGACTTTAAATATTTATAGCAATTTGAAGGCGTCGAATTTAAAATGAAATTCTTTACTGGAAAAATTAATAATTCACTTGAACGATTTTAATTTGTAAATATTTTACGACACCGAGTTTCACTTTAAAATTATTTTCAAATTGAAACGAATTTTTTTTTGTATTATCGATTTAAATTCGAAACTTTTTTTAAGTAATTAATGACATGTTGACGATCACACCCCGAAAATATTTTAGAGCAAATGTCAAATAAAGAAATTAAAATTTAATCTGTGCACGACAACGTCGTAGAAAATATTATTAAATTATTTAATTTACCTGTTGTTCAACGATAACAGCTTGAATAATCTTGTTCAAATATTTTCTATTTGTAAATTGCTACGGTCCTCATTTTTTTTATTGTAAAACTTCGTTATCATAACGACGAAGGGTGCAGATAAGAAGACGAACGAATCACTAAATTTTCGATTAATGAAACAATTTACCTGCTATTGTACAAACACAATCTAGAAATAAAATATTTTAGACTATATTGAAAAGAAAATTAAAGTAATCTTTGAAGTTATCGTTGAATTTCAATCAAAATAATTTGATATCTTTCCAAACATTTTTGTGATATTCTTCGAAGCTTCCTCCCTTCCCCCTAAATATTCAAAAGCTCTCATAAAATTCTTCCGCCAGACTCAATCTATCGATTTTTTAATAAAAAAAAATTTATGGCAAGTAATAAAAAGAAAACTTTTTAGAAATCAAGTATGTTGAAGAAGGGAAAAATAATTTTTGAAACATTTCTTTTGCCATTTCATTTAAGAGAAAATTGAGAGTAAGATGAGCTTTCTTGTGGATAAATTTTCAAAAAAAAAGACTTTTCCTTGTGTGTGAGTTATCGACATGAATGTATGAGAGAAAACGTGCTACAATCGAATGTGAATAAACATTTTCAAGTTTTTATTTATGAATTCTTCAACACCCCCAACTATTCTCCTCATTCTTCATCATCATTACGATTCATGACCGTAGATGAGACTTTACTTTCTACAAACAAAATTATGCAATTATGAATCTTAATGCTGTGAAAAATATTGAGTATTATTGAGAATCTTCAACGCATGCTCGTCGATTTGATGAACAAATGAAAATTTTATTATTTAACTTAATTATTGATACAAATGACATTCAAGAGCTTCTTCATCCACATCGAAATAATTATCAAACTATCCATAATACCATTCGAGGTGAAGACGTTATGGCATTTGCACGGCACTCGCATGTCATAATATTTTAATAGAAAAGCAGTTAATGTCCGTGGAGAATTCAACTCATAAATATATCGCCGCACTGTTGTCGGCACCTAAATAGCCTGCGGAGCGACTCAATTGGAGAATAAATTCTCAATTTACACTTTAGACATAAAAGCGATTATTAAAAAGGGAAAGAAGGCTCTTCTATTAGTCAGATCTCTGTTGATGTCTTGGCACATTAGAATCATCTTATTGACTTCTTATAAGCTGAAAAATGCTTGGGGAGAAGAAAAAGAGAAGTGAGAAAATAATTTAAATGCTTCACATTATGGAATTCAATGCTTTGGACGCGCGAATCTAATATGATTAAATAATAGACAATTTGCATTTCACTTTATGTTTCATAAGCAATTCACAACAAAACTTATTTCTTATTTATATCAATTGTGCTTCGTTGCGGCTGTTACTGTGCTGGGTTGACTTCGTTTGATTGATTTATTTATTTTGCGAATGAAAAATGTTTGAGAGATTGAAAACGATTTCAAGGAAATTTCTTACTTATTCCATGCTCAACGACGACGATCAACTTTAAGATGAATTTCTTTAATCCATAAATCTGTTTATCATTCTTAGAAAGTTTTTAATCTTTTTTTATTTTTTCTTCTTCTTCCAGATTTTTGCTGTTTCAAGATGTTGATGGGAAAGAAAATTGATCTTTGTTTTAAATATTTTTAAGAAGCAGAAGTAGTTCCAGGAAGGATGAGGATTGAGCAGCAGGTAAAAGTTCTCATTTAGAAAGAAAGAATTAAAGTAAGTTTCATGTTAAAATGCATCCCAAGGAAACCAAAACAATTCTTAAATATTTAAATTAAAATTTTTTAATGACAAACTTTCCCATAAACTTAAGTAAATAAAAAATTTCTATAATGTCATTTCAGTTTATAATCATGACTAATCTCATGATTCATGTTCACAAATATATGCAACACAACTTAAAATTTCAAACCACAACAATTTCTTTATTTTCTCTTCGCTTGATCACACAAAATAGCAGCGAAATATTTGTACCTTTAATTCTAACGGTTTTCGCGACTCAATTCTTCTTTTATCTCTTCGAATTTATATTTTTTTGTTACATGTCTGATGTTGTGCCTTCGATTTTTTTTCTTCTTTCATTGCCCGCAAAACACTCCATTCAAAGTCAGATGAAAGGAAAAGAAGAAAAGAAATTGCTGCAGTTACCATCCCATGAGTCGTAGTTTTAATGAATCTTTTGTCAGTGCTGTGTCGAAATTGAACCAAGAAAATATAAGAAATGGGAAAATTGTTATTGTGACTCCTACTTCATGTGAAGAACTCTTTATAACTGTTAATTGTTCCCATCGTGTTTTATTGCTTCATTGTATAATTTATTTTAACCTGGAGAATCAACAAGAAAATATTTATCTTAAGTGACTAAATGGTTAAACAATTAAAACTGCAAATAAGTTTCCTTCTTCATTATCTACTTAAAGACTACTATTTACGGTTCACTCGGACAAGGCGTGTTCTTTTTCTTATATATTTTGCTCCTTGATCTTTACTTACTTACTTAGGATGATGTTAAGAAACAATTTGTGAACATCTTCATTGTCTCTTGTATTTCCTTACTTACAAGACTCTTAAAACATGACATTGTCAGAACGATAAATTGATTGCATGTAATAATCACATGCGAAACGGAGCGACAATATTAACTGCAACATCAATGACGTCATTTGAAGTCATTTGTGATGAAGACAAAATTAATGGTGTTTTCGCATCGGCGCATTTGAATCAAAGTGTGGTTAAAGTTATCATTAAAGTGCCATCGCGATGATTATATATATGCAAGTGCAAGTACATGAAAGTTAATTTCTTCTGCAACAAGATTACTTGATAATTTATACAATTATGAAATAGTTTCATTAACAACGTATGAACAATTTATAAAATGAATTAAAAAACCATTATGAGAAGTTTACAAAACTTAATTCAATTATCTAACTAATTTGTCACAAAGTATTTGTGAAAATCATAAAAGTATTGATTATCGCAAATGTATTGACAGGTTTTAAGTGAATCTGATGAATATAAGTGATAAATAAGGTGGTTTAAGTAACTTCGTAACAAGAGAACATATTTCTCAGATTAAATTGAGAGGAAGGAATTCTCTTGCATGATCAAGATCTGAGTTATTTGCTATACTGCGTTACTAACAATTGCCACCGGGCTTTAAAAAAGGAAGAAAAAAAAATGCATCAGCAACAACATAATGAAAATTGCTTGTACCATTCGCCTTCTTTTCAAAGATCTCATCGATGTTAAGTTAATAAATAATCGACGAAGGAAAATATTTCAACTCTTCATCGAATCTGCAAGTGTTTCAATAAAAAGCTGTGAATGTAATATCAATTAAAAGATCCATGATCGTGGTAAACGACGTGACTTTTACACACAAATAAAAAAATTGATAAGTAATTAATGCGATAATTGAGATCAATAAGAACTAAAGTTTATCACCTTAAATAAAACAGCGCTTGTCAAACGTTAATTCCCAGAGCTTCTGCAACATTTTATGGAAATTTGAAATGATTTTTAATTAAAATCCTAATGAGTATAGTCAGATTCTTAATAAGTCATAATAACCCACACGATATTATTTTCCTCATTTGCATTTCGTTAAGGATTTTTTATTGATCGCATAAAATACTTTGTAGCGATAGTGATCGATAAAATTTGATAGCATTCTTTACGCTTTAATAACTAATTACATTATTTTAATGGTGCTGCAATTACCCACCAGGTCTCACCCATCTCTCCCTTTAGCGTTCCGTTTAAAAAAATTAACCGATTTACACCGCCATGATAAATGATCACGAAAAAATGTTTGACTCTTAACTTGAAATTACTAACTGAAGAGCTAAAGTCATGGTCAATTTGCAGAAGGGAGCACAGGTATTGTTCTTTGGTGGCAGCCAAATTCATTCCACGCGAATAAACATTCTTAAGAATCGTTAAATTACCCGGAAAATTACTACGAATTTTGGTGCCGGACATGAAAAAAAGTTCGGTTAAGCTCCAGATGTTTCCAAGAAACCCGTCCGATCAGCCTCTCAGACAGTTACTTAGATTCACGATAAAAAATTAACTAATAACTTGTTTTATCGATTCGATTGAATATCAAGATAAACATCAATGGGTCATATTGATTAATCGCCGATATTTATTGTCGCCTCCACTTAATAATTTACCTGAAATGATTGAAACTTTATTTAATTCCCTGCCAATGGTTTTTCTTGTTTTGTATCGAAAAATATTTTCGAGCAAGGTTTCTTTTATTTTATTCTGTTTGATCAATATTATTCGAGTTGATGATCTGCTGTAAGGTCAGAAAGGTAAAAATATTGCCGTAAATACAAGGAAGCAATCTTCGATCTTTATAGAAAAATAGAAGAAATAAAATAAAATCACGAGAATCGTGCTTCATCATGTTAAATGTTTGTAAGTAACAATGACTTGAGGTCGAAGAATATCCGAGATTTATTGGTGATCATGTCGGAAATGCGCTTACAAGCAAGACGAAATTAGTAATTAAGTTGCTCGATTAAATCAACTTTTGTTTCCTACGCAGACTTAAACGTTTGCAATTAATTCTCATCTGTGATGACTTCATTCTAGATTAAACATCGCTGATCGCAGCCTTTTCCAGATTATTATTTTATTTATTTTTTATTTGCAGACAACTCGTGCTTTAGTCGAGGGATTTGCTTGGAAATCAACAACGCTTTCTGTCATTAATGGATATCACAATACTTATTTGAAAGGAGCGAAAATGGCGGTTAATTATAGGCCTGGTAAATAAAATAAAGTTAATAGCAGTATTGAATTGATATTCTTAAGGTAAACGCTTTGAACGATGATTACAAGTTTTAGATTCATTTATGGCAAATTGGAGAACTCAAGTAGGTCGAGAAAGTTGCTTTAATTGCTTAACTTTCAATTGCAATTGCACTTTTCCCGGCCTGCCCGAGAATTTTCCAACATCAACGTTGAAATGAGAAGACTGGGAATTCATACTTAAAACTGATTTAATTTGTGTAACTAAATTTTTTTGTGTTCTTCAATGGGTTCGCCCTTTTTTTAATGAGAGTGCTGTTCTTTTTTGGATATAAGAAGATTGATGCATTTGATATGGTTTCATGCACTTTTTTTTTAACAAAATCATCGAAGCAGAGAAGAATTTTTGCGACCGGAAATCCCTTAAATCGTTTTATGCTTTTTTCTTTTTTTTTTGGCAAATTATTCATGAGCGTGACAACAAAAAATGAAAAATAAAACAAAAAAATTATTATTGCAGTGAAAATGTTGACCATGACATTGCATCGTTTCATTATAATGAGTAAAGTATTCAACTCCACAATGTCTGCTGTTTTCCAATTTAATAAATAAATATTCAACTTATAAAATAATTGCATGTAATCTGTTTGGATATTTCTTCGCTTATTTAAGCATTCAGTAGTAAACTGTGTGAGATACTCTGATGAAGTAGCGCAATATTCATCTAAAAGCGACATCACGCTGCGAAGATTAATAAAGTCGATTGTACAATGCTATATTGCATTGAGATAACGTCAAGAAGATGGCAAATTTTTCTTTTCAGAACTCATTGGAAACTGCGTGTGGTATGTTACATATGAAACTTGATCGTAACATTTAATGCTGATCAAAGATGACATTTAGTACATCAATCAATTGAATGGAGTTTGTTGAAAAAAGAAACTTTAATGAACATAAATTGTTTACATTATAAAATCTCATCCAATAAGGATTCCATTGAAATCCACTTCTTGTCATGTCATCTCGAGTTCATTGACATTTTTCGTTCACAAATAAATAAAAATCTTACCACAATGCCATAAGTAAAAGCTCATAAAGTTTTATTGAGGAACCCATGCAAATTCAAAGTTATTGCATAAGATCGTAACACCAACCAAACAATGTAATCACGAAATTCGTCCAAAAAAAAATATAAATATCATCATTGCGCAACGTGGGTTAAAATCAGGGACCATCAAAGCTCCATTCGCGTTGCTTGCCACATAATTTTCAAAATACCTTTTCTTAAAATTTCTTCTTATTTTTTGAAAGTTAATCCAAAGAAGAATTTTGTGGTTTCTTTTTGACTTGTCATGAAAATATGTAAGTTAATGTTTGGAGGGTATTTACTCGTTCATTTCACTATCATTAGTCATTTAAAGTTATGTAAATAATTGAAAACTTGGACATGATTTCAAGTAATCATCGCCAATGCTTTCTCTCCCACATCATTTAACGACGACAGGATCGCAATCAATTCGCAATGTGCTAATGGTTTTAATGAATTAACATTTTATTACTTACAAGCAGCAAGACTGGAAGTACATCAGTAACCCACAACAGCAACAACAACATCACACTCAAAATTGAAACCTGTTTGAGTGATCAATTTTTGCATTGGATGGTTGTTAAAATGTTGCAAATAAATAAATTGCTTTAAGGTGTTGTGTTAATAACATCTTCGATGATAAATTTTTTATCATTCGACATTTTTACGATACATTTTACAAACTGTGACCAAAGAATTATGGTCAATAATTGTTTGTGAAATTTTATTTGTTTCAGGTTTTCCTTTCTTTGAAGCAGGAAGAAGCGAAAGGCAAAAGATACACAAATCCCATCAGAAAAGGTTCATAAAGCATCGAAAGACGTGATGAAGATCATTCTGTTTAGCGGTAAATACGGTTGACCTTTTGCTTTGCCACGGTTCTTCTACTTCAGTGTTTATGGATCTATAAAAAGAAAGGAAAAAATCTTTGAAATGCATAAAGTTTATAGAAATTGCAAAAATAAAACAGCATCATGATCATGTGGAACTGGGTACATAGTAGAGAAAAAAGCTACAATTTCTTCTTGTAGATATTTAATGAAATGTTTATATTTATTCTCATGAATTTCTCACACTCAAATTGAACTACAAAAATATTTTCTGATTTAGGTCTTGGATTGTTGTGTCATTAGATTGAAATGAATTGGAATTTTAAGGTAGCAATTGGAATTGAATTGTCATGACAATATCGAGTCTAAGGGAGAGAAAGCCTTGAATAAACTAAATTGTATTAATTCTCATTCATCGTCGAAGTAGAAGTAGAAGCAGCATAAAATATCACGCACAAACTAACAGCCACATTTCAGACTTAACATATAAAAACATGTAAGTAGAATATCAGAATTTATTTAGCTTCGGTCGTGAAACATTACAGAAAATGTTGATAGCCTTTGCAATCATGCTTTTTGTGTTGTCAGCAACTCAAGAACGTTTTTATAACAAAACGATAGGGCGTGCAACAATAAAATTCATAAGAAAAATTAATTATTAAGCTGAATGAATCATTATTTGGCGTAAAAAAGAAACATTCAGAAGATTCAAGATTAACGGTAGTCAACATTTTTAAATTGAAAACAAATATCGTTGAATGAATTGTGAAGGTGTGAATAGTGCAAGCATCAAGTAGCTTTAATGTGATAATGGCATTGGAAGTCACTACGCTACCAACTTATCAGTCATTCAAGACTTCTTTCTGCCTCCGAAGTTTCTTTCATTCAACATGTTATTTTTATTCTCCGTTGATTGCTTAATGCATCTCCACATTTCAACTGGAATTCTCCCTGAAGGCCGTGTGATAGTTGGCTTAAGCTTAACAAAATTGAAGTCATTAAATTACGAAAAATAAAAAACTATCAGAAAACATTTAAACATTTCTATGGAAAACGGTAAACTTTTTAACTTATGAAAAAGAAGAGAGTAAGAAAAATGTAAATAGGAAATGCAAACTGCGCTTCTCGATACATATCGAAATTTACGGCTTACAATGATGGAATCGTGACCAATGATAATGGTCTTCACTGTTTCTATTCAGTGTGTACATAAAACATTCGATGCAATTGTTTTTCTACTCTCATTTAAATGATTTATGTTTAAAAACTGATACAGTTTGAAATGAAAATATTTGCAACATCATAACAAACATAAAAATTTGTTTGAAGCAAAAAGTAACCACGAAAGAAGAAATAACAAAAATCATAAGAATAGAAAGTAGCGGAGATAGTAATAGAATGCCAACAAGAGATGAGCTGAGAATTAAAAGAACGGCACTTATGACAGTTTAAAAGACGTTTCGGACAAATTATCTTGTCCATCAATCCATTCGTTGTATCACCTTAATAACACACCAAACGCACACTCCATGAACCCATTTCTAAGCTTTTTCTTTCAAATTGGAGATCGTTTGATTGAATATCACTGATTAGAGTGTTTTGTTTGATACCTTTGCTTGCGATTGCGATGTGAGTGGAATTGTTAATTGACATTGTACCGATAATTTTTGGGTGAGAATTTTTCTTAAATAATAAGACAAAATTTTAGGTCATAAGTTTAACCACTTAACAGCTTTACAAGTATTGTAATATGTACCGACAAAGCTTTGACAATGGAATTCGGAAATAATCTGTGGCGACAATAATCACATGATTTATATATAAATTGTACAAAGTTAAAGATTAGATTGATGACTATAAAGATTGATTGGTGAAATTTTTTCTATGAAAATCAGTAACATGGAATGTTAGAAAAGTATTTTATTAAAAGATAAATTAGCATCAGTTCATTGCTTGAACTATTGTGTCTCGTTGTCTCATTCATCGCCGCAAGGTGAAGCAAAACAGCGAATTAACAATATTTACAATTTGCTTTATCGCCAGGTAAGAATCAAGACTCTATTCATGTAAGAAGAGAGAAAAACAGTTAAATTTACTCGATGTTGTGCCATATTTCGTTGATTTTTTTTTTTGGATAATTTTGTAAGATTAAAGCAACATCAGACAACACAAAGGTAAGCAAAGCATAGCAGTCAATTTCCAAAGTCAAGTTCAATAAATTAAACATCGCATTTTACTTTAAACGTTTGATTTTTTTGTGTTGTGCTGATCGTTTCTCCTGTTTTTTCAGCTTCTTGCTGATCTTCTTCGTTTATTTCTCTTTTTATTTTTAACATTTCTTAAAAGATATTTTGTGTTGAGCTTTTTGAACGTCTCGTAAGCAAAAAAAAAAAATTTCATGTTAAAGACACTCGAATAGATATGAAATTAATTGAATAGCATTCCAAAACATCGTTAATGCAGATTAATTTGAGATAATTAATTTAGAAAGGTTTGAATTGTGATGTGATTACGAGACTTTGAACTGTAAAATATGTTGAGCATTCAATTGAACATGTGATGATAATTTAATAATCGAAAATTATAAGGAAAGTTATTCATATCAAGCAAGAGAGAGAGATTGACGTGCACTGATTGTTTTATTATTATTTTCTGACATTTGCAGGTAGAGACAACCTGACCTGAAATCATAAAACTTTAAAGTAGCTTTAGTTACTAAAGTAGAACTTCAACAGAAGTTTAAATCATTTCCAATGTGCTATTAAAACATCAGGAGAAAATTCGAAATTCAAAAGAAAAATTCTTATGTTTACTGGCAATTTCTGCCCTCACTGACCGATCATGAAGCTATCATTTTGTTTTGATCATTAAATCAGCTTCGAGTAGTGCATTAAATTTGTAAATCTCCTCTCACAAGCAAGGTTGAAGGCACTGAAACTCGATAAAAAGCAGTCGTGGACTTTTGATTAATATTTCTTATGATTATTACGGTTTATTTTACAACTTCTTTCAGTGTGTGCTTCCTCCATTCGTCACTTGATAAATTACTGACGGTAAATTGCCGTTATCGCCCAGTGACTAATTTAAGACATTAAAAGATTTTTTATTTATTTTGGCACCCAAAACGGTTTGTTCTCAAAACCAGATCGGTGGAAATGGAATTGAGATCCAATAACAACGAAAAGTATCGTTTGCAAAACGACCATGAATTGTTAAGGTTTGGTGCTTGACATGACAAATTAGGATGCAGTAATTTCATACAGGTTCTTATCTTGATAGGCATCCGAAAAATTTACTCGACTTCATAAAATAAAAGGTAGTGAAAAAGAGGTAAAATATTTAATTCAGTGCATTTTCGCGTTGAAACCAAAGATACTTGAATGATGATTAATGAATGTGTAATTAGTGATTGAGACTCATTATTCATCTCGTTTTTCGGTTATCTTCATCAACCCATCAATATCTTGACGTAATAAATCAACCGTTGCCATCACATTTCTTTAGGTCCACCGCAAGTTTACTGTTGTCAAATGTTTGTGGATGAGTTGTGTTAATTATACAACGATAAATGTGCTGAAACATAAATTTAAAATCGATTTTTATGTTGATTGAAAGAGAAGTCAATCAAGATTCAATATAACTAATTATTGAACTTTATCTTTGTATAGCGATGTTGAATTGACTTTAAATTTGTTTCATTGAGTGTCAGTGAAACATTAAAAATTCATAGATAATCATAATCATGTTTAGGAATTATTAGATATTCTAGTAGATAAAATGAAAATTTTATACATCTGTATAACATGCACATAAAAATTAATATTTTTATGATTTATTAATTATAAAAATTTACACCAAATTACAATTTGTAATTTTGGTAATTGTTGAAATTAGGAAGTGTTTCAGAATCATACAAATACTCTAAGAAACTGTTGCATGGTTTTCAACTTTTAAAATATTTTCACGCGTTTTGATTTGTTTCGTATTTAAATCAAAGTTCTTAAAGCTTAAATCTATTATTCACTTATTAAACTAATTTAATGTATTAAAACACGTTTATCATAGATCTCACAATTCATTTAATGATTTGTTGATGAAATCGGCTGGAAGAATGTAATAAAAAAAAAATCGATAAATATATGAAAGTTTGTGTATGCATGATAATTAGCGCGAGTTGATCAGTACACGAGCCACTAAGCATTAATACAATTGATTAACAGCTGACAATAAATCCTATAACCGCAAATACCCACATAATAATGAAAATAATTACAATCAAATACTTCTTTAAGCCGACATTCTGTGAACTGAAAACACAATTTTCCCTTGACCATTATCTGTCATTATCGTTGCCGTTGTGAGTTGCTATAGCAGAACTATAATATCACTACAGGAACACATACACTTGCTTATGTTTTTTATCACGGTGGTCAGTCTGAGGTTGACATTATCTAAGGACAGCTCGTGTAAAGCATGATTTTTTAAAAACTTTTGATGTTTGACTATAGATTAAATTTGATGGTTGATTTAATTGCTTTTGAAATGAAACCTAAAATTTTTATGTGCAAAGTGATAGTGGAAAGAAAGAAGAATGAATAATAATCGTTTCATCGATTTTTGTAGATATCCTTCATTTATTGTGTCATGTGGAATATTTGTTTATTCATCGAACGTTTTTCTTCGCTTAAAATCTGATGTCAGTGGAAAATCGATAATCAAATGAGAATTTCAACTAATAGTGAAATTTGAAGTTCCTTCATATGTTATCAAATATTTACAATTGCAAATTAATAAGTGCGATATCCAATTTGAAGCGATGGAATCGAAATTAAGAGCTATAAGTAACAATGTCAACAATAACGATACAGTTGTTGAATTCGGTTCAAAAATTCATGATTTACAAGAGCCAAAACAGATATCAACACCTGAATATTTATGTCAGAAGAAAGTTCCGGTGTTGTTCACCACCAATCGTGGTATTCATCTACGAAAATTCAATAAAAGTTCAATGAACGACGAATACATGATGTCGTTCTGCGATCTAGAACGTTGGGTAAATAATGATTTCATGAAAATCCAGAAAAATTAAGGAAAATCTAATCAATTCCATTATTCAATGTAGAACTTTCGAAATCACGTCGAATCGATAGGATTAACACCACCTAGTACATCAGACCGTTCGGCTGTTAAATCAATTAAAATTGTGCAAGCGAAGGATGGAAGTGGGATAGAAAAACGACAAGAACACGGATGAATCTATTTTAGATGATAGCGAGATTGACGACGAAACATAGCGTGGTAAGGAATTGAAAATAATTCAATATCTCTCTTTTACTTAAACGAATCCCAACCATCAACACGCAAGTCTTTACGTGAATAAAAGGTGAAACTTTTATTAGACAGAAGAATTTATGTTCATTTGAAACGTGAAAATTTTCCCGTTTTTTAATCCCATTCATCTGTCTAATTATCTCGGTTTTCCATGCTCACTTCAGAAAAGAGGGAACAAAAGTCCTTAAGTGAGACGAAGCATGTAATACTTAAAATTTAATGATTGTTGTTTTCCGGCTTTCTTAAAAAAAAACGCGGAATGCAATTAATTTAAAATTGTGTGCACTTCTAATATGTCCCGGTAAAAGCATAAAAGAAAAAAGATTTAAAGTTTAAACTTTTTTAAAATGTTTTAAAAAATTAAAAGGAATTTAATTCCACATGAAAACATAAAACTACTTTAAAACATAAATTAACTTTATAAAAAGGTTTGAGTTAAACCTTGTTGAGATTGTTTTGAATTGTCTGTAGGTGTGCATATTATTATCGTGACTTGTGACTCAAGTCTCGTAGATTTTTCATTATTGTCCAAAACAAACTTTCGTTCATCGTTAGAAACATTAAATTAATTCACAACATGACAACACTCAGAAAAGTAAAACATTGAAAACATTCCTCGAACTCATCATAGTCGCATAAAACATCATTGCAGAGCTTTTTATGCTCTTTAATGTTTTGGCAAGCATCTCAGTAAGACGTGAAAATTTTTGCTCTCATCTCGTGAGAAAGAAAAAACAGAAAAATAATTTTCAGAGTGCAAATTTTTGTTTACTTTCTTGAAGAATAATCTTTAAAATGAGTAATATCGAAGATTTTAATGACATTGATAAGTTTCGTGTTTTTATGTAAAGCTAACATCTTTTGAAACTGTCAATCTCATGGCATTAGCACTAAAGACATGAGATGAACATTTACCCATCACTTTGATCCAGGACGAAAATCGATTTTGTGAATGAATATTTTTCTCTCATCTGTGAGGTTTTCATTACATCAACTTCATTCAAGTTTTGAAGTGAAAATCTTTATAATTCGTGTGCGGATGTGAAGTGAGACAGAATAAAACTTTTATATATTATGCTAATTTAAATACATGCATTAATGTGGAAAAAACTGTATTATAACTTATTATTTAATTAATAAGTAAACGAGAAACGGAAGAAGAAAATCAAAGTTCAGAGATATTAAAGATAAATTTCTGATGTGAAACGTGATCATAAAAGTTTGAGATTTGTTGACAGTTTTTATAAAGAAACAATCAACAAAACCATAATATTTAAATTAGGTAATATCAGAAAATATTTATACTAAAAGCACAGACGACATGACTTTACATATTCGTGGAAAAGTTCACATAAACTGAAAATTGTTTTCGTAGATAATTGAAAAACTTTGAAACTTTTTGGGGCTTTTCATGAAAAGCGAGACGAGAATGATTAAAACTTTCATCTTTAAAAAGGTAAAGTATTTTTCTATAATTGTTTAATTAATTGATGAAATAACAAAATGTTATGCTTCAGTGGGAAATAAATATTTATTCTTATGTATTTATGTCTAAATCATCAACAAGAAGCTTATCAGATATTTAACGATTTATATAAACTTTGAAATTTGTTTAACTTCTCACAAGCATTTGTTGTATGTATCTGTCTCATTAACAAGATTTATTTTATCTGAAAAATCAAAGCTTTTCAATGAAGGGATTAATGATTTGGGAATTCAAAGCCTTAAACATTCAAATATATATACTGAACTTGGTAAATCAATGTGAAATTCTTGATTAATAGCTTTGAAATCATGAACATTAAAACATGTTTAATTTACACACTTTTCTTGTTCTCATCATACTCTTTGAATCTCAGTTTCGGTCGACCACAAGATGTAGTCGCAGAAGCAATTCCATTAAATCTCTTGTGGTTATTAAGCGACAAAATGAGAAAGTGAAAGAGAGATGGAGACAGATATCATTTCAGAGTAAACCTATTGTGGAAGAAATAACTCAAAAGTTGACACAAAGCATTCGTCGTAAGTCTCATAAAGTAAGATAAGCCATGATAAAAGAATTAATTTGAAGGAGATGAAAAGTGTGAGATTCTCTGACTCGTCAGAAAATAAAGAAATTTCGAAGGAGGGGATTACATAAAGACGAATGAAAAAGTAAAAACTTGGATAAAATGACACATTTTAACCATGATATGTTCCTTTTTTAAGTTTCAACTCGAACTATTATTATCATGAGGTTTTCCTTCCAGTCATCCAGTTGCAATTTAGTTGATGCATTTTCAGGATTCTGCTTAACGATAAGAGAAATGTGGGATTTATGGGATTGTCGTACCGTAAGAAGTATTAATAAAGTTTTTTTTCCTCAACATTTTATGGCTGAAACTTGTGAGATGTTTGTCCACAAAAACTCCTTCAATTAATTTCAAGCTCTCAAAATTAGTTTCGGTAAATCATTTCATATAAACAGAAACCAATTTTGGTTCGTAAGTAAAATTTTATACCGCTTAGTTTGGTTGTTTGCATCAAAGCTTCCTTTGAGCTAATTAAAGAGAGGAAAATAGAAAAAAATTCTTTTGCTCAACATTTCATAGTTTTAAAAGAAATTGCAATGAAATCACAAGCCAAATTCTATTGATTTCTTTTGTATCCTCTCTTAAATGTTGGCAATAAAAGCTTTTTCTAAGACTATATGTACACATAAAAAGAGCTTTTCGATCAATTGGGATGAAAAGTGATTGTCGAGATGAATGAATTGAATTCTATTAAAACTCCAATGCTATAAAATTTGTCAAAGATTCGAAATAAAAAATTGAAATTGTCAGAAGCATTCCTGATAAAGGTTAATTTAGTTGTTATGGAATTAAACTTTGTCAAAAATACGATGCGGACGAATGAAGATGAAAAATGAACTCTGCAAAAATCACAAGATTTGCGTTCCATTACAATTTGTTGCTGAAAGAAAATTTTCATTATTTAGGGTTGAACTTTTATGACGAATACAATTGACAGTAAAAGAAATGACTTTAAATGGTCGTCGCTGTGGTTAATAAAGAAAAAAAACTTTCAAGTTTATTAATGAAATTTTAATTAGATTATAAAAAAAGTTTTCCATTGCATCTCTTTGACTTTGACGAAGATTGAATGTACTTGGAAATAATTATTTTAAATATCCCGATCTCAATCCATTGTTTACTCTTAAGTACCTAGAGTTAAAAAACTTTCCCTACACAGTGGGTTGAAATCATCTCCAGAAAAAGGTTTTTTTGTTGGAAGAAAAAAGAAGTTAATTAATCAACAGTAAAGCGTCCCTAAATTAAATCATTAAAATTCCAAGCATTTCTCACTCAGAAACTCAATAATTATTTGTACGAATTTAAATTACGCTCCAGGAATAAATTAATCTTAAAGCAGCATAAGAGAAGCCTTAGACCTCCGCTAAAGTTCTATGGTAAGACACGGGTGATTGTTGCAATTGGAGCTTCGAGATTTCAAACGTTTACATAATTAACCATTCGATTAATTCGCAGAAAAAGTTCGATCGTGTTGATTGACATTGTCTTGAAAAACTATCATAAATATTGATGACTCTGGTCATTGGATGAGTTTTGAAAACTTTTATTAGTTGAATATAAAACATCTTTCAATAAATTCAATTCCAATTTACCCTTCTTTGTTGATAGTCTCGAACGTCAACGTTACCGATCTTGCAAAGAAAAACTTTTCTTTTACTCCGTATCTTCGAGTGATGAATGTTTGACGATTCACAAAATCTAAAACTCAAATTGAATTATTTGATATCATCAGACGAAAAATGTGTCCATGAATTATTTATGATGAAGAAGAATAAAAAATAAAAAAACTTCAAAAAAGAATTTGTCCGAGAATGGAACGTAGAGAGGCCTAAGGTCTTTGCTTGCTTGACAAATGCGACTTAGAGTCGAGCAAAAATAAATATTTGTCATTGAGTTCTTGTATTTAAATGAAAGAATTTATATAGGACGGTGAGGACATTAACATGTTGAGCCGAAAGCTCCACAAAGGCTTAGTGCAAAGGAAAAAGAAGGAACATTTTCTGTGCTAATGACGTGAAATGAAAGAAACTTTGAAACTTTATTTTGTCATATTGAAAATTTGAATGTTGATAAATGAAAAGTTTTATTGACATAACTTCTACAAAATCTAAATTAGCATTTTCCTAGGTTTCTCAACATTCTTGTATGTTGATATTGACAGAAAATATTAAATAAACTTTTATACAAAGCGCACATTAAATATTTCAATTATTACCCAAACAACTTCAAAATATTGTCACATTTACAACATAAAACGTGAAACGTGAAAGGACATAAAAACAACAAATTAAAAGTTATTCAATATTCCTTGTTTTATTTATTTGTCTACAAAAATGGATTGCTTTCTGTAGCTCGCCATCGTGGCATTCCACAAATACTCAACTAAAACATGTATGTTTCATTACTTTATTACGAATAACAAATGCTTTTGAAATATAACTTTTAGAAGCACAAACAAATGCAAATATCTCCACACGTAATAATTTCAATATTTTCCATTGGAAATAAAATTGTTTCAAAGTGAAATGAAATTTTTGTGTTGAGGAAATGGAATTTCTATTGTCTGTTCTTAGCGTCGGGTTCAACTCCCATTGACAATTTAATTTCCATTGATTTTTTTTTTACTTTGCTTTTGTTAACTAGAATTCTTTTAATCCTTCTTTTTTACGTGATAGAAACCAAGAGGGAGAATAATTTAAACTCAATTGATATTTGAATTGAACAACTCAACAAAAGTGCTTGTTGAAATGAAGAAAGTTTCTCATGGGAAATAATCCTTTGCAATTTAGCTTTACTCATTTAGATAATGATAACAATAATAATAATAAATATCCAAAGGAACAAAACATAAAGTTTTTTATTATAATAAAAGAAACTTTTTTTACTAACTTCCAATCTTATTCAGAAATATTGATGACTAGTGAAATAATCTTCTTAAACAAAGCTTTGATATTATGATATTCAAATTATTTCTAAACAATCAAAGATGTTTTAATTAAAACAAGAGAGAAGTTGTCAGGAGTTATGTTGCGAGAGAAACAAAACATTGAAAACATTATGTTGTTGTTATATGAATGCAAACTCAACATTATTTGTGAGCTTTTCATTTCAAAACATTTAATTTTCCTTATGGCTTCGGTTTATAAACATTAAAATGTGCATCCATTTATATTTTTCCCTCCCTTAAGGGCTTTTTTCTTCATTTCCTTAGGGAAACACGTCGAATACAATCAAAACAATGATTTCAACATTACACTTGGAGCAATAAAAACTCAAAATATATGAGCCATAAAAACATTATTTAAATGATAAACACTTCAGTGTAAGTCGTAGTCAGGCAGATTCTAATATATTTATATACGAAGCCATTAAATTAGAATATCACAAACATCCAAATTTTATTTGAAAAATTCATATCATTTGAATTTTTAATATTTATGTACGAGATTCTCGAGGTATTCAATAAAGAAATCTTCCTTTGCAGTCAATCAAGCAATGTAATATTTTCTCTCTAGAGTTATCTGTCTTTGTTATTTATACGATTGAAATGTATCTTTTTGTTTACCTTCAAAGTGAAACCTGTTTGATACTTTAAAAAAGCTTTTCATGGGCCTCATTTGAAAGATGAAACAAATTTTCATTACAAATTTGCGAAAACACTTGTGAACGTTGTTGAAAATAAGAAAAAGTTTATGATATTTTTAAGAAAATTTATTATGGGAAAAAACATGTTTTTTCATCACTCTTAGGGTGAAAGCATTCATAAAAGTCTTTCACGTTTGAAAGGATTGTTAAGTGTATGAAATTTATTGCGATTAGAAGCGAAAACAACTTCAATAACTTTACTAACGTCTTATTCGTTCACTCTTTATAATATCGAAGCGTACAAAAACAGTCCAAGTCACTATGCTTTCCCCCTACATCATCATCGTAAAGTAAATTTTTCATTTGCTTAATGTTCTGTAATGAGTACATCAGACGTTTTTGCTTGAATAATGCTTGTTTGCATCTGACATGAACAAAAGAAGAAAAAGCCAAGTGATGTGTAACGGAAAAGTTTTGAACTACTAACGTTCAATGTTTTGGAAGCGAACATTAAAAGCAAAAAAGTGACATATGTTTGATGAGTGATAAAATGAATTAATAATTACTTTAACTGTCTAAAGCAGCGAAAACAATGTTTGAAAAGTGATGACTATAAAATGTTCACATTTTTTCATTTTTAAATCAAGTGAGGAACATTTGGAAGCTTTCAAGTTGACATTGAAAAGCTTTAAAAATTTTGCTATGTAAATAATTGATTAAAAATTCTGTTATGACCAAATAGCTCTTAAAAAGGCAATTTAAATTCATATAATCTTATAGATAGATAGATAGATGTTTGTTTTATTACCGATACGGTACTTTTTGTTTACATGAGCGATTAGTATTTTGCGAGATCTTCTGTCGTAGAAGTAATAAAAAAGAACAATGAGTACCATCATAAAAAGATTACAAAATGCTTTGCAATAATCGAAATGATGTCCAAAGTAATTTTAATGTTGGAGTCGAATCTGATGTTCATGAGGTGTTGGAAGACGATTTCAGAATTTCATTGATATCCTTAAGAAATTCATCAACAATTTCCAGCCTGGCTTAATCGTTGGTTCATGAGAAAATTTCTCATGAAGCCAAACAACGACCATTATGTTTTCAAATGCTGTCTGTTTGTTGTTTGAATGACGACAACGATATCGACTTTGTACATGTCGTAAAAAGACATCAGAAGAACAAGAATGTCTCATCACCATCATTTCGCTCGATGGCTCGTTAATTCATTTTGGAAAAGAAGGAGGAAAAAAATTCCATGATAACACATTCCGGGAGCCGTTTGATGAGAATAATTGTTTCATCTTTTTGTATCATTCGTTGGTTCTCGTTCTTGATGGTCTCATTTGATACGAAAAGACATAAAACAAGATCTTGATTGAATTTTTTTCAATGTTTTCACTTTCGTTGCTTGCAATTTTATTTCTTATTCTTCTTTTTTCATTTCGTTGTATCTTTACAGATGCATTCACGATTCTTGATGTTTGTCTGGCGAAAGAAATTGTTGCTGTTTGCAACTGGAATATTAATGGTGATGGCAATTCTCGTATGGGGATTTGTCTACTCATCTCATGTGAATCATGACGACACCAACAAGGGACTTTCGATAAAGGTAAAGCTTCACATTAATTTATTACACTTAACAAGGACATAAAAATTTAATCAAAAGTTGTCGACTTTTCACTTAGTTTTTGATATCAAAGAATCTTCTTTTTAATTAATTTTAGAATACTTTTAATGACTTAACCGCTTTCATTTCGCTTACAAACTTTTAACAATAAAAGCTCGACATGAATAAAAGATTTTCACTTCTCATGAAGTCATCTCACTACAATTTCATTCTCTTTGAAAATTTATTTCCAAATAAATAAACAGGAACTCATTTTGGATAACAAGCACAGCAGTTTACTATTTAAGCTGGGAGTTGGAGGTCGTGAAAGCAGCTACAACAACGAGCCAATTAGATTCTTTAAGCCAACATTAAGTAATCTTTATTCAATCGGAAAGAAAGGTAATCGAAGCTTGGCATGACTCATGACAAGACTAATCACTCATTTCACATTCAATTTCATTCTCGACAGAGAAATATTTTAAAGATTGGAATAAAATTCTTCTCGATAAAGATGAGAAAGAGCGCTTAGATAGCTTCGGGGTGATTTCGCATGATGATTTAGCGAGACGTAAGATTGCAGATGAAATGAAGATAGCAGTTGACAAGCAGACGAAGTACGAAAGTCAGTTAAAGAAAATGGGAATTCCTGTGATTGTTGGATTGGTAAGTGAAATGATATAAAATTGTTTCAATGAAATTAACAATTAATTATCTTCATCGTTAAGGGACCGACAAATCGTCATCCACCACCGGAAAATCGTCTCGTTCATTTCGATCTTAAAGGTGCACCACTCAAGACAAGTTATTTCCTTAAGATTCTACCAATGCTGAAAGCGTTAGGAGCAACAGGAATCATTCTAGAATACGAAGATATGTTTCCTTATAATGGAATATTATCGTCAATCGCTGCGAAAAACGCTTACAGCAAGAAAAACCTGTTGGAGATTCTTCAAGCTGCAAATGCTTTGGATCTCAATGTAATTCCGCTTGTTCAGACATTTGGTCATTTGGAGTTTGTATTGAAATTGAAGGAATTCAGTCAACTTCGCGAAGTGTCTGAATCACCGCAATCTTTATGTCCAAGTCTCAATTCATCGTTTACATTCATCAATGAACTTCTTACTCAAGTTGTTGAGTTTCACACTTTAACTCAATTGCAGCAGAATATGATTCTGAAACGTAAAGACGATACTTACAAATCAATTCCAAAACTTACACACATTCACATTGGATGTGATGAAGTTTATCAACTTGGTGAATGTCCACGTTGTCGTGATAAGGTTCATGACCAACTTTTTCTTGATCACGTTTACAATGTTGCTTCAATCATTAAACGAAAATGGCCAGAACTTAATGTGATTATTTGGGATGATCAGATTCGTCAAATATCTCTTGAGACTTTAAAGAATTCCGCAATTGGGAAGATTGTTGAGCCAATGATTTGGGTTTATGCAGAAGACATTTACAAGTTTATTCAATCACAAACATGGGACAAATACGCTCAAGTTTTTCCAACTGCATGGGTGGCGGGAGCTTTCAAAGGTGCTTTTGGTGAAACTTTGATGATTCCAAGTGGAAGACGACATCTGGAGAATACTTTACGTTGGTTAGCAATCATTCAAGGTGAAGGTGCAAGGTGATTATATAACATCAAATATTCGACATTTTTAAATTCATTCAATGATTTTTCATGTTTAGATTCCATCAGGGAATGAAAGGAATCGCTTTGACAGGTTGGAGTCGTTACGATCATTTCTCGGTGTTATGTGAACTTTCCCCAGCAGCCATTCCAAGTTTAGCTGTTTGTCTTCACACAGCTTCTACAGGATATTTTGAAGTTGACTCAAAAACCAATCCAATCATACCAGCACTGACATGTCCTGATGCGCCTAGTGATAGATATTTGTGGTTGGATATGCAGAAAGATCCAAATCTTGGTGCTTTCTCGAGATGTATCTTTCCTGGAAGTTCAATCTTCCGATACATAAATCGATTATCGTCACTCGTTACAGAAGCACGTGAATACATCGACTCAATTAAATTCTCACGTGGTTGGTTGAGTGATTACAACATTCGACATAACTTCTCATCTCCAACAAGAATTTTGGAACTTCTCGAAGATCAACCAAGACTACAAGCATCACTAACTAATCTGGCTAGAAGTTTAGCTGAAAATATGGAAGAAATTTATGACCATTGGACGATTGGTGAATACATCGAGCAGAGAATTTATCCATTGATCAATGAGCTTAAGAATCTGGAAAAGGTCGGCGATAGTTTAAGAATGAGAAAAGTTTTTCCTATTCGTCCACTTCCTTATCTTGAGAAATATCTCAAAGAACTTGGAATTACGCAAAAAACGCCTGAGAACTGAAGATTTTTTTAAAGGACTGCGATACCAAATACACTTAGTTATAATTTACTTAAATTTTGATCCGATTAAAAATCGAAATTCATCGTTCTTAGAACAACAAATGAATTTGGAAATATTCTTAACAATTTATTAGTTGGAATTCTAAAATGTGTGTTGACATCTTAAAGAATTTTAGTGCAAAAGAAGAAATGAAAGTAAATTTAATGTTTAGAGATGATACGAATTCATGAAAAAGTATTTACTTAATTGTAGCTGTTTTTGATCCTAGTTTCATGTTTTTTGTACAAATAAAATTACAACATTAAACGATAACAATGAAGTTGTTTATTTGAAAGTTGCAAATTCGTTGTTATTTCCAGAAAAAAGAAAAGCAGTGAGTCCTGAAAATGACATAAATATGATGAAGAGAAGGTTTTAATTGCCTTCAGCAACTTCTTGAAATGACTCACAATATTCAACTTTCATCTGATAATCTTCAAACATTAATCAAAATTAAACTTTTCTTTTTAATAATTTTTTTTTTATTAATTTTTCATTTTCTACTAACATAAATTTATTAATTGTGATCTTATATCATTCATTCATTCATTTATCTTCTTTTTATCATCTTCATCTTGTGGATTCAAAAAAATTCTCATTTTCATTTGAATTTTCATTACAAAATCAAAAAGTTAGTAAAATGTTTTTCTTGTGTTAGTTTTTCCCTTGATATTTATTGCGTGAATCCATTTTCCATATGTGTCTATTAAATTGTGAGAAAACGTTCCTTTATTTTTACTTTTATGATTCAGCTACAAGTTTTCTTTTCTTAAGTTGATGTGAGGGAAAAAAGATATCAATCAAATGCACAACACTTATCAGAAGAACAATACAAACTCGAGAGAAAGAAATGAAAAGCAGAAAATCTTTCATGACGGAATTTATTTCTCTCATAAATCTTTTCTTAATGTTCAAAATGATACATTAAATCCTTTCCCTTAATTTTCTTTTCAGTTCTAATCAACAAATTGTCTAATTTTCTTTAATTTTAATTAACGTTTTCTTTTCATCATTTTTTGTTCACCATTTAACTTTGGCTTCCAAATCTTACCAAGAATCTTACAATGTTCTTTAAACGATTCTAAATTAAACATTTTTACAAATTTTCAATTCAATGAATGTGAATGATGAAAAAAATTTCACCCAAAAGTGCTTCTCACTTAACTAATTTAAATATTTATTCATATTTTATTTCTGCTTACAGTTTTAAATTTTCTTTAAAATTTTTAATTTTCACCTACTTCACAATTAATTATTTTAGAGATATTTCTTACATTTGAAACTCGAGGAAAATGATGGATTAGGAAGGAAACATGGATCACTTTTCTACTTACGAATGAGCCGGGGGAGACAATCCAAGAGATGTAAGAGGGTAGGAAAAGCAATCGTTTTCTTTATTGGCACCACAAATTTGTATTTCTTATAATTCTTTTTGTTATTAAACGCGAGCACAAATTTAACTTTCGAATAAAAAATAGGAAATTAACTAAGAAAATAATAGTTTTCATCATAAAAAAATTATAAAATCTTTCGTTAAAGTAGAAAATTAAAATATAATTCTAGATATTAATTATTTATGTTATCTGATAAAATATACGAGATATAGAGAGGAAGGAAAAAGAAAATATTCAAATTGATAATAAAATATCACATTTTGATTTGCTATTTAGAAAGTAAGTCGACAAAGGGTCGAGGTTGACATGTTTAGTCTTGTTGATAGATTAAAATGTTTAGAGTCCTGAAAATTCCAAGACTTATAAGAGCTTTGAAAACATTGATTTTATTTCCTGATTTTCAGGTAAATCAATTTAATTTTAAGAAAATATTTTGGACGAATTATTTATTTTGTTATTTACAACAAGACCAACCACATTAACCTCAACAACCTCGTGCAAACAAACGTGAAGAAAGCCAATAAAATCTAATATGCATTTAGATAAATTGTAATGGAAGAAATTGTATCGAAAATCACTTTAAATATAACACAAGCTCGATATTCTAAGAACTAAAACCTTAGTGATGATATTGAAGTGCGTTGTGGAAAATATTCAGAAAAAAAGATAAAAAAAATTCATCTTTGAACTAATGTCACTTTAATCTCTTATCAACTATTGCTAGAATAATGCCGTTTTATTAAAAAAAATTCTTTCGTTCCTGTCACTCCTTCCACGTTTGATAAAAAATAAAATTAAGTTTAAACCCTCCATGATATATCGTACATAAAGCCTCAACTAACCGAATCCCAAACGAAGCTACAAAACATTGATTTATGTATTTAAATATGTGTCGAAAGGTTCGCCTAAAATTTTCTTCTCATGCCAAAAAAAGATTTTTTTTCCTTTTTCTGTTTTTTTTACATAATTTGGAAAATTAAATTTCCACAATAAAATCACCAAATATCTACCGTTACCGTCTTGATCAACTATAAAACTCCTTAATAATCACATTCAAGAATTTTTTATACAATTTTGTCGCAATTTCTTTTTGTTTGTGTTAAGGCTTTTCTTTTTTTTCATTTTTTCTTGTTTTGTTCTTGTTGTCCGAAAATATTTTTATAAAAAATATCAATTGAGTGTGAATGTGTGTGTGTGTGGATGCTTTACACATATTTAATTTAATTTTTTTTCTTTCTTGAGGGCGGGAAGGAAGGGATGCATCAGACGCATTTAACTGTTGTGTGGGTGTGTTTGGGTAGATCTTTATTATTTTTAGATTTGTTTTCTATTTGCAATAGTTTTAATTGAGTATCATGAAATGATTGATTGAAAAAAGAAAAATTCTTGAGAAAGTTTCAATCAAATGTTATGTGAAATATTTCCCATTTTTTTCAACATCTACTCAAGTTTTACAATTATTTTATTCCAAACCATTTCATGACAATCAATGTCACTGATTATATTAAATTCTTCAAGTATATGCATTTAAATGCAAATTGTTTTAAAATAAAGTATAAATTGATGGTGATAGGAAAATTCAGTTATCATCATCATCAAGACAGGAAAGTATACGTTGCGGGGGAGTGAAACTTAATAAACTGTTATCAATTTTTCCCTCGAAAAAAAGAACAAAAAATAAAACTTACAACTAATTTAATTTGTTTTGATTTCCATAGTTTTCATGTTCATCCGAAACGCTTCTGAATCGCTTTAATTCTCATTTTCTTTAGTTTTGTTTTAAATGTCAATCGAAATAGTATTAAGAAACATTTTCTTTTATTATTATTTTTACATCAAATTTCTAAACATTTCCAACAACTTTCAACTCATGCTTTTTATAATTTTTCATTAATTTATTTATATTCAACGTTAATTCTAAAATAATTTTTTTTCTTTTGCAATTTGTCATTTTCATTAATTATGTTATCGCATGCCAAAGGAGAAAAGAAAAAAAAATTCGTCCATGAGAACTTCAAATCACTTTTATAATTCAATGAAAAATATTTAAAGATGTTTTCATTTTTCTATCTTTTATCATAAAAAAAAGAATGAAACTTCTTCTCTTACATTCTTAAATTTTCTTTTTCATCATTTCTTGATTATTCAATTAAAATTACTCTGAGAGTTTGACGAGAAAATTTTGTCACTGTGCGGCTGTTCCGGTTTGGTCGCTTTGCGCTGTTGAAAGAATAAAAATTAAATTGAATTAAATTTGATTGATGATTGAGAGTTCAACAAACCTTCACTTGGTGTACAAGGTCCAGCAGACTGCGGTGTAAATCCTGGTTGAGCCATAAACTTTTGACGAACTTCACGAATCTTCAGTTGTAAACTTTGCTTGTTCGGGAAAATATCGCTGTGAGCAATCTAAACAACATAAAAACAATTTATAATATTAAATCAAATAAAAAGTTCATAAACATGAATACCTGAAAGCTATTTGTTGCTTGTGTCGATGGAAACATCCCATGTTCTTGGAACAACTGCATCACCAAATGCCTTCGTTGTTCCAACGTTTTTCTGTGACCTTTTTCATTAGCATCCGTGGTTGCTGATCTCTGCGATGGTGTTTTTGGTGTTCGAGGAGATCGATCATTGTTATCTTCAGCAGCAAGAACAGCATTTACACAATCTAAGATTTAAAAATGAATTAATAACGAATTAGTTACTAAATAATTCTTCACTTACATCTAAGCTGATCAATGTTAAATTCAGGGCCAAAGAAACGATTTCCCATCAAGAATGAAGCTGCTGATGGTGTTGTTGCTGACATGCCACTAAGATCAGATGGTTCATCATCAGTTGCAGCTGCAATTCAAAACAATCACATTATTCGTTTAAATTTTTTAATCATCTCATCAAATTTTACCAGTTTTCGGCATCGATTGTGGCTTCTTACGATAACTTTGTGTGAAGACGTGCGGCGATGATGGCACTGAAATTGCACTCGGCGATTGACAATCTTCCGGTTTAAACTGGGGTAGAAATTTGAACTTGTTTTCAAAGTCAACTTGTTTGAGAACACTGTAAGAAAATCTGGGTTAAAATGAAAGAAAATGTTATGGTATTGTTGTTATATGACAACTCACTTATCCATCTCATCAGTTTTAATCTTTTTGTACATTTTCGTTTTTACCGAAGGCGATATTTGACTTTGAATGTCGTCATAATTTGCTGATGTTGGTGTAGGCAGTGCTGACGGAACCGGATTAATAATTGTGTTTGCAACTGATGTTGTAATCGAATCCATAGTTGGTGTGTCAGGCATTGATGAGCTTGATGATGAATTGGCTGCAAATACGCTTTTGATCAACAAAAAAGTTTCGTCTTGAAAGTATGGTGAATCACCTCGATTTTGTCGTCGTTGTAATGGCGCTTTTCCTAATTGTGCTGGAGTTGGTGCAAGAACGAACTTTTTCTCAGCGGAGTCATCGTTATCATCATCATCAATTTCATTCTGTTCAGTCCTTTCTGAAGCTTCACGTTGCTGATTTGATGGCGGTTCATTTGACTTTGGTGTCGCTGGCAAATTGCGAATTGTTGGTGATTCTGGTTCTTCTTTAATCTTCATCCCTGACTGTATCGACGGCTCGGAATGATGTTGACCACTTGATGACAAATACATATTCGGAATCTTTCCACCATGAATCACATAAGTTGGCTGCGTGGATTTGTTCACCGGATTTTGCATTTGTTGTCCAGGATTTGATGAATGAACTTTTTGGTACACTCCATAATCATCCTGCATCGATGAAAATGACAAACACTGATTGAAAATAAAAGTTTTTCTCTTAAGACATTTAAAAGAAGAAGTCGAAAATAATTTCCTTTTTGTGTTTTTATTTTCCAATGAAATTATTTTCTATTTTTAGGACTGAGAGCTGTCAGCATGATGTTTGCTATCATTCAACTCTCACGAAAAAATGAAAAGGAATTATTTTTGAAACTTACTTGTTGTTGATTCTGATTAATTGCCAACATTATCGACTTCTGACCGCCAGTTGTCATCTGTGTTGCTGCTCCCATGCCAGTTGCTGATGATTGTGAATTTAAATTTAAAACAATTGATTGGATGTGATTCTTGTTAGTGTTAACATCATTCAAACATTTATTGTTAGTGCCAGCACCGTTAGATGACTGACTCACGTTAGTTATCACATGACCATTTTGATTCAACAACAATTCATTCAATGTTCCCGTCAAAACAATGATGCCACCATTACCAATCCCATCAAAGGAAATATTCTTGTTAGCTATTAACTTATTGTTATTACCAGCAGTGACAAAGCTCACCAGCTCATGTCCCACATGTGCTGGTTGATTTTCAATTACGATTGTTTCATAAATAATTGCAGTCGTGCTGTTTCCATTCTCCTCCAGTTTTATGGCATCATAAAAACCAGCACTGTCGTGCGTATCCGTGATTATAATGCCATGATTTTTGTTAGTCTTATCGCTACCATCACATACATTGATAACATTAACATTGGATGATGATTGATTAGTAGAAGAGCATTTGTTAGTAGATGAATCGGATGATGACAGAGAGAAGGAAGAAGTTGAAACTTTTTCATGATTTAATGATGCACATGATGCAACAACATTGACATTCACATTTACATCGTTTACATCCAATTCTTTACCTTCATGATGACGCATTGGCGAATTGTAATGAATACCATTCGACTGTGCATCACTTAGACGATGATGAGCTGATTTATCATCATTTGCTGCTGACGTTGTTGGTACGGTTGGAAAATTGAAGATTGTGTTGTTATTGTTGACACTGTTAGCTGATAAACATTTCGCTTCCATCTCAGCTTTGACGGTTGGGGTTGTTTGTAAGAAGCCTGTCGTCTTGGGACTTTGAGGCATGGTACGAAAAGCTCCACCTGAAATGCATGAAAACATTGAAAATTCTTGGAGAATATGTGGGAGTATATTAAAGCCATTAAAATTGAAGGGGACAAATCAAGGGGTGGGAAAAACAAGTCAAAGGGTAAACAATAAGAATTTAAATATTCAAAACTTACCCTTCGGTTGAAATGGCATGACTCCAATTGGATTCTTTGGACTGTTGTAAGGGAACAACGGTGAATAAAGAGCACTCTCATTCTGATGAAGCGGATTTATTGGTTTTGGCTTTCTTGTTACATCACCAATTGCATAAAAGCTTTGATCTTTCTGATATGATGAGCTCTGCAAGTGAAAAAGATTTTGTTATTGACAATTTTATGACATATCGAGAAAAGTATAAAACAACAATACTCGATATCTCATTTACTTACTTTATCATCAGCATTTGATTCAACATCAGAGTCAGTAACTTTTTCAGCACATTTTAAGTCTATTTCCATTGCTTCTTGTTGTTGCTGTTGATATTCTTGATGATCAGATTGTTGCATGTGAACATCTCTTTCTTGTTTATCGTGATGAACTCCTACAATTATAAAAATAATGATTCTCATTTCTAAATGCATTTAAATACTCAACTCACCATGTTTTTCTGATTCCTGATTCTCAGCAAATTCCATTTCCTCATTAAGACTACTGAGTGCTGATGAAGCATTATCTGATGGCTGTAAATGATCAGCTGGTGTCGTTGGACTTTTCTCATCATGAGAATCCGTTCCATCAAGTGAATTCATTCTTTCTCTTGAATCTTTTGTTGAACTCGATGATTTACGACGGTCCTTTGAGCACCATTTCCACTCAGGATGAGCTTTGAAATGAGCTTCTTTAACTTCACTAGCCAACTCGTGATACTTTGTCTTCTCATCAGACTTTAATGCATACCACCATTCACCAAGAATCTTACTGACAGTACGATTATCTTGATTTGGATGTTGTTGGTGAACCATCGCACGATGACGTTTCGAAAAGATCATAAAAGCATTCATTGGTCGACGAATACGTGGATCCTTCTTACAACTTGGACTTTGAGGATCTTTGCCAGCTTGCAATGCACTCAGCGACTGAGATCTTCCTTTCTTTGTGTTCTGTGTTGTGTCATTGTCGACTTTCATCGGTTCAAGTCCACTGAATGGCTCTTCAGATCCTGTTTGAAATATTACTGAACGCTGTTGACCACCATTCGATCCACCACTTGTTGTATGCTGTTGATGTTGTTGTTTTTGTTGGGAATTCTTTAAATCCACGGGTTCAGCAACAAAAACTTCATCATCATCTCCACTCATCTCTCCTTCATCAACTGGAACAGCAATACTGCTTGATGGAGCTGCTGGTGGTCCATTTCCATGTTGAATTTGTTGTTGATGATGACTTTCTGTTGCTTGTGGTGGTGGCGGATGGATGACCGGCAACAATGTGTGCCATTGATAGACTGAACCCGTGTTAATTCCGTTTTTTGTCACCGGCTTTGGATCGACATGAATTTGCGACGATGTCGTATGAATTGTTCCATTACTAATACTCATAGTAGATGTTGATGGTGGCAACAATGGAACTAAATGCGTTGGATCCACTATGACGGGATGAAATGGCTGGAATTGGGTGCTTGACGCTGGGGAAATTCTAATAACACTTGTTGCATTCCCATGTCCAACAATTGATGTTTGCTGCTGATGTTGTTGCTGTTGTGACATTACAGCACTTGAAGCTGACGAAGTTGTTGTCGTAATGGAAGGAGCTGAAACAACTTGTTGAATCGATGGAACATGATGTTGTACTTGAGGTTGTGGCTGCGATGGTCTCACCAATTCTGGTCGAATGACTTGTGAATGTGGCATATTATAAAGTACAGGACTTGGTGTGTTATTATTTTTATATTTGTTATTTGAATCACCATGTGTCGCTGCGTCACCAGCACCAATCGGCATAAAAACATTCTGTCGATTACCAACAGAAACTGGCGATTGATTTGCTATCAATGGTGATGTTCCATGGCCTGTTGGTGATGAGAAGGCTGGCGTTGCCGAGCGAGAACTGCTAAGCGACACTAAAAGTTTGTAAAAAATAAATAAAAATAAAAATAAACACTTAAATATTTTGTATACAAAATGTAGCTTAGAATATTCATTTACTCAAGCATTTCAAATATAATTCAGCACCACGATGATCATCTACACTAAAATCCATTTGTTTTATATTAAATTGTTTTTATCTTTCAATTTTGTCAATTTGCGAATAAAAAGTTTATTTTACGAAATTCGCATTATTTATTTATCTTCGAGTTTGTTCCTGCGTTAAGCTCGATTGATAAAATGAAACTGCGAACAAAACTTCAGAAAAATAAATAAAATAGCGAAGAATGAGTTTGAAAACAAAAACAACAGAGAGATGTGTTGTCGTAGGAATGTTTCAATTTCGAGTAGTGTATGTAAGTTACTTCGTGCGAATTGGGAGAAGAATGAGAATCAGATCCTTAAACTCCCAACAAGGGGCAGGTCATAAAAGAAAGTGGAAGAAAAACATTATATTGAAAGTTTATTTTAAGCTCATATTGATTTACACTCATAAACTGTTGAAATGCATAGCATAATCAAAACGTGTGAGCTACCCCTTGGTATTTTCAGAAGATTTTATGAAGAAGGTTGAGAATGTGTGCTGTACGCTCTCTCGAACAATCTGATCAGAAGTTAAGAGAAAAGTGGCGTATTTCAGATATCTGAAAATGTTCTTATCAGAAAATCAAAATGTCAGGGAATGGAAATATCTATTTTAGTATTTTAGTACTAATTACTACCCAGGGGAGAGTTAGATAAATTATGTTGGAATTCAAAATCTAAATTTATCTATGTTGACAATTTTTGAAGGATTTTCCAGTTCAATAGCAAATAAATCATCCTCACGTAAATGGAGATTGAATTCTTACGTAATGTTGAAGAGATTTAGGAGGTACAGTCAACCCTTGATATTGATTCAGGTGATTGAATTTTATTCCAGGCAACGTATTATCGAGTGAGATTTTTTATCGATAGAATCTCTTATCAAGGGTTCACTGTAATAAGAACATTTCATAAAACGTGACCTGAACACAACGTTTCTGAAAATTATCAATTTTAATCAATTGAATTCTCTTGTCTCATATTTTGTATGTGTCATTGTTACAAGCGGAAACAGAGTTTCTTATGGCTATAACTCAGGGATGTATTGTCATAACTTATTATTTCAAATAAAGAGGGGAAAAAATCTTTCTTCATGCATTTGACATTAAATTTAATTATCCGCAATAATAAACGTGGGATTTTAATGAGAAATTCAAAAATTCGAGAACATCCTTATCAAAAGTCTATTCTATCTATTCTACTATTGAAACTTTTCGTTAAGAAAACAATTTTAGGAAATCCTACAAAATACTTTCTGAATAGAGCATAAATTGAAACGAATTACATCGGCCCACTTCATCGAAACTGAGAAAAACGTTGGAATTTAAAATAACTAAATAAAATCTTCAACCTACCTAACATGTTGGCTACGTCTGTTTCTTCTTGATCGAACTTTCCAGCTACTCGATAATTAGGTGATGTTTCAGAGTCCCTGCTCGTGTCTTCATCACCTTGTGTTTTACTACTTGAACGACTTGCAGAATAATGATTTGACGGCCCTGTTGACGACCGTAAAGCATTACCTTTCTGACTCAAATGACGTGAACAAAATCCTCGTCGCTGTGACTCTTTTGTGCATGAATCGTTTGAGCATAACCGTCGCCATTGTTTACCATTAAATTTCTTGCGAATGCCATTTGGCGTGGACACAACATCACCTTTTTTGAAACGATGTGGCGTATTTGCTTGAGATCTGTCAAGTATTAAAATAGAAAATGAGAAAATAAGTAAAATAAATAAATAATTGTAAAAGGTCATGTTTTCATTCAAAGGATGCTTGGGTTGGGCTGAGGAAATGTTTTGAAATTTCTTTCATCAAGCATGTCTAAAGATTTTACATTAAAAAAGAAAAGAAAATTCGTTTACCTTGGCGTTGCTGGTTGAGATCGTGGAGTTAAACTTCCATGCTCGATGAGACTTGATGTGCTACCGCGACTCTGCATACTGCTTCGCTTGCTACTCCCTGAATACTTCTCTTCACCATCATTTGAAAAAGTGATATCTTCACGTCTCAACTCGTCATCAGTTTCATATTCATCATCATAAGGTCTTGTTGACGAATGTCTTCGATAACTATCATCGTTGAGTGGACTTGTTGTGTTCATACCTGGCGGAAGTTCACCACCAGATGTTGTTGCTTCATGGATTTGCGATGACGATAAGAATGGTGACGTAGCTGTTGTTCTATAATAATCTTCATGTGATGAAAGCGATGGCATCACTTGATGAAGTTGAATTGAATTCGGTGCTTCATATCGTTGAACATATGTTCTTGTCGCATTTGCATTCGACTTAATCATATTCTGTGGTTCATTTCGATAAATAATTGAAGCACCACTACCAGGATGAAGCTGCTGATCACCAGCTTTATTTACCATAATAGAAACGACGCGCTGCGTCTGTGGTTCACCTTTTGTGATGCTTCCCATTTGTGTCACTTTTACAGTTGATGTTTCTGTTTGCTCAGCAAGCTCATCCCACCATGGCGGTAACATCAACCGAAGTTCCATTCGTTTAACAATTCGACGTTCTTGAAGATTCCCACGAATCTGAACAGCGATTTGCTTTGTTAAGGGAAGAATTTCTACAACATGACCTTCAATGAAGACATCAGTTAGAAAATCGGTAATCACAGTGCGAATGCATACACGTTGGTTGATATGAAACTGTCAAAAGATAAAAAATGATTTAGTTAAAGTCTATTAAATGTTTCTAAGAAACTTACATCAGCCATTGATGGTACTCGATCGCTTATAACATCAAAACGACCGCTTACAAATATATCCTGATATAACTGTTGTTGCCCTTCAGGATGTTTAAGCTTTACGAGTACACTATTCGGTATATTTGTTGGTGCAATCTCACCCGGCACATAAAAGTCCTTTCGCTTTGCTAGTACAGGATGTGACACCCACTCCTTGAGATCAATGAAATCGGCTTGCTCAACAACAGACGTCTGTTGAGTTGTCACAACTTGTTGTTGACTAGACGATGCTATTGCTTTTGTGTGATTTGTTGCGGGACTTTTTAAAGTAAAGAAAGGAACAAAAATTAAATTGTTGTTGAAGATTTCATTTAAATCTAAATGTTTAATTACCTGTAATTTGAGAACTGTTGTTTCTTTATCACTTGTTGAACATCATTTGTGTTTTTCACGACTTGTGTAACCATCGTTGGATTATATGTTGAATAATTACTGCTGTTACTACTGCTGCTCACTAAATGATGATTTCCATTTCCGTTAAGACCTTGGACAGGAGTTCTTTGATAGACGAGTGTTGTTGATGATGTGCACCCAGATGATACTGGAGGCGCTGAAATTGTCACTGGATTGTTACAAACACTCGCCGTTGGCTGTTGTTGCTGCTGTTGATTCACATCTTCCAACTCCGATAAATCGAATTTTCTCTTTTTCGGGTGGAGACGAGGCGGTTGGACATTTGTTGTTTGTTGTTGTATCATTTTGTTATTTACATTCCCATCAGCTAAGGATGATGGAACGGAGAAAGTGTTTTGTGCATTGACAGACGATGCTGTTGTGGCGATTATGACGGGAATCGATTGTAATGATTCACTAATATTGAGTGGTTTTGAAACAACAAAGAGTTGGTGTTGTTGATAGTTTGTTGTGCCAACACTGCTGATTACAGATGCTGGAATCTATAATAAAAAATTATTATTCTTTCAATTTAATTTTCTTCTACTTTTAATCAACATTCACGTTTGCAAGATAAACTCAAATTAAATTAAATTAAATTAAAGAGGTAACAACACTCAACCATTTCAGATGCATCCAAGTGAATCATAAAATCCCATCGGAAATTTGCATTTGAATTAAGTGCTTCAAGTCGCTAACTTTTTGCGATATCTTTCTTTCATTTATTTTCATTTTGTTTTATGGTTCTGTGAATTTTGATTCCGCCGTCTGATTAATCATCATCATCATCATCATGAAGTTTATAATTTGTAAGCGGAAATGGCCAGGATGGGATTTGGAAAAACAAATAGTATCAGAAGCCACAATCCTTTGTTTTGATGATAATGAACGGGTAGACAAATACAAAATATGGAAGCTGAAGGGCCAATGACCCAGACACTAAATAATGCTGTTAATACAAACGACCGAGCGAGCGAGACAAAATCATGCACATATTTATAGTTTGAATCACAAAGAAGGTTCAATACGATTTCCAATGACGAATGCTTCAGATTCTTTTTATTATTATTTCGAGACCATCGCAGGTCTTTCACCTTCTGCTCAGCCGTTTTCATCCCCAGCTTCATTTTACTTTATTCATTTACACATGCACACACACTCAAGTGCCTACAAAACTCTTTAAGTTTTTGGGGTAAATATTAATTAAAAAAAGAAAGAAAGAAAAAAGCTTTTTCGCACGAAATTTCAAGAATCTTCCCGTGAACAACGATGATTTCATCCTCGCGATAACACTTCTTGTCTTTATCTTTCAACTATGATGAGAATGAATTTTCTCGAGATCATCACGTTTTTCTCAAAACGAAGTTTTCCGGTTTCTTTTTTATTTTATTCTGTGATGAAATATTTTAATGACGTTACGCCGAAACGTGAAATCAACAAAACATACATAAGTTAATCAATCATCGCCTAATTCCACGGTCACTAAAAAGTCAACTTAAGCTTGTTGATATTCTTTTAACTTCTCGCTCACTTTTCACATTTCTTCGATTTTTTTTCCTTCTTATGTCGTTGCCAGCACAAACAAGACAGAAATGACCTTGACTAGTGGCATCTCTCTCCCTCTCTTTTCTTTCACGGATTCTCAACAAAGCGCGAGTGTCATGCTAAACCATTTTCTCTCGCTTCTGAAGGTGAATTGAACAATAAAAGATTTATTTATCAATATCAAGCGCTTCATGTAACTCACTTAGCACCGTGACAACAAAATTCACTTATCATTTCAAAGACATCTTTTTTCTACTGACTTTTTGACATTACGCATGACTGCTGGAAGCTTTTTTACTTTTTTGAATTGGATTGAAGCGGACAAAAATAAAAGCAGATTGTGACCGCGATTTTGTCTCACATGAATAACAAACAAAGCTCCCCCTCCCTCTTCCGAGCATTGAAAATAAAAAAAACATAACTAAATATAAGTTGCGAATCGTTGTACCGAAAAATGTAAACGAAGTGAGCGTAACGTAGAATCTCGCGCTACATTTACATTGAATACTAGATATTGCCATGGTCATCATAAAGAACAAGTGATTTCATCATTAACTTTACAAGCCAACTCTTTACTGCCGATTGATGCGGGGGATGTTGAATAATTATTAAAGTAACAGAATTTAAATGGCTGGTTTAATATCACAAGCACAGACATAAATTTATAAGAAAATCAATTCTAAAGTATTTCTCATGTATAGAAACCTTCAAATTCAATATAACTCGACTCTTCAATTTGCTATCGGCACTCGAGCAAATTTGAATGAAAATTTTAACAGCTCATGTCATTAGAAGCTTTTTGAAATCGTCACTTGAGGAAGATAAAACAAATTACAAGCACACTTCACTGTGTTCAATCAACTCTGATCTTTTCATGATCTCTCGCCACAAAAAAAAGAAAAAAAATAAAGTTGTGAGCAAAGGAATGAACGAATAAACGACGAGAAGGCTTTTAATAAGAAGATCAATCAAAAGAGAATAAAACCAGTAAAATTCTTACCTCATCGTCCAAGTTTCCATGCTGTCGCTGTTGCTTCTTACTGCTTGCCGCGTTTGTTTTCTTATTATTACAAATGTTACTCAAATTGCTACCAGATTCCGTTGCCGTCGACGTTTCGGATTCCAAGCTTGAGCTTGATGATTGTTGATTTGTTGTTACAGGTACAGATTCTAAATTCGTTGGCTGTGCTGCCTTTACGTGCATTTCTTTCCCTTCACTGATGTGTGCTGGTTACACAACATTGAGAACTCTTTTCTTTATGCACGCACACACATGTGAATAATCATGTGCTGGCCCTTTCAGTCGTTTATTTTTTTTTCTTTTGTTCTCGGACACTTTTTCAAAGAACTTTTCTTAGTCAAGAATTTCTTTTATGATTTTTTCCTTCTTTCTTTCTTTTTTATTATTTCACAAATTTTTGTTTTCATTCACATTCAATGTTCATTTGCACATCTTTTTTTTCTGTTGTATCCAAGAGGGTCCGATGAGTGTCATCACCTAAACCGATTTTCAGCTTTATTTAATTTTTTTTTGGCACATTTAGTGAGAAAAGTGAGGAAAAAATTCCAAGCGGATGGGAAAAGAAATGACAGAAATAAATCAATTAATGAGTGGAGCTGAACGCTTTGTTGGTGATTAAAAACTCTTTTTTTTCCTCATTTAACTCAGACAAATTTCATTAAAACATTTTTTTCCAAACTTCTTTTCTTGTTTGTGAGTTTTATCGATTTGAATACACAGGGAAAAATATTTTCACACACTTCATTGCGGTTTGTCAGTTTATTTATTTATTTATTTATTCGAAGGAAACATTTGATGATGGCGAATGAGAATTTTCCATTGATGAAAAGTTTTTCTCACAACATGCCAATGTGTTGTTTTCGTTTGCTGTTAAATTTCCCATAAAACGACAAATTTTTTCCCCCCGCTGCCAGACGCCTCTGTACGCAAATTAGTTTTCGATATTAGATGCGAGAATGAAACTTAATCGTGTTCCAAACTTGCGAGATTTAAATGATTTAGCAGCTTATCGCTTCGTTTACTACAAATTCAATTCACGAAAGAGTGTTGTTGCTACTTGCGACTACAAATTGGAAACGAGAGTAAAATAAATGCACGCAGTCACTATACAAAATGATTCCATCTACTACCGAGTAATTATTACTACTCGACAGCAGCATTCAGTTCAGTTCGCTCTCCTTCTCTCTGCTTTGTGTGTTTTTTTTTCTTCTCGCGTATTCGTTATTTAGACAAGCGTCGTATAGGAAGAAGAAGAAGAAGAATGAGAATCATATAAAAACGATCAAAACGAAATAATCACTTCATAAGAATAGGATGAGTTTTGTCTTGCCATACAAACAACAAGTTTAGGCATGTTTTTTTGACGTTGTTCTTTCTTTTCATTTTCTGACATTCGGTGAGAGTGAGAAAGAGAGATTAATCGCGTTAAAATGAAAGCACAATTTGCGTGGGTTCATTTCTGCTGATTTTACGCAATCATTTAAACGAACGAGGTGAATTTATTATCAGATATTTATGAACTCATTGGTTGAGGCTTTTCTATATGACTTGAGCATAAAGCAGAAGAGCGAAAAGTGAAAAAGGGAATTAATGAATGGAACCAAATAAAAAGAAATGTTCAAGAAAATGTTTGTCCAATGATAAACTTTTACGATTGTTGTAGATAGTTCGTCGTTGTAGTTGCTTTTAATAATGAAAATGTTATTCAACAATTAAACGTTTTAATTTGACAATCGCATCATGTGTGGGTTGTACATCGTTTGTTCCCTTACATTATTTTTACTACTACTACTATTTCTACTACTACTGCGTGCATCATTAAAAAGTGAACTTTAATTCACAAACAAAATAATAAGAAAAAGAAAGAAAGAAATGAATCGTGAATGAAAAGTTAAAAAAATAAATTCGAGGTGGTCAAACGATATGAACTAAAAATTTTCTTTCTTTGATGCATTCAGAATTCCGATGAGCCGCGAAAATGTGTTTTTCTTCTGCTATTTCAACAATTTTTGTTTTTCATTGATTGCGTTATTTCACATTCGACATCGTCTCACACAGGAAGAATCTTCTCATTATTTTTCTTTTCTTTATTCATGCGCTAATCTTTTGTCTAGAAAATCAACCTTCTTAGCTTCTTGGCTATTTGGCACGAGCTTACGAGACATTAACCAGCAAACCAGTACACACAATAGGCATCGTCGCAAAGAAATAATTTTTTTTTGTATAAAAGGAAACTTGTTTTTCAATCGATACTTTTTTATATTTTTCTCTCGTCTCTGTCTTTCACAGGTTTTTTGTATGATTCACGTTACGTTTGTGTTGGTTTTTGTGAGTCCTATCGAAACTGATTCTCTTCGTATTTTTTTTTTCTTTACTTCAACTAATGCGTCTAATGAGACAAATTAACAACTTATTGATTAAGATAACACTTTTTTTTGATCATATTTGACACTCACTTTTATTGCACGACGAACTCTCCAAACTTGAAATCACTTAAATTCCTTGATAGGCCCGCAAATGAAATAATAAGAGGAAGAAAAAAAAAGTGTTTGTACAATATCTTAGAATTTTGTCATTTGCTGGCAACTCCTTGCTAATTTTAACTTCAAATATTCATTTGCACACACGATACATTTGTAATTATGACCAAATTCTCCAAAAATAAACAATTAAACCATTTTTAATCATGTCCGAATACAAAATTTACTACAGACGATCGAAAAATGTTGGGACACTTTGAAAACTTTGTCACACGATGAGGGGGTGTGAATTAAGAAACAAGAAAAATTTACTTTCGGTATATAGAAAACAATAAATTGCATTAAATCTTGCGCAAATCCATTTAAGAAAATGTGTAGGATATGTAAACAAAGAACTATCAAATGCTGACTGCAATTAAAGATGGTCCCCACATAATGGCTGTTTTACAGCCCTTTTTTGAATTTTTGTCCGTTACAAAAACATAGAAGTTAGGCCTTTTTTTCTCAAATATCATTTATTAAATTTGTAAGAAATTTGAAGTTTTTATTTTTTTATATTAATTTGTTGCGAATACATTTAAGCAAAGGGGATAGGAAAATCTTTTATATTTTCTTACATAAGGAATGGAAAAGAATAGTTCTTTTTAACAAAACAAAGAAATATGATTTTTAACATAGACATAAAGAAAGAAAATATGAGAAAATTAATGATTCGAATTAAACATCAATGGGGACAAAAGGAAACATCAATATGAAATTGAAAATACAAGAATGAACAAACTTTAAAATCTATGGCCTGATCTATGAAAGTTCTAAATTTCCAAGTTAATTACGATACTCTCATTAGTTATGCTTTCCTCGTCATGATTTTCATCAGCACTTTGTCACATGCATTTAAATTCAGTCTCAATGTCGACACGGCATATAGGACAGTGTTTACTTGTGACCAACCATTGATCGACGCAATCACGATGAAACAGGTGCATGCATGGCAAACGACTGAAAAAATTATTAATTAGAGAAAAAAAGTATTACAAAATATTTTAATTGAAAGTTCAAAGTCTGCCTTTGCATCAACTTACCGAACATCATTATCTACTTCGAATTGTGAGAGACAAATTGTACACTTTTCGCTATCTTCATCAGCTTCACTAGCCCGACGTAACTTCTTATATTTGTGGGGCAATGTATGAATCTCAATTGTTTCCTGATCAAAAGAAAAGACAAAAAAAAAATTGTTTATAAATACCTAAACCGGAAATTCTTTGATGAGTTTCTTAAGAATCTTACTTGAGTTGCGCCACGATTAGCACGTTCTTCAATGACGCGGACAAAACGATTTAATCGCGTCAATAAATTTAATGGCTGATTCAAACGTTCTTGCCGAAGCTATAAATTAAAACGAAAAAGGAGAAAAATTCATAAATATTACTTACAAATTATTGAATAAAATTTTCTTACTCCAATTGAAAGATGAACATGTGGAGGTGGATGAGAAATTGAATAGTGCATGTGATGATGGATGTGTGGTTGACTTGCATTATCCTGATTGTCGTTAAACCTAAAACAACAAAAAAGATTAGAAAATTATTTTGAAAATTTGGCAATTTCTTTCAATTTTGATTTGATAAAAACTTGTCAAATACCTGCGACTGGAAAAACGAAAACATTTTTGAAACAAAAAAGTAAATAAAAATGAAAAGATTTAAACTCACCATGGTGCCACTCTTCGATGCCTAGCATGGGCATTCTGCTGTTGCTGCATGTTTCGACGATCAACTGCACTCCTTAAACTATCGGTCCAAGTTGTGTCGTTATTATTATTGTTATTATTGTCACTTATAGCGGTAACTAACCTATGTTGACCAATCTGTTCATTTATGAACGGTGGTGGTGGTCGTAAAGCAGCTTCCGCCTCTGAAGTGAACGATGGTGACCAGTAATGACGTCGAATCTCTTGCTCTTGATATTGACGACGCCATAAATCTTCATGAACTGCATATGGACGACCGTTTGACATCGAATAAAAGTCACGAGCTAAACGTCTTGGACGATTGTAATGATGACCTTCCGTCATAAATGGACAACGTCCAACATGTTGACGACAATTTTGTTCTCGATTTTGATGGGCATGTGGTGGGACTACTTGATCATGTTGACTTTGGCCAACATTTTCATGTGGCAATTGCAATGAATGTCGTTGCATTATCGGGTGTGGTGAATAAAAGTTTGCTGTTGGCATATTACAACGTCTTCTTTGATGATTTGTTCCAGAACCTTGCGTTTGAACTCTTTGATGTAGAACTTGGACTGGAGGAACAGAACTTTCGTTAATTGTATTTAAAGCTACTGGATCGGGAACGACGGGGAGACTCGAAGAACTTTCACGAATAAATGGTGGAATATAATTTTGTCCATCATACAACATCACATCATTTCCTGTGATCATATTACGAAAGTTTGTTTGTCTTGTCGGTGCTGGTGTGATAGGTTGAGAAGGAATATCGATATAAACACGAGGTGGAGATGAAATTCTTATCGGAGTTTGAGCAACGTGACCAGAAGAGGTAGAAGCAACGGAAGACATAATTGGAGTGCGCTGAGTGTTGACTGTAGTCGCATGAACTCGTTGAATTGGTGGCATTGACAGAATTTGATGGCATCCCATGAAATTTCTTCGTGACATTCCACCAACTCCTTCATCACTCGATGTTGAATTGCAGGCGTTGTGAGTTGAATAATCACTAGCAGTGACAATCTCTTTCCTATCTGTTGTGGTTGATGATGTTGTTGAAGTTTCTATGGCATCATTTGGTGACAATGCAATGTCTGAATCAGAATCTGCAGTTAAATCGATTGGCGCTGTTCGATCACTAACGAAAATGACATCATCATCATCTTCTGGTGATGAATCTGAAAGCCAATCAAGTTGGAGATCAGGAGCAGTTAATGCTGCATTGCTTTCGTTTCTATCATTTGAATGATTTCTTGGTTCATCTTCTATAAGGATTGGCATCGATGATGGCTGATCATCAGAATCATCTGAATCCGATTCGTAATAATTGTGCTTTTTAACAGGTGCAATAATTGTTTTTCTTTGTTGCAAACCACTTGGACCCGGAATCATCGATGTATCTATAGAAGATGAAGATCCTCCAGCTGTATCTGGTGGCGATTGATTAAGTTTTTTACACTTTGGTGCTCCTTTTGAGCCCAACACAGGAAAACAATTGAAACAATCACAAACGATCTCTTTCTTTGTTTCCAAGTTGAGATAATTCTTTGGATTGATGCTTGTTGAGCTATCACATGCTGATGAGTCGCTGGCGCACTCAACTTTGACGAGATTTTGAGCTTGATTTGAGTTTTCATTTGCAAGGAGATTTAGGAAACTTAACTCTTCTTCACGATTTCCCGATCCACGCTTCTTCAACGGCATGTTTCGATTTCTCGTCTTTTGACTTTCAATTAGAAAAGTTTCGTTTGCTTTTCGCTTTGCCAGATTAGACATTTCATTTGCATGATGACGTTTTCTGCTCGCTTGATTATTTTGTCCATCGAATTCTTCTGTTTCGCCTCCTGAACTTAGATCGATTACAGGATCAGCTGGAGTTGGTGTATCAACAAATATTCGATTAAAACTGTTGCCATTCAATAAGTTGCTGAATGTTTGTGAACTTCCAAACAAGGTACTTTGTTGCTGTAAATGAAACCAACATATTCATACATTTAAAGGTCAAATACATTCCAAAGCTTTGCAGCAGGTTTAGACTCCGACTTACATATAAGTTGTTGCTAGAAGCGAAGAGGGAGTTGTCCAGTGGCTCAAGATCACCTGTAGATTGAAACAGTGTTTTTTTAAAATAACTTCACTGTAATTTGTCATATTTATAGTCAAAAAAATCCTTCATACCTGACTGATCTTCAAAGCCAAGATCCAAATCCAACGTACTACCGATGAATTCCATTTCAACCCTTTCACAATCTAAATTTCTTTTCAAATTTATCAAATTCTTAGTGATTACGTCTCTTATAATAGGCACAAACTCGACACAAATGTTTTTTCTTGAGAATTTTTATGACTTTTACGATTTTTTTCATTCGTTCTAGGCGAACAGAGAAAAATAACAAAAAATATATAAAACTCCAAATTTAATCAGCTTTAATAGAAATATTCAGATGTATTTTAAGCTGAAACGATGAAAGTCCTGTTTTGGAAAGCTTCATCTTTTTGCTTGACGTAATTTCAAGAAGTAGTAATCTTAAATTTGAAGACAATTTAAACACGACAATGAAAGAAGACTTTTTACGAACTTTGTTAAAAGAGTGCAACAGTATCGTTGGGAGACTGTTTCAAACTTTTGCATAAAATGTAACAAAATATTGGAATGCTACGCAGTAGAACGACAGACACGACAGAACCTTTTAATACCTTTGATTTCCACAATTTATCAAATAACAACTTTCTATGTTTACTGAAGAACAGCAAGGAATTCATAACTTCATCAATTCATATCAAAATTTAGAATTATACAATTGAAAAAATACTTTGCCGTCATTTACAAACTGAGCAGTTTTGTATTCATAGTTGTGCTCCCCTGTTCAGGACAAAGCTGAATTCACATTTATTTAATCATATTAAATTTATAATACAAATCGAAATTCACAATGCCGAAAAATAAAGGAAAAGGAGGAAAAAATCGTCGTCGTGGAAAGAACGAAAATGAGTCAGAAAAACGTGAATTGTTGTTTAAAGAAGACGAACAAGAATATGCACAAGTCACAAAAATGCTGGGTAATGGACGTCTCGAGGCGATGTGTTTTGATGGTCAAAAGAGACTGTGTCACATTCGAGGTAAACTTAGGAAAAAGGTAAGCAAGAAATATCCAAGATTTATTCTCACTATAAATATAAAAATTGCGAAGATGAATATTTTTCAAAAATGGAGACTTTCTCATTAATTATATCAACGTTGTTTCACATTGTAATGAAAGTAAATTTTCTAATAAAATACATGGCCGCGTTTTTGTGTCCTTGTGAAGGATTTATTTATGAAATGCACTTAAAACCTCAATGATCTTAAGATCCAGTTATTTATTATTGACGATTACTAAAAAAATAAGAAGAAAGCATTTTTAAAAGAATGTTGGCATGTTGACTCATTTGATAACAAAAAACATAGATTGATCGTTGAAAAATATTTATTTATGCTCGTCGATATGCAACGTTGGCGAAAAGAAAGTACAAAGGTCTGATGAAATATTCATTTCCGTGGAAATAATAAAACAATTTTAGGTCTTAATCATCTGCATAATTAATGAGAATTCGTGTGGTTGTGTCAACATTCATTAATTCATCATTTGTGTATTTTCAGGTTTGGATAAATCAGGGCGATATTATACTTGTTGGATTGCGAGACTATCAAGATAAGAAAGCAGACGTCATATTCAAGTACACACCAGATGAAGCAAGAAATCTGAAAACGTACGGAGAGTTCCCAGAATCAGTACGAATAAATGACACAGTGACATTCGTTGAAGGCGATATGGATGATGAGATCGAGTTCGATGATTACAGCAGTTCTGATAACGAGGTAGATCCAGTCGACGCCATCTGATCTTCAAAATATCAACAACAGTCAACAATTTAACAGAATAAAATTCAATCACGATTTTGTTGAACTTCATCTCCTTCCAACCAGTTCTTATTATTGTTTTTTTCTATTATTCTTCCTAGCTCCAAGATATCCAATCAACAAATCATTGAACAATTTCTCTTCCTTTACACTCTTTATTATTGTTTATTTACTTCCCCAAATGTTAACTTCTCATGTTCCTAGCGGAATTTGTAATTTAGATTGTTTAAATATTTCTTTTTTTTCTCCAATACTTCTCATTGAAATGTTCGAAAAATAAAACATCTTATTGTTGTAAACCGTATTGGAAAGTGATTTGAGAATGAATAAAATCTTGATGTGTTATGAATTCAATCTTGAATCCAAGCAGGAAAGATGAAATTTATTGTTCGTTTACTGATTTTTGTTTATTAAAGAAAATCGCAAATTTATTTATTTTTTGGAAAATTTTCAGAATTTTTCTTCACATATTTACATCATTTCTCAAGTGGTAGCTTATGATGTCATCATTTAATTAGATCATACATAGGAAATTAATAAAATGTTTAATTTGCATAATTCAAAAAAGTTTAATTTTCATTTTGACCTTAAATCGAACCTTTCATGCTTGAAATCTTCTTTTTTACATTGCAACTGAGAATCACTCTCGATGACCGTATTTTTAACGATGTGTGTGGTTCCAAAGCTGTGTTGTTATTATTGTCATGTAGTAAATTCAACACCGGAGTTTCTAACGCAGAGAAGAAAACACCCAACACATGTTCTAATAAAGAAACGAAAAACTTCGCAGTTAGTGATCGGGTAAGACTTGCTTTCATATGCCGTACGCGAGAGACTCGTCAGCGCTCAGCTTTTTTTTTAATTCAGTTCCAAAACAATTCTCAGTCAAGTAGGTTGAAGTTTCATTGCGCGATAGCATTCTGCTGTTTTTAAGCAACACTTAAAAATTTTATTTTCCGGATTTTCCCGAAAAAGTTTGACAAAAAATCTATTTGGATTGCAAGAAAAACATTTGCTTTTTGTGTTTTGATTAATGTTACAAAACCCGCGAGAGTCAAGAATATAAAATTGCGCGTAAAATTTTGTGACCTTAGCTCATCGCACGTTAATAACTGCGTTGTCTCATATGAATTGAATGAGACGACTATAAGAGGTGAGAATTTGTGAATCGATGAGACAATAAATATTTACGTTATCAACATTCTTTGAATTGTTAATGAAAGAAGTTTGACTTTATCATCATGTCATCAATTCGACACACTAAATATGTTGTTTTGCAACAATTTAAGTTTCTTAAACCTCCAATCGTGTATTCGTGCGGTGAATAATATTTTGGAAGCATCACCAAGAGGCGTTTGACTCCTAAAATGGTTACGTGTTGGAGGCTTTTATTTCATTATTAACTTTTGGGATTAGAAAATTGGAAGAAATTTAAAGAAATAAAAAATCTCAACAAAAGTACCGTCAAATGACCATGATTTTGACTCTGAATCATCACGCGCTCGCTCTCAAAATAAAAACGATTCGTTTGCTTGTCAATTGATGAAATATTTTTATCACTCGCTAGGAAGAGAAATAAAAATTTAATTTTAACCTTTCACACAGTTGTGAGCATCGATTTTTAATATTAAGCCAAGCACCGGATAGAACAAGTTTCAACATCATCACCATCAGTAGTTTATGCAAATTATCTCGTTGGTTTGTGATGTAATCTCAGCTTCTAAAAATTCTTTATTTATTTTTATTTTTTCAAAAATTCCCAAATAATTTATTTCAATTAAATTTTTTTATCAATCTTACAATGTGAATTTAGACTTTCGTGAATGAAATTGATGAATGACAAAATGATTTGATAATTGGTGGGAAATTTTAAGCAAAATCAGAAGAAAAAGAAAATTTGTTTTGTTATGCTTTTAGACGTGACAAGCACGTGATTAAAGCGTGTTGGTAAATTTCAGTAAGCTAAAGAAAATGATTAAGGAAAATAAGATGAAAATCCTCAACCGAAATATTTCATTCTTACGAGTTTCACGGTTATAAATAAAGTGGAAGTTAATTGTATCTAATTATCATATTCATAGATCAGGAAAAAAAACCTCTAACTAGCAAATATTTTCAGTCTAACATTACGTCATCGCGTTTACAGTAGACATCAAGTTGAGTACATTTTGGAGAACTTTTGTTAAATATTTTTTATTCGATTCAGTATTCACACACATTCATCATAGATTTTATATTACTCGCTACATTTTTTTACTAATGCAACATTACACGTTCTGTTTGAGAAATTTAGTGTCACAAAGTTTAACCTTTCTTCAATTGACGACTTCAGTTCTGCCTCGATAAACATTGTTCAATGAATTTTTGTTTATTTATTAGTAAAATCCATTCAGGCGAGATGAATCACTCTTTGTTTTACTAAGGTGACGTAAACAAAAGTTACTCTAGCGATAAACTTTTAACTTCATTAGCTATTAAATAACGTTCCACTTTAAAGTTTTAAACCTGTTCTCGTCTTACTTGGACATAAAATTTTAGCAATCACATGATCGAATTGATCAGTAGACTTCAGTTTCTGATTGTTACGATAATTGATGTCGCAAATATACTTTGCATTTTAACGCTCCATTTCATGTCGTTGTTCCATCTCAATCAGGAGAAAAAAATTATCACCGACAGTGTTATTCGATCAGTCAAAGTAGCGAAATCTTTTCCTTAAATGTTTGCAATATTTTTGTAAAATGGTATGTGAACAATCTCATTAGTAGTTAACTTTTACGACGTTCCATTTGTAACTTAAATATTTAAATACTGATTATGAATAGCCGTGACAAAATTACTTGAAAGAGACTTTGCTGATAAAGCAAAATAAAAAGAACAAAGTGAGCAAATAACTCAAGTGTTGGAATTAAATGTTTTCATTCACTTACAGATGGGTAACTTATTGTGCAAAGATTCTTCAAAACGAGTAAAAACTCCAAAAAAAGGATATCGAGCGCCTGTCAATAGTGTTTATGGCAAACAGGTGAAAATACTTAAATAAATATTTGAATGACCTTGAGGAAATTTAAATCATTTTTGTCAAGAATTTCAAATAAAAAGAAAAATATTTGAAACAAGAGAAGAATTTATTCAAGTTTTCATTCTTTTTTTTCATATAGGAAATTCATCCAAATTCACTAACAAGCGCCGACGGACCAAGCCCAAAAATTTTCAACGAAACGAGATCAAATTTGTAAGCTAATGAATACTTTTGCTCATAAATAAGTAGTTACGTAATTTCTCATGTGTTCTTTTTGTTTGTCATAGCTTCCATTCAACACCGAACCTTAATGAAGGTCAAAAGCTTTCGACAATTAGTCTCGATGCAAAAATATTTGATAATGGTGAATATAAATCGCCACCAATAGCACCGCCAAGGAAAAAACGAACTTCTGATAATAAACGTTCAACATTGCCAACAGATTTTGGTAGTGACAAAGTTGTTCGTAATGGATTCAAAGATGTGTTTACTGGTGGCAAAAAGAAATCATTAACATTCGAAGACATTGAGTACATTGATAAAGATGAAGATGTTCTACAAACACGAGTTTCGACGTCACCTGAGAGAAAACTTCACGTTGGTAATAAAAAAACTGACAAATTCTTCGGTGAAGATTTATCTGAACATCTTTCAGATGAACATATCAATGAAACAAAAGAGACAACAAATAATGAAACTAACGAAGAATTTGATTTGAATTCAACTTCGGAAAAGAAACTTTTCTTCTTGATGAACATGCTTGATCATGATCAACTCAACAATGATCAATATTTGAATATGATTCCGGTCGATGAACCTCTTTTCATTAAGAAGAAGAAGGAAATCAAACGACATATATGCGATGATGATGATCACATGCATTCACGTTTGCATGGAGATGATAAACATGACCATGATCATCATGACCACCATGATCATGATCATGATCATGACCACGTAGTTGCACCACCAAAACCTGAGAGAGATTTTTCAAAATATCAACCCGCAGTATCTGAAGCATCAATAGAATCGTCTAAAGAATCACCTGTCGAGAAGAAAGAAACAACTCCTGAGAAATCAGAAGACAAACAGTTGCGAATCAAGAGAATAATTTCAAGAGATGAACTTCCATCACCACCAGCAACACCGCAAAGAAAGAGTGGAACTCCATCAACTCCTACAATCACAATTGAAACATTTGAATTTAATACCACAGCGAACAATGATAACAATTCATCTAAAATCACGGAAACAAAAGTTGAAGTGAAGAAAGAAATCAGTCCGGAAAGAACGACATCAATTCACCATAAAATAAATCATGACGACGATCAGTTGCCGAAAGAAGATCATGCAAGTTCTGCTAGTGGCAATACAATTATGACTCATGGATTTGTCGATCACATTCTTTCCAAGGCTTATGGTTTTCAAGGCTACAACCCTGAAGAACATGAACATCTTCATGATGATGGTAGCAATTTAGTGACACCAACAAGTAAATTGGCAGTTCGCAAGATTTCTGTTGGTCGCAAAGTAAGCACAACAAGCAATCCGTCCCTTGATGGTGATTTAACTAAATTAAATGAACTTCTTTCCCCTGGAACACCAACGAGAAAACTTTCAACTGATGAAGCCGAACCTGATCGTGGCACACCAACATCACCCATGAAAAATCGTGACTTTCAAAAGCTTTTAAGCAATGTTTCGATGGAAGATATTATCGATGAAATTTACAGTAAAAATTCTGCGGTGATGCAAGAATTTCAATCTTATCTTGAGTCGTCTATTGAAACTGATCCAGTCATTGATGTTGCTGAAGAGAAAAAATTCGTTGAGACGAAAGAAATCACAGATCGCGAGTTCATCCAAACACCTGAACCAACAAAACTACCCGAACGTAATGTTGAAGCCGAAGACAATCTTTACAGCGATTCATTCGAAAGTTCCGACACTGAACAAGAAATAATTAATGACATGTCAAATGTGTTTAAAAAAGTGGGAACACGAAGAAGAGAATCGATTGAAGATGTCGATGGTTGGTTTAATAATCATCTCGATCTTGAAGAAAAGAAATCTCAACTTTGTGGCCCTCGAGAAAATCTTCACTCAAATCTATCGACTTATGATCAAGAAAAGGTTTTTCCTTTCGGTCGAACAATAGTAGAAAGACGAGAATCGACATCTGATGAGTTCTTTGAGCCAGCTTCCATTAACAGCAGTATTTGTGTAGATCAAACATTGAGGGATTCAAAAAATAGCATTTCTGAAGACGTCGAGAGTTCGAACATTGTAGCATCACCAAGATCATCAAAATCTCCCGAATCCAATGATGATAAAGTTGAAACAAAGCCAAGAGTAACTCCATCACCGAGATCATCAAAATCTCCTGATCATTCAACTCTACTAAAATTCTTGGATCATGAATCAAAAGTAAATTGAAAATTTATTCAAAAAAATTTTTTTTGCTTAGTTTTAGAGTGAAATATTTTAACTTTCATTAAGTAACACTGTTCAATTATTTAATAAACAAAATGTAGGTGGAAGTCGAAGAAGAACTCACAATACAAAAATAAAAAAAATTCTATACTAAAAGATTTGTTGAAGCTCACAAGTTGTAATGTTCATTTAAGTACTTTTATAATTTGCAGTTGAATTGATTCATTAAGATCGAAACTTAAATCATCATTATTAGATTTATTAAAAAATTTGAACCTTGGAGAACAAAACAATTTTTCAATAGAACTGTTCAGCTGAAGTGACTAAATTAATAGACACAACAACAGTCTCTGTTACCTACTAGCACCTTTGGGCGATTATCGTGGCAGATAAAAGATTCACAAGGTGCAAGCTCAACTCCACATTCTGGGTCAGAAGGAGGCACATCAGCTCCAGCATTTACCAAGCCAATGATGACAGAAGCTAAAGGAATACAAAACTTTCAAATTATGTCATCAAAAATAATATTTTCATACCGTAAAGAAGATTGTGAAATAAAACGAAATTCTTGCCATTTTAAAAGTTCAACTCTAATTCAAGTGAATTTAAGGAAAAACTGATGAAGCTTTGAAGGGAAAAAAGTTTCCTTAAATACTTTTTTTTAATATTAAACTTAACTAGAAAAACAAAAAATTGTTAAATAGCTAATAAAATATTTTTATTAGTAACATCACGAATTTAGTAACATGTTTCATTTTTGATAAGTGACAAATCGAGGTAGAGGAAGTAAAATATTCCTTAAATACTTTAAATATTTCTTTTGTCAATATTGAACTCTACCAGAAAAACAAAACATTTTTAATATTTAACTTATAAAATATATAATAATTATCATCACGATTTCTTTTATTATCTATCAACGATTATATTTTATTTACTGTACCAAAAAGAGTGAGTTCAATGTCAAATGATTCCTTAACTTTTCAATGAAAGAAATAAAACCTAACAGCGGTGGAACGTGTTGTAAAATCTCTCTCTCTACTTAAAGAAATATGAAAATCCTATACAGCATTTTAAAGCTTCACTATTATTGATTGTTTTGATAAAATTTCAGCGCAATCGATCAAACCTCTTCACATAATTAATTTCAAAACGTGATTTAATAATTGTCTCGATCTTAAAGAAAAGAAATCTCAACTTCGTGGCCCTCGAGAAAATCTCCATTCAAATTTATCGAATTATTATCACGAAAAGGATTTTCCTTTCGGTCGAACAATAATGGACAGACGAGAATCGACATCTGATGAGTTCTTTCATCTAAAATATTTTAACTTTCATGAAGTAACACTGTTCAGTTATTTAATAAATAAAGTGTAGGTGGAAGTCGAAGAAGAACTCATAATACAATAATAAAGTAATTTCTATACTAAAAGATTTGTTGAAGCTCACAAGTTGTAATGTTTATTTATTTTTTGTAATTTGCAGTTAAATTGATTAGTTAAGATCGAAACCAAAATCATCATTATTAGATTTTTTAATAGATTTGAACCTTGGAGAACAAAACAACTTTTTAGCAGAACTGTTCAGCTGAAGTGACTAAATTAATAGGAACAACAGCAGAATCCGGCATCTTCAAAAATCTTTGTGACACCAACTTGGCAAGTAAGCGTTGCACAAGGTGCGGAATCAAGTCCACATTCTGGGTAAGAAGGAGGCACATCACCTCCAGCATTTACCAAGCCGATGATGGCAAGAGCTAAAGGAATACAAAACTATCATATTATGCTATCAAAAATAATATTTCTTACCATAAATGCACAAGAAGACTGTGAAATAAAACGAAATTCTGGCCATTTTGAAAAGTTCAACTCAAATTCAAGTGAAGTTTAAAAAACTGATGAAGCTTTGAAGGAAAAACATTTCCTTAAATACTTTTTTTTAATATTAAACTTAACTAGAAAGACAAAGAATTGTTAAATAGGTAAATAAAGCTTATAAAATATTTTTATTATGAACATCACGAATTTAGTTGACATGTTACATTTTTGTTTATTGACAAATCGAGATAGAGGAAAATAAAATTTTCTTTAAATACTTTTTAACACTGAACTTAACGAGAAAATCTTAAAATTGTTAAATAACTTATAAAAGATTTAATTATCATCACGAATTTAGTTAACATGTCTCATTTTTATTTAATGACAAATCGTGGTAAAGGAAAATAATGCCGAGGAATCGTGAAAAATCATTTCGCAAATTTGATTCTTTATAATTTTTATTTATTGCACTAAAAGAGTGAGTTTAGTGTCAAAAGTTTCATTAACTTTTAAATGAAAGAAATAAAACCTAACAGCGGGGGAACGTTATTACTGTTTTGTTAAAATTTCAGCGCAATCGATGAAACTTCTTCACAAAATCAATTTCAAAACGTGATTTGATAATTGTCTCGATCTTGAAGAAAAGAAATCTCAACTTTTTGGCCCATTGAGGTATTCAAAAAATAGTATTTCAAAAGACGTCGATTGTTAGTCAAACGCTGTACCATCACCAAGATCTTCAAAATCTCCTGATCATTAACTCTACTAAAAACCATGGATCATGAATCAAAAGTTCAAAACTTTCATTAACACTGTTCAATTATTTGATAAATAAAGTGTAGGTGGAAGTCGAAGAACTCAAAATACAAAAAAAATTATTCGAGATTATTGATTAACATTATTTTGCAGCAAATTATCAGCTGTAGGATTGTGATACTGAATGACAAAATTACAAATTTGAATAAGAATAAAATTTGAGTTATCAATAAATATAAAGATTTGTAACGGTCAAGAAGCTTTTTAACGAAGAAAATTCAAATTTCTTTTTGTTCAATTCGAGAATTCACTAAATCTAGAAACCCTAATAACATGAGTCATATAGGAGTCCTCTGAGTAACTGTTTGAAATTATTACAAAGAAATTTATGATCTAAAGTAAGTTTAAAAGACACAATTAACCTCTAACAATGGCAGATACAAGATTACGTCAAATTTTCATTAAAACCGGTGTTGTCAAGAGATATGCAAAGGAAAAAGTCTCATACGAGAAAGAAGCCGAAAACGAACAAAAGAGAATTCTAAAATTTCGTGCAGAAAATCGAGATGAACACGACATAAGAAAGCAAGAGGAAGTAATTCAGGAAAATCTCATGATGATTCCAGAATGTCAGCGAAGGTAAATGAAAAGTTTCACTTATAATTTTTAAACTTACTAACATCTGTTGTTTTTCATGTCGACATAATTGAAGGTTGAAAACAGCTTATGAAGAGTTAAGTGAGATGTTGAAGAATGAAAAAGATCTTGAAGAAAAAGACGAGTATATCAAAGCAGTTGCAGCACTTAAGGAATCTAAGTTGCAGTTGCAGTGATTTTTTTTCTAAATTGATGAAAATTTCAACTTTTCATTGAATTTTTATTATTTCTTTGCTTTATTTTCTTTCAACTTTTATAACTTCATAATATTTACTAACGCTTCCTTTCCATTGATGCAAAAGCTTTAATAAAAAGATTAAAATTATATGTCCACAGTTCTTTTTATTAAATAAAAGGAATACAATCATTACAGAAAACTTCATTCGTCGGATGCAAATAATTAAATATAATTCATTACTGCCAAATACCGCAATAATTGCCTATCAATGTAGCTGGTAAAGGACCACCAGCCGTGAACAGTCTCGTATAGCTTTGATCATAACAGTGAGTGTAAATAGCTGGAACATATTTCACATTCGATAAGTTGTCAATATCTTCATCCGGAAACTAAAATAAATATTTATTTATTAGTTGCTGAGATTAAATGACTTAGAAATTTATTTAGATTTCTCACCACATAGCCTTTGCTGGCTCTTAACACGACTGTTCTTGAAGTGTGAATGCTGCTCTCAAGATACTTTCCAGCCCGAACATCATAAAACATCAACATTCCCAAGCCAGTGCCAATTGTTAAGATATTTTGTTGAAAGCTTGCTGATCGAATCCCACAGCCATTGTAGCGAGAAGCTATCTTCTTAACAGCTTGCAATGTGCGTGGATCTAATAGTAATGTATATGAGCGGCAACCTACAGCATAAAGTCCATTCTCTTGACATGCAATGCACACATTTTCCTGGCAGTTGGGAAGCTTTCGAGACATTTTTTGAGAAAAAGTTTCAGCGTTGAAAAGATGCATGTAGCCTAAAAATAACATTTATTAATTATATTGAATTGATTATCGTGATGTTGAAAGTTAAATTACCATTAAGTGAGAGTAAAGCAATTTCTTTATATTCTTTGTTGAAACAAACAGCTCGAATTTTCTGTGCACTTCGTACGTCTTTGATGCACACTGAATTAATGTGCGCGTATTGAGGACAGGCTTCTGCTTCTTCTCCTTTAATCTTTTCAGGGAAGTCTATGATGTCTTCGTTAATACGCCAAAGAGCTAACTTGGTATCTCGGGAGCCTGACACAAGAAACTGATCATCAAGCCAACACATGTCGAACACCCAATCACGGTGAGCATTTTCTCCAATACATATTGGATCAAGAGTGGGAAGTCTGTATATTGCAATATCAGCCGAATGTCTCGCTCCTGTGGCTAGCAGTGTTCGACTTGGATTAATTTGACATGAATGAATTCCAGATTGTGTGTCAGGGTTAGCACCTCTCGAGTTTCTTAATGTCGGAATTGCATCGACTCGTCTCATATTCACATCATAGACCATCAATTTATTACATTTTGTTCCAAATACTACTTGTCGATTACTCAGCCACTGCGAACAAAATACTTTGTTGATATTTCCGAGATTAATTGGTGTCTCTTTAAACATATCATGTATGAGGATGTGGCGAGATGCGTGTGATGGATCAACCTGACGAACTTCTTTCAAGTCTGATTCGCGAGATCTAACGTAGTCAACAAAATTGAAGGATGTATTTAGCACCTGCCTCTGCTGGTGCGGAGTCTCTTCCTCGCTATCAGAATCATCGTAAGTCACAAAATCGTCAGGTTTGTCAGATATCTTCCTTCTTCGCTCTTGTCTATAATAAAAGAAATTTCAAATTTTCTTCTTCATAAGTTGCATTTATACCTATATTACGCAAAATATTTGTTGAAAGCATCAGAAAACAAAAACAAGAAAATAAAAAGAGAAATTTCTGGAAAAAATCCCAATATTCAATACATTTTTTCAAATCGGATCTATTGAAATTTCAATAATTTAGAAAATCGATTAAAGACAGATTTAAAGAAAATTTTGGTTGGAATAAAGCAAAAGAATTAAATAATTGAATAATTTACATTGAAAGAAAAAAGGAACCATAATATTACCTTAATTGTTTTTCTTTAGTTCGACGCTCTTCTAGTCTAGATGGGATGTAACATGAAGGATGTATTCCTTCTGTTGGTTTACGAATAGTTCTTGACATTAGTAGAGTAAAAGTACGAGAACAGCAAGTAGAAAATAAAAGTCCTTTCAAACTAAATATTATTTTTATAAAAACTTCGATTGGATCAATTTCTATTAAGAAGAGGGGTACGAAGCTAAGTTTTAATCACTCTTCGTGAATGTATTCAAAAATTTTGTTTTCTAGAATTTTTTTCATAACATAAGAAAAATTTGAATGATTCTCATCGGCAAGACAATAAAACTTAAAGCTACTTCTCGTTTTATTCTGTACTGTAGTCAATAAATAAACTGTGTCGAAGGGTATGTTGCAGAATTAAGAAATACCAAAAACAAAACGTAAACATTGCGATTCAAGTTTGGAACAAATATGAATATATCACGTTTAGCTCGATTAAATATCTATTCTGTTTCTAACAAAAATTACCTAAGATATTTATCAACAGAATGCAGTCATATAAAGGTTCTATCAATATTGTTTTCACTTATATGTTGATACAATTTGAATATTTTTTAAGGCTCGTGTTTTGGAAACTGCGATGAAAAAACCAATCGAGGAACATTGGCGTGGAAAATTGAGCCACAAAAGATTTGATCCAACAAATACAAAAGAAAAAATGTATATCCTTTCAATGTTTCCATATCCATCTGGTAATCTTCACATGGGACACGTCCGTGTTTACACAATATCAGATGCAATAGCGAATTTTCATCGTCTTAGGGGAAAAAATGTCTTTCATCCTATGGGCTGGGATGCTTTTGGACTACCTGCAGAAAATGCAGCGATCCAAAGAAAAATACCAGCAGATGTGTGGACGAAGGAAAATATCAGTCGAATGAGAGAAAGATTGGAAGAACTTGGATGTTCATTTGATTGGCAAGCTGAATTAGCAACATGCGATCCATCTTACTACAAATGGACTCAAAAACTGTTTTTAATGCTTTTTAATGATGGTCTTGCTTATCAACGTGAAGCTACTGTCAATTGGGATCCAGTGGATAAAACTGTGCTGGCAGATGAACAAGTCGATAGCGGCGGTCGTTCTTGGAGATCTGGAGCGAAAATAGAGAAAAAACTGCTAAAGCAATGGTACATAAGGACGACCAAATTTTCCGAGCAATTGTTTTCTGGTCTCGACGATCCATCTTTACAAGATTGGAGGGATATAATAAAACTTCAAAAGCATTGGATTGGAGAAGTTGATGGTTGGAATTTTGAATTGAAAGTTGGAGATCATACAATTACAATTTGGAGTAAATCACCAGAAGATTTCATCTATGCTGGATTTGTGGCAATTAAGAAAGAACATTTTCTTAATAAAGAAAGAATTGACAATGGATTGTTGCCGATGATGGTGAAAAATCCGTTTGGAAAAGATTTGCCACTTTTGGTCACAAATGAAGTTGAATTTCCACCTTTCAATGAAACTTATGTTGGAGTTCCAACAAGAAAAGATTGTGACTTGGAGATAGCTCAAAAATATGACATAAAAGTTGAGTCTTTACCTCTAGAAGATAATGAAGAAGATCGGAATTGGGTTTTAGAGAAGGCACAACATTTAGGAATCGGTGGAAGTTACAAAGTAAGTTCAAAACTTAGAGACTGGTTAATTTCTCGGCAACGTTATTGGGGCACACCCATTCCAATTATTCATTGTGATTCATGTGGAGTTGTTCCCGTAAAATATGAAGATTTACCTGTAGAACTTCCAAAAATGAACGACGAAAGTATCGGACAACCGTTGCATCAAAACACTGAATGGTTGGAATGTTTATGTCCAAAGTGTGGCTCCAAAGCTCAAAGAGAATCTGATACAATGGACACTTTTGTTGATTCATCTTGGTACTTTTTAAGATACCTTGATCCAAATAATAAGAATGACTTAGTTGACAAAAGCCTGGCTCAGTCGATGATGCCTGTTGATATTTATATCGGAGGAAAAGAGCACGCCGTACTTCATTTATATTATGCTAGATTCATTAATCATTTTCTGCATGAGAAGGGATATGTTCTGGACAGAGAACCTTTCAAACGCTTGCTAGTTCAGGGAATGGTGATGGGAAAGTCATATCAAGTAAAAGAGACTGGACAATACATTAATGAAAATGAAGTTGAAATTGTTGGCAAAGGAAAAAAGAGCGAGGCAAAAGAAAAGTCATCAGGAAAAGCTGTTACTGTAATGTGGGAGAAAATGTCGAAGTCAAAATTAAATGGAGTTGATCCAGTGGATGTTCTAAATGTGCACGGATGTGACACAACACGTCTTATTATGTTAGCGGACGTTGCTCCAACATCTCATCGCAATTGGTCTGAAGCTACTTTTCCTGGAGTTATAAATTGGCAACGAAGACTTTGGCTAACTGTATATGATTTTATTTTGGCAAGAAGTGATATCGAAAATGTCGTCAAATCGCCAGAGTTCGATGAGCATGAATTTAAGCTCCTCGATGCCGTAAATTATTTCACAAGCGGAGTAACATTCAATTTCTTATATTCTCATCAAATAAGTGTGGGAATTTCAAAGATGCAAGGACTGACCAATTCTATTAGACGGGCACCGAAAGATGTCATCGTATTTGGGAAGAATTATGAACGCTGTTTAGCTGCGCAAATAATCATGTTGGCTCCATTAGCACCGCATTTTGCTTCGGAACTTTGGGCAACATTCACATCTGCCGAAAACCGAATAAATAAATCAGCAGATTTTATTAAGTGGAACGAAAATGTATTGAGTCAACATTGGCCCAAAGTTGATCCAATTCATAAAGTTGAATTGACTATAAAGGTAAACAATTACGTGGTCTCAACTTTAATGGTCGAATGTGGTGAATTAAGAAAGATGAGTGGAGACGAAGCTTTTTCCAAGGCTTTGAATCAGGAAGTAATCAAAAGATACATCGAGGATCGAAAAATTCTAGGAAGCACTTGGGAAGTTTTTGAAGATTATGAAGGTGTAATAACACTTTTCGTCGAAACTAGACAAAAACAAGAGACCGATGAATCTGATTTACTGAAAGACAATTTAAATGCCTAGAAAACAGCTTTAAGAGAATAAATAAAAACTTATTCGTAGATAATCTTCCTGAAATAAATTTAATTGCTTTTATTAACATTTTTCCAAAATTTAGAAACGCAGTACATTGGATTAAAGTTGAGTGATGAAGTGTTTCCTAATTTAAGTAAGAAGATATTTTTTAATTAAAATGAAAGATATTTGAGTGAAGATTCATTCTCGACACTTGAAATTAATTTTCATTTTGAGACACTCCAAACTTTTTGCCTTTTAAAAATCATAAAAACTCTTCAAAAATTTTAATTAAGTTCAACTTCATCAATTTCTATTATTTTTCATTATCTTTTAAAATATCTGTCATTAGATTTCTAACATAAATGTCAATTTGATTGTAATCAATGAGAGTATTTCTTATCATTTCGAGAAGAACATTTTGCCAAAGATATTCTAACTTTTGTAGTTTTTCAACTGCATTCACAGTGTTCTCCATCATTTTACTGAAATACATTTTCCCCTTCACTCTTATTGCCAACTCGTCTTGTTGTGAAGTCGTTTTCTTCCATTGCAAAGCTTCTTTTCCTACAACATTTCGAATCGAATCATCAGCATGCTTCATGAGCCACTCTTTGGGTGTCATTTTATTTGTTAGAATGGTTTCGTCGACATGCAATCTTGTGAAAAGAGGTTGGAGAAGAGAATCAGGCAATGACCATAACACAAGATCAGCAAGTCCGGCATAAGTAGATTCAGCTTCGGCTATTTCATCGTCCGTGATTTCTACTCCATTTATTTGCTTCAATCCCCAATGGCTTAAGCGATAAATGGCATATGTTCTCCAGTTTTTATTTGTCAATGGATTTCCTTCAGTATCGATTGTTATAGCTTTTAATCCTTGCGTATCAGCTATTGCATTCAATTGACCCAAACAAACGAAGTTCGTCTCCCGGAAAACATAGTTTTCAACATTAGGAAATCTGACTTTAATTCTTCCTAAGATTGGTGAAATGCTGTTGAAGTTGATATAAGAGAATTTGACAGTATGAACATCTTGAGCCTTCTGCACGTTCCATTGCTTGTCAACAAACTTGATTGCTCCGACACCATACACATTAAGGTAACGGCCAAGTATTTCCACTAAATAATCGCCACCTGTTAATTCAAAATAAAAGAAATAAAAAACTTTTATTTATTCAAATGGCAACAATAAAATCTTGTTGGCAGTAAAAGCAAAAAAAAAAACGCTTACCTTGTTCGCGATCTTTATCGGTTTCCTTTTTCGGCTCCTTTTTTTGATTCGTAGTTTGATTACTCGGCCCATTTTGTTGATTATTCAATTGCGATGATAGATTTCGTGCTGTTTGCGAACGAACAAGTGGTGGGCCTATTTTGCGTGTACCACTGCGATTTCTTGGATAATAATTAGTGTGACTTGAATGAACCTGTCGCTCCTCGTAAGCTGACGATAACGTGTTGATTGACTCATTACTAGTTTTAGCTGATGTTTTAGAGATTATTGAAAGCTTATCAGCTTCAATGGTTTCAATTTTCATTTCCACGGTCTGAACATTAAAAGCTTTTCCTGATTTACACAGTGAACTTGCTTCGATATTTATCGTAGGCTGAATCGATATTCCCCTGGCGTTATCGATAATTGTTAAAGGCGCTTTCTCTTTATCTGTTTGAGTTAAAGGTGAAGGTGTCTCTCTTGGATGATCTGTCAAATCATTTTGCATGGTATCTTTAATTTCATCACCATCACCCTCAATTGTATCGATTACTGAATCAGCAATTTCCGCTTGCAATGTAGGCAATGGTGGAGTAAAAGATGTTTTATTATCATTCTCAATGATGCTTCTCTCTTCGTCTTCTTTTCTTAAGATCTCAATCGGTGACGATGTCTTTGTCAATGAATAAGTTGTAATTGGTGGTGTTGTAGGAATTTGAGACTTGACATTTTTTTCATCATCAATGTCAGAACTAAAAGCACTCGATTCAGAATCAATATTTGGTCTCGTACTTGATGCAGCTGACTCGGTTGTCTTGTCAATTACAGGAGGTAAATGAAATAAATTACATTCAGCTTCAGTGACATTGTCAGTTTCTTTTTCCGAAGTCATAGGATTTGAATTTTCGACTGATGACGAACTCGACAATTCAGATTTTTGAGTTTTTAATTGCTCAAAACCTTGACGAATTGAACATTTCTTATTTTTATTTTCATTTGTTGTGGTGCTCGAAGATGCTGTTGAGGTAGACGATATTGAGTTGCTCGATGTTAACTTGGGTTTGATAATCGATTTTTTTGCTTGGCTATTCAGACGTTGCCCAGCAATATTTGATTGACGAATCAATTCCCAATTGGTTTTCGCATTAGAAATAATTTCTTCCCTTCGAATACTCGAACTGACGTCAGTTGAAAGATGTTGAAAATTTTGGTCAGTGTTTTCCTTGTTACGTCGCCATGCATTAGCAGCTCTACGCACTTGTTCTGTTATTTGAAGTTGATTGAGAGAGTTCAATAAAGGCAGATAACTGACGAGAAATGAGACGCAATCTCCCGCTAATGAGATTGGATTGTTTTCGATTGTTATTTCCTTCAAATTTATAGATTTAGCAATAGAAGACATATCTTCTATACTCTGCAAATCATTGTGACAAAGCCACAATCTACGGCGTGAGAGAGAAAGAGAAAAAAGAGTTTTTAATAAGAAAACACAGAAATTTTCGGTCTAAATGGGAAATACAACAATAAATTGTGATTAAGTATTTAAATCAAAGCATAAAAAAGGATGGTAAAGGAAATGTGAAACAATTGTGGTTGTTACCATCTTGCTTGCCATGATGAATGAAGGTGAAGAAAAAAAGGATTCAACAAAACTGTGAGAAAATATTTGTTAAGTTGAAATGGAAATAAAAGATTTTACATTTCATTGTGTGCTACGTGGAAAGAAAGAACAAACCATGATTTTCCATAAAATGATTTTAATTACAACCTTAGTGACTGTAGTGACTGTAACTAATAAATTATTATGAAAGTTTTATGCCTCAGAACAAACTATTTGGTAGTTTTTTTAGCGGTGATATAAAAAACGAGGGAAGCTTTTTATTACACATATTTCCCACAATATATACCTCCCAGTTCAACGATCAATCTAACTATGAATATACGAAACGAAATAGCTTAAAGGAAGAAAAATGAATAAATAAATTTTCTCAAAGTTTTCTTTTCTTCAGTATTCTTTTAAGTATGAAAATATATATATCATTCCAACGATAACATAAAGCTTCGAGTGCTGAAATGTCCTATGTGTGTAGTCAACATGATATTTATATAAGAACTTCACTGTTTTCTTATCATAAATAATTCTGAATGTAATCTTTTTCAATGAGTTAAATTCTGTTTTCTCTAACCGACGCAAAGTAAACAACTAAACTTCATTTCTAAGTATAAATCTCTGGATCCAACTATTTTTGTCAAAAGTTTTATGCTTTCTATTATGATTGTCGTTGTTTTGGAAAAGAAAGGTATCGATTATATGTGCTACATATTTAAGTAATAAAAACATTTCCTACATAAACTCTTCCTACATGTGTGTGTGTAATTATATTTAAATAAAAACAGAAATTACATAAATATACGCGTACCGTTCTAAATTGTGCAAATCATCTGAAACATTAATCTTTTTGATACGATTTCGTTTCAAATTGAGTTCTTTGAGACAGCACAGGCCAGAAAAATCGTTTGGCTGTATTTGGCGTAGCAAATTTCCTGCCAGATTTAAAGACTTCAACTCTTGAAGTTGGTTAATTTTCTGCGTTATATGAGTTATACGATTTCCATGAAGGTCAAGAACTCGTAATGTTTGCTTCAATGATGTGATACCAGATATATCAGAAATGCGGTTCTTGCCAAGTAAAAGCACCGTAAGGCTTTTTAAGCCATCAAGGTTGGATATTTTTTCGATTTGATTGTTATACAAATCTAGAAATACCAAGTTGGTAAGATTGAAACGAAAACTATTTATTTTGGCATCAACTTGAATTTCAGGAGTCATAGTTCGTGGCGTGACGCTGACATTCGTCGTTTCGTGATGCGTGTGGGTGTCAGTCATGCTGAAGGACGGCGTTGTTACTAATTTATTTTTTTGTGTTTGGAAGAATATTGAGGATTGAACTGTTGTAGATGTTTGATTAGGTGAACAGTTGATCATTACACTGTTAGCACGCTTTAAAAGACCGTTTTTTGATTGCAACATTAAAGACTTTTGTAGAAACGGTGTAGGTGTGTGGGCTCCGTTTGGCTTTGCAACACCATTTCCTAATGTTGTTGCATTATTAACATTATTATTATTATTATTGTTATTGGCACTAAAATTCAAGTTTAATTGATTGCGTGATACAGATTTTTGCTTTAGAAATGACTTCATTGGCTTGCTATTAATTACACAACTTGATAATTGATTGTTCCCATTTGACTTTTCCATTTCCTTAGACGGCACGTTGTTATTGTTGCTATCTTTGGCACCATCAATAATTGAGCTTGAACAAGGCTCATCAGAAGGTATATGAAAAGTGTTTATTAAGTTATGCTGAAGTGAAAGAAGTCGTAAACTTGGCTCATTATCTATCACCGGAATCATACACAGACCGCGGCGGTCAAGATTAATTCGATCAGGCTGTTTTTCTTTCTCTTTCGTTGTTCTTCTTACTTTGTAAACTCCTTTTTCAACAACTATACAACTTGTATCATTCGCCTGTTGATTATGAACTTTCCCCGTGGGGCTGTCATTATCAAACCCATTATCTAACCGTTGATAGTGGTTCTTATGGCGATTCAAATTTGAATTTATCTTTTTTGTACCATTTTTGTAGTTAATCGTTCCATTAACAAACGCTAAAGAAGTGGGATTTGATGCTGCTGTTGGTGTTGAAATTGTGGGACCACAAAGTGTGCTGTAACTGCGCGTAATTAAGCGAGTTGTTCTTTGTTGATGACCTCGACTCACATTCAATCTCGTTGGCACGACTGATTCAATTTTCAGCAAAGATGGTACGTATTGCTGTTGCAAGAGATTAGAATTCGTGTTGATTGTTGTCGCAATATTTGAAATCAGTGTTGTTGTTGTTGATGGTTCAAGTATTTGCGTGGCTGTTGGTCGACCACGAGACTTTATTGAACTCATTTAATATTAATGTTTATTTTTTCATGAACTTTTTTTTTCCTTCTTCACTTTCTATGCAAATATTTTTATATCATTCATTGAGTTCGTTCATCTTTGTTTTTTTCTTTTCATATGAAAAAGAAGGCGAGTACTGTTTCATTATAGAAATCAATCACTTTCTACTATTACAAACAACTGCAAACTCCTGCAAATGAAATTTTTTTTATATTTTCATTTCACTTGTTCAGGTTTTATGAAAGAAAAATTTACGATTGAGCAAAGTTTTCCAACTAAGCAGAAAGTTTTTCTCGGTTAAAACAATCTTTGATGTTTCCTCCATATTTTCATCTTGATTTCAGAGAAAATACTTATTGAGTTAGTTAGTTGCTACTTAATCTGCTTCCGCCGTAGGATATAAAACTGTTAAATTTTGTAGACGATCCGCTTTGAATCTAGTTTCATGAGAAAACTAATAATAAATTTTCCTCTATCATGAAAGATTTAAGGAAATGTATCACATATTTAATTGTGATTTTCACACAATTTTTCTCACTTAGGATGGAAAGCGAAAGCAAAAGCTTAATTTAAATTAATGTTCTCAAACAGATGTCCTTTAATGATGGAATCATTTTTCATATTCGTTTCATTTTCTCTCTTCTGTCTATTTATGTGTTCATTGTCTTCACTATATCGTAAATATTCTCTCGGAAAATCTTCTTCCTTCAACAAGCTGGAAATTTATGAACATATTATAGATGTGAATATTTGCCATTCAAATGCACGGAAAACTTTTTCTTTTATTCGTTTATTTACTCATTTGAAGTTCAAATTTTGAACTTTTAAGTAGATTTGAATGATCCTTTCCATAATTATTTCTTTCTTAATTCTCTTGTGACTTCGATTTTGATTAAAGTTTAATTGGAAAGTTTTTCTTTTGAATAAGCTATGAAATAAAAAGCTCATTAAAAATCCATTTTCTGTCGAGATCTTTACATTTATTTTTTTAAATTTTCAGCTTTTCCCCGCCAAGGTAAAATGATCCTTCGAGGCTTAAAATTGTTGAAAAGTTTAAAGAGAAATGACGACAATAGAGAAAAATTTTCTTCATTCGTGAATTTTTCTATTTTTCTCAATTTTTTTTTGCTTATGATTCAGATTGAAACTTCTGCTATCTGAACGATTATTGCAGTTGAAAAAGAGATTCTGAATCGAAATTCATGCTTAGTTTGGAATATTTGATTGATTTAATAAATAAAAAGCAAACGAAATAGGAAGTAAAATGAAAAGAAGAATGACGAGGCACAAAAATCTGGAAGAGATCATGAAAATATTTGCTTCAATCCATTTCGATTTAATAGAAAGTTTCTTTTTTTTGACACCGTTGCTTTACTACTTTTACGTGAAAGAGAAATCTAAGAAGGAATTTCAACAAATTTTGTGTTATTTTCCACAATTTTACTTCCATGTAACCATGGACAACAAAGCTAAACTTGCACTTTTTATTATTATGAGATGCTTTGAGTTTCTGATTTCGTTTATTTGCACGCAAAGAAATTGAATTCAGTCTACAAGAAGGAAAAGTTCGTTGGAAGTCATTAAGTTTTTTACAATAAAATATTAATTTAAATATATTGATTATTTATCAATACTTTCTTGACATCATTCCAAAAAAAACCTTTACCTAACTATCTAATTGTCCTCAATTCACATTAAAATAACTAAACGAACATTCCGTTCTAGATAATTAAACTTTAAAATACTTTCTAGATTAGCTTTAGTGTTTTAATTGTTCAAAATATAAAACACGACAAAAAACACTCGACCGTTGAACAGAATAAAACGAGCAAAACTTTCCGACTAATGCCTAACAAATTTTGATAAAATACTAAACATGCTGTCACGCGAAGCTCACGGAAATAACTAAAATTTAAGCTTGGTTTAGTGAAATTTTAAGACATACTTTCAAATACAGAAATGGAAAATAGAAAATTTCCTTCAGAGTTGTTGTTAGCTTGGAAATGTTAGGAAATTCAAACATTACATTTCTAGTCATAACAAGAAACAGAAAAATATTCGGTTGTTGTCAAGGCGAGCATATAAATAACAACCATAGCAATTTGTTTGCAAACAGTTTTTACGATAGCTCTTCAATGAAAGCTTGGATATTCACAGTTATAAAAGGTTCTTCAACTTCTGTTCTGAAAAATAGACGTACGTTTGTTCATATTAAGTTTCAAGCATCTCATTCTATTTTTATGTACCTAAATCCTTTAAAAGAAATTATTAAAACCTGTATGTGATTTAAATATTTCTAAACATTACCTTCAAAATCAATAACCAGAAAAGTTTTCCAACATTTTGTTAATAACTTCAATTAAGTAAAGATTCGAAGCATAAAATAAACTTCATCGTAAGATAAAAAACAATTTTCAGATGTCTAAGCTTCTTTATAGTACTTATGTGTGTAATTAAATTCAAGTGAAATTATTGATTCATTCAGTTCCCAACTTCGATATGAAATATGGAAATAGATTTGTCGTAGAAAGATAAAAGCTTTAAATTCCACACAGAATTCTATTCCCAGCAACTTTAAGTAGAATAAATTTATGCTTGAAAATTACCACACCTGTTTTAGATCTATGTGTGAGTGCATGTTCTCATATGTCACCCCGTCATTTACCAGCACTGGAGAAATTATATAACTTTGAATATTCATATGGAAAAACAACAGCACTGGGAAGCTTTGGGGAAATCTATGACATGAGAATTTTGCGTAGATAACTTTTAATGTAAAATTTAAATTTAGTGATCAATATAGAAAATTAAATCCACTTCGCATGTGTTTATGGAAGTATGTTGAGCGCATAAGGTTGGAAATTTACAAGCTTCTGTCTACATGTGACAACAGAGCAAGAAAGTAAAAAAAATTACTCCAAGAATCACTTTAATAAACACGCTCTCAGTATGACGACGTTAACAACGTCGACATATCATTATGGTGTCTGGGACGGTATTTATATAATAATTTATAACGGTAGAGACGGTCAGAAAATTGACGCGATTTGAAAAATGAAATTATTCCGCACGGTTGAACTCTCAAAAATCCTTACTGAAATGGATAATTTTAACGTCGTTAGTGAAATTTCCGTGATAAAGCTCATTAAACAGATTTTATTCCATTGACCGTTGCCTGCCTTCAGTCTGCTTGAATATGTATGAATTATGCTCCCCCATTAAAAACTATTTTAACCTGCACGCTGTTCAATCTAACACTTTTGTTACACGTGTTAAACATAAAAGTTATTGCGGCTGTTTGTTTAAAAGTTTGCTTGTTACTATTTTACGACATTGACGAATTAAGAGTCTTACGAAGTGTAATTTGATAACTATGTATATAAAGAAGCCTTACTCATAACTTACTGTAAGTATTTTCTTCTTCAATAGCCCTTAAGGCTCTCGACGAATTCACAAAATGAATAGACATAAAATTCCAGTCTCTATTTGGTATTCACTAGATGAAGGTGCTAACTGTCGACATATTACAAAGTTCCATAAACCCGCGAAGAAAATAATTACTGAAAGTCATGAACTGTACACTTAATTTAGTGACCGTCGTGCTGTTGTTTCTTTTGATAAATGCTTAGTGTTAAGCTAAATTATGTTCGCAAGCGAGAGAGAAGTTGTAAACAAGACCATTACGAAAACAGCGGCTATAAATCTCTAATCTTATTTTTTCTCCTCCTTGTAGTATTAAAATGTGAAAATAAAGTGTCGTGGAATTGCTGAAAAGAAAAAACGAAAATTGTCAATATGAACCATAAAGAGCCATCAATGAATTCACTTGAAAATGAATCGAAAAACTATAAATCGTTATATGAAGAAATAGCACAAAATGACAGTAAAATTTATTTGAACTCAACCATGACAGATAATTTTATGCGATACGGTGATGAGACGGATCAATGCTGTTGCTGTAAAATTCACCGCAGGCAACACAACAACATCATTGCAGGTGGTGCGGTGACGAAAGCTTTCACTATTCCTATTTACAACACCATCTGGATTGGTGAGATGAAAAACGCCACTGATTACATCGAATATTTGAACCAGACTCGTCGAAACAGCTTCATTAGTCTAAATAAGGATTATCGATCAAATTTCTACAAACTCATGGTTTGCGACTATAACTCATTGAACAATGATATCACCCACCACAACATCAGCAACAACAATGATATAGATAAAAATCTATTACAAGTTCCACAACTGCATACCGACGAAGAACTACGCAAAACTCCCGAATTTGATGACATTTCCAAGAAAATCGAAGAAATTAATACACTCGATACGAATGTTTCTACTTTAATCTACAAATCGATAGAAGTTCACGCGGATATATTGGTAAGAATTTCCTTTTGATTTTTGAACATTAAACTTTTATTCTTATTATCAGCTGCATTGAAGTGGCTCACGGCTGACAATGCGGCAAAACATTCCTTTCGTTTCTTTTGCTAAATAAAAGATCTTAAACAATAAATTATTTTTAATCCTATTATTGGCAAAGCAGCGCTACATTTATCGCCAATGTAAAATCTTATTTTAATGGTAAAAAGGTTGTTGAGGCCTAAATAGGTTTGGAAAGAAAAGAAATCCTAACGGCAGCTATTTTGCATACAAACTGTTAGTAGAAATGTGAAGAGGCCATTATCAAAAAAGAATATCGCCTGGAATATCGTCTTCAATTGGGTTGTCACAACCGGTCCTTTTTTCTCTCCATTTGCCTTCTTGTGAAACTGGGAATCATCAAAAACAAGATGCTAAGTTGTTTGAGGCATGTGCCACAACCTTACTAGTAATTTCTTTGTCCGAAATAAAGTGTCTCAAAATAATCCCCTGACCTTAAATTCATAAATTCTGAAAACGGATGGATTTTACATCTCACATAGGAACGCGGACGTAATCACGCCGGAATTTTAGTTGTCATTCAAAGGATTCATCAGATTAGAAAGAAGATGAAGATAAGCTAATGGGTCAAGGAAAAGAAAGAAAAAAATACGAACTTACAAAACATTTACTTGTCAGAATTTAAGCTTAGGAACTCTCATAAAATCTTTAAAAAACAATAATCCCTTTATAATAAACTTTATGCCTTTGTGTGATGTGATAAAATTTATTTAACTTCTTATTGTATTCATCCCTCTCCGATCAAGACATTGGATGCAACTGTAAGTCGACTGTTAGCTGAAACACGGAAACTTCTGGAAGAGATTGAAGATGTGAAATGTCTCGATGAAATAATTGACATGCTGAATAGTGAAATTCCAATAATCCATCGAGAGTGGCGCTTTATCTATGCTCAAAGCAATGTAAATAAGATCCCTGTGGATGAAGGCATTATGGTATCTTGTAGCTAATCTAATGAGGTATTAAAGTTTAATTACATTTTAAAGTAATCAATCAATCTTCAACGTATGCTTTAAGCATTATTTATAATTACTTCCAATCTTTTCTTAAAAGTGATGGAATTAACTGTGTTTATGGCTAGTTGACGGTTTAGGGTGAGTTGTATTCAAGGAAAAATTTTACAAGCAAATAGAATTGTGATTTTGGTAAATTCAGGAATAAAATAAAATCTTTCAGTTCATTTTGTTTTTCTTTATTGATCCATGGAAGCCAAAGAATGAAAACAAAACATTATTGATGAGTAATTTGTTTGTTTATGCGTTTCCCACTGTTTGGCATTAAATCAGTAATAAAAATATCAAATTTCATCCGGTGACTCCCTAATAAATTTCCTAGTTGGAAAACGGACAGTTGAAGATATATAATCGATAAGCGGCTTACCAGACGTCTCTCTTTCTCTTCGATAAGCTCTATCTTTACCATTTTAGTAAAGCAAATAATATAAATACATTTTCAAAAGCATCGTTTATACTTATATGGTTTTACGACAGAATTTTTTGTCACATAAAGAGATGCTTAATGCATTACGCTTCATGCTTTAACATTTAATATTTATTGAAAAATTGAACCGAAAGAGAAAGATGAAAGGAAATGGAGTGAAAACTCTTAAAAATGAATTATTTTTTCCTTCCTCCTGAATTTTTAGATATAAATATAAATCTCAAAGATACTTAATAGATATAAATATTTATTCATTGCTGAATTTTACTGAAATATTTTTTGATCTCTTTTCAAATCTACCGTATTTTGTACAAAATGTGTATCAACTTGATTCATATATGAGCGTTGAAGACACATTTAAAAATAAATAAACATTAGAACAGAGATTTTTTACATCACAGAAGTCGTTAGCAAAAATTCTAACGTCATATGTGTGTAGCCTAGTTGTGAAGCAAAATAAAAAGTTAGACAACAAATCAAATCGATATATGCTTGTAAAGTGAAAAAATAAACATTTCGCAGGTCAATTTATTTTCATAAACACTAATAGACAATAATATATGCATACATTAGTAGAGATATTATACATTATAGGTGTGACTGAGTTAAGCTGTAGTGATTGTGGAAATATTGTGAAAAGATTTCGGTCAATCTAATCTCAATCTCTCTATGATTAGTTCTCGTGATGATGTCCGTCTGGGGTCTCCCAATAAACGTCATCTTTATGCATTTCGTTGTACTGCAGTTGTTTGAAGTTTGGTAGTTTGAGTGCGAGACCTTTTGGATTACGAAAAGGAAAGATTAATTATAATTAAGACTTTATGCAATTTTCAGTTTAATTCTAAAAATTAATCATTAGGGTGCAATAGTAAAGTGAATTCTAATTCATATCCTGTCCATGATCTTTCTTGGAAATTCTACATTCGTGTGTTCACATAAACGACTTGTCAACAACAAATCTAATTTACTTTTTCAATGCGTCTCGGAAGATTTGCTCGGCCTTGAGAATCATTGGATTAGGATTTGGTTTAACTTCGATACGGTGATTAGTCAACGATTCTAATTCCGGTGCAGACATCCACCAGATATCATCACGAAACATCTCAGTAGCATCGAGCAATCCACCGAAATAATTTGATTTTACAATAATACCTTGATTTCATTCCATTATCATAATTATGATTATTAAAGTATTTTTGTTAGTTTGTTTTGTTCATTTGATTTTTTTTTGACGCAGTTCAAAGAAAACAAAATGCGTAACCATTTAAAGATGTATAAAAAAGACAAAAAAATTGCAAGCAGAGATAAATGTAATTGAGTAAAATGAGGCAGAGAGAGAAAGAAAGAAAAGAAAACGATAAAAGGCAGAAAGAAATTTTTTATGAGATATTTTCTCATCTTACCTGTAAACAATCCACCCACGATGGCAATGCTGAGTGTGATGAGAATTCCGAGTAACTGATAGCCCGCTTGCTGTTGTGACGAGCGTCCGAAACCCTGAACAATTTCAAAAAGTGGATTGAATTAAGAAATGGAAAACATGGCCACATGATACGCGAAGAGTTTAAAAATTCAAAAACAATTTTCTCAGAAATTTTCAAATGTTTAAACAAGAAAAAAAAGCGTGATGTCTGGCTAACGCCCTTACCCCAATAATTATTTCATGTTCGCCTTCTTCCATGGATGAATTTTTCATTCCGGGAAAAATGGTGTAGAGAGAATCGCCGTAGGCATCTTTAGTTGCAAAGTAAGCAAAAATTGCAGAGAAAATGGCAGAAGCAACTGCTGGCATCCCATGGAGATTATGAACTCCACACGTGTCTTAATTATTTGAAAATGTAATATTAAAAATGTTTTAGATATGAACAAAGATTTGCAAGTTTTTCTATGAAATATTTTTAGTTGTTAGATTTTAATTGTATTTTAAGGAAGATCATCTGAATTTAGTTTACATATTGTTAGAAAAAATCCTCATAAATCTGATTGGCATGCAAAAAAATTCGGGCTTAAAATTTTAAGATTAAATTTTAAATTATGTACAATCTGAAACTTTCATAAATATTTGCCAACATTTTCGAGATAAAACATGGAAAAACCCAACCAAGTCACTTAAGCAGAAGAGAGGTTCCATTCATTGGAATAAAAATGATCAAAAGCTCTTTTATTTATTTACCTGCTATGCGCCCTTTCTCGAGCATTTTCGGCTAATTCATCAATAAATCAGGAGGTGAATCAATGAAAGAGAAAATTACATCAAATTAAAGCGGGTTAGCAAGCATTCAAAATAGCTTTTAAAATATTTACGCTTAAATAGCGATATCCAACGACGGACAAAGCACCAGCTACAGTTCCAATAACAACAGCACCAACAGGATGAATCAATAAATTCACTACAGATCCAACTGAAATTTTTTTAATAGTAAACAGAGTCGTATAATCCGAAGCTTAAAGAAAAATTCAGATATTAAATTTAATTACCTGCTACTCCGCCTGCAAGCGTTGAATTCTGAACGTGAACCATATCTAATTTATTATCCTTGCTAACCAAAGCCGAGACAACAAAGGTTGTGACTGTACATGCAGCCAAAGATAAATAAGTGTGTAAAATTGCTCGTTCTTGTTCGGGACCATCAACAAGGGCAGAATTAAATGATGGCCAGAATATCCAAAGGAAAACGCTGCCAACCATTGCAAAAATGTCTGAAGTGTAAGAAGCGCCTTCGAGTTCTCCGGCCTTTGCATTTTCTTTTGTTGGTCTCAATGCAAAACTCACCGCTAAACCAAAGTAAGCACCGAAAGCATGAACTGTTATAGAACCGCCAATATCCACAATCTTCAGGAAAAGGAAAAATCATTTGGATGTACACAAAAGCCTCTCATAAAAAATTCCTTTTTTTAATACCTTCATAAGTTCTATTTGCAAAAACTCATTTGTAGCAAACAGAACAATTTCAAAAAGGCCCATAATAAGCAATTGAATAGGAGTGATTCGGCCCAGTAAAGCGCCCATGCTGATAAGAACACTAGCAGTAGCAATATCTGCGCCAATTATGTCATCTAAAGATAATCTAATTAACAAGGATAAAAGGTGAATAGAAGACATTTGAGCCTTTAGCTATAAAATTTCTCGACTTCAAACACATTAAACGCACTTTATTATTCCATTTTCCATATCGAAGAATCCTCTCATTAAAATTGCCCATTGAACGCATAAAGCAGCAACAAATAAATTCAATCCGGTTGCGCTGTATCCGTAGCGCTTTAGAAAGGTCATCAGAAATCCAAAACCGATGAAAATCATTACGTGAATATCTTGAAAATCTATACAGAAAAGCAGTAATTCACTCGAATTAAGGCATCATAAGATAAATGAAACTAATTGTGTTTTTACGTGGATATTTCGGGATAATGAAACCTTCCTCCGCTTGCGTTCCATTTCTAGGGCGTAGATCATCATCATACCCTGTGCAAATTCCAAATACTACGAGAAACACAAACTGAATTGTCAGGAGAAGAACGTAACCTGATACACTTGTGCCCGGTGTATTCATCGCTTAAGTGAAGGTTTTCAATTACTGTGTCAACAGAATTAAAGCAAAATATTCTTTAAATATTAAAATAAATGTCGCCTTCCAATATTTTTCTTTCCAAATTCAATAATCTAGGAATAAAACAAACTTCCTACATGATATATTAACAAAAGATTGAAGATCACTTCAAGCTTGATCTAATCACACTGAAGTCAAACAGAAAACTGAAATCAATTTGATACTCACTCCCCTCAAATGAATGAATTTAAGTTGTATCGAGGGGAGCTGCTGTCCGATAATCAACTTGAGCAATTTTCAAAATCAATTTCCAAATGAAATATTCAAATAAAGTGGAAATGGATGAACCGAAGATGTTATTATACAAACATAAGTAAATGGATGGCATTAAGCTTCGCTTAACTCAACTCAGCACTTGAAAATTATCATCATCATCATCATCTGCTTAAACTGCTTTAAAATTGTTCCAGTCAAGCACTTTGCAGATTCATTTCTATATCCCACTTTTTATATCATTAATAATTAAGAATGAGTGAGAATGCGAAGAGAAATACATAAACATGTGATCGTTCGTGAAGGCCATCCAATTTAGTTAGAAGTCATGGCGCAATTCGCAATTTGTTGAATCAATTAACGAGTTGAAAGCAAGAGCACATAACGTTCATTCGCGATTTTTGGCGTACTCATTGTTATTGGAGCTTATACATACGTATCAGAACCGAATTCGAGTCGAAAAACGAATGATTTATTGCTATTACTCCTGACAAGTTCACGGTGATTAATGGCAACGCTTTATGGTGCACTTTTATAGTTGATGTGGGTGGCATGTTTCAATGACTTCATTGCGTAATCATTATATTGATATGAATGGACTTTACGCTGGTTCAGTTACAGCATTTTGAATTGATAGCCGAAATGACCTACGTGAGCTATGGAACGGGATAAATCATCAGGGATGAAACCTAAGTGGCATGTAATAGGAGGAAGGTTTGTTTCTCTGACACCGGAAATTCAATTAGATAACTTACTTCACACCTTAAGCATAAAATAATGTTGAATAACAATTTCCATTTTCCTACATGTTAATTATATTATTCAAGTTCTCATTGTTTTAATGAAACTTTTTACAGTTAAAATTTAATTGTTTTAACGGTGAATAGGGATGAAAGAATCGCTTTTCAAAAGAACGACTATCAACAATGGAACGAATGGTAAATATCTATGCAAATTTAATGGTAGAGTAGGAATATGTTACGAATAAATGTTTTATGCGAGGGTTTTATTGTTCATAACCTGTCTGCGCTTTTTCTCGATGTGAAAGCAAAATAGAATGCTTTGATTAAATTAGAATATTTGATATATTAATGCTTAATTCAACAAGAGTAAAGTTGTTATCTGCAACAGTTACATTTCAACCGATGCACAACGCAACAATTTATCTCATCATGGCCAGTGAGTGGAACGTTTACCCAGCACGAGCTTTATGAAGACCCAAATGAGAAGGCTCGAAAAACTTCACCAATTGAGAGTACTTATTATGAACATTATTTAAAGTACGTGTGCCTCTCGCTTTGGGATTTTTGTTTTCGTACCACAACTTAAGCATCATAATTTATGCAAGAAGTGTAAGAAGGCGAAGAAAATGTCACGATAAAAGATGCTGAGTCTTCAACTTAAAGTCGATGTTCATATTTGAATCGATATTATGCAATAATTTATTTGAAAGTCAAGCAAATCTTGAGTGCTTTTATAATTGATTTATGTCCGGCTTTTCATAAAATTTTAACAAATGATGAAAAGCAGAAATTGGTTTCTAAATTCATTGGAAATGAATTTTAAATCGCTAAAGTGAATGATTTAGTGCACGACTGCTTCATTTATTAAGAATTAATAATGAGTTAGTGAGATAATATCGGGATAAAAATATTCAAGTTTAAATATTCAGGGTCAATTAATTGACTTGCTTTGTTATGTTGTCAAAATTTTCGATTTGTTCTATCAAAGTATAAACAAATAAATCCAAATTTACATGCTTGAGTATTGATTTGAAATTAAGTGAAAGTAAAGCAGGTTGGAGGAAAAACAAAGCAATCAAAAAAAAAAAACTTAAGGACACATCAATCAATTTCAATTACAGAGTTTTTGATAGAAGGAGGGAGTAAATTGTGAAGCGTAGGATAGAAGACAAGATAATGCAAAGGTGATTTACTTTTCCCTCTCGTTTTGTGTATTTCTAGGTAATATTCCTGCAACGAATCGTGATGGTTGTTGTTGGACTGTTGCTCTCTCATATTTCGTTATTGATCATGTTTTGGTGAGCTTTGACGTGGGATTGTAAAATTCTCTTTTCTTTCCATCGATATTCGTAAATAAACTTTTTTATGACTGTCATGAGACGTGACTCGTTATTATAAAATTAAAAACAGAAAAAATGGAAGAATGCTGAACTTAAAAATAAATACAGAAACAAATTGTGAAATTAAAAGCATGCTTTGTTTACTTTCGTTGGTATAATTTTTTATTCAAATACAAAATAATAAATATTTTTCTGATTTTAAATTTCTTTTTTATGTGAAAGCAAATGCAAAAATATTTACTTTTCAGAATTATGAGGAAAATCGTTTTACTTCATGCAATAAACAAAATTGAATTTTCACACACAAACTTATGTTAGGTACGTTGAAACTTAAATGTTAATAAAACCAAACTTTTATGCTAAATAGAATTATTATATCGACGCTGATGAATGACAGTTTATTAATCTTCGTTGTGGAAAAAATATTTGTGCTTATGGCTCGTCATCCATTTGTGCGGGCGTGTAACTGTTGACGTTTTCTATTGGAACATCTACTATGACTTTTTTCATGACAAAGTATAATATCCCACCGATGACAAGATTACACAAGGCAATAATACAAATTATTGCCCAGGCAGGAATTGGAAGTGGACCTGAAAAGCAAATAAAAAGGGAAATGTTATAACATTAAGTAAAATATAAACGTTGCCATGCGATTAAATTCCAATTTATGGTGTTAAACTTACGGGTGCTTCGGGTGACTGTACGACGTCCACGCAAAATTTTACGTCTCGCTTCTGTTTCTTCAGCACACAAGCTGAGCACAACTGAAAATGTCCGACATTAAATAGCATTGAAATTAATTAATTAACACAACGTTAGTCATCAAAAATTCAAGTGAAAACATCTAGCAACATCCATGTGTAGGTGTTTAATCATTCATTTGTTTTTAGCTGTAATGTGTGTGGTTTTCATTCCTTCATTTATTAAAGCACAAGAAGTGATGAGAACTGGAGGATTTTTATATTCATTTCATAGAAAGTTCACTTGTTTGATATCTGACAAATGCTGTGAAATGCTATAACTAACTTACCGATTAAGATTGCAAAGAAAAAGGCTTTCCTTTTAAACAGTTTCATGTTTCAGCAGATTTTGCTCTTGAACTTAAAACTCAAAAGTTTTCGATCTAAAACGAGAAGAAATTGTTCTTGAATTTAATTTGATCCATAATCGAAATATGAATATTGTCACACCTTAAATTTCACTTAAAATGTTAAACACCGTGCGATGAGAAACCAAAGAAATATGACAAAAGAGTGAACACTTTAACGAAGTGAATATCAAACGAAATATTTTTTATCTTATCAGACAATTTAGGGCTGAATTACTCAAAGTATGTATGCGTGTGTTGACTTTACAAGATAAGAAGTGACTTTAGTGGATATTTAACAGTATTTTTTCAATATCTTTACCTAATTGTGTAAGTTGAATCTTTCTGATAAGTTTCTGATAAGAACTCGATGACGCACAACCTTTGCATGTAGTTAATAAATACTGGGAAGTAGAATGAAATTAATGCTGAACGATTATGTGTCATGTCTGCGCCATTAAGTTATGAAATTTCTTTTTAAGCGTTTGAATCTTTTATTTTAAGTGAGTACGATAATATAAGAAATAAATAATCAATGATTAAGACTCAAAACAGAAGCCGTGCTTCGATTCAACCAATGGTTAGAGCTTTTATCGGTGTTCAATTGAATAAACATGACAAAGTTCGATGAATGACCAGTTGTTGCTAGAACACCACGTCTTTCAGTTGTACGGTACATTGGGCAGTTGTAATTTGATTCTTTTTCGTCCAACAATTCCAACGATTTCATCATAGGCGTCATTGTCACAACCGGAAGCGTATCAAAAAGTATTTTTGGCCAAGCTTCGTCCAACTTTTTCTCAGTGCGGTTCCAACGTGCACCTTCCAAGAAAATTCCCTTCAAAGTATAAATAAGAATTTAATAATTTATTGGTCGGTTTTTGGATGAGGTGAAAAATATCTTTAAAAACGACTTTAACATTCTGTTTTGCAAAAAATCGTGTTGATGTATCTACATCGATATTTTCCAACATACAAAATCCTTTTTTCATGGCAAATAAAGCTTTTACACATATATAAAAATAAATATTTTTGTTAGATGTTTTTTACTTACGGAAAAAGCAACAACGTCTTCGTTTGTTACCCTTTTATCCTTTTTATCATGAAAGCAATGTCGATGATAATAGAAAAAAAATTATTTTTCTTTTATAATTTCGCTTTCAAAGCAAAATAAAGCAAGGTAAGAAAAAGATAACGTTGATGAAAAGGAGGCAAATGATACACAAGAATGAAATTTTATGCTCGAAAATTTGATATTCAAAGTTTAATTATTACTTCGCGTGAATTTTTATGTTGGCAAAGAATCAGACCATTGAAAAATCAATTTTCTTTACATTTATATTCTTGTGCAGACATAAAAAAGCAATTTAAATTTTCATTCTATCGTTCCATTTGAAGAACGTTTCATCTCAGATGAAAATTATTCACAATCAAGAACGAAACTAAAGGGATAAATTCATATCAAAGCATAAATCGGAATGAACATCAATCCACATTGGATTGCTCACGTTCAACCAATTTATTCTTTCCATCTAAGGAAATCGATAACAAATCAATTCTATGCTTACCTTTAAGTAAACACCAATTTCAGGTTGTTCTTGGACTTCCAATTCGAAATCAGTAACATCAAATTTCATATGCAGATGATCGATTTGTAAATGATTTTTACGAGAATGATTTTGTAAAACACCGGTGAGGAAAGATTGAGTGAAATAAAAACCACCCAGCCAGTAAACTGTTGGTTCACCTTCATCCAGCCATCGTTGGAAGAAGTTTAATCGAGCGATAAAATCATTAATATAAGACCCGAGAGGTTTAAGCGAAGGATAACTCTTTTTAGCCCAAGCTTCTGGCATTGCTCCAATTGACATAGCTTTGTGAATTTTTTCAAGTTCAGGAATCATTGCAAGTTGCCCAATAATAGCCCTGCGAGTGTCATTCAATGATTCTTTAATGAATGTCAATAGACGATTGAATCTGATGAGCTCTTGTCGAAGCACTGTGTTCATCGAATTTGTGTATTCGACTGGATATTTTACAGCGGCTGCTTTCTCATCAAAACACAAAGGTAAGCGATTCGAAATATCAAAGCACAAGTCAAGCACTGGATCTCCAATTTCTTTTGTCTCTCCTTCGTCTTTACGTGATGATGATACCAATTGTGCTTGCGTCAAGAGAATGCCTTGAATTAACTGATTGCCATAAATTGTGTGAGTTGAAAAAAACATTTTAAGTTAAAATTCAACATAAAATAAACAAAAACGCCTCACGTTGTTCGTTTCGTTGATATTTTTTGTGATGTCGGCATTTTCATGGAGTCCAAATACTTCAGGATTTGTAGCCGAAGGCAATGATGAAATAAACTCGAGACAATTTTCTCGATTTGGCATCAGCGGAATTTTATAAATTCCAGATTCGGACAACTGGTAACTAAACGCAATAAAAAGCTTGTTTATAAAAATACGAATCCTAAATAACTGTCGCACACGTGTCCATTTAAAATCACCACATATCTCAACTTACTTGTCAACCATGACTGCATCTTCATTATAGAAATTATCCAAAAGTGACATCAGTAAGCGACGGTCATTATCATCAGTAACTCGTCCACCTGAGAAAATCTTTTTTAATTTAACTGTAAAATTTAATGATAATAAATTAAAATACCATAATTGCATTCTCCAGTCAAATATTTATGCCCAAAAAATGGAATTTCATGATATTGCTTAAGAAACATTTTTAATTGCATCAAAGATATTCTGAAATGTTAGATGGAAATTAAAAAGATATTAAAAATTATTCGATTAGATTGACTCACTTCAAATCCGATTCATTGAATTCATATGGAATATTCCATCCAAGTGGACCAAAATCTCTTCTTTCTTGAACAACAGCATGAAAATAGACGAGCGAAAACAAGCCACGATACCAAAATTTAATAACGTCATCACTTGTTGATGGTGGCGCAAAAAATGTTTCATCAACTAATGGGTCAGAATTAAATGATCGTAATAAATTCAGTTTAAGTCCTTTTGGTGCTTCGTTTGTCATTTTCACAGAGTTTTGCAGCACAGCAACAGGAAACAGTTTACTTGGATATGAAGTAATCCACAAACGATAATTTTTGTGAGCGGTGACTTCAATATTAGGATCAGTACATAACCGTTCCAAATCGTTCATCCATGATTCAGCTACATGACAATTCTGCAAGATAACCCAATGACCCAATCTCAAACTCTCTTCGATCATCTTTTCAGCTCTTGGACCTTGACCTTGACCCAATGATATCGACTTGCATCTTTAACAAATAAATTTTTATCCTACATTAACAGAAAGAGAGAAAATTTAATTAAATACTTTTCATGCATTGAATGTTCCTTTGCAAATGTCATCAATGTGTCCATTGGATCGGAGCCAGGTGAAAGAATGAACACCAAAGGAATTGTCGGCTTGCTATCATTGAACGAAGCTTGCAAATCAAACGTTGGTGGATCAACAAATTTATGACCCATGTGCTTCATAATTAATTTTCTTACTGATGGAACAATTTTGTCTGGTCGAATTGCCTTCAGTAAAATCAGATAAAAGAAATCTTCCACATCGTTGAATGGTTCTGGAAAGTTTTCATCTTCTGGGTTCGACAATTCGTAAAACTTTTTCCATTTATCAATATTTTGAGCAACACTTTCATGAAGATTTTTCAATTCTTCCAAGGAACTTGCTCTGACAATTTCATTCCATGATTTTTCTGTTAACCAATCGGATGCTGGATTAGGGTGAGGATTATTAAGTCCAACTCCATCAGTTAAAAAGAATGAGATAAATTTTTCATCCATCGTGCCACGTGCAATCAAAATTCCAATGCATAATGAAAATGAAAAGACGAGTTTATCTTTCTCAAACAACGAACGGCAAACATTTTCATAAATTGATCGCGTGAAGAAAGCATTGAGATGATCCAATCGATCTTGAAGAATATCTGATTGTGGTGCTTTGATGATACTCGTAATAAATAAGTTTAAGAACCAGGAAAGTGAATATTGATACATTGGATCAATGGTTGAAAGTTCCGAAATGCAAAAGAATAAAATGGCAGAATGCTTTGCAACAGGTACATAAGCTTGGCGAGCTGTGTCAATCTCAATTTCAGTTGAAATCGCAATAACCTGTTTTGACTGAATACTTTCTGACAACGCTTTGCTCGAAGTTAAAATATTTATGGCATTTTCATCTTCTAAAATATTCTGTTCAGATGATGACAGTACTTGAAGAATGCTTGTTTCGGCGTTGTAAAGAGCGTTGCGATTTTTCGCTGATTCCACAATTAAAGATTCTTTCTTCTGCTGTAAGTCGGGACGTTCTTGAACAACAACTGTAGCTAATAACTGCTCTTGTAATCCATGCTCTGTTATCATGAAATTAACTAATGTTACCAACACAGCCGTTTCAGGAAGGTAATGTGGATTTCTCAAGCATGTTGTAATATAAAACCGAAAGTTGTCATGATAATCGATCAATGAGTCACCAAACTTAATCAATTGTTTCCCTTTCTGTTTAATGACATTTCGTTCAAGAATGGAACTAAACCCAGAATCGATTGTCTCTCCAACATTCTCAAGCAACACTGGCTTTCCCATAATAATTGCCTGCTCGACAGTTTTCATGCATTTGACGTCAGTTTGTTGAATGACTTTAAGATCATTTTCCTTCTCAAGATTCTTTATCCATTTGTTTGCCTGTCCTTGCGGATCAATCATCAAACACCAACGTCTGGAATTCTTAACAATGATTCCATTATCGGTTGAAAAGTTGTCAGAAGGCAAACCACAAAGTTGGTTTTGTCTTATATCCATTGGATTACCAAGAATGTTTGCAAGGGAAAACTTTTCAGTGCATGGAAGCTTTTTAGACAAGCACAATTTATTCCATTCATATAGAATGTTATTCCGATATTCTGTGGAGAAATATCCGAGATATGCAATACACCCAGCACCAAGAAGCACATCACCAATCACATTTCCCAGACTTTTGTGAAGATTTGCAGCACTCTCAGACCACCGTTGCTTCTCACCTCCCAAACCTCCAATCAATTGTTCGGCTCTCACTAATTTCTTTTCACAACTGTCAATCTCATCTTCAAGTCGCTTCTTTTCTCTCGATTTTTCGGCAAAGCCATCATTTAATGTCTGCAGCTTGTCAAGAATCTCTTGAAGTTCCGCTTTCTTCGAATTCAACTTCTCCATTTGTGCAGCCAAATCATTCTCTGCTTGCGACAAAGCAATCTTTTTAGGTCCAACAATCTTAATGACACGATCATAAACGTCCATCGCTCTTATCCATCTGCACAAACCTTCACAAGCAGTTGATACTGCTTTAATTTTTTCAGGCACAAAATCGCGGTCAGAAATGTAAACATCGCGAATCTTTTTCATTATTGGTGTTGATATGTTGTCTTTATCAAATGTTTTCAAGCTTTCAAGAAACTTCATGTCGCCAAGCATTTTTTGTGACGCTGCCCAATAATCATCAACAAGTCGTCCATTGGCATCAGGTTTACGATCTGCTTTTAATCCTTTCAATACGCAAACAGCTTCAAGAACAAGTTTGATTGCTGATGGTGGATTTTTCATCGATTTCACTACAGTGATGTCAGCTGGTTTTAATGTATCAAGTGCTGAAAGAGCGCTTTCAAGTGCCGGAACTGCTTCAGCTAAATCACCTTCGCAGTCATCTCGAATTGCTTGACTTGTCGCGGCTGCTTCATTAGCTGCAGCTTCATCTGCACCAACAACTTCCTTCTTTTTCTCAGCTTCTGCAGTGTCACGCTCAATTTTAACCATAATTTTTTCTGTTTCATCTGATGTTACTTTTAATTGTGGTTGAAGATCTTGAAGCTTCTTTTGCATGACGGCCACTTGCCCGGCTGCAAATTCGAGTTTCTCTAATCCCGTGGTATATCGATCACGTTGCATTGTAATGTCAATGAATGTCTTCGTGTAGAGAATGTTGAAAGACCGCAACAATTCAAGATAAGATGTTGGAGTAACGTAATTCTTTCGACCTTGTTCAAGATAATATTTCTTACTAGCTGAGACGACACTTGTGTTGAATATCATCACCATCTCAATAAGTTTTGTCTCTAAGCTTGTTAACTTTCTTTCTTTCAATTTTAATTCATCATCTGCTGGAATTGCCACAATTGACGAGGTGGACAATGAATCAACACTTCCTGGTAAATTCATCGATTTAATGAAATGTTCAGCAACTTTTTGAAGAGCGTCTTCAGGCCATGAAGCGTACCAATCAATTGTACAACAATTAACAAGTGATGGATAAACACGAATTCTATTTTTAAATGAATCACCTATAGGTGAAAAGGTGAGAGCAATGTGAAGTGATTCCTTAACACGATCAATGAACATTCCGTACATTGCAAGTGGCGTTGTTTCCAAAACCTTTCCTGATGCCTTTGCAATCACTTGCATTTTTTCGAGAATCGCTGACTTTTCTTCTGATGGAAATAAATTTGGCAAATCGCCAGTGTTCAACATTGAATTAATGTCTTCAATAAAAATCTCATCTTTGGCTTGCGAGTCACTGAATAGAAATACTGTTGGCTTTGAATTGAGACCAGCGTTAAGAAGCAACTTCTTCATGTCTTCTCGCCATTCTAAGAATCCATAAGCACGTGTAACTTCAACTTGAAATATTTCAGCATCGCTCATGCTTGCAGCAAGTTTCACTGCTGACCTTCGTCCTGAACCTCCGAGTCCTACAAGTAAAACATGTCCACGGGGCATTTGAAGGAGACGTGAAACTCTAGAAATATGTTCGATGGCGAAACGGAAAAGAACGAGATCCATTGGAGAGTTCGACAACATATTATACTCGTTCAAATAATATGTCATATTTTTCTCAAGTTTACTCCAACTTTCGACTTCATCATACATTTTTGGATCGGCATCTGGTTCCATGTAATTTCCAAACAACAAATCTCGAATGTGATTTTCATTTATCTTTTCATCAGAAGAAATTCTATTGGCAAATGCTTGTTCCATTTTGATTCTAAGATTATTTGAACATGAAGATTCGACAATTAAAAGAAGTCGTTCTTGATCCTTTGTTTCAACGAGTCGGTCATAAAACACGCGATAAATTTCGTGAGTCCACAAACGCACCAACTTTTCAACGTCATTAAGTCTTTTTGCTGGAACCATGCAAATGCCTTGGTAAACTCTTGTCACGTCACGTAAAGAGAATGTGTAATGACTTTTAGCAGGAGTGGGCAAATAAATTTGAACTGCCTTTGAATAGACTTCAATAATCGAAGCAGCGAGATTTTTGGAGAGTCTTGAAATACTTTCACTGTAACCTTTCGCAAAATGCCATTCACCGAGAGTTCCAAAGATTCTCATCAATGTTGTATCTTCAAATGAATCAACTGCCATGCAGAACATGTGTCTATATAATCGCTTTGGAATGAAATTACTTCCCCCTGGCATACCCATGGCACCAATAAAAAGCAAGTCAATTAACTCTATGTTGCTTGTGTCAGTTAAATCCGACCAATGTCCATGATCAAGCCATTGACGAATAAGCTCCAACGGCGATTGCGATCCATATTTGTCTCTTGCTGGCATTGCAATATCATCAACAAAGTTTATGCAATTTTTTCCAACTGGTGGTCCAAATACGCCTTTACGTCTTCGATCTAGTTTTGACATGATTAGTTCTTGCACTTGTTGTGCCGACGTTCTTGCTGAAAAGTTCAATGTATTTACAATGCATTTGTCTTTTGGCAATTCTTTCAAAAAGTTTAATATTGTGGCTGATTTTCCCGTTCCTGTTGGGCCAATTAATAACATCGGAATACTATTTGAAATACAATGATGAGCCCAATACATAATGCATCCATTTTCTTTTGTTGGCACCATTAAATCAGAGACCACAGCATCGGGAGGAAATTGACAATCTTCTGATTTCAGCCATGGCCACCAAGCTTCATTTTCATCGAAACGATAATCCATATAATTTGACTTTTCAGGAAACATTTGACCGCGATTTAAGGAAAACGTTTTTGGCTTTGGCAGATTTTCGTTGGCACCGTAAAGAATTTTTCTTAGTGTAACTTCCATATTTCTACGACCTTCCACAGTCAGGGTTGATCCGTAAGCCCATGCAAAGCAGAACAGGAAAATTTGTTGGAACCAAATTTGGTTGTAATTGTGATGTTTGTTAAGGAAGCTCATGAAGAAATCCGTCATTACGTGATACATTTGCATTGGTGACACCATCACAACTGCTTGACAACTTTTCAGAGTTTCTAATGTTATTGGGACAAGCCACTCAACAAGGTTGTCGTACAAAGTTAAATAAACTTCTGCCACACCTTTGTCTTGCAATTGCATTATGAAAGTTTTATGAAGTGCTTCCCATCCAAGTTGTGATGGTTCAAAATAAATCATTCCACAACGTGAAACTGTTGCTGGTGACGCTTGTTCCAGATCTGCTGGTTCAAAAACTAAATTCATTTTATTCGTCATTTGAATTATCTCTCCTGACATTAAACATAATTTTTTATTGTCATCGAGCACCGTGTTTAAGTTTTCTATCCAAACTGCATCAACCTGTATGAAAATATTCAAGAAAAAAGAATGAAAACAAGAAATTTTCAATCCAATCAGTTTAAGAAACTTACAGGCCCATCGAATATGATCCATTGACGGTCAGAAGTATTTGAATAAACCATTTCTCGAAAAGTTGTTGCAATAACTCCATCATACCATTCATGCGTGACTGGATCGAAATTTCCATAAAGTTGACCCATTGAAATAGCTTTTGGATTAATAACTCGAAAATTCACTGGATATTCTGTTACTTTTGCTTCAGAATCATTCTTCACTTCCTTCAAAACTTCAGCAAGAATTTGGTAAGCAGTTGTCTTACCACCCATCGAATCTCCAACAATCATCAATCCATGACGAACCAAAAGCATTTCATAAATTTGAAGAACTTTTTCCATAAACCACGATGTGCCTTGTAATCGTTTTTTCTTAATAATAATCTCCATATGACGTTTAATATCATCACGAGCTGGTTCAGGAATGTCAACTCCAGGAAAAAGGTCCTTGTAAATTCCCTCGAACAGTGGAATGTCTTGTTGCAAAAACTTTGGAAGATTAACATCAATAATTGCACGGAGAAGAATCTTAGCTTCAGGCATGTCAGGATTGTTTTTTCTCAAAGCAGCTGAAGCTAAAAGTACTGACTTAACAGCTCGCATTCCATAATCATAATGGTGTTGTGATGAAAGTTGTTCCGAACATAACTTGTAGGTATGCACAATTTTATGTGCTAACGCTCGAGCATCATCAAACCCATTCGAGTACAATGTTATTTCTCCTATCATAGCATAGTCAGGAACCATCATAGCACAAGTACGGAAGAGAACTTTTAGATTATCAGGAAGCTAAATAAGAATAAAAAAATATTAAATGCACATAAAAATTTAGTTCAATTAAATTACTTCCGTTCTTCCAGCATATCCCGGATTCATTGTGATAAATATGTTGCATGTTGGATCTAATTTCAATGTTGTGTCCTCAAATAAAAATTTTACGACATTATTTTGAACAGCTTTCTGAATCGTCAATATTTGTTGTGCAACAACTGACAACACTTCCAATTCAATCCGATTAAATTCATCGAAACATGCCCATGAACCCGATTGCGCTAATCCTTTGAAAAACTTTCCTAAAGCTTTGTAATCAAGCCCATCACTACAGTTGAAGACGACACATTTCTTAGCAACAGCTTTAGCAAGATCTTTACATGTTTCTGTCTTTCCAGTTCCAGCAGGCCCTACAGAGATTAACAACAATAAAGACATTTAAGATTTTGTTTTCCTGCAAGTTTAAATGGGAAATTACCTTCTGGTGCACCTCCCAGGTTAAGTTTCAAAGCTCCCATTAAGGTTCTGAAACATCTGTCAGTTAATGGTGTGATGACAAGTCTTGAAGTGTTTCCCAAGTATTCCATTCCATACTCAACTTCAGTCGTCACCATGCAAACCGATACATATCCTTGTTTCTCTGGATTTGATCTCCAATAATATCTCATTTGAGAAATCCAATTGAATTCATCTATCGATGTGACATTGTTGTTTACTAAGAGGCTTACAATATCTCTCGCATGAACGTCGAGTACAATCAAAGCTTCAATTGTAAGTTGAGCACCAGGAGATAATTTTTTTCGTACAAGATCAACTAAGTCGAGAATTTGATCGCTACATTTATGTTGGAATGTTTCTAATGTATTTTGAGCGATTGATTCTTCAACTTCTTGAGTCCAACTCATGCATGAAACACATGAAACGACTTGACCTGGCCACTTTAGAACCCATTCTGATCGAATTTCATGAAAATATGTTTCAGATGCTTTAAAGATTTGCTCCTTGACACTCTCAATCATTATTGTCTCTACATCCTTCAACCATTTCTCAACGAGACCCTTGACAACATAAGAGACATTTAATTAAAATATTTTCGTCGACTAAAGTTACATTTAATTAAACAATCTTACGTTGGCGTTTGCTGGATTAATTTTCCTTGTTATTTGAACGATTTCACCTTCAGCCGATACGATTGCAATAATTTCGCCATTGTTATCGAAATTTAGAGCGGAAATCTTTAAACATTCAAATGATTAATCAATAATAAAATTTAATGACTCATTCAACTTACACCTTCAAAACATTTCTTCAAGTGTGGCTGAACTCTTAATGGATCTTTTGTCTCTGCCAGAATCTCGAGCAATTCATCATTTGAAAGGAAGAAAAATCTTGCAAAAAATAATCTTTTCTTTTCTAAATACATGTTGAGACCTTTTTGTATTCCCTCCAACTCTTCAAAACTTGTTCTAAGTTGTGGCAACATATCCGGAAAATCCGTCGTTTGTATGACATGAGGATCAGACACGGTATGTGCCATAATTTTTGCGAAAATTCGATCAACTTTTTTAAAGTTTCTTCCTTCTGTAGGCATTTGCCGAAGAATATCTTCCGAGCCAAATATAGGTTCAAGATACATCCAAGTTGACTGAACACGAAGCCAAACATCAAGAATATCTTGCATTGTAATTAATTTCTGTTCCCAATCTTCAGCTTTCTTTCCTAAGGCAACAATATAAGGCGAACCACGCATTGCTTGAGCTTTTAAAATGTGGTCATCAAGGAGTGCTTGAACGTCATCGAGTGATGCAAGAATATACAGATCAGAGTCACGATAACGTGTCACGTCAAATTTCATGTCTTTCCATTCCTCTTGCATGTTAATCAACTGCAAATTGAGTTCGAATTCTTTACCAGCAGCATTGGAAATTTCTTCTAATTTATCTTGAATGCGAACAATATCGAGATCAACCATAGTGCTTAATGTTGGAAAAAGAGTTGGATTGACATTCTCTCCAAGCTCTTGGGAGATTGCTTCCCAATGACGATCAACGAGACCTTGACGACAAATTGATTCAAGAATTGGAATATAAACTCGAAATTTATCAATTTTCAGTCGGATTTGTTCAGCAATTCTCTTAGCGAAAGGATTCGAAGCCAATGCTTTTGTTAACTTATAAATTGTCTTTGACATTTCATCGACTTCATCACGGATGTTGTCCGAGTTAAGTCCGACATATTTTCCATAATACCAAACTTCATAACATGATTCGAAATGATATGCAGTGTGCCAAAGCTTATCAACTGGTTCCATTTTTTCAATCATTTCATCGAGAATTGGGAAGAATGACTGATCGATTTGAAGAAGATTTTCATCAACATTAATTGACTTCGCTTCTTTGGTACATTTATCAAGAATTTCCATCAGACCATCAACTGTCGCGACTTTCTCTTTTAAATCGTCGATTGACAGAACGTCACGAACGTCACGTAATCTAAACGAATCCATTTTTTTCTTCTCGATTATCAAATTCTGTTCAAAGTTTGCACGTTTGTCTTTCAATGCTGTCTCCAGATTATCTCGAACCACCGACAAACGGGCAGCAGATAAGTCTAAAACTTTTTCCAATTCACTGGGCCACAGAAACAGACGTGAATTAAGATTTATGTCTTCTTCTAAATACGCATGAAATATAGTACAATTTGTATATAAAATAAGAAGAAAAAAAAACTATGTGAAGACTCACGTGTCAGAGAAGCATAAGTCAGAAGGAACATAACGCGTTCCTTAACTATTTGAATTTCACTTTTCAATCGAAAAAGTTTATCTTCACGACAGACTACAAGATAGTTTTGGAGGGCAACAACTTCTGGTGTCTCTTTCGGACGTTCACCCGAGTTTATTGACATTTCTTCAAACTCATCACACATCCGACGATTTTCAACTTGATTCAATGTCACGAAATAATTGGTTACGAAATTTATCAACTCACGCACGAGTTTTTCCAACACTCGGTTTACGATTCTGTTATCCAACATAAACAAATTCAATGGAATGAAATCACGAAGATAATAAATTCCATGTAGCAGCTGATTAAACTTCTCCATAAGCTCTTTGAAGATCTTGTTTTGAAGGGTTCATAAAATGAATAGAAAGAGATTTCAACAGAAAGTTAATATGTGTGTCCACTTGAACAGCACAAAAGTTCTTTAAATTATTTATTCAACAACAAATATTTCTGCCCTTTCTCTCTCTACCCACCCTCATATGGTCCATAGAAAGAAACAAGGATATAAAAATAAATCTCTAATGTCTAATCAGATGTGACAAGTTCAACGACAAATAAATTATTGTGTGAAAAAGTTTTCTTTTTCCTTTTTTTCCCACTTGCTTTTCTTTTTTTTATTTCCTTTCTTCGTCTCAATACCGTAAGATCTATTTGGAAGTGGTTTTGTGTCGAATGTAACATAAATTATAAGGAAAATGAAATTTATACTTCATTCATTTATTCATTGTCATAAGTGAAAAGAAGCGAATAAAGAACGGCAAACACAAACCTGTAATGATGGAATTTCACGCAATGAGAATATGCTTTCAGTGATGCTTCTCATCCTGCCGGATAAAATGGGAAAGTAGAAACGATACGTTGGATAAAGATATGTTGTTGGTCCATTTTGGTTTGCCTTTACAATTTTTTTGACCTTCTCATAAAGTTTCAACATGTCAACATGATCTTGACTGATGTAATGTAAAAAACCCAAATGTTCTTTCTTTTGTGTCATGTAATACTCCAAGCGTGGAATTTCATAACCGACTTTCAAGATTTTCACGAAATAACTCTTGAAAAGATCAGGAAGCTCTTCTACGAATGGTTCAACAATCATTTTTCCACTATTTTCAAGATTGAAAGATTCTGAATTTTCTTCTGCTGTTGGTTTCTCAGTTGGCAGTAAATTTGATTCATTTTCATTAGTTTGGTAAAATGTCGAGTCGTCTTCTAATGGTTTGTCCTTTACATCATTCTCCTCGTGTTTTCCAACAACCGACACTATTAATGTCATTAATGGTCGTCGTTTAAGCATGGAACTTTGTGGATCATAAATGTTTGATAAATTTCCACAATTGTAGACTTCAATAGTCTCTTCCAAATGATCCAAGCTCCGTTTGATTAATCCTTGAAGATGTAGCGACAGTAAAGCGTGAACGCAGTTGAACAAAATTCGAGCTCTTCCTTCGTGAATTGAATTTCTTGGAACTAAATCACGCCAATAACACTGCATTGCTTCAATTAAGTCCGCTATACGAGGCATCCAATCGTTGACAAGTATCTATAACAAAAAGGGATATAAAATTTAATTTAGAACATTCAAGCTTTCAATATAGTCAGCCTTTCACATTCAGCTACATTAAGCCACTCACATCTCTGGTAATTTTACAGCAGCTGTTGATAATTTTCGTAATGTTTTCCGCATGATATGGAACTTCATTTTTATAGAACTTTGCTGTGTCGACAATAAGTAAATCGTTATATAGATTGTACCAAACCATTTGGATCGCTTGCAAGACTGGGTGATTTACCATTAAAACCTCTTCAAGACGATTTTTTGCTATTTGAACGGCACACTTCCAGGGAACAGGTGCTTTGAGGGCTATCATGGGAAACTTGGGAGGCTCAGATTCAAGTTCAAATCTTTTTCTTTCCACTTCGGACTGCAAAATGTATCGCATGAAGCCTCGTTTGATATTATAACGAAAATCTTCTTGTAAATCCAATAGCAAACAAATTATCATGACGGCTTCCTCACGACGTATTTTGTTCTCGGGATTAAAAAGAAAATCCATGAATATCATTTCATATTTAACATTAGGCCACAATTTTTGTTCTTCAATGATAAATTTAGATGCACGAATCCATATTGGATTTTTTCCATCAATACGTGGAAAGATTTTCTTAAAAAGTTTGGATGGAAAAGTTTCGATTTCATTGATAATAATTTCATCAAATAGATTATGCATTCGTTGACTCATGTTTTCTGTAAACAATTGGCACGCAATTTTATAACTTTTGTTATATTTCTGAAGAATTTTCAACTTTTGTTCATCGGGATGACACGGAAGTAGCGCTTCAAGATATTTCGATTGTTGTCTGTCTTTTGATTTGAGGCGTTTTAAAAATTCTACATTACTAATTGGCTGCTTACGTTTCTTCGCTTTTGGAGGTTCTTCTCGAGGTTTTAAAAGCTAAAAAAATTATGATAAAAGTTACAAAACCAAAATATTAAATGCATCTCATTACCAACTCTCGTAATGTTGGATAGTGACGTTCAACTTTCTTCATTGTCGCTTCTTTTTTAAGCTTTTCTTCTTGAAGTCTTTTTAAATTTTTAGCAATCATTTTATCAATGTGTGCTTGGACTTTCGCTAGTTCTTCTTTAGATTCTTCAAAGCCACGTAACTTTTCATGATCAAACTGATAACCATAAGGGTTCTTCGATTTTTTTAAGGAAGCTTTAATTTTAGAAACTTGCTTTGATCTTTTACTGATAATCGATTCAGACGGACTTGTGTAAATACGGAAAAATTCTTTTGATCTCAAAGCTGCTTTTGTTCTTGCAATGTTATGGAAAACTTGCACTCGTCTGTTTTTGTATGTTGAAATGAAATATTTTGTTATCTGATAAACTCTCTTCTCAGAATTGCTAAGATTTCCTTGAATCCATCCATTGTTACGAGATGACTTGGTAAAGCCAATCTTTGAATCGATATCTCGATCAGTAGATTGAAAAACATCAGGGAGTTGGATATTAATTGAACTCGGCTGTCCATTACCATGGGGCGGTATATACAAATCAAAGTCGTGGAAAAACTCATCAGACTTTGACTGTTTAATTTTGTCTAGAAAACCAATCAAGGGAAAAATCAATTCAACTTATTGATCAAACAGAAGATTTGATTTTTTTTTTGGGAAATGATGAATAATATTTACACTTACTTATTTGTTCTAAAATAAATGGTCTTGCTGGATCTAAAGGCAAATCTTCCGGTTTATATTCAAATTTATAGAATGGCGCATCTTCTATGGAGCGTTTTTTATGTCTTTTTAAGATTTTTTCCTTGCTTTTCTTCATTTATCGTCTTTGATAATATAATAATAATTTAAATTAGAAGTTTTTTCATTAGATGAATCTAATCTACTTCTACAACCTAACTGGAAACCAAAATGAAAATAAATTTGTTTGAAGCTTTGTTTCAAGGATTGTTTAGATGTCCAAACAAAACTGCTAAGAATAACTATGGAAATCTCTCTTGGAAACAATAATTCAACAAGTAAGAAAATCACTGAATGAATAAATCAAAATTTCACTTTAAAGTGTTCAAAATACTTTTGGAATAAATAGTTCAAAAAGATTTTCATGTTGATGTTTCCATTCGAACTCATCAAATGAATCGCAATTATTATTACTATCGATTTACATAAAGAATTTGAGAAATGATTTTATGAAAAAGTAGTAAAAAATCTCATAAAATATTTATTACATGAATTTCTTTGACACCAACAAGGTTAGTGACAAAATTGAGACATAATGAAAAAGTAACATTATGGAATAATTCAGAAGTGGAAGATTGTAATAATTCAGTGTAAAATTTATGTAGATATAAAGTCTTTTCTTCAATCGTAAATCATACAAAATCCTAATTTATTCGTCATTCATGAAAACTTGATACTACACTTTGAAATAAATATAATTCTCTCTCTCTCTCTCTCATGAAAACTTGCTTTCTATTTTCCTCAGTGTATATCACAAATCTGCTGCTTTTTTTGTTTATGTGAGTTGGTATAAACAAAACAACAGGAGATTAATGATACAAAAAAATTCTTCTACAAGTAGGAACAAAAACTTTGACTCATCATTATGTCGCATATTACATTTCTCTCACTACTAGATACAGCTCAAAGGAAATACGAGCAACATATTGTGTCATAGAAGATGATATGTTTCATTTGAAAATTCATTGCGAAGAGAAATGATTTTGGAATCTGTTTAACAAAGAGTTTAGAAACATTTTCACGTTCAATTTTACTTACAATCTAGTAGATAATATTAATCATATAAGATGGTAAAATAATAAAGCATAAAATTTACTCAAACTATTTCAATTTTGTACTTGATGCATTATAGTGTCGTTAACATTCCATTCATTTAAATTAAATTTTTATTGCATAATTAATAAAATAAAGTATAGTTTCTAATTATACATCTAATTATAAATAATTCAAAGAAAATAACTTAAAATTCAAGGGTAAATGTATCTTCATTCAGACTGAAATAATTTCGTTCCTCATTTTACGAATTTCATTTTGTCAAAGTTAAATGAAGGAAAAAAGAGATTAATAAAAGGTTTCTTGTCAGAGTCTATGTATGTCAATAAAGTTATTTTTATCTAGCATGCTTCTTTGATTTTAATTATTATTTCTATCGATTGAACCGAAACATTTCTGATTGCTGAATATCTTTATTTCTTTCAAAAGAATATTTATGATGACCACGCAGGTTTTCAAATGTCTTATCATAAGTTTCCAGCAAGAAACAATAAATTATTTAGCACTTAAACAAATATAAGTGAAATAATTTTAGAGGTCTAACATTTATGTCATGTTGACTCAAGTTGACCCTTAAATAAAATGAAGAACTGAAAATAAATATGACCTTTATTTCAAAACTTTTCTTTATAAAAAAGAAACTCCTCCGCAACTGTTACAAATGTTATGAATCAAATATCTGCTTAGGAAAGAAGCATGTACATAGGTATATGTATAGCTTCAGATAACCATCTATGTGATGTGTCTTCCCCCAATTCTTTCTTATGAACTTTTCCAACAATGGCTTCAAGAAAACTACATTTTATATGAGAATACTTTAGAAACTTTAGAAGATAATATTGTTGATGTTCAAGGTGAAAAAAGCTATTCAATTTTTTCCAACATCAAAACTTATCCTTCAGCTATAAAAGAAAGATATTTTTAAGCGAACAAAGCATAGATAAGAAATGGGAAAAAAACAAGAATGCAGAGCCTGGTGTCGTCTTGGTTAAACGTTATAAATACGTAAAGATCTTAAGAATTTAGTTCGTTGTTCTGTATAAATGCTACATTCATTCTATGACGACAACAAGCTCTGTAGAAAACGTTTAAATATTGATTGAATGTTTAGAAATGTGAATGAAAAGTCAAATAAATTTTTGATCAGCCTTTTCCCCTTAGTGAAACCCAAGTTAACACTCTTCCCTATAGCCTCAGGTACAGCATTTGTAACATTTGTGCATTTTATCTCGTTTAAAAAATGAGAAAATATGTTTTCGGAAATTGAAGATGTTTTCCTTTTTTCATATTTTGACATATTTTATTACATTTAACTATAAAATAAAAATAATATGACATATAGGTATCTACATGTTTGTGTATTTAATAAAATGAAAAATAAGGAAAATTTCTATTTTCTTATTTTTCCTTCCACTGGAGGAAAAGTTTTCGTTCAACGATTTCAATTTTTTTCCATTACTTTTTTGTTTTCATACCCTAGAAGTATAATGATTAAAATTAATGTTCTGTGGATTTTTAAAGTTATGTAGTTCTGCGGTAAAAGCTCAGAAGAGCTTAGAGATTCACATACAAATTTATCTTTGTAAATATGAAAGTTACATCAAATCACCTCCAAACATGTTTTGTTTAATTTCTGAGAATTATTTACTGAAATGATACGATTTCTAATTTATTTTTCAAGTAGGATTTCTCCCCCGAATACATCATTCAACGTAACAAAACAAATTTGAATCAAACAATAAGATAAACTTTAGACAACATTAAAATATGAATTCAAAAAGTTCAGAATTTTAATTTTATAAGTGAAAGAAGCAGTTAAAAAGTGAAGTTTTATAATATGAAATAAAATTAATGCCATCAACTGTAATAACTCTGCAGCAATACATAACTTGAGTTAAGTTTTATTTCTGGAGACTTTTAGACACATTTGTATTCATTAAGTCATACCTTTTACTCAGTTTATTTCAGACGTTCAAGCGATTGAATGAGCTAAAGAGTAAAATTAATTACAAAACTTTGCTTTTCCTTTCTTTGATTTCATTAATGAATTTTCAATCTAAAATAACTGTCAAGTTCATATGTTTGAAGTAAATTTAAATTAATGAATTTTGTCAATACATAAACATAAACTATCAAAGTTTTGATTCATATTATAACATCCTCGCAAATAATTAGTAAAAACTATTTTCTTATTCTTTTCTTGCTGACTAATTAAAATTACTCATCATTTTTCTTTCATTTTCCTATCGACTTTCTTAATCAAGTTTTCAAAGGATATCATTTTATTGAAAGAAATAAAATAGAATAGATACGAAGGAAGCAACCGGAATTCATGTTGATGTTTCTTTTCAATGTGACCCTCTTTTTGACATGAAAAATTCGACACAACTCTTTCCATTTCTTTTATAACTCCGAAATGCCAACCCGAGTACAATTTTAGTAATCTGTTCAATAATTCATGCTTCAATAAATATTAAAGTGTTTCTTTTATTTGAGATCACCCTTGACTGTTGAACTTAAAAGAGAGTCAACGGGAAAAGAAAAAAAAAATATAATTTCACTTAAATAAACTTCTTTCTCAATTCCAATAATTTTTCAACGATATTATAAATATTAAGGATAATTATACATATAACTAAATAGATAACATTTTGGGCATCAACAGAAAATAAAAAAAGGGATTACGGGATATAAAATTGCGTGTTCTGATAATAATAACGTGACCTTTCCTATCATGTTTTTAATTTTTATAGCTATGGGGTTCTAAAAATGAAGAAACTTTTCACTGAAATTTCATAAATAGTTCCGGTTTTTAATTAAAAATAATTTGTTTAAGGAAATATAATTTTCACTGAATATTCAGTAGAAAAAGTCTGTGCTTCAGTTTTACTTTAATCGTATCGCTCAGTAGCTGCTATTGCAGCAAAAAGCGGCGTAATCTCAAATTAGCAATTGATTGGCAGTAAAATATTAAAAACAGGTAGCATACCATTAGGTATTGCAAATTAGTATTGATAAGGATAAGGAAGAAAACATTTTCACATACAAAGTTTGATACTCTTAATCATTTATAACAAATTGTAGAGCTCAGCTTTTCAATATAAATTGCATCACGATGGTAAAAATTCGTTGTTTCCGATTGTGCGCAATTGATGTTTTATGAACAATGAGAGTGTAATAATGATTCAACAAGTCTGCATTCTACGTAGTACCAACATTGGAAAACGAAGAGCTTGCGCATTATTGGAGATTGAGGAGAAAATAATCTTTGTAATGATATTTAATCGCTTCTTATGATTTATATATTCCGGTAATATTTAAATTTCACAGTTGTTCTAATAAAAATAAAAATACCAAGTGTTATAATGAATAAGTATTTATATGCTTTGGGCTAGCATAAATCTGACTTTTATTCTTTTATATGGTCTTACAGAAACAAATTTGCAAGAAAACAACTTGTTTGTTGAAAAAAATGTCAAAATATTATCCTTTATACATGAGTTTTTAATGCTTGAAGCACCAAAGATGGTTGAATAGAATTTTTCATTTGAGGAAACAGTAAAATGTTATTTTCTAGAACTTTTTCTTAAAATCAATCTGATTCCATTTCACCTAACTCCTGAATTAAATTCATCCTTCATGAAATACGAAACGATTATGAAACTTGTTTTAACGATAACTGATCGAAATTAACACGTGTTCGTTTTATTTTATGTTTTGTTTTTGAAGAACCTGTAAAATTATATTTTCATATAAAGGTATATAAAGCAAATATGTCCCATCGGAATCCGTTAAAAACGCAACAGCTAAATTAACCGCATAAAATGTAACCTGAACGTGACGAAGTGAAAATAAAACTGCTTGTTACGGTGTTTGTTACTTTCTTTTTTGTGTGTGAGATTCCATGCGTATTTATACACATTAATTTTTGTTCGGTCCGAGGAAAACGACCTGAAATCGACTTGGTTGCGTCATTTTCTCCCTAGAACACATTTTTCATGAATTGTTTGTTCATGTGGAGCCAAAAGCTTTTATATTATTAATGTATTTTTTTCCGACTAATGATGTTGATTAATTAGATTTTTTATTTCGCATAAAAGTATGGTTGTCAGAATGTTGCTGCTTCATTGACTAGGCCTACAACCATCAAAGCTGAAAATGATCAGATTTTTCATTTTGATTTGAACTTACAATGTTCATCATCATTCATAATCCTTCCAAATTATTCCGGTTAATTTCTGTTCAATATTTTCTAAATTTATATCTATTTATCACGATTGACTTGATGAAGACTCTACAGGTGTGTGGGTCATAAAATCGGAATGTTAATTTCCTCTGACACATCCGGGTATCTATAATTGTAAATCTCAATGATTTTACTACACTGCCACTGCAACATTTTCATATATTGTAGCTTTTTATTAAAGTTATTCTAACTAATATTTCTTTTCTTATTCTGCTTTATATGCTTAAATGTTCCAAACTTTATTTTTTGCCTCTACTTAGATATTTGTTACTGGAAAAGTCAAAGCTATAAAAAAGAGCATAACAGAAAGTTTTCCTTTATTATTCTTGGTTCTTGTTCCCGCTTACTAGTACATATGTATAATAATAATTCTATTATCAAAACTACATGATGGGAAACGGGGAGGAAATTTTTTCAGCTAATTTGGTTACGAGCTTCATGCTTACCCTTCTTCCGCACAAGTTGTGCGTTACGTTCAATTCCATGGAGAGTAACAATAGGTGGGGTTATATAACGCTTACACGAAAGGTATTGTTTAAAACTTTTGTAAAAAAAAAACAGAAAATACTTCTCCAACGTTCATTCCGACCATTTAATTATTACGTATTGTTAACATGCTAGCACGTATTGCCGACTCCTCTCTGATTTTCAGTTTCTTCTTTTTATTTACTCTTTTTCTGTTTCTATAAGTACTAATCAGTGAATCAGGTAACCAATATTAGTGTACTTAAACAACGCCGCCTATCAAATAATATTCAGTTGGCTGAATTAAACTCTGGAGTTTCTCTGAAGTTCTACGAAAACTTATTTTAATTTGAAGTTGATTTCAACTGTTTTATTGTCATATCTTTTTGCAGACTTAAAAAGAATATTCTTGAATAGCACGAATGTTTTATTACACTTAAGTAATGAGTGAATTCGTAATTAGCTATTACTTACTTTTGACTCAAACTTGATCAAATCAAAAAATCAATTCATTCAATCATAAAAACACTTTTTCATGTTTAAGTATGAATAAACCAAGCATGTATAATTATTTATCCAGTAAATGATATGCGTGAGTTTGCATATATCTACTTATCCATCAAAGAATAAAAAGTGACAAAAGAAAATCTATAAAGACAAAGTATAGACACAATATTTGATGTCTGCCATCATACACACTTACAAAAAAAATCCAATTTAACCACTTGCTGTCAGTAATTCAATTAACATCCGGTAGGAGGTGTGGTTGGAAAACATTCAATTTTCAATGCCAACTCTGAATATCATCCGTCGCATTTTGAGTTTGTATCGAGTGAGAAAACGTTTATGTATAAATACATGTATAAATATAAGAAGTAAAATGAATAGTAGAAAATGGAAGGTTAAGCATAACGGAAAACGAAATATTATAGCATTAGCAACACGAAAGCCGGATAATTTAATATTTCAGACTGAATTATTTAGCAATTCGTTATCTACTTCGAGAGAGAAATTCTTCAAATGTATAGATATATCATATTGATCTGTCGTTATACTTTTCTATCCTAAATTTTATAAAATATTTATCACAAAATCGAAGATTCTTTCGATTGTAAACTTCAAAGTCATTGAAAGCAGTTTTACTAATTTGAAAAGTTTTCATCGTCAATAATTAGACAAAAACAACAAGTATTTTGCTAATCGTTAATCACCAAAGAATGAATTCCTAAAGCATCAAAAATTTGATTTAATTATAATTCTAAAGAATAAAATATTTTATTTTATATTCAATGTAATAAAATTTGCGTTATAATAATGAAAGAAACTGCCAACACTGTGGAAAACAAGTTATTTGCAAAGTAATGACAGAAAATTGAATAAAAACTGTATACTTTTGATGTAGATATGTGTACTTGATAAGAAAAAAACAACAATTAAAAAAGTTTATATCCCAAAGCTAATAAATATTTAAGCTCAAAAATGTGTTTAAAAATAAAAATTATGTTTTCATGCCTCCCTAATGTCGAGCGCAGTTCGCGGTAAATTATTTTATTGCATCCAATGATGATGATGATTTGTTTGTTTTTCGAAAAAAAAGGTTCTGAAATAAAAGTTTCAAAAAAGCATAAAACAATTTCACCACTTTATGCCTGTATGCTTTTGGCAAGTTGGAGAGAAATGTTTGTTTTTCTTGTGTGGCGAACTTTATTCCAAAAGATTAAATTTTCATTGCATTATAATTTTCAAACAACTGAAAATTAAATCTTTTCCGCATATCGATAAAACAAGAAAGCGAAACATAAAAGAATGCTTTTATTAGCTTTCACAATATACTTAGAATAAATGTAATAATGAATTATAATTATTTTTACTTCTATTCAGAACTGGGTTAACTCTGAATGTTTGAACGTTGAATTTTAATTCTTGTTTATTTGCTGAATAAATTTTATATTGCTTGCATTTAAATTTAGATATATGTAATTAAATGTGATATCAAAACTTTACATTTTACTAGCTGAAAACTATTATTCATTTTATTTTTCTTATCTTTTTATGGAATCTCCTTCATTATCAGCTGTTAGAAATAAAATGATAAGAGATGCCAAATGACGCTTTAAAGCTATGATTAAAATTTCATTCAAATCTCTATGACATGTCCCCGAAGTTTTAATTTCCCTTTTTAAATTCATAATCAAAAACATTTGAAAACCTCGTGTGATTTATTTAAAACCCCAAGTGCGCTACATAATTATGTTCCTGACCAATAATTCCATTGAAGCTAGATGTCCAAAGCAAGGAATTAATTGTTGACAATAAATTATTTCAACTTTCTTTACCAATGAACATAAATAGGAAATGCAAGATGCATAGATAGCCTGGAATTTATTTTTTTTATTGCGAAACTAAATTTACATCTTTGTTTTATAAAAGCAATGTAAACAACAGCAATTCTTTGACATTAATTGAATATACCTGAACGTCAGTTTTATTTATAAACGTTTTTTTAAAATGGAACTTGGGAATAAATAACTCAACGACTTCATCATTCTATTAATTATCTTTAGATTTGTTGTGTTTCCTGTTCCTATTCATCTCATAAAAAAGGAAATATTAAAAATATGCTACGATCGTGGAAAATTATGAAAATAAAAGAAATTATTTGCATTAGGAATACAATTTGCGATGTCGACCGGATGCATTACAAATAGTTGTACAAATGGAATAGGGAAACTCATTTAAATAGCATAATTTAAATTGCTTTAAGCAGCTATTAGTAGAAAATACATCTATGACAATGAAAAATTCCATTAAAATGACATCCTACTGCTTCTGGGAAGTGTACTGGGGTTGCTGCTTTCTATGCTACACATATGGTTGTGCCAAAGTCATCATTTCCCTGGTCGTTGTTATAGATTAATATTGAAAACAGCACGCGAGTAAATTATGCAAAAACATGAACACCCAACTCAAAATTTTTGAATCATTCCGATTGTAAGTGCGCGAGGAAATTTAATGAGAGATTAAATGTTCGTCATTTTTGAAGGGCATTCAAATCCATAAAATGAGATTTTCTGATTTACTGATTACCTGAAAATGAAGCCATAGAAACAGCAACAATTTTGTGTAATTTTATTCCTTTATTTTGATAATAAAAAGCTTTTTTAAAGAAAATATTTACATAAATTTCTGTCTTAGAATATTAGGTAAATCTTATGAGGCTTAAGACTTTCAAATGCTTTTTATCTAAAATACTTTCCTTACAATTATAGAATCATCATCATAAATATTTCTTAAGTTTTTCTTCATTTTTTTAAATGTTTAAAAGGAAATAATATCATTTATATGTTCACACAAAAGAAATCATTCACCTCACACCTCACAAAACTTACGTTAAATGTGAATGCATGAAGTTATTGGTTTGGTCTCCAAACTATTAAATTACGTTTAAGATTTTAAATTTCATTGTTTTAATTGAATGCAAAGCTATGCTGCGAAATTTTATAAGAAACTTTTACAATTATTGAAGAGATGGAACTGAAATTAAAATTATTAAGCGTTTTGATTTATCGAAAATTTGATTTAATTGTAAATTTAAAATCTTAACCTATTGACAATATTTTAGTTTCATAAATTGTTCGATTGTACTTTTTTTGAATGAAATATATGATGATTGAAAAGGAAAAAAGTTATGTTTCTAAATCTTAATTCGAGCAGCTAAAACTACATGCTTAGTCCTTCAATTGAATTGACTTATTGAATGCAGCCAAATGTGCGAGCAAATGCGTGAATTAAAAATGAGACTAAAATCAGATTCAACTGTAGAGAATTTTGTAATTTAGGAGAAGACGATCTTATCCAATGGCTCAAATCAAAGCCTATATATTGATTTGATGGGTGTGCAAACTGTTGTATGTATTGCTTCGGACATGGCAAATCATTTGCTTTGATAAGTAAAAGATTACTCATATTTTTGTCATCCATCCTTTCATCTTCATAATAGTTCGGATCGTCATCTGAATACTTTTTTCTTGTAGAATCATCCACATTAACACTTACTCTGACACCTTTTCGATGATTCTTTGTATTCATGATGCATTCGACTTCCTCCATTGAATATTTCAGTTGAAAACTTTTTGTGCGATTTCTCAAATCGTAAACCCATCCCAATCGACAGTCACAAATTAGTTTGTTCTCTGTAAACATCAAAATATTGATTAATATAAAAAAACGATGCTTTAGATTAAGTAAATTACGAAAGTTACGAAAGATTGAAAGTTTCTGATAGAAAACCATCGATCAATAAATCGAGGGGATAATTTTTGGATAGATTTAATCATACCAAATTTTTGTTTTCATCAAAGAAATAAATCAATTTGATAGATTTGATAGATGACAGGTTTTATTGTGACAAAACAATTAATAATAGAAAAAAGTTTATTAGAATTTGTAGATGAAAACGTTTAAAAATTATTTACCTTTCATCAATAGCATACTCGTGTGATTGACAAGATTATTCATCAATGGTTGAATCGTGCTGACCGTGATAGTTTCTAATGAATTCCTCATGAGATTTAAATGTGTCAACATTGGAACTGTCGAAAACGTCGCAACTTCTAATGATCTCAATCGATTATTTTCTAAATTCAGTCGCCCTAAACTACCAAGTCCATTGAATGCTCGTTCTGAAATTCTCTGAAATGATATTAAGGTCATTAATTCAATCATCCTTATAATTGTTTCAATTGTGACTTTTTAAGATCTTATGATAGATTCTATTACAAAAATAAATCAGTTTGGATTCTGAAGATGAAAATCAATATGAATTACATAAATGATAATTAATTCTTAATATTTATAAGCAATAAAATACTTTCATAATTTCATCTGTAAGGAAATTTTTATTTGTTTCCTTTCTTGATCTTTAAATTTTTTCGTTGTAAATATTTACGAAAACAATAATTTGCAATTAGCATAAATTATAATTAAGATATGTAGTAGTGTTTTTAATCAGCGAAATGAGAATTCCAATCTCGGTATGTATTTTTTCATTATGAAAATTTAAAAAGTTAATGTTTTCACAAGCACATAAATCTTTGTTAGAGAAACCAACAAACAAGCGAAACTGTTAATTAAAAAAGTCTTTTACTAAATTAGGCAATCAATTGTGTTCAATAATATTTCATGTCATCAGCATTCACAGACACTTTTCTGTTGGCTGAGTTAGTTCTTAATCTTTATTTTCGGAAAACCATTTTTTTCGTAGCATTTGCTAATGACACATTCCCATGGTACAATGGCGAACACTAGTGAGTAACTTTTCGAAGTAGAAGTATACATTGAAGAGGAATTTCCTTATTTACCACTCTATTAATCTTGCTTCCAATCACATAACATGTTATGTTTTATAAAGTGGTGTTTTAAACTAAGCGCTCTGATTCTTCTGACACAACCCAATTAAATCTCATGATACTCTTACCACTCTCACATCCGTTACTCGTTCATATTATTCTGAATAAAGGATAAAACAAATTCCTACGTGAAAACTGTCACACAGAACAAAAAATTCCGATATTCATTAACAAGGATAAGACAAAATTCCCATAGAACAACGCACATTCCGTCTGTCGGCATTAAATTATGTTTGTTATGAAGAATATAAAATATGGAGGTAAAAGAGCGCAACATATTTCTGTATTTCATGTCTTTTGTTACTGGTGCGACGCCGTTTTTCTATACAGTCTTAACAGAATGTTTGTTAATGGGATAAATTTAATTAAACCTACGTGGCACCTTGTTCCCTTTTGTTTAAATTTATTCCAAATGTTCTGCTTATTTCATTCTCAACCAACTTCTTGCAATGATTTGTGTCACTTTGTACTACGCTAAATTTTATATATAAAACACCAAACTTTATGAATGTTACATTAAATTTTACTCTCATTTTTACGTTTGTTCACTTTTAATTGCAAGTATTAAATTTTGATTAAAAATTCTGAATTTGTACTGATTTCAAAAATTAGAGCATGTTAAAATCATTCAACTAACCTCGATTAAGTTGTGTGACAAATCCAAATCTCTAAGGCTAAAGAGTTCGATAAATAAATCATCTTCGATGACTATTAACTTATTGTGATGTAGTGACAAATTCCAAAGGTTTCCAAGGCCCTTAAAAATTTCGCGAGTGATATAGTCAATTAAATTGAAGCTTAAATTGAGGACGCTTAGTCTATCGAGGTGCTCAAAAGTATCTTCTTGTATGGTAGAAATTTGATTTTCAGCGAGATTCAATCGTTTTAGTGCAGGTAGATTTATAAAAGCAAATGGGTCGATCTCAATTATCTCGTTACTCGCCAGCGACAGTTCCTGCAATTCAATGTGATTAGCAAAAGCATAAGCATTGACAGTTCTGATTTGATTTCTTGACAATGTTATATTTCTTATGCGAGTAAAATTTCCAAATGCAAATCCGAATATCTCGTGGATTTGAGCATATTCAATTGTTAATTTCTCCAAAAATTTTAGAGATTGAATAACATCTGTGGGAATAAAGGACAAGTTTCCAGTCCCGTGTACGGAAAATCCAAGATTTTGTAATTGAGATTGCGTGTGAAACGTAGTCCAATCCAAATCATGAAGAGTTAAATCGGAACGGAAAATCCAGCATTCCGACTTTTGTGCTTTTTCATGCTCATTATCTGGCGAACAATGACACACCAACTTCATGTCACGTCCTTTAGAGCAGAGATTTATTGGCATTGCTTTTGATTCGATTATATGATGCTGTTGCGATGGTAGAGAAGATGGTTCTCTCTGTTTCTTCCGATCTCTGTCACGGTGACGACTCTCGATTGGGATTGTTGTACAGAGGAAAAAAACAATCAAAGCATAAAGCAGTTGATTATACACAGTCATCCTTGTCATTTCTCTTTTTTATGTAACTTGCAACCTTTTCATTTGATTTAAATTTTTATACTTGAGAATATTTATTATTTCACCCCGTTGCTCTCTTCATCATCATTTTCGTTGACATTTTTCTTTTTCTGTGGCGATGCTTTCAAGGAGAAAATTTTACTCCAGCTTTATTCAACAGCACATGTGAACTGTAAAAAATGATAGAATTAAATCTATATTAAAAAAATTAAGTGATTAATTGAAATATGTGAAGTATTTAAAATTTAATAATTGTGTAAAAGTTACAAATCGCATTCTAAGTTTCTAAGCTTTAAAATTAAAATCAAAAATTCTCTCGAACCGCACAACGTCATTGGAGTTTGCCGTTGAAAAATTTCCATATTTAAATTTAAGAGAATTGAGTTGGCAGATATCAGGTTGAGTTTTATACTCGAACTTCAGGATAATAAATAAAATCATTTAAAGCTCATGTCTCAGCAATTATGTGTGCAAAAGATAGCAGACCTGTAGAGTGTTAGTTGAAAAATTATAAAATCATGAATGAAAGTTAAATTCCTAAAGCTTACAAGAATGAAGTTTCAAGTGAATTTTATTTTTCATTAAAAAGAGGAGAAAGTTTTAAAGCTTTGTACTTAGAGCAAAGAATAAAAATCGATAAATTGATATTTTTAGCATAAGGAATCAAAAAGGTACCGTCTTCATTTGCAGATATCTGCATATTTGATTAGGGGAAAATACAAAAGGTAGAAATTAACAATGAAACTAACAGAATAAAAATGCTAAAAACATCTTACAAACGTCTTTGATTTTAAATTGAAAATCGCCTTAAGAATTTTCCACTTTTAAGCTCAAGTTTCAGAATAATTTAAGAAATCATTTGATATTTGATTTCATGAATTTTAATGAGTCAAAAATGTTAGTTTGATTTTTCCTTCAAAAACTGATATCTATCTATGGGACAAAATTAAAAATTATTAAAAAGATAATTAAAATGAAAACATATCAGATAATTAACATTTTCCTTCATTGAATATAAATTTATGTGAGCTCGATTCACTTGTTCATTCATGAATTATGAAAATTGTTTCACTGTGAGTGAGAACGAAAATGATGAGGAACAACAACAAAAAATGATGAATATTATAAATTTTAATTGAATGTTTTTTGTTAATGAATAATTGTATAAAATTAAATGTTGCCATTTCTCTTCATTACTTCATTCACCAAAATATGAAAGCGCGAATTGTCGATAGGAGAATTGAAACATAAAATTTTTATGAAGAAATCATAGATATACATCATCTTATAGATTGTTTCTTCAACTGAAAGAAGATGTCATGACAAGATTTTAAATAAGATCAAACATCCATAAGCCTCACGCGTTTTTCCTGAATACAAAATAAGAAGAAACATCGATATATACTTAGCTATGTGGAAAAATGTCAATTTCGTTTATGTATCTACTTATTTCTTATAAATTTCACTGTATTGAAGTGATTTTGACTTTAAGATGTACTAAAAGGCTCAACAACTTTTCTGTTTTCGATACAGCAAGAACAATCAATATTTTGAATATATCAGGTAATAAACATTTGTAGGTATTGATATCTGTAATATGTCTCCTAGTAGAAGTCAGAAATTGAGCGATTCAGTGAAGTTTTGAAGGGAAAAGATTCGGTGGCATACTGAAAAAGCTTGGGATATTGAATCAAACAAAATTCTTTTTATTCACGCACATATTATTTTGCCGCTATGAGAAGTGTCTTGATTTGAAATTGCTACAATCGAAAAAGTTGGAAAGAATCTCGAGTAATGGAAAATCTACCTTTTCGCTCTGAAAATAAAATTCTTTAGATTTTTCGAAATCTTTTACACTGTCTTCATTAGACTTCCCTATAGAGACAAAGAATCTCAAAGTTAAGCTAAAAGTTTTTAATCCTTGAATTAATTAAAATCTTTCTTTCTTTTCTCTGTTTTGCGTTAGAGTAATGAATATAAATTCTGACGTATTCTGGGAGCTGAGGCATGTATTATCTTGGTATTTGCTTCATAAATGTTATACCTCAGAAGGGATATGTATGCCAGAATTAACAAAAATCCCTCTGAGATAGAGCATTTATGAATCTGTGCCAAAATTCTGCATACTTCAAATCCCAAGGTACCCCAGAATCAGATTCATTACTCTACTTAATAAAAAGAGTTTTCCCAAAAGTCTAAAATATTTTTCCTCCGGTACTAAAGCGTGACGAAGGCAGAAAAAAGTTCACACCGATTTTAATTAATTTTCAAGACTTTCTTTTTTATTAAGTATGTAAATGTTAAGATTGTTCTCAAATTCTATCTTAAAAATCTACCGACTTATGGTAAAACGCTGAAAGTAGGAAAGCTTTTTGACTTCTTCTTGCTTTTTCACTAGATATTTGATATATTGCTTGAGAGAGAATTAAGTTTAAAATAAACTAGAAGATAGTTAGTTAGTGCTGTGGATATTTAAAATTAATAAAAAAAGAGATTCTCTCACTCTTTTTCCCATAAATTAATTTATTTTATAATACAGCAGGAAATGAACACCAATCTTGTGAACATAAACTCATTAAAACATAATTGAAAGTAAGTAGTAAATAGTTTAAAATGTTTAAAACACATTTATTTAGATAAATAGTTGTGTTAAAACATAAACTCTTTCAAAAAATGTTGTTATCTAAATTAAAAATCGTTTATAGAAATAAATATCACCATATGAGTATATTTAAGATACTTGTTTGAATACGAAATTTAAACATTTGGAAACATAAATATAAACTTAGAAACTACATTTTACATGCTATGGATAATAAATCTGAGTTGATTGACGAGCGGAAATTAGCTTTTTTTTCTCGTTTAAACTCAATTTCTGAGTTCTTTTTTTAGAATATAAACACAAAGATTGTTTTATTGTTGTTTTCTGATATACAAATTTTGATAAAAATTAAACATATCTAAATCCCAAGCCATTCTCTGTGTTCCATTATCTACCTAATATTTCGGATGTTTTGACAGTTACCTTTGAATTGTAACTGTCAAAATATTCTGTTCTTGAAATGCTGCATGCTGGTAAAATTTGTGTGCTTCTTTGAAAGTGAAGTTTTCTTTGATACAAGACAAAGTCAGATTTTGAGTTAGCAAAAGCTTATCAACAACTAATTTTTTACTTATGATTACGATATATGTAAGTATCAGAACAACGATAAAGATCCCAAATGTATTAAATAAGCAAACGTGACAAATTCCGGTTTATGCTTAAAAATTAATAATCATAATGTACTGAAGAAACATATGATGTACCTACTTGCATCATTTTTTTATAATATATTTAATAACGTACATTTTTATATACGCACATAAATGTATATAAAATCTTTTTTTTGGCAAGTGTGTAGGCTACTATCATATGTTCCCTTAGAAAGTTATCAACAATGTGGAAAGTCATAAAGGAAATTTTCATAACGTATGTTCTTTTTTATCGATCTGAGCTTCGAGGGAGAAATTTCATGGAGAAGTTTTGAGTTCTCAAAACTATTTGTTGCTTTATCATTTTGGCGTTGAAGGAAAAACTAGTCACGACTTATATTTTTATTTGTAAACAATTTTGATTTCTATTTCATGATAGTACTTTAGTCAACTAACGTTCTTATGCTAATGTTTCCAATATTAACGCTCGTACAATACTTCATTTATGTGAACAGTAAAATCACTATGTTCTTTAATTACGATGAATATTTGATGAACTATGCATTGTACTTGATTATCGTTTTGAACAACATCTTTTTCCAGAATAGAATATATAGACACAAAGTTGAAAACAAAAAATCAATATTTAAATTAAATATAATTGGAAGATAAATAATGTGGAAAATGTATCAAAAATTCGATCAATTTGATCCATCACGAATAATAAATATATATCCTATGTTTGTATTGTTTTTATTCCAGCAAATTTTGTTATTCAAATGATACAACTAACCTGATTCCTTTTAAAGAAGAACTTTGTACCAAGCGACGAATTCGTCTACGATAAATATTAACTTCGTACCGTCAATTTATTCAATTCATTTGGCATGTAAAATTCCTTGAGTTTTTGTTTTATTATAAGGTATGAAAATTTTTTGTTTCACTTTTATCGACAATAATTTTTGTGAGATTTTAAATCATTGCAAAATATTCTGTTTTATTAGTGATATCACTTCACATAAACGAACTATTCTTTTATTCTTCTTATAAAACACTTGTCGCTAATTTATTCATTATTATTTGATTGCTTACGGAGAAAAGTATGGGAAACCAATCTTCTCATCAACAGTTGTAAACATCTACTAAACTTTTTTTGATCAAATCGTTTGTTTTGTAAATACGAATCAGAAGAATTGGAAAACAAATTGGGGTTTGGTGTAAAAGAGAGCAAGCACATCGCTCTTGAGAATTGAGGGGAAGTTTTATTTGTAATCTCGCAAAAATGATGCTTAAATGTATAGAATTAAGATCTGGGAAAATTATAAATTTTCAAAATCGATGATAGATGGAACTTAATATTTTATACAATTGACTTAAGATTGAAAATTAAATTTTTTTAATAAATTCTCAAACATTAATGGTGATACCAACATTGAGGAACAACTAAACATGATCTAGTACAATTTTCCCCTTTGAATGTTTCAATGTTTTCCATTGTTGATTGCTTTTGTTTATTGTTTCGCATGCGAAATAGAAATTTTCAATGCTTGTGAAGGGGTAATTCAGGCATTGCTTTTGTCGAGATCAAGTCCGAACTTAATCATGAATTACCCCTGCTAGAAGGAGTACATTTATGATCTGTATCTTAATTTCATTGACATTAAAATAAAAGTAGAAAATCGATACACTTTTTTTTATTTCGGAAACATTTTTAGTCATAATGTTGAACAATGTCGTTGATCAATTTTTTACATACACTTAAAATCACTTAAAAAAGTAAGCATACCTAACATAAATATTTGAGGAATATTAAATTATCAATGATGTCGTGTTTTCAAATTCAAAAGAACGTGTTCGTAAATAAGGTTGTGCGATTATTTGTGTTTAGCAGTAAGATCTATCTTACTCAAAACAACATTTTATTCATCCTTGAACGGAAAAGAAAATGTTATCGAAATTTCAATTGTTTTCCTTATTGTTTGAAAAAGCCTACGCAAATGGCACTTTTCAATTTTCTTTAAGTCTCAAAAGAAAATATGATGAAAACTTTTTTCATGAAGAAAATATTAACATTTAACCTTAGGAGGTAAATGCGTTTTCCTTCAAGTAAACTAAATATAACTTTTAAATTGCCCAATTCTATATCAGTTGAAGTATCTCACGCAAAAAAATGATGAAATTTGACCGATTATCTTCCATGTAATTGAAGACAACACAAAAGAATTAATCTTCTTGAAAGTAATTAGGAAGAAAGAGATTATTAGTGTAATGATTTGTTTTACGGGAAGGCACATTATTTATAACGAAATAATGTTTCTTTTATCTGACATTTTTTGTATCTTAGCACTTTTAGAAGATATTTAAGGTAATGAAGATGTTTCTTTGATTAATTTAATTCGTGTTTTGATGACATGTACTTAGACTTCTCTTTCCTTATTGTTATTAAAATCAAGTAGCTCAATACTTATTTCAAATTTATTGTGAACTTAATGTTGATTGCAATCGATTGAGTCTAAGTGCAATTTTCCACTCACATATGTTGTAAATGTACTGCTGTGCAGATGTTTCATGGTTGATTTCCTAGGTGTAAAGGAGAAAATGCTATCATCAATTATTTAGTACAATAAAATTTCAATTATTTTGTACAATGAATATAAATGCGATATTTTATTACGCTTGTGTAACGCAGTCATTTAATACTTTTAATCTAAACAAAATGAAAATCAATTTACTTTCATTTAACTACTCTGCATGAGTCATTAGATATCGTTTTGTCATAATAAATTTAATTCCGGAATTTCGGTATTTAATTAACATTGTGAAAAAAAACAAATTCACTTCCTGATCTATATGATGAGTCTACATTTGTTTTTATAACTTAGAAGTAAGAATATCTAACCAATCCTTACTGGACAAATGACTTTATTGTCCAGTTGATACTGTAAAAACCATACTCACCCAGAAAATCGAAATGACAATTTGACCTCAAGCAGAATTTATGTGTATGACGAACTGAAATCTTCCCTTTCTTTTATACGGTTAATGTTCTTGCAAGACTAAAGAAACGAAGAAATATTGTGATGCATTGAACTGGAAACAGTTAGTAAGGACAAGGTTAGGCATGGTATTGTTCTTGTATTTTTTGTTCTTCATTTTACTGCTTTGAGTGTCGCCTTTCCGGATTTTTCTTTTTTCTCGAGAGCATTATTTGATAATCAAATATCTCTTCTTGGTTTATAGTTCTCTGCTTAACAAACATTAAATCGAAAAAGAACGAACCTTTTCTCATTGCAGATGGTGCTAAGATTTAATCTTTTTCATGATTTCCCTTTCCAGTTGGTTTCTCTAACACCCTGAGATATTATTTTCACATTAAAATTCATGAATATTTGTAAATCAACATGATTATTCACTAAATCATTCAAAGTTGTTCAAAATAAATCCTTTGCGAAGCTGAAGGAAAAACTTCACGAGATATTTTCGCAAATTTAATGTATTGTGGACGACATGAAAATCAAATCAGTTGAGCCCTGATCCTTCCATAAATTCAATTTTGATGTCATAATCAAAACTTGAAAGTGAAGGGGATTTCATACACTCTTGTTGTGTTCCTCCTCTACCATCTATTAAACTGATATGGATTAATAAGGCGAAGATAATAAATAGTTGGCAGATGAAAGTGAAAACTTCAGTATAATTTAAGGTCATCAGAAATCGTTTCTTCCTTGTTATTGTACAATTTTCTTCTCATTTATATTTTATATGTAGGTGAAAGTTGAAAACAGACATAACTTGTTCTATACAAAAGAATGAGATTACGATTTCAAACGTCATGTTAGAAGCTTAAAATTTAGAACAATTGTAAGATTAAAAAGGAGAATTTTCCTCCTTCTTCTTCTTTTTTACTTTTACATGCTCGCTATGCCAAGCACCGTTATATATTTTTTTGTTTTCCATTGTTAGGGTTTTAATAATAATAAGTATACTTATTTCTAATTCTGTCAGTTTTACCCATAAACAAGGCAAACATTTTATTAAAGTGCTTTTGGGGACAGACGTTTAAATATTTCACAATTTTCTCTTTTTACCCCTCTATTCAAAAGTTTCAAGACGATTTCCATGAAAATTTCCACTGGGTTTCCTTTTATTATTTCCAAGTCTTGTTTATTATGAATATAAGTACCTATCTATGTACATTTAGAGAGATTTAATTAAATTTTGAAAGTCTTCGTTAATTGTTTTCTTTTTTTATTCTTTTGTCTTTGATATATGTATAGGGGTTGTTTTGACATTTGTGTTTCTGACGTTTTTCACTTCTAAAATACTTCATCTGTATCCTTCTGTTGAATAGTAACTTCTTACCTTTTACTATTTTATTTTTCAAATTTGATCAAACCTACCTGCATAAAAACTGAAGATTATTGAAGTTTCAAATTCCGATAAAAAAGTTCGATAAGAAACTCGAAACTTAGAAAAGTGAAGATAAAATTCAATTCCCCTCTTCTAATGCAGTAAAATAGTTTTTACTTGTTTGTGGCTCACATTTTTTGTGAAGAGAGTAAAATAATTTTCACAAAATTTATATCTAATAATAATCTTTAATAAATAGCATAAAATTTAGATAGATAATCAATTGAATAGAGAATGTCAAATGAAGAAATTTATTGTTTTTCTGGAACTGTTTTAGAATGCAGAGAAAGTATCATAAGTACGCCAATTCATTATTATCCTTCCCAAGTAATGTTGGTAGCTTAAAGTAATAATGACGCATTAATAAATAAACGTAGGAATATTTCATACTGCTTATGTAGATATGTTGACAATTAAGAAAAATGCAAAAGTTACCTTTTTAAAACAATTCCTAAAAATTTACGCATACTTACTAAAGGTGTTCATTAATCATAATCAATCTACCATTCAAATCATAACTAGAATGTTACAGTGAATATTCTGACATAAATCTGAATTCAGGTGTGTGATCATTTATTTTAATTTAAATAGTTTAGAACATTTTTGTAACAGCAACTTTTTGATGTGAAAAGATTAGGACAGGGAAAAGTCAATTATTTCATATTAAAATTAAAGTAGTCTTGAAAATAGCAAAGATTTGTTGAAAGATAATAAAGAAGAAGATTCCTAGAAAATATCTTCATGAAAGATATTATAAATAGAATATCTAACACACTATCTAAGCGTCAATGAAGTGTGAAAAATATTTAAAAACTTTAAGGATTAAGAAGACTAAATAGAAATCCAGTTATTAGAACATCAGTTTAAAGATGAGTAGAAAAAGTTTCATGAGAATCTCTTATTTAGGGACTACCCAAGAGAAAAATGATTTCAAAATAAATAACTTATATCTCTATCTCACTCGTTCTAATCATTTGAGCAAAAAACTTAGAAAGACGAATAAGAAAACTATGTTTAAATATCACTTTCGTTTGTATTCTCCTAAGGACAAGGTTGATGATATCATCATCTGTTTTAATTAAATATTATTTTATATTACCTGAAGAAAAACACAATCATCATAGAGTCAAACTTCACAATATATTTAGCTTGCGTAATTTTATGCTGAATACAGATCACAAAATTGAATCTGTAAAAAAAATTCTTGAGATACAAGGAAACAAGAAAAATCTGATTGAATTGAAGAGGGAAGCGATGCGTTGTGTAACAAATTTCCTACTTTGCTATTTATCGTTAAGATTCCAAATTTCGCGTACCAAGTTCCATGGAGATTTTACATTCTTATTTTTGACATTGGCACACAAAAGATAGACGTAGAAATATCTACTTTTGAAGGTTTTTTTAAGGAAGGTGAAGTGAAGTCTTTTATTACTCTTGAACTGAAAAAAGAATGTTATTGTATCGATTTCACATAAAAAGAGAAAATTGAATTTGTTTTATTTTATTTCTTGCAAATGTAAGATACTCATTCTTAAACTTCTAACTTTTTTCTCTGAATGATGTTTTAAAAAAATCAATTTGGAAATATTTTTAATACATTTAATATTAATTCTTAAATAAAAGCATTGAAAAATTATTGAGATAAATTGTAAAATATCCACAAAGCCATAGATGCATGTTATGTAAAAATATTATTTGAAAGTGTAAAAAGTTTATTTTCATATGAAAAACTTGTTTTCCTTTTAATTTTAAGTATTTCTTGTCAATTTTCGACAACCAGTCTGTTTCTGTTAAAACATAGGCAATTATGCTTAAAAAATTAACCACGACACTGAATCTATTGTTTTAAATAATATATTCGTAATTAATTTTATTCTTTTAGCAGCGAAAATACAATTTATGTATTGATTTTAAATATTTATCATTTTTATCATAAAAATTCTTTAAAACTCTTGTGAAATGTGCAATACGTTCTTAATGGAATCTCATAACAATTAAATAGATAATTGTCTTTTATTTATTCATTTGTTTTTGGCAAGGTACACACTGTGAAGTGTCAGGTTGTTGTTGCGTGTATATTTACAAATGTATTTAAAAGTTATTAATAATTTCGTAAATTTTCATTTAATTTTATCGATCTTTAAATGATGTACGAAACACATTCTTAACAACTTTGACACTTTTATTCTGATATCATTTAACAGTAGATATTTGTTTATGGTTGAAGGATTATCTATCTAGGTATATGTTTTACGAGTAAATTCGATTTTTAAAATTGAACTTCTGAGTAATCATCAGATCATTTATTTCTTTAAATTCCTGTCCCTTCCTGTTTATGTTGAGCCAAAAGAATTTTGTTTGAATCATTTCATTTTAATTATTTACATCTTAACTGGTCTATCTATTAGATATCTATTAACTTAATAGTAAAATAAAATAAATTTATCTGACGAATGTGACACTAAGACAATACTATCAAAACTCTTCCCTTCAACATTTGTTTTTAAATATTCGCATATTTTTGGGAATCGTCAATTGTATGTTGCAATACATTTTCTAAATATTTTTCATATACAAAGACCACAGAATTCAAACATTATAATATTTACACATTAATTGTTTTTACTTTAATCATCGACTTTTCTCAGAACTAAAATCTTGATAATTGAATGAAAGGAAGATAATAACGAAAAAGAATTATGAATTCTATTTCTATCTATTTCTGCTTGTTGGAAAATAAAATTTTCGATTCATAAAAAACTTTACATGTTAATTTTAGAAAAGCAATAGTTAAAGTTTATTAAGGTAATTCAACATAACTTTAAAATAGTTAGAAACACTATAATAAAAACTGAGCTAACTGGTAATGTTCTGCTATTCGATGATGAAACAACTTTTACCCAACTCATGTCAAAACCAATGGATTCTCTTGAGAGTGGAAGCTCGGTTGGGTCGCTGGTTTCTTCGGGACATGGTAAGTTTGACGTTTTAAGCTTCATTAGCATTATAGTTTTTCCATCTGGTTCATCATCATAATACTCGGTTTCGTCTTCAGTTTCCGATAGTGGATGATCTATAGCATTATGGAGGATTTTATTCGTCTTATGAAATTGATCTTTAGGCTTCTTCAACAAGCACTCAATTTCATCTAAAGCAAGCTTAAAATCTTCATTCTTCGTTTGATTCTTTAAGTCAATCAACCATGCTAAACGACAGTCGCATATCAAATTGTTTTCTGTAGAAGAAAGGATAATAAAAATAATATTTATTATTATTATAAAGAAGCTGAAGAGTTTTTTTTCTGAATCTTGGAGAAAGAAAGTGAATAATTTCGAGAAAGAACTTTAAATAACATGGCTGAAAATTTATTGCTTTTATTCACACAAATTGTTTGAAATGGATTTAATATTGAAATAGGTAAGTAAGTATCTTAAGCTTCCTTCACAATGTACCAAAATATACCAAAATACCCTAAGAAGTTGTACTACTTCCTGAATATTGTTTAGATGAATTTGTATAAATTTGAATAAAATGATGTTATAGCGACTTCCTCAAAACTTTACTTTAATAAATAAATTTCAAGACAAAATAAACACTTAGATTAATTGATAATTTCACTCTATAAATTATGAAAATGGAAAATTTAAGAACGAACTCGAAGCGTATTGATAAATTTTTAAAAAAGGTATCTAGTCAATAATTTATTATTGAAAATATTTTTAATATCTTTATTGGGTAGAACTTTCGCTAAGTTGTTGATGTGGTGAAGCTTAATTCTCTTCAAAAAAAGTTACCTTTAAAAGCAAATATAAATTTAATGTTTTAAGTTAGGTTTTAAATCAAAGGATATTTATTTTCCTCTAATGTTGTTACAATTTTCCATAAACGTTAATTAAATAAGAATTCTTTAAGGAAAGCTAATTAAATATAGCATGATTCCACAGAAACGTATTTAAATCATTTTCTTCTCATGGCATAAGATTCGTTGTAAACATGTAAATATATTTAAAAGAAAATTCTTTGAAGCTTGACGTTCTTGTTATTTATTATCAAATGACAAATTGCGTTTCTAATAAAAAGTTGAAGTTTTCTGTTTGGAATTTGAAGCTTTCCACAAAAGGTAAACGTTGAAAATGGTAGACGATGATATAAGTACTTTAAGCAATTTTTTATTTCCTTTTCAGATTAAACCCTGTTAAACCTCAAACATTTTGTGTCACGCCGAAACCTTAGACATCATTCGTGATTTAATCTTAAAGCAAACAAGGTCATTGGGAAAAGAATTCACTGTTATTGTCAGTTTTGAATAAACTCTCTCTTTAGATATCATCTAAGTATGAAATGATTATATATATAAGTGTAAGTTATAACAAATCGCATGAAAAGAACAAGAAAATGACATTTCGCTTCCTACTGATTTGACATTAACGTTGGAGTTCTGTTTTTAATGATAAGCAAGTAATGGAAATTTTTAGTTATTCATGGAGCTTTCGTGTAAGCTACAATGATAATGGATGGGCGTATGGTTTTTGAGCGAGACCTAATTATTAAGAGATTTGACGGCGATTGTGATACTTTGAAGGGGAAGGAAGTCATAAAATTCATAGGGGCGTAGAGATGACTCATGCATAAATTCTATAATTATTCTACGCACCTGTTATATCCAAAATACTGCTCGTGTTGTTCACTAAATTATCCATTAATGGCAAAATATTGTTGAATGTTATCGTTTCTAAAGAATTTTTCATCAAGTTCAGGTAAATTAGCGCAGGGACGCCTGTGAAAATGCCACGTTCAAGCAATTTCAAACGATTATTTTCCAAGTTAAGTCTTTGCAGGTTATTCAAGCCATCAAACGCTCGCTCTGAAATTTTCTGAAAAAAAAGAAGAAAAATATTTTTGTAACGAAACTTAATGCAAAAGGTTTTTATATGCAAATATCTTCATACGGTCGGAATAGCCAAATAGTTACATATATTCAAAGTTTCGGATCCATGGATATTTAATGTATGTACATGCATATTAATAAAACAATTTTTTGAATTTAAGAAAATATTGTAGGTTTCATTAGATATTTCATATTAAACCAATGTCTTACTTTAAGCTAAATTTATTAGTTGCAGAATTTTATAACTTATTAGATAGTTTAAAAAATTTCCATACCCGTAACAGTAATAAAAAATTCAATTCTCTCATAGAAGCTGCTATAAAAGTAAATATGAAATTTATATCAAAAGTTGAGCTTCACTATAAGTTTAACTGTCGAATTTGTCACAGAAAGCAGAACAACGTGTCATATACAAACATACAGAATTGAATTTATAGTAGTAGCTAGATATACTTAATGTCAAGGTTCTCTTTATAAAGTTTATGTTACGACTAAAGCTTTCAAGTTTATGAACAATAAACCTTAAGATTTTACCGATGACATATTTTATTGTAACACTCTCATTTATTCAGCATCATTTATCATTGCAGAGCATTCAGAACTTGTTTTGTGTTTTATGTCCCGACATTCCTAGGATTTGAAAGCATGCAAATATCTCCATCTTACTATGTATCTTTTGTAGTACATAATTTCGTCTGTTTGCTTTAAACTTTCTTTTCTCAAACTTTCTTGTTTTAAATTCATAGTTAAATAAAAATTTTATGTACTCTTTTTAAATTAGAACAGTAGATTTTGTTGTTTATTTAAAAAGATTTAAGTTAGCAAGTGAGATGGAAATGAACTTTATCATAATAAATTCAATCGTTAGAGGAGATTAAATAACAAAAGATAAAGAGAAGGAAAAATCAAACAATGAAGAATTCTGTTTTTATCATAGAAGTTTTCGTTGGAAAGAAAATATTTATTTTTTATGTCAACCAATGATGCTGAACTCGAATACGGTTTTAAAATTATTTTCAATAATAAACAATTATTAGTTAATTTAAAATTAGAAGGAATACTTTCCTTAATTTAAGTTGTTAAATAAAAAAGTTAGCTTACCTCAATCTGATTACTTTCCAATTCCAACTCCTGTAAACTCCACAATTCCGCAAACACAGTATCACCAATGAAAATCAACTTGTTGAAACTCAAATTTAAAATTTTCAAATTGCCTAATCCTTTGAAGATTTCACGAGAGAGTTTGTTTATGCTATTATTACGCAGCCATAATTCATTTAATTTGCTGAAAGCTTCGAATGTATCATCTTGTATCACTTCTAATTGATTGTTATTGAGATTTAACCGAATTAAGTTGGGAACATTTACAAATGCATGACGATCCAATTCGTATATTTCATTTTTCTCAAGATTAATATCGATCAAATGCTGGTGATTTCCGAATGTATCTATAAAATATGAGAAGGTCATTGTAGTGTGTTTAATACCATTCAGGATTCTGAGAAAATCTTAACTTACATGGCCCAATAATTTTAATTTGATTGTTAGTTAGCGAGATGTTTGTTAAAAGTGTCAAGTTGCCAAAAGCAAAGCTGTACAATTCATGAACATGTCCATATTCAATCGAAATTGTTCTCAAAAATTTGAGCGACTGGAGGATATCCGTTGGGATGAAACTCAAATTTCCATTGGCAAGTACTGAGAATTTCAAATGCTGCAACTGCGTTTGGGAATTAAAAGCCAACCATTGTGGATCTTTACGTGAGATATCTGAACTTATAATCCAACATTCGGCTGCAAAAATAATTTGGAAAATGTTTGATAAGGATTTGATCAAATTATCTAGCAAACAGCAAACCTTTCTGGGCTTTAATACTCTCGTCTTCTGGAGTGCAGTGACATAAAAATGATAAAGTTCGATCTTTTCTGCATAAGTTGAGCGTTACTTGAGTAGATGCTGGTTGAAGTTGTGCTGCTTGCTGAGTATTCGTTGACTTTTCTTGCTTTCTGTCTTTCTCATAACGACTTTCAATTGGACTAACTATGCACAATACTAACACCAACAACGTAATCTTTTGATATGTATTCGAAGACATTGTTTTTATTTTTATTTTTTGAATGCCAAAAGCTTAATCCAATAGTAATGCAATTCCACTATATTTTTATTTGAAACACTTTAAACACTATTGAAGGAATGTTTACTGCTTTAAATTCATATCTGAAAATAGAAAAAGATGAAGAAAGGTTTAATAAAAATATTTCAATGTTTTAAAAGATTAAGGGAAGGAGAACGACTTGAACGCGATAACGAAACAGAGTGAAGTTAATTTTAATTTCACTTTTTGATGTTTCCAACGCAACAGCGTTCAATAAATTTAAGAAGAAAATTTTGTTTTCCCCAGACATAATGATTTTAGTTTTAATGTGGAAAAATTCATTTTAATGAGCATCAAGTTTTAGAACATGACGCATAATTTTTTATCTTCATCATTATGAACTTCACGATATCTTACGCTTGTACAATTGAGGAGCGAAGAATATGCGACTCAATTTATCCTCAAAGAATCTTAATAACTTTGAGAATAATTTTCAATTAACCTCACTCAACGATTTCATTAGAATGTCTATTTATACACAGAAAAGGTAGATGTTGGGAAGAACTTATAGAATATTTTTATTTATCACGATTTTCTTCGCTCATTATTATAATTTGCACAATAATATGGATATACAATTTATCATAAGAATGTTCATTTTGGGATTACAACAGAGAAGAAGCGAGAGAAAAATTAATTTACGTGCTTACACTTCAGAACATTTTTTTAAACTATTTCTGCTGAAAGATGTTTCCTTCTCTTCCTTTCAAGTATTTATGATCTACCTGAAGGTACTTTGAATGCGAAGTTAAAGAAGTTCTAAAAGATCTCATTACTTTTTAACAATGCGAACAGAAATATGGTACAGATTGATGTCTGATGTGAAATTTCAACTTGAGAGATCAAATTTACAAGTTCTTCCTTAACATATTTTAGAGAAGAAAATTTCATTTAATGAAGTTAGCTATTTTTAAAAAGAAATATAGACATTCACAGAAAGGTTGTATAGCATTTAGGATATATCTATTATTCATAACAAAAAGTGTCTACTGTATTTATGGAACAGCTACCTGAGCAAAAGTGTAAAAAATATCTCCTTTTATTCCAAATACAATTCGTTGAGAAATGAGATATGCAAGCCTATAAAAGAATATAACTGACCTTTTTCAAAGACTGTGATCTTAAAGGTATAAAGATAATTTACTTCTTCATAGGGTAGAAGCATTTGTCATATCAACTCGCCATGCTTTCCCTCTTGAAATCAAACATGATGCAATATGATGGATATGATTTATTATTGTATCGTTTTTTGCTTCGAATTTATTAAGTGATCTCTTTATCATTAAGATACCTTTAGATATATTTTTTGCTACATATTGTTTCATTTCTAGAATTTATTTTGTAATAAATTAAAATCTGAAATGATATGAGAATTAAAAAGAAACTTAAATAAAGTTCGGCTAGCGATATGACAATTTATTAGAGAGATATCAGAATATGTGGATTACCCTACTTTTTCATAGCATCCTAGCATATTTACAGCTGCTCTTTTTGACACCTGCACAAGAGGGTACTAAGAATTCAAGTTGCATTTTTCACTTAAAATTGAGAAGAATGAATTGTTCATTTTGTTATTGAAACTACATAAGATTATAGGAAGTCAAAGGAGCAAAAAAAAACTTCCTCCCTTGTCTTCAGAATGAAGAATGTAATTTTAAGATACTTTGGAAGAAAAATAAGTTTGCCATTGTTCTTAAAAAATTCAAAGAAATTCTCATCACAATGAGATGAAAAAATATCAAAAGCAAAAATACCAAGAATTTTGATATGTACAGAAAAAACCTGAACCCAGGAAGTACATTCTACTATCATGTAACTCAATAGATCAACAACATTTTGAGATTCACATTTTGTTTTTCATTTTAGAAAACGAATTTTTGTCAAATCAATATTTATCTTCTTCGTCTTTATTCAAAATTCCAGTCTTTTCGCATAGAATGCTTCTGAAGAATCTTAATTATTCATAGGTTCAATATTGTTTGTTTTTAAAAAATGATGATGTTGAAATTGAGTCTCTTCTGTCGCTGTAAAGATGGTCGAACCTTTTTAAAAGAAAATTTTTGTATTTTCTCCCTTGGAGTTACAAATTTATTGATTTACGAAGGCAATACCTTCGGTTCATTCTAGTTTCGTTTATACATAAAGAAAACAATTTTAAAGCGATAAAAATTAAATAAATTGGTAAAATCGATCGATGTTTCGAGGAACGTAAAAGTGTTACTGATGCAATAAAATTTATCTAATTCATTCTATTAATTCCAAACGATTTATTTATAAAGAATATCCAAGATTAAGCATAAAAAATAAATTGCTTAAGATTTCGCTCTCAACCTTTTCACGTTTTCGTGATTTAGACATAAGGTGAACTTGATTTGACATAAAATTCTCTAAATAATCTTAACAAAATTTATCAAGAGATTTAGGCATTTAAATCAAGATGCAGAAAAGTTTTAAACGATAGTGAAACCAGCAGCTAGTGTTGATGAAAAAAGGGTTATTCTTCCAAGAGAAAATATATTAAAAATTTTTACATTTAAGTAAGCAAAAGCGAACCCAAAAAGGATGAAAGGCGTCAAGATACCGCAACGATAAAGTTGCAATCTCATTCTAGAAACTTTATTCCATATATTTCCCAAACTTGAAATTATTTTTTTCGAAGTAATAAAAATTTTTCGGCTCTGTAAAAAATGCTTAAAAAACTGTGCAGATGGTAACGGACGTTGAAAAATTGGAAGTCTACACTTCAACAAGATTTTTTTTTAAATTCATGAGATCATTTTATGTATAATGAAACTCATTCTCCAGTGTATTTGAATAAGCTTGTTGTATATAAACAATGAGTCATGTAAAAGGCGAACGAGAAGTACGGACGAGTAATTACTTCTTTAAAATCATTATAACTCACTTTAATGTTTCTTGTGCACATGAAATGCTCTCATTCAGTCATTAAAAACTTTTCACAAGCTTCTGCGGACCTTTCCGTACAACATCCAAATTGGAGTTTCTATTTCCTTTACGTAACTGTTCAAAAGAAAAGTGCTTTAAATTACACGAAATTCTATTTCTTATAAGTAGTTATTTAAAGTATTAAGAAAGCATTTTAGCTGAATTCAACAATTGGATTTTCATAATGCAATCATTAATAATTAACAAGTTCTTTTTTAAATTTAATTTACATTCAAAGATAAAATTTCATTTTTATTTTCTAAAGGATGAAGCAGTCGCTGTATCTAGGAAATGAGATTAACTCGTCCAGTCATTTACAGTAGATGAATGAAGATATGATTCGAATTAAAATATCTTTTAAATAATGAAGTCAGAGGTAGCAAGAGATGTTTGCATTTCCTAACTTATCTATGTATGAACTGTCATGTTTTGCTTTCTAAACTTGCGTATATTGTAATGAATTGTTGTAAAGTTGAACTATTATAAATTATAATAACAAGTCACGAGGGAAACGTTTTTGATCCAAAGTATTTAGAATAAATTTTAATTAAAAGGTAGCAAGACCAGATATGTTTCAACATTGGACTTTAAGGTGAAACTTTTTAGGGATTATATTAAATATTTAATATTATATTCCTAAAAGTAACTCGTCATTTTATCATCGCAATCAGAGTGATGTAAATAATTTAATCTACTTTTTTTCAGAAAATAAAATAAAATAAATTATGCTATCTTCACCTGGAAGAAATTTACAAAATAACGCTTTACCTACCATATTCAACTGCTAATGGTATCTAAAATTCCATAAATTCGTCAAGCTCTACAATAAAATAAACAGTAATAAATCATTCTCTGTGAAGTCTGACTTTCATCATATGAAAGCCTTCACATAAAAAGAAAAAGCAAAGCTCATCTCATTTTCTTTTTGCTTTTCTGAGAGTTTACATTTTCTTACTTTAGAAATCATTTTGCATTTTATTCAATGTTACCGTAGACAAATATTAACACAACTACGAAACAAACTGATGAAAATTTGGGAAAAAGTAAATAAAATTAAATGATTTTGTTAATGCATGAGGAAACTAAAATGTACCTACGTATGTAATAAGTATCATTGATAAGTTTTATAATGTTTAGATACCTAATAACACGAAAACCAACTTTTTCATCAGATTTCTAGATTCCTTCTGTTCAGTTCTTTTTTGAAAATCAACATAAAACTTTTTAAATTCGATTATCATGTTTATTTCGTGAAAAATTGAATAGCAAGTCATAGCAAGAGCGTAAATTATTCTTTTTTTATATATTACAACATTTCAATTATTTTCTTTTTCACGTTATTTATGACTTAGGTATAAATTTTCAGTTCATTTCTCAATGCAATCTTAAACAGACCCAAAACCTAAAAGCATGTTCAATGTGAAAACGGAAGCCGATACAATGATTTCCATTTATCTTACAGTCACATTTTTCCTTTATCCTTAAAGTTGAATATCAAGAGCAAGTCCACCTTGCTGTTAATAAGATACAAGGACGAATGAGACTAACACAGAATTAATGATGAAAGTTGAGCGAATTGGCGATTTCATTACAGAAAATTGATTATTTACTACGAGGGAGTTGTAAGGAACATTTAAACTTTCTTACGACCCGAAATGTTCCTTTTCATCTTTTGTTAAATTAGGTCGTATAAATGACCTTCAAGGGATCCATTTCAATTTTCAATCTTAATAAAACCACAAGAAAAAAAATGATAATCTATAACTTAAACTTTCATGTTTACTCATGGTTGGTCACATCTTAGAGTTTATTGCTAAATTCGAAACTCGTAATCATAGACTTTGGCTTTCTCCGCTCAAAATATGCTAACAAAAGTTGTGTATTCAAACAAAGGAATGTTTTGATGTTTTTATATAATCGATTTACTCAACTTTTTTATATTTATCATAAGACTTTACTGATTCGCTTGCAGAAAAAGATCACAGTGATTTATCAAAATTTTCTTTATGAATTTTACTGATTCTTTTCATCATCCTTTGCTGGAAGATGAAGAAACCACAAGATAAAATGCTCTTTAATTTTATTTCTTTATTAATGTGACTTGTAATTAATTAATTCAATATGACTTGCACAATGTTTAGGAAATAAATTTCTTGTTTTATGAGAGGAAATAAGATGTTGAATTTTTCAAGCATGCGTTTTTTAATCATACATTTATCTACAAAGCGAAATGTGTTTCTTAAGACTTGTGATTTATTCATCTCACTTGGCAATGTTTTTTTGAAGGCGCAAGCAACGCATTCAGTTTTTAATGGCTGTATAAAAACAATAAGTGGAAAGGAGATGAACATCATTCGAGCATGATTATTGAATATGTTTCTAACCAATATGTCTAATTATTTATCTCTTTTGCATTACTGTTTCTTCCTTCTCCATTAAATGGAATGTTATGTTTTTAAATTTTCTGTGCTTTCATTTTTAATATATTTTCCAGGCGTGCGTACCCTCAATTTCTCGCTTGTTTGTTTTACTTTATTTCATTGTACATAAGCTTATATTTTTTTGACATTCAGAGAGCTTCGCTTATTTTTACATAAGGTTAGTGTGTATTCGTGTTACATCTTACGCAGATGAGAAGTTATGTACAGAACTTTTTTCATTATATAATAAATTATAAAGTGTAATTATAATACCTTTATGAAATATCGCATGTTGATTCTATTTCATGTTCAGTTTATACTTCTTAAGAACTTTAACTCGTTGTAAATTCTGTCTAAATATTGATAAATGTGGTCTTAATGTATGAACGATAATTGAATTTATAAAATAAATAAATTAAATTGTTTATATGAGTTAGATTGTTTCCTAACAAGCGCAACAAGCTGTAACGTAATTAATATTCATGGCGAGTGCTATTTTTATCAAATTAACAATTTCAAGGTAATCTGTAAAAGATTTCTTCTAGGGACAAACTAATAAATTATCAATTATGTGAAAAAAATTACTTATGCTTGAAATTAAGAAATTTCTAGAAAAATTAAATTTCAACTCAGCGATTTTCTATAATTTTTCAGATGAACACGTTTCTTAAGCAATATTTCTTCGCATATATCATCTCAAAATAATATTTAATAAAATACCCGCACTGTATTTGCATGCAATATAATGGAATATAACTCATATTTATAATTTCATGAGAATGAGAAAGAATGTCTTTAGGCAACCACGAAATTTTCGATCGTATTTTTGAAAATTATACATAGAATGAATCGTGGAAAAGTTTTTCAAAAGTTCTTGCATTAAGGAAAAAAATCGCTGTGGGCTTTTGTATTGTGTAATGACTGTGAAACATAGGGAATATCAATTCTAAAATTCATTTATAACAACTGTGGAATGGATATGAGAAATATTCTGATTTGTGTTATTTTATATGCAGCAATTTTAAAGACCTGAAAAACAATTCCTGTAGACATCGTCATGGGGAAGTTTTTAGAGTTGTCATATTATGATAGCCTTTTTCAAAGTATATGAACAGCATGTTTTGTTGTTATTTTTGAACATATTTATAAACACAGCAATAAAAACCGACTGCACTGTAAAAACAATCAGTCAGAAAAAAACATTAAATATTTTTGAAAACTTCGGAATGGATTCAAATTGAATTGTAAAAGAGGAGAACAAAAACGCTTCAAGCTATTTCACACTGTGAGCTTGAAACCAATCATTAAATCAACTTTGATTCTTTACGTTATTGTCTTTATTGAATAAAAATGTGCAATAATAAATCTCTAAAAGAAACACTAAAAATATTTTGATTATAGCGCAGATGGAAAACGCTTTAAGGTAAGTTAGATTTCGTATGTGAACGTTCAACTTTAATTAATGTTTATATTTATCAATTTAGATATGTACATAATTAATTCGATATTTAATTTCTAATGCATTCTCATTGAATAACTCAAATTCTTCTAATTTATCAACTTGGTTGAGGCTTTTCACAATAAAAAATATTTAATCAATTTTTGTGGAGATTAATGAAAAAATTAAGGACCATCGAAGGGATATTCGTTGAGGGTATATTAATAAAGAAAATTTACTGTTAGAAAAATTGATATTAATATAATCTCCCTTTTATCTCGTGAATTGATCAATTTATCATCAACTTCTTCCGATTTCGCCTCAAATTAGGATGATGAGAAAAGGAAAGACAATTTAATTAATGAAAATTAATAATTTTCATTCTATTTTCCTCATTGTCTGTATAAAAGTTACGATCGCCAAAAGCAAACCCTTTCAGCTCATTCTACCATTATTGCTTTTTCCAAAATCGAGTACAAATCGTGTGAATTCCCTTTCAACAAAATTCTCATTCATTATTCTCTTTCTTTTCTATTGAACAATTATAAAAGGAGGAATAATTTAAGAATGTTAACTAGAATGAAGTAGTGAAGATTCATAAATCATAATGAACCCATTGAAATGTAATGTGGAAGAATAAAGTTAATATAATCGATGGTCAATCAGCTAAGTATACATAAATATAAAAGGTCGATCTAGATTTTTACATACTTCATAGCTTCTATTATTGAAAATAAAAAAGCAGTTCCCAAATATTTCTTATTTACATTTATAGAGACCCAAACAATCTTTATTAACTTACAAAATGTTTTTCTTCTTTTTGTTTTGATTCCATTCCATCATGTTATCCGAAATCCTAAAATAGACAACAATTTTGAAGTATTTTGTTTGCTGGTTTTTTTTCTCACTACGCTTGAGCATCTTCATGAACATGTAATGCATTTTTAATTTATTTTATGATGGCTTGTCTGTTCTTTTCATGAAGGAAATAAGAAAATTTATGTGTCTTATTTTATGATGTTATAAAATAATGTGTATTATTTTGCCCCAAGAATGAGAGTACATATAAACCGTAAACAGAGTAGATCAAAATTGTCAAGAACTGAATGTTTATTAGACAATGGAATGTTCATAAAAACACTTAAGAACTATTAATGAAACGAACAGGTTGTTAATTTCTGCATCAAGAAGAAATGTCAAAAGAAAGTTATTTCATCGGTACTTTAATGTTCAACAGAACATGAATACATAAGATCAGTTATTATAGTTTGTCATGTGCCGTCATTGTAAAAGATGCCTTCATAATGCACTCATTAAAATGTTCCATCATATATCACACGTCACAGCCGTCAACGATTTTCTTTTCTTTCATTCTTTCTAATTATAGATGGCAAAAACGTTCAGTTGAAACAAACAGAAAACGATTAATTAGTCATTATGTTTATTTTATGTTGTTTAAGAAGACGGGGAAATGTCTTATGTTCATGGAAATATTCTAATAAACTTCACATGCAACACATAAAAATCAAGAAAACATCTCTGAAACTAAAATGAATGAAATTTAATATTATATGTGTAGTAAATGAAGTAATGACTAGTATCAAAAATCTACATAATCATGCCCAAACTTTGATTATGAATATTATAAAATTATCTCCTTTTTAGGATATCAAAAAGCAGAGTTACAAGAAAACTTTTTAAGGAACCTGCACTTTACGTCTGAAAAAGTTATTTGTATAAATCACAGTTGAAACCATTGCTTTAATTGATAGAATTAATGTTTTGGGGAATCAACTTTAATTGCTTAACATTAATTTTCGAAAAGACGTTTTCAAGTAAGAAAATCGTCATTTAATAGATTGACTTTAAAAATATACATTAGAAGTATAGCTCGTTTGTCCAAAGAGTCACATCTAACTTCTGCCACTAATTACTTTTCAACAGCATAAAAGTCATTTTTAAATAGAGGAATTTAAGGAATGAAAAATAAACTCACTTGTTAAATTTTGCGGTTATTCAATGAAAATTCTTAACACTGCCTTCAACAATCCTTTAAATATCCTGAATACGTTTGTACGATGAATAAATATTTAAATTCTGACGCACGTCATAAAGTCTTAATAACACCTTTCTAATTAATAGAACGTTTCATGTGGTACTTATTCTATGATTGAAATATTACTTTAAAAACACAGATTTTTTCACATTTCTATGTATAAAGTTTATAAACAAAAACAAATTTAATTAAATTCACATTTAAAGTTGTCGATTTTCCACACGAAGAAGCGGAAAAATGGATAAAATATTTAGTTGTTTAAGCTGAGAGATAAATTTTTTCTATCCTAATGCTTCCCTATAGATTAAAGGAATTCACTGTGGTATTCACTTTCCAAAACTTTTTTTTAAACACTGCATTTTAAATTTCTCTTAAAAAATTCTCTTATATCCTCCATTTATCTATTTCCTCTTAGAGCTTTGAATTTGCCGGGAAAGGACGTTTAGCATATTCAAACTTTGATACTGTACTGATTGCTCTGCATCGAAAAATTGTGATGACTCTCTGTTGTGTTCGACGTAAAAAGACGGGCCAAGCAAGCCGCAAAGGGAAACGCAAGAGAGTGAGAACAATTTCCGTAACGACGCATGCGTAACGTTAATGTTCTCCTCAATGTTTGAGGTACTAGATCAATGTTTTTCATCTGTAAAACATTGGATATGGTCAAAACATTATAAAAAAGCTTTTAATGAAACAGATAACAAAGAGATGATATCAAGAAAGCAAAGTATGCTATAAAAATATTATAGAAAGAAACGTAATTTTTTCTATTATTTGGGTATTCTAAAATCCCATGCTAAGAGATTTTAACTTTGTTGAATATATTCATATTCACTCTTTTCCTTCCTTTTATCGTTTTCATTATTTTATGCTATTTTGCTGAATTTTGAGATGTATGCTTGATTTCAATTTAATGTTTAAACAGATTCAAACGAAAAAAAATTGCCATGAGCTCTGAAATGCAGTCAACGATAAATATTCTAAATTTGATTACTAGTTAAATTTGCTGCTACTAACTAGATCGTAGATTCATAAGGGTTGTACTGTTTTACCCTCGAGGTGATTTTTACAATAATTTTTCATTAACTCTCAGCTAAGGGAGAATGTTACAAACAGGGTATGAAATAAAGAATATGGTGAGTGGATAGTCATTGTCAAACAATCAATAATGAAACAATAAGGCGCAATCTGAGTTTAGATCTTACACATGAAACATTTTTCATTTTAATGGAATTAATTCATTTTCATAGTGGTTTCGATTTAACAACCAAACGGATTTCTGACAGAAAGGTTCACTAAAGATTATGGATTGTGAGAGAAGATAAACTCTGTTCGAAATCTAGTTGTAGGAAGAAAGTTTCTTAAATGGGAAAATACTTAAAAAATTTATTATATCAAATGAAGTATAATCCTGAGTGTCACTGCAATTATGACGGCGGCAAGCCTATCCTATTGGAATTGATCAACCCTCTTGTTTTCAATAGCTTAAAATTATATCTGTGACTTGAATTTACATCAGGGGTTGAAACCTTAACGACTTTGTTACGCTGTGAAACTTCCTCTTACAACACCTGATTAATATTCATTGTTTCTGAACTCCCTTAAAAATTTCACAATCTCATTCATGTCTTATTTTTAAGACTGCTGTTTTTTCAATCAAAATACAAAATGAAGAAAGATTTAATTAATTTATATATGCTTCATACTGATTAATTCTAAAAAAACATATTCTCAGAATATGCGAAACGCTCAACTTTAACCTTTTACCTAATTTCATTCATATGTAGAAAATATTGTTCATTCTCTTAGAAATGCGTGTTTAATTGAAGAGAACACAACGTTAAGAGGAAAAATAGACATCTAAAAAAATATGAGTGACTGCGCTTGATATTTTTTAAAAGGCCCTAGAGAAATGAAATGACCTTTGATGATTTGTTAACGTTCTACTCACATTTATAAATTTTCAAGTTCTTAATAATAAGCCTGATGAAATTTCATCCAGCATAGCTAGCTGCTTTTTTCTGTTACGCCATATTGAGCCTCCAGTCACAGTCCCAATGGAATTTTTGATGTTGACAATGGCAGTAAATTTCAATAATAACATCATCACTTTTTCTCCGTCATTTCTTTCATAGCTCTTTTTGACTCTGACAATTATTCTTTATGCCGTATTGTTTTCTTTTTTTTTTTGTTTGTAGCTATACAATTGTATTTTTGCCATCAAACGCTCTCCCTACATAAAAAAGAAAGGAAATATTGGACACACGCAGGTTTTGTGTCGTTAGATATTCAATGCATTTAAAGCCACTCTTTTATCTTTCCCTAAATCAGTGAGGATGAAACCAGGGGTAACTTCTCAAATTTTTTATTGTTTTTGAAACCAGGTATCTACATGAAATAAGTATCAATCTAGTTAGATGCAATATTTTTTCAGGCATGAACAGAGAACTGCTATTTATGGGGTAGCATTACAAATACCATACAGAAGGAAATGTTATGCTTAAATACTGACTTAACATTGCAATGCTAAAACTTTATTTCTTATTTGATCTTGTGTTTGTCTCGTATCTAAAATTCATGAAAATTATCCTAATTTTAAAATAAAGCAACAATTGGAATTTAAATTCGATTAAAGAAATTTTTTTCACGATGCAAAACCTCTTTCAACAAAAAAAATGAACCCATTGTGATTTTTCAGGATTTATTTATTTTTATTCCAACATTTCCTTATTTACTCCTCTTCACCGTTGAATAAAAATTGTAACGAGGGTTGAAAATACCTTTCTTTTAATAATCTTTTGCCTTACTACCGATTTTTTTATTGTTCGGAACAAGGAAAATAAAAGAATGAAATACAATTATTTAATTTCGAAAGTTCATTTAAACTCGCAAAAATAATATAAAACTCTAAGAACAAGCCTTTCAAACTTTGTATTTTATGAAAATGAGTTGACTTTACTGTTTAAGCTTTCATTCATAAGAAAATAAAAATATCTTTGCAACAATGAGCTTCTAATTTAAGCTGTTCTATGGTCTATGAATAAGCTGTCTTACTTCGTCATCAGGAGAGTTTTCGGAACAGTGGGGTTTCCATTTTCTGGCAACAAAATGAATGCGGAGGTCAGCTTTTGGCTTAAATCATCTGAACTTGATGTTAGATTTGTTTCAAGGCTAATTCAAAAGAAAAACTTTTTCCGGTTTTCTTAACAAATGTAAATCGAGAGATCTTTTCTATCAAGAAAATTATTAAAAAATTCAAGTCGTCTTTATACTTATCTACCAAAATTTAATTTAATTTATTTTTATAATATTTGCGTATATGTAAGGATGATGTACAAAGAAAACATGTTTTTCACTTGACTTGATTTGAAAATGAAATTTTTAATTTAAAACATAAACATCGAAAATCTTATGGTAAGATCTGAAAGAAGGGAAAGGTTTATCTGCTCATCACATTTCTTTCGTCATTCTTTTCCTTCTGAAATTTTCTATTATTAAATTTTTTATACGTTTTAACGTTAATAAAATCATTTATAAAAATAAAAACTCGCAAAACTTCGGGAAAAAAGGAGAATGGAACATTTGAGATAAGGCAAAGGTTACGAATTTCTTCTTAAAGAACTTAAATTTCTGAGAAAGAAAATAAATTTTTAATATCTTTTATCCGTAATTGTTGAAGCATACTTACCTCAAAGATTGTGATTTTTCATCTGATATTGAAATAAAACTCTTTCGACAGAGTTGTATCTTACAGATTTTGCAATCTAGACTTGACTCACATTTAAAAATGTCCTTTTCAAACTTTAATACATACAAAAATATGAAACGTCTGAACAAGTTCCGTTGGCACGCCTTCTGAAAATTTAATTTTCTTACATTTCTATTTGTTCTGGGTTGGCACTTTCTCAATGATTTTAATTGGAATCAAACTGATAAAAAAATGAAATATTCATGAAGTTCGCTACTCTTCGTTTCTCTATTGTTATCGAAATATTTTTTTATTTAACATGTAAGCTTCTTCAATTCTCAAGAGTATGAAAATTGAAGTAATTTTTTCCTCGATACCCCAAACATTCCCTCCATTTTTTGAATTGAATCATTAAATGGTAAGCATATTGCAAGCATATGCAATAGTAATCGTGACATTTATTCGTGTTATAAATTATTGATAAAGAGAAACACGAGAAAGGGGAACGCCAATCCACTTGCTTTAATATCTTATATTCATGTTGCTTACTTTGATGAATGCAATATTTTCAGCATTTCAGCATTTACTTCTCAGTAAGGGAAAGACATCATACATTCATTTTATGTCACCAAAAATACACTTTGGTCCAGATCAAAACGCAAACATAATAACTCTTCTTTCTCATGTGGAAACAGTGAGAGATAAAGATGAGAAAATTTAATATTAACATTGAAAACATCCCTCGGTTGTAAGGGAAAGCAAACGAATTTATTATCCTCATTTTGTTGTTAAAGAGAAAGTTAAACCTGAGTAGTATTGAACAGTGCGAGTTCATTATTCTTGATCCACTTATAATGTGACTTGCAGTTAGACTTTTCTAGTCTACCCGGAACTGAATAAGAGTCTTATATAAGACTTGCATTCTATCAACACATTATTCACAGTTCGTGACCAACAGTGATAGTGATGAATCATCGATGAAAATTGAATTATAAATGTCAATAAAGTTTGTAATCATCTAAGTGAAAGATTTAGACCAGAAGTTTAATTTTTGAGCAAGAAAGAATTAAAACATTTTCTTCGCACATATTCAATATCAGCTGTCATTAGGTAAATCATTTTCTGGTAAAAACTAGTCAAAGCAAATTCATTTACTTTTTGACATGTGGTTTCGTATTTCATGTTCATATGTCGTTTTATTTTTCTGTATCGTGACAAAATATGATAAGAAATAGTCGTTTCACATGCACACAAGCTTCTAATGGAATTTATTTATGAGATTCAACCATACAGACTGTGGTTAAGAATTATTTTGTGCAAAAATAAATAGCTTAATTCCTTTGAGACAAGTTAGAGACTTATAAGTCTTTTCAAATTGTGTAAATAAGTAAATAAGTAAATACAAATAATTTTCTGCTGTCAATTAAATTGTTGACTAAAGATAGATTGAAATGAATAACTAAATTTTATATCAGCACTGAGAATTTCAAATGTCTTCTCGAATTTTTTTTTCCAAGCTAAATAACAATTTGATAATTTACATTTTAGCAAATTAATGGCTCGAGATGAATAGGAAACAATTTAAATCTAATTCTTAACAAAAATGTGACATTATAAAATATAGAGAAGTAAGAATTTCACAATCCATTTACAACAAGCTCCATTTTGATTGATGAATGGTGGTTTGTTATCACTAATGTACATATCATTAACTCCATTCATTGCGATTGCAGAAATATCATATATAAAGTTTGTTTTCTATCTTTTTTCTCCATCATTCATATTTTTTGATGCTCTTCAAAGAATCCTTTAGTTAACAAGCACCATTTCACTTGTATATAATCTCTATCACATTATCTAGCATTAAAGCTTCCATTTTTTTCAATCAAAGTTTTCTCTCAATGTTTATAATAACACTCAGAAAGAATACAAACAACAAACAAAAGTGTTTATTTTTTGTTTATCTTCAACAACAATAGCAGATGATTTTAAAGAAATTTTAAATATTTTTTAAACGAGCATTCATCTGTGTTGAGTATCTAGTTGATTTTTTGAGTGTTTCAAGAAACAAACCTTTCATTTAGTTAGTAGTTTGTTGTTAAGTGCTGATTTATGTTCGCTACTTAAAGTTGATAGTAGCATCTCATCTCTATTTATTGCTTACATTCTTATTATATCCACGTACTATCGAACGACCGAACATGTTCCACAGCAATCAATACTATAACAAAACGTAGTGATAACTTGATTAAATCTATCATTTCTCCTTTCTCCTGATCTTCATAGTTGTTAATGCATATTAAGAAAGAAATTTATGGTTAAGTAAAAGTCATCAAAGTAGACATTTGACGTTATTCTCTTGAGTACAATAACAGATGGAATGCGAATGTGTTTTTGTGCATTGATTGTGTTATATCGACTATGAATATCAGTTAATGTATGGAATTCTCTCTAGATTATCCTGTTATGTTTTATCTCTATCATAAGTAACTTTACTTCTCTATAAGAAAACTCATTTTCTCAAGAGAAGAGGAACAAAGACAAGGGTTTGTACTTGATTTCATTTTGATAACGAACTTTATTTATAAACTGTAATCACTTGAAGTTTTTCTTATGATTTTTTCATTTCTTGTTACAATAAATAATGTGAAGTTAGATATTTTTTGAGACAATTGTCTTCCATAGATGGTTCAAATTGTCTTCCATAGCCGAAATGTTTTTAATTTAATTCAAGCACATAGCTCAATAAAAGGAAAAATTCCATTCAATTTGAATGAAATTAAAAACATTTCGGCCTTATTCTTATCACACCCACGTGTACATATTTATGACTTAAATATTTTAGACAGTCAGTTGACTCCAATAATTATTTAATTCTCCCTAATATCTTAGTTTTCAGCCTGAAATCATAAAAATATTTTATTTACCTGAATGTACTTTTACCTGTATCCATAAAATCTTACCGAAATAGGTACGCAGATATTTTTATGAACATAAATCATGAAAATCACAAACTTGCTAAGATCGTTTGGAGATACTTATTTGGAAAAAGAATGCGAATGATGGCTCCCCGAAATAGCATGCTTAAATTTAAGTTATTCTTTCATTAAGACATTGATTTTTCTTCTCCGCCAAGGTAACCGTAATGTTCCTCGATTCTTTCCTTGTTCGTAAAATCTTATTATCCCACTAAAGAGAAATAGCACGCAATTCTTCGCTTTATTTCTTAGTAGATTTCATATTATTATTCTACAAACGCAGCAATTATTCCCATAACTTGAAAGCATTTTGAATGTATAAAAAAATTTATAAGCGATCAAGGAAGTGTGGATGATTCAAAAGCAGCCAAAATGTCACAATAATTCCTTTATTCATAAAATTAAAAATTTCCATGTTTTCATGATTATCTGTTTATCTTCCGAAGATTTCGGAATTTGATTATCAAAAAATGATTAAATTTTATTTTTTATGGGTCTATTTAAAATTATTCGATAGCTTTTAATTTTTGGATTCATCTAATTTGAGAATATTTCAAGACACATCTTTCAGGTAAGACTGATACGAAGATATTTGTATAATTTAAAGTTAATGTAATTTCAAACATGTTTTGAAAGCTTTTCTTAGGGAGTTTTGATTTCAAAATAAGTAGAACAGCAAAAAATTGTTTTTTAATCATTCAACGATATGCTCGTTAATGTCTTAAAGATATTTTAAAGACATTACATATTTAGGAATTCTCAATTTAAAAGTAACTTCTAATTAGGCTTCATTTATTTTCTTCTAATTGCAACAATTTAATTTTAAAGAAAATTTTATAATCCCACAGATTATGACATCGGAACTTATTGAGTTGATATCTAATATTATTGGTGAATTTCTGAGAGCAAAAATTCCATCCACTTAATATAATGTTTTCTTTATATTTCATCGTTATTTCCCGCTTTTGTTACCTAGAATGAAATATGAAAAAAAGTTTAGAGAATTCCGTTGAGGAAGAAAAATTCATTAAATTTTTAATGGAAGCGGTAAATCAAAAGTTCACTCGAGCTCGGCTGCTATTCATTTTGCCTTTGGTTGACCCCATTAACGATCTGAGATCTCGAAGAATTAGGTTCCCTTCCAAAGCCTATATTCATAGTGATGCTTATGAAGGAAAGAAGTTCAATCATGACGACCATAAAAGTCCAAAAATTATGAAAATGTATCTATTTCATTTATGTTTACTATCACCTTGAAAACATGAAAGCTAACTCGAAATTTTCATTTCATCTAAATATGAACTGACTTTTCATTTAACTGAACTCAATTTAAATTGATTGACAACAAAAATTCCTTTGAGATAAGAATTTTTCTCTTTTTTTTCTCATCTCATCTTACATTAACTTAAAGGCCATCGTGCAATATTTCTTCTTTGAGCTTAATTAAATATTTATGAATAAATTCCCTACTTATCATTGCCTGTTTTTCAAGAGCTTCTTTTTATTTGTCAGTAAGAAAAAGGGAAAAAGAGAGAGAGAGAGTGAAACCATGAGAAAGGCAAAGTTTCTGTTTTCCTTTTATTTATAAACTCAAGTGAAGGATATCAAAAACATTTATGACAAAAAAGTTTCTGTTTCTTGATGGAAAAGAGAAAATTGCACAGCAAACAATATTCCATAAGTGTTGAAGAAACTTTTTCACATTTCAATATTGTAGCATCATATCTACTAACTTTAATAAATTTTGATATCTGAGCTTCGTTTGAATCAGTTTGATTCAGATGATTCTAAATTTCATGAAGAGATTTTGATAGAATCAAGAAATTTTGTCGAATTTGGGATGAAATTAAAATTCAACCAGAGACCGAAAGTGATGTATTCATATTGTTTTAACTTTATGCTAATATTCAATTCAAACTTACATGCTTTAAATGGTTTTTTACTCTGTAGCATAAATTTAGTTCCCTTTTTTATTATTTTTGATTCTCATTATTGATCCACCTGTGAAACTGTTTTAATCAATTCAATTTTTAGAATGAAAGAATTTTTTTTAGCATCTTAAAGTTTATTCGAATTTGTAACAATAAACAAAAGTATGATGCGATTAATGAAGAAGTTAAAAATTAATTTGCGAACGATTCACCAAATGGAATGACAACAGTTTGGAAAGAAGAAGAACGAAATTTTGTAATAAATTGTACATTATCAAAAATCTCAACAATTGAACCAGCAGATGCTGACATGGATTTATTACGAATGTCTGGATCTTCACAAATAACTTCTCCGTTGTAAAAAGGAATTTTTGGATGAATCTTGCCGTGAGAAGAGTTGAACCAAATTTGAAATGCTTCATTTAAGGAATTTATAAATTCATATGCAATAGAGATGTTTTCACACCAAATACCGACTGACAGAGAGCCTTTGGCAAATGAAATTGCTTCCTTAGTTGTCCTGAAAACTTCTAATGTAATCAAAGGTAAATTATTCGATGTGATCAAGCTTCGAGGGCATTTTATGACAGTAGCTTTGGATCCAGTTTCGTCTATATCGTTATTTTTGATAATAGGAAATCCTTTTTGTTTAAGTTTCTCTATTTGTTCTTCCATTTCCTGAATTGTTGTACTTATCAATGCATTCTTATTAACATAACGAAGTTTAGCTCTAAGAAGCTCTATAAACTTTTCTTCAATTGAAGCTTGAACCAGTATACTTCGAATCTGATTTAAATCATCTGACTCAAAAAAATCCGCAATAAAATCAGAAGCAGAGTCAAGGTCAGCAGATGATGTGATTATGATAATTGATTTTGTATTCGAAAGTGGAATCTGAAAATGAATTATCATTTTTACTTTTAATCTTGACGCATTTGAAGAACGCAGGAATTGATAGATACCTTTAATGGTTTGAATTGATCATGCGACATCTTTGAAAATGAATTTTTGAAACGATTTAATTCCATTCCTAAACTATTTCGTACAAAAGATAAGAAATCAGGTTTTAAACTTGAACATAGTTCTTCTTGTCGTTTTAGCTGCCCTCTACAGTTTGTTACGAAAAACAGAGCGATTGCCAATTTGTAAACAAAGTTGTGAATTTTAAAAATATCAAGAAATCATAAAAATATTAAGAATAATTACTATAAAGATAGTAAAAAAATAACATAAATACGATCAAGAAAATAAAAAGCATCATTATGTTGTCATCTTCATTGTATATCACTAAAAATATATTAAAAAATGCCACCTTATTCTGCAACAGATCCATCGCAACAAAAAATGTTATTTCCATTAGAAATTTTAGTTTAAATTTTCAAAATAAGCTACTTGAGCCTAAGAACAAGGTGAATAAATCTATTTTATAGAAGATATGATTTTCTTATTTATAAATTTCTGGAACTGTTTCAGAAATTGTTACTTTTTCCAAAGAGATCCTCTCAACAATCAATCACAAGATTTTGTACAAGTCCACCAGCCACACCTGGACGTAAGGCTGTAGGATGGTGGCTTGCAGGATGCTCGGGAATGGTCTTCGTAGCAGTAATTTTAGGTGGAACTATTGTTTATGGATTTATTTTGATGAGTATTTTTGTTGTCATCTCTGAAATAATTCCTACGACAATTCGATAGAAATCATAATTATTATTATGAAAATCAAATAAAAATAAAAGAGAAAATCCAATGTTTATATAATTAATTATTGCAGGAGGTGTTACAAGACTTACTGAATCTGGTCTGTCAATGGTTAAATGGAAACTATTAGGAGAAAGGCCACCTTTGACTGAAGATGATTGGTTTCAAGAATTCGAAACATACAAACAGTTTCCTGAATTTAAATTGTAAGGAAATCTTGGAAAGAAATCATATAATTAATAATAATTTATTAAATTCTTTTAGAAAAAACCAAGAAATGACGCTTGAAGAATTCAAATTTATCTTTTGGATGGAGTATGGCCATCGCATGTGGGGACGTCTTATTGGAGCTTATTTTGCTCTTCCCGCAATATACTTTTGGAGTAAAGGATATTTCGCAAAGCCTATGAAAATTCGTGTCAGTATATTTGGAGCACTAATTGGAATGCAAGGATTAATGGGATGGTACATGGTGAAATCTGGTCTTGAAGACAGGTTTCATGGAGAGAATGATGTACCGAGAGTTTCACAATATCGTTTAGCTTCACATCTTTCATTTGCTTTTGTACTTTACACATTATTTTTATGGTCTTCACTTGAACATCTTTTACCAGCACAAAAGCTACATGAAGTGACTGCATCAGCAATGAGATTCAGAAAGTTTGCTCATGTAACAAAAGGAATGATATTTCTAACTGCAATCTCGGGAGCTTTTGTAGCAGGCCTTGATGCTGGTTTGGTTTACAACTCATTTCCAAAAATGGCTGATCGATGGATTCCAAGTGACATCCTGGCATTCTCTCCAACATTGAGAAATTTCACTGAAAATCCAACAACAGTACAATTTGATCATCGCATACTTGGTACTTCAACTTTAGCACTTATATCTGGGCTTTGGATGCTTTCAAAGAAATGTAAACTACCTCCGAGAGCACACAAAGCTGCAACTGCAGTTGCTGTTATGGGATGGATGCAAGTTATCTTGGGCATTTCAACATTATTAACTTATGTACCAGTACCTTTGGCAGCAAGTCATCAGTCTGGGTCACTGGTTCTTCTTTCATTAGCTGTATGGTTAACTCATGAATTAAAATTTCTTAAGAAGATTCCGAAATAAAAAACATTTAAACAAGTTTAATAGGAACAGATAGAAAATGAAATACATTCATCTTTTACATATTTAATGATTATTATTGTGATAACAATCTTTTTGTTACATGATAAGTTTGTTTGTATATATTAAAATTAAAAATAAAAAAAATAAAAAAATTACACCATTAGCAGAGCGTAGTTTCGATCTACGGACCTCTGGGTTATGGGCCCAGCACGCTTCCACTGCGCCACTCTGCTTGACGATGGATATGAAATCATGTTGCAAAAAGTTGTATTTAAGCTTAAGTCATGAATAATCAAATAACATTATTAAACTTTTTACTATTGTTATAATGATAGTTCTTGTCATTTTTAAATAACACTAATTTAAATAAAAATTAAATTAATTTTTTTCTTTCATACATGGATATATGATAGATACATGGAGCATATATACAAATATGTAATCAGATATTTAGTTATGAAGTTGTGCTTGCATCCTGTAAAACGACGTATGTTTCTTACGTGCATCATTTAAACATTCAAAGTACTAACATGTTAGTCTTTATGTTTACATACGTATGATAAATTTAATTTACGGAATTCTCGGTATTTTTAAAAATTTATTAAATGAATTTAAAGTTGTCCAATTGGGTAGTAAATAACACGCTTGTGAAAATGTTTCGAAATAATCAGTCAAGCAATTTATGTCAACACAAATAACATTAAAGCATAGTTCTTAATAAACCATTTTTGATAAAGTAAAACAGCAATCAACATAAAAGAAGTTTTTTGCTTGATCAAAATATAAAACAAGTAATCAAGCAGACCTATCAGAGTCTCGGAAACTTAAATGGAAATAGTAAATTTATGAGATTGTTTTAAATGCTTTGGACTTACCGTATATTCGTAATTCGATCAAATAAGCTGTAATTCCAAAGTTATTCAATATTTGTGGAATTAAAAATATCTTTCGTAATAAGAATATTATTAAATTTTAGACAACACTTTCGAAGTTATGAGCAATTGACGTAAACTAATTAAAATTCATCAAAAATTAAAAATGGACACCAATTTGGATGGTGATGGCTCAAGTAGCGATCTAGATGATATCAATAATGACATTAACGGTTGTATAAAGTCATTGGATGATGATATTGAAGGCCCTACAAAGAATCCTTTAAGTAACGGAGCTCCTTCAACTACACAATCTTCAAGATCCAATAGTAGCAGCAGTTCTTCATCGTCAAGTGAGTCATCATCTTCATCATCTTCAAAATCTTCATCAAAAACCTCTTCATCCCGTAAAAAATCAAAAGAAAAAGATGTAGAAGTGAAATCAACAACCGCCACTACTCCGTCAATTGTTACAGTTGTCGATAAAGTTTTGTATCCCGCTAGATTGCAAAAGAAATCATTTCCAAATAGTGAGAGATCTGTAAAAGTTCAACATAGATCACGATCTCGTTCACGAGTATCTCGTTCTGTTAAAGAATCAGGATATAGAACGGATGGCTCAGTAGTATCCGATAAAAGCATGAAAAGAAGAAAATCTCGAGCACCTTCAACTTCAGCAAGAACAAATGAAAATTTTGATATCGACTTAGATCTCCGTGGCCTTCAATTGAGTACAGCAGAACCATCGTCATCAGTAAAGCTTACAAAGAAGAATGTGACTTTAATGGCGCGAAAAAATGATACAAATAACAACACAAATAATAATGCATTATCAAAAGGCGGTAAAATGAGACCAATGGTGTTAAATTTAGAGCTGAATCGACGATTGCTCGAACATAAAATGGATCTGAATGGGAAAAGTGGAAGCTCTTTAGCAACATCATGTAAATTAGGCTTTAAAGGATTCAAATCAAGTCAGTCGTTTCAAGAACTGACAGCGTCATCAAGAATCATGGCACCATCATGGACAGCTGAAGAGAAAGTTTCATCAAAATCATCTCTTGTGAAATATGCAAAATCACTTCCTCGTACTATAAAATCGAGACGATCATCAGTCGCTAGTCGAGCGGGTTCTGTACGAAGTGTAGCGTCGACAATATCCCGCATGAAACGTGCCACAACTCCAGCAGTCATTAAGAATAATGAATATGTTGTTGCTCAAGTCGCCGAAATCACAAATTCTTTGGCAAAGTGCAGCATAAGTGCAGCTAAAAATTCTCGAAGTTTAAAAGTTACTAAAGTTATTCCCACAACAAGTTTAAAGAAGAAAAAGGCTATAAATAAAAGAAGAAGTAAGAAAAAGGATGGCAATGAAGCTTTGCCGGTAGCAGAAGATCATAAGCTGCCACTCAAGAAACGTCATTATTTGATAACTGATGAGAAAACTTCAAATGGTAATGTTGTGAAACGTAAACGCTTAAAAAAGGTTGCACCGCCTGGAATATTTGAACCAACTGAAGAACATAATGACGATGTTCCTGTTTTCACACCTCCTGTTTTCAATATCATGTCGGCAGCACCTGAGTTACAGCCAAAAGAATCTCCCCAATATACCGCTGATAATATTCTCCAAAAGATGGAAAATGTTGGCACAAAACGAAAACGACGACGAGCCAATCGAACTGGTTTTCCAACACCGAAACGTCCCAAAAAGAAAACGATAATCCCTGATAATGTCAGTGAGTCATCGAGTGTTGTGATCCAGAAGCGAATGAAGAAATCCAAACCCACATCTGAAAAAAGTTTTCAAAGTCTTTCATTGCGTCAATTACAATTGAAACAACAAAAGGAAATGGTTGAGCTAAAAACTAATCAACAAGGATTGTTATCATCATCATTATCAACATCACCGTCAACAAGAACGATTCGTGCTCGAGCGAAGTCAGTTTGCCATGTTAAAAGCTCATCAAATATATCACCGCCATTAGTGACACCAATCTTGAAGAGAAAACAACGACGTCAAACAATTTTTGTTGAGCATAAAGATTTAATTACAACACAAAAAGTGGAAGAAGAGGCTAATACGGATAAGACAGCAAAAAAGCGAAAACGACATATGATCTTAGAGCAAGAAACGACAAGTGTAGAGATAAAGAAGACGAAAACATCTGAATGTCCAATAGTTAAGCTAATACCAAAGAATGTTTATAACGGCGACACTCAGAGGCGTGCATTTGTTGGAAGTCTTAAAGGTACAAAATGTCGGTGTGCTCCAAATCCTTGCGGGGAATCTTGCCTGAATCGATCGATGTTCATTGAATGCGACCTTGGAATTTGTGGTAAAAATTGTACAAATACTGCTATTCAAACAGGCGGTTTATTAAACAAAGACGTTGAGAAATTCAAGACAGAACAGAAAGGTTTTGGCGTTCGAACAAAGAAAGACATTCCAAAGAAAACTTTAATTCTTGAATATACTGGCGAAGTACTTTTTCTTGAGACATTTCGGCAACGAATGCAGACAATTTATAAGAGTGATCAACATCATTATTGTTTAGAGTTGACTGGTGGGTTAGTACTTGATGGTCACCGTTTGGGTTCATTATGTCGTTACGTTAATCATTCTTGTAAGCCAAACTGTGGAATGGCCAAAATTTATGTTGACGGTTTGCCACGAATGATATTGCAAGCTGAAGAAGACATTCCGGCTGGGACAGAATTAACTTATGATTACAAGTTTGACAATTTTGAGGACATGACGCCTCAACAATGTTTCTGTGGAGCTGATACATGTAGAGGCACTTTAAGTGCACAGCTAAAAGCGCCAAGAAGAGCGAGTTTATCATTGAAAGAATGTGGTGATATTTTCGTGAAACGTGGTGGAAGGAAAGAACGAATTGCATCGACTTGTAACAAAGCCAACTCTTGTTTCTTAATGAGAAATCTGAGAAGAGTTGAAAAGCATCATCCTGATCTTATGGCTTATTACCGGAATGTCAACAATCGTCTTGATGACGATCCAAAAATTGGCTTTGCGTTTGTTTCAAAAAGTCATGAGAATTCACCACCTGCGACTCTTCTTGATGCACGCAAAGATAATGACGATTCGACAATATTAAAAAATAATGAGATTGAAACAAATCCAATTGTCGTTTCTCAGCCATTGTCAGAACAGTCTCAAGTTTTGTGGCAACTTTGTGAACGATTAGAGAAAGATCATGGATCAGAGATTGCTGAGATAACAATTCCACCCCCACCAATGACCACGAAAAGCGTCGGATTTTCCAATCATGACAGAATATCACTGCCAATTTCATTTGAAAATATCAAAGAAAATGTTAAAATGGGACATTACGACCTTCATCCGCTTTTATTCCACTACAACATTAAAATATTTTTAGATAACGCTGCGAAATTTTGGGGCGTTAATTGTCCTAAATTCACATCTATGAATCTTCTGAAAGATGCTTATAAAAGCATCAGAACTGAAATGATTGATGAGATTACGCGTGTGTGGAGTGACGAATTTTTCGTAAATGCCATGATGGATAAAGGAATTAAGAAGCCGCCAAAGAATCGTAAGAAAGTCATCGAGCGTCAAAACGACGAAGAAGACATTGTGAATTGCCATTGTGGGAGATTTCTTGAAGAGGGTTTAATGATTCAATGTCAGCAATGCCTTACATGGCAACATGTTGATTGTTCGGGTACTGACGGTAAATCGGAAGATTACATTTGTTCAAAATGTGATGGTAAACCACCACAAATGGAAATATTGAAGAAGGATGAGACAACTGCTGATGGACATCAATGTTACTTAACTTTAATGCGTGGTGATCTTCAGGTGAATTCCTTTTGTTTTACTTTCTTAATCTTTTTTTATTAAAATCTTATAAATGTGACAGTTACGTGTTGGCGATGCAGTTTACGTTTTGCGAGATATTCCAATTGATGCAACGAATTCTGGTGGACCAAGACACACGTACGAAACGATTGGAAAAGTTAATTACACAGAATGCGATATTGTAAGAGTCGAAACACTTTACAAGGACAATAACGGAGAAGCTCATGTTCTTGGACATCATTATCTTCGACCTAATGAGGTTTATCATGAACCATCGAGAAAATTTTACACGAATGAACTTATGAGAACTTCGATATTTGAATCAATTCCAACAAATCTTGTAATCGATACATGTTGGGTGTTAGATCCAACAACATATTTCAAAGGTCGACCTATTAATAGTATCGAAGAGCACGTTTATATATGTGAATATAAAGTGGACAAAGCGGCTCGTGTCTTCAGTGTTATCAAGAAAAGCAGTCGTCATCCAATCAGCACCAAACCTTATGCGTTCTACAAATTTGAGGAACAACTTCGTCAAAAACGAAATCATTTGGTAAGTTGACATTTCCATTCAATTTTAATTCATTTATCTCATTGACTTTCATTTCCCTCCTAAAGCCTCATGAAATTGATCACGTGGTGCCAAAGAAAATTAAGAAAGATCATCTAGGACCGAAGAAAAAGCAACCGGAAAATGAAAGCAAAGTAGTGTGGTCACCGTTGCCTCTTAATCGTCGTGTTCGAAAATCTTTATCTATTAAAGAAAAAATGAAAAAACTCGAAAGTTGCCTTCAAAAATTGAACTCCAGAAGCGGAAATGTAACTGAGAAGCCAAAAGGAGTCACGGAGAAATCGAAGGATTCAAATAAACATGATAAGAATAATAAATTTATGTCAGAAGAAGCAAAACCTGCAACAAAGAAGGATAAAGTAATAAAAAATGTTGTAAAGGCGAAGAGAAAGCCAGGACGACCAAGAAACAAAAATAATTAAAAATTATTAGCAATAATGCCATAAATGATGTCGAGATTAATAAAGTTTAATAGTTTTCATATAATTTTCTTTAATTGTTCTTTTTTTTCTTCTCCAATTAAAAAATGTACAAAGTAAGGTGATAAAAAATGAAAAATAAATTCTGACATGTATTTAATTATACTTATTTAAGCACCTGTGTGTCTGATCAATAAAAAAAATGTTACATTAATAAGTTAGGAACAAACATTTGTTTCTTTATTTTTACAATTTTCAATTATGATCTCACTGCTTTTAAGCATTTGTTCAAACATATTTCCGCCTAATTGACGCTATAAAGTATTTAAAATTTAAATTAAGTCAGAAGATTTGATGAAATGTGTTGAATTTAATTTGAAAACAACGTTTAAATGTTGATGCATTAACACAATCTGCAATTTCTTTCAAGAATTTACCATTTTTCAGGATGGATTCAATATTGCAGATAATTCATACGATTCTTAAATTTTATTCCCTCAAATATATTTTTGTTCAGTAGCATTGATCATAAACAGGTATAAATGACAATTCAGTAGCAAGAATGAATTATCTGGTAAATTAATGATTCAATGAGTTCGATAGCGATAGAGTTGGATGGAGATAGAAAAAAAAATAAAATTTCTTTTGGAATTTTTTCAGTTTGTTCGAAGTTGTGAGAATTTTTTTCTTTTTTTTGATACTTTGTGATTGTCAATGAGTTACAGTTTTAATTATCTGTTCAAAGAGTACATTTGGTAAATTAATTATCTCATTTTTCCAAAATTATTTATTCGAAAGTCATGGGAAGAAAATGAGTTACTTAGTTTATGCCATAACAGATAATGAAAAAATTTGGAAAATTAAAAGTTCCCTTAAAATCAAACTTAATATAACTTTAAACATAAAAGTAAGGAGAAACTCTTCAAAATATAAAACTTTAATGCAATATGAAGCTCTCCAAAATATTCTGTGATATGTTCGATAAACATTTACGAATATATGACACATTTTCTTATTTAATATTCCTCGTTCTCTTTTTTTATAGAAATAATATTTTGTTTTCAACGAAAGCAAGTATACAAATGATTTGTTCATTTTGCTTTTTGTTTGAGTCAACATAGTTTTTTAACATGGGTAAGTTTAATTTTTCTTTTATTTATTTATAATCCAATGGGGGCTCGGAAAATTCTATAGCAGTTCATAATTCTTTCTTAATATTTATTTTATTTTTTAATAGGTAAACAACCAACAATCTTTTTGATTCATTTGAATTCTTTCAAAGATTTTTAATTAATTTTCCTAAAAGCATTCTCACCCGCTTGTAGAATCCGCTATCAATTCTTTCTATTTATCACCAATAATGATTTGTTTTTCTTTTTGTTATCATTTTCATTTTTTAACAGTAGGTTCCATTCATTTATGAATTGATCAGCATGTAGCATAAATTCTGTAGGCTAGCTGGTGATCTGTTTCTCCGTATTGATTATAACTTGAATAATATACCCGGGCTGAACTTTTGCTTCTTCAATAGTTGTCTTGTCTCCAAGTAATTTTCCACCATAAAACCAACGCTGAGAAAAAGCATCGACTCCTTCTTGCAACTGTGAATCATAAATTATTTAAAATAAGGATGAACGGAATGAATTACAAAGCCTGAAGGAAAGTTTTAAAGTTGATTTTTGGAAATTTTAAGACTCATAATAAGACTTCATAATTAATTATCCTAATTGCGTAAACTACAGTCTAATTAATGAAATGAAAATCGTCATATAATGAAAAATCCATAAATAATCTCATTTAAAATTGAACGTGTTTTGACGTCAAAGCCTGTGATTATTTTGATCTATTATTGCACTTATGCGAGTGAAAAAATTATAATTTATTACGTACTTGCATGACAAACATGTGCACACATACACACGCACGCAAATACTTGTGTCTAATTTAATATTCTTGATTCTAGAATGAGTAACATAATCATTAATAATAGAAAAATCGATGTTTTGAAAATGAACATTGTATTTGAATAAAAAGAAATGGTGGAAAATATTTTAGGAATCGTCATTAGGCTTCATTATAATTATTTTATGAGTTGACATGACATATGTAGCGCAACCAATAAAATTAAATATCAAGATAGCTACAAAGTGAATATTCATATTGAATATTTTTCAATAAAAAATCTTCTTACCTGCATTTTCTTCTTGCAAGCAAAAACTGAGTCCTTTGAATAAACAGAAAGTTTCACATCACTTAATGTTGACGATAGTCGTAATTTAAGTTGAATTTCACTGCCTTAAAATCACAAAGAAATTGGAAAGAAATTGCTTAGAAAATTTAATTCATTCCAATTTGATTAAATAAGAAAACTTACCACCATCAACAGGTTCTGAATATTCAGCAGGTGATTCCAAATCATGGTCTTCTTTAACTATGTTCATGGGCTGACTGAGGCAGTAAATTGGAATTTTATAATGAGAACCAAGCTCATCATAACATTCTGTGAGGTAACCATTAGCAAGGAAAATATTTGCGCCATCAAGAATTGCTTGGGCTAACTCAAAGTCCAATGCTTCAGCAGCAACAGTTGCCGCCCTCAGAGCATCCCAAATCTCTTTTCGTCCATCAAATGCTGGAGCCGTTTCCCAAAACTCATCACGTTTGCTTCTTAACTGTCCTTCTGTTAATGGCACGTCTGATTTCCAACGAATAGTTTCATGGAAAAGTGGGTGGTTTTTCCGCTGTGAACCTATGTTTGTACTACTTGTGGGACCTGAAATCAATAAAACCTTATTTAATTACTCTACACACATTACCGTATTATGACACTTGTTAAGACAAGTTCAATCACAAATTCATTCACAAATTCAATCACAACTATACTTATCTATATTAAAATCTTAATGAATTATAAAGCAATCGTGAGAATATTAATTGTTTTTATGAAATATAAGTATGTGTATTAAATTACACTCAATATATCAATTCGAAAATCACCATAAAAGAATTATAGCTTAGAATTAAAAAAACTCATTGAAGTTTCTAATTCAATCATGTTTTTACAATGGGAAAGTAACATAATTTGAACATATTACTTATGTGACTTTATCAATGTTACAGTATTCTACTATGCTGAACAATAAAATTATAATCACAGATCCAGAGAAATAATTGTCATTTCTTTCCTAGAAAGAAACTTACCTGATGGCGGTCGAGAATTTGTTTCATTTATGCTGATCGTTTCATCATTTCTAGATATGCAACCACCCATGTTGACAACTCAAAACAATTTTCAATTTAATAAACTTAATTTAGCAAAACTCTCTCTTTAAGTAGATTCAAAATATATCCAAATAAAGTTTCTGGTCAAGTTCGAAAAAAATTAAGAATTCTCAGAATCTAACACAAGTTTTTACATGTTCACTGTTTGGTTTGTGTCAAATTTTAATTCACTGAAATAAAACTGCATTTGAAAAACAAATTTATATGCATATATTCTTTTTGGATCTTGAGTTTCTTACTGTTGTACAAAAATTTATAATTTTTATTATTCACGGTATCGAGGATTTTTTTCACCTGGCGGAAAATTTCTGAAGCTTTATACACGTGGGATTACGCTGATTCCTCTTCAAGATTTTTGGATCACACTGATTGAAAAACACCCGCGCGACGTCGGACTACCCAGATTTGGTAGTTTTTCCGCGGACCGGAAAAACCAGTTTTCGAACAAAGTGGTAGCAAATAATTTGTCCGAAGCTGATCAGTTGTCCGAAGCTGATTTTACACTCTCCACCTGAAACTAACTTTGGGGAGACGAGTTTCAGGTGGAGAGTGCAATTTGAATTGCGATTCAAAAATCAAAAAACAAATTTGTTTAAAATGCATCGAGTGAGTAACACACATCAATAGATGATTGACAATCATACATAATTTATAAAACACAAACCACATCATACTTTTTAAGGTTTCAAATGTTGTTAGCAAAGGATTACAAACGCAATTTAAAAGCATTCGTGGATTCAAAGCCGCATCGGTCTTAAGAAAGGATAACGAAATTGTCAACACTCCAGATCAATCTCTTCCTATCCCCAAATATACTCATAAACAAGATGAGACAATTGAGTTGAAAAAAGCAAGGTGTGTGTCCGAAATAGACTTTATATAATTCATTTTTGATTCAGAAGTTTTGAAAATTCAAAATTGAAGAAAATTGTTAGAGATGATCAATTTGTTTATTCTTTATTCTTAATAGATTGATTTATCAGTCACGTAAAAGAGGAATGTTGGAAAATGGATTATTACTAAGTACATTTGCTGCTCGATACTTGCAAACTATGAATGATGAGCAACTTGAACTTTATGATGATCTTATCAATCAGCCTTCAAACGACTGGGACATCTTCTATTGGGCTACAAATGTGAAACCAACACCAGCAGAATATAATAATGAAATTATGGATTTGTTAAAAATGCACGTTAGCAACAAAAATTGTGAACAAAGATTCAGACAGCCTGGACTTTATGAAAAGATGTAAACAAAATTCAACTTAATTACAGTTTAATAGAAACAAAATTATTTATTTAGAGCAACTTTCTTCTTATAATTTTTAACATCGTTCAAAGACTTTATAGAGTTGTTGCAGGCATGTCAATTTTAACAAAGTGCCGTTTTTATAAAATTTTGTGGGTGGGAGAAGATTTTTTCTGATAGCAGGATAAAGAATTGATTCACACAAGAAATGAGAGTCTTTTTTGCAAGAAGTGAAGGAATGTTTGGCATAAAATGATGCGAGTTCCTTTATAATTGACTTAAAACAATATTTTTCTTCTTCGTAATCAACTTCTGTTGCCAATCGAATAATGAAAATTGGCAGATAAGAAATGTTTGGAACATGCATTGGAAGAAGTTGAGGTAAAGATTCAAGATCTCCATTACTATTAATTGTAATGTTGAAACATTCTTGCAATAATTCTCTCTGCTCTCTAAGAAAAACTTCAACCTGTTCAGCAAGTTTTGTCTTGGGTCCATCAGATTCTTCCCAACAACATTCCTTCATATCAAAACCAATCAATGCAATATCATAAATTGGAAGCGGCTTTGCAAGATCAATTTTATCGTAATTTCCAAAACTTTCGACAGCTCTCTGATAGAAAAGTTCAAGGCTTAATTTGTACGTGTCACAAAGATAGAGAATTGTTCCACATTGCACTAATGCTTTGGATTCATTCGCCAAACAGACAAATGTCATTTTCTGTATTTGTGCACGTAGATCTTCCTCTGTTCTAGATATAATTTCATCCTTGAGCTCATTGATAGATGTTAGATTACAATCTTTTTCAGAGATTTTACTTTCGTTCAAACATGTTTTATAGTGCGATTGAGAATTTTCAAACGATTGACTGTGATTGATTTGACTTAATTTGTTAATATTTTGTTTTGCGTGAAAAAATTTAACAATTTTCTGGCTTTTAGCGTCAACTCTCACAAAATCTTTGGCGTAAGTTTTATTACTTTCATCTGAGGACACGTCAGTTGCAACTACTTTAGAAGCATTGGGTAAAAGTTGTTGCAGGAAAAGTTTTTTCACTTCACGTAATGCTAAAAGTTTCTCTTCGACTGTTTCACGTATCTTTGAAACAATTAATTCTTCATTTAAAAAATTCACTTCATGTTTTGTTGGACTAACATTGACGTCGATATTTTTAGGATCCATTTCAAGGCTTATGTAAATGAAGGGATGAGAACTATTTGGTAAAATCTTAACATAAACTTCATCAAAAATTGCTTTTTTGATTGATTTAGACTCGACTAAACGATGATTAATGAAACATAGAAAATGTCTTTTCTTTCCTGAATATTCTCCATTAGAAATAAATCCACTCATTTCAAACTTCAACTTGGTGTCAGCACAATTTATATCAATGAGTGAGTTGGCAACTTCATTTCCATAAATCGTTCGTATGATGTTTACAGGAGAATCACTTGGAAGAGTTTTAATGCTGTTATTTTCATTAAATTTCTTAAGTGAAAATGAGACTTGATGATTGTGAATGGCATATTTGGAAGTTACTTCAAAAATTCTCTGGAATTCTTCTGAAGGTAAACTTAACGTTTTTAATCTTATTGGATTATTATAAAAAATATCTTCAATACTGATGATTGTTCCTTGATTTCCAGCAACAAGAGTTGGGCCTTCAGTTATAGCTCCGTTCTCATATTTCACTTTAAAAGCGCATTCTTGATCCCTTGTTTTTGTTTGGATGCTCAATCTACTGACAAGGCTAATTGATGCTAATGCTTCTCCTCTAAATCCGTAAGTATTTATTGATTGAAGATCGCTGTAATTTTGAAGTTTACTCGTTGAAAAACGCTCACATAGAATTGGTAAATTTTCGCGAAGAATTCCGGTGCCATTATCTGATATTTGTAGATATTTTGTTCCACCTGATTTAACTGTTATTTGAATATTTCGTGAATGTGCATCCAAACTAAAATATTTTATTAAATTTTTTATTTAGTTAAACATTTCATTTTAAAATTGTTTACCTGTTTTCAATTAATTCTTTTAGAGCACTTGATGGTGTTTGAATAATTTCTCCGGCTGCAATACGATTAACAACACTTTCGTCAAGTTTAATAATCTTTTGAGCACCATTCATTGTTAAGTTAAAAGGTTAAGCCGAAAGCAACAAAAGATTTAAAAAAAATATCAGTTTAAAGCGACCTCTTGTGAATATTCTTCAAACTAATTTTGTTTACAAATTTACTCGATCACAGATAACTAACTTAAAATTTTGTTTTCTATTCAAAGGTCTCTAATAGATTATATATTAAATAATTTAAAATGGTTTTTTATTTCACCAGCAATGTGGTTTCACCTCCTGTTAAATTATTCATGGGTTTGGACAAATATGAGAGTAAGTTAACAATCCTTAATTCTAGATTCTGAAGAGATAATAAAATTTTAATTCTATTAGATGAAGAACTAATAAAATGGGGATTTCCTGAAGATGTCTGGTTTCACGTCGACAACATCTCTTCTGCACATGTGTATTTAAGACTTCAAAAAGGGCAAACTTTAGACGATGTCCATCACGATGTACTCATTGATGCATGCCAACTTGTTAAAGCAAATAGTATTAATGGTAACAAAATGAACAACATAGACATCGTCTACACAATGTGGGAAAATCTTAAGAAAACACCCAGTATGGATGTTGGCCAAGTATCGTTTCATAATCCAAAGCAAGTCCGTAAAATGCGAATCGAAAAACGAATCAACGAAATAGTTAACAGATTGAATAAAACTAAAGTGGAAACCCATCCTGACTTTCGTGCAGAAAGAGAAGCTAGAGATGCAGGTGAACGACAAGACAAGAAAAAAATAGTGCGAGAGCAAAAAGACCGAGAGAAAGAAGCTGAAAAAAAGCGTTTAGAGGATGCGGAATTGAAAAGTTATGCATCGCTGCATAAAACCGAAAATATGACAACTACTAATTATGATGATAACAATGATTCAGACGATTTCATGTAATCACAACTAAAACTTTAATAAAACGATATCAAGAAAAGTAAGCATGCTTACTTGACACAATGTTGTCACGACAACCGGAAATTGTTTATTATTTTTTGTTTTGAGAGACATTTCAATTGTGTTTCAGAAAAATCTTATAATCACTTTTTAAAATGGAAATCAACTTTGTTGAGCCTCAAGAAATTGATTTTTTCATCCAATCAATTCAAGAGTTTGAAGTTTTTGATATCGGCAGCAAAAACTGGTTAGAAACTCATGAAAAAATAATAAAACTAAATCAGCAGGCGATCGTTGAAGCGTCAGGAAATCGCGAAGAAGTGGTGAAAGAATTATTGATTATTAAAAATAAGTTGCCAATCTTAATTCACGAAGTTCTTTCTATTTCCGTTTGGCGAAAACAAGTTTTGCCTAAACTTTCTACAAATAGCAATATCTCGGGTAGTTTTTTCATTTATTCGGTCTTGTTCCACGAATCTGTAATATTATCTTTGCTGGAGTTGGTATTGTACCACGAAAATTCTTGTGTTGCTCTTGAAGAAACCGTCGTCGACATGATTGATTACTGCGTTGAAGGAATAATATATTTGATAGGACTTTTTCAAGACGGTCATCACCAAAACGAGATTGAAGATTCTTCCAGTGAGGAAATCGATCATCAAAAGAAGGGTATCTTATTCGAAATAGGAATGAAATGCATTATAATCCTGAGTTATTTATGTGACAATGTCTCGAATCTCTCCGTAAGTGTAGCGAGAAGAGTTACGCAAACACATGACATACCTTGCTTGCTAAGCGAGCTGTTGGCAATTCGTCCTTGGCTGCGAAAATGTAAAAGCTTTGAGAAGTTCATTGATGGAAAGTGGGTAGCAGTTGAAGGTGAAGAAATCCTAAAGGTTGTTAAAGTCGAAGCTCAAACTTGGTTCTGCTTAAGAAGTATAATGTTTCAACGTGAAACTTTTGAAAACTATGAAATAAACTCATTTCGGCAAAGGGAATTAGGAAAATGTTCAGGACTTTTAAATGATTTGATATTGGAACAATTACCTCCATTGGCTGATCTTAAAAAGTTTCTTTGCACACTTCAAATTTCTTCATCTCACCAAAACAATTTAGATCGTTTAGTATTGGAAGTTGTTCCCCAGGTTAATATTGAATAACACCAAATAGTTTTAATTATTAACATACCTCATTTTGTTTTAAGGTGTTGAACAACATTATTAAGAATGCTGAGAAAAAAGGATGGAATTCCATCATTGATCATCATAAGAAAATCTTTGTTGAAATGGATAAAACGAACATTGTGGACATAGCTAAACAGTAAGAGAAAACTAATTATTTTTTAAAACATATTAAAATATGTATCCACACATAGATTGAATAAAAGTTACGACTGGGACAAGATGATTGACTTTGAGGAAAATCAGGAAAAACAGAGAACTCAGACAGTTTCAAAATTATGTGCTGCTTGTAAAAAGGAAGCTGAAAAGAAATGTTCTCGATGCCAAATCGTTTTCTACTGTTGCCGGTAATATCAATAAATTTAAAAATTGTTTTTAATTTCAATTGATTTTTTTTTTTTTCACTTTATAGAAATTGTCAAGTCAAAGATTGGAACAACCATAAAGAAAAATGCTACCAATATGTTGTGTAAATTATCATACTTCCACTTTATTTATGTTATTCACATACATGTTTTGCACATAAAATTTTCTTAGTTATAAACTCAAAAGTGAAGTGTGAGAATTTGAATGGCATTTGAGTAGCGTGTAATCAGTAATTGGCTAAAACGCTATTGAGTAGTAAAACTTGCTGTTCACTACTTAACGATTCAAATTTAATTTTCTTTCTATTACTTCTACTTCTTATTGATGAGAAATAAACACTTTTTTCACACTACTCAGAATTCTTACACTTAAATCAAATGTTAAATCACAAACAGCGAACACTCATAAGATTAAATTTGAAATAAAAAGTGTGAAAACGAAAGAAAAAATATCTTTGATTAAGTTTGAATATCATAGAAAGAAGCAAGAGAGAAGATCAGACAATAATAACAAAACTATAATAGAAAAGGCAAGAAACTTTTGGCAGAAAGCTACTTAAATATAAAAGGAAGAAACTTGTATAAATTGATACTAGGGTTATCGATTATTTGGGTTTTTTGCCGAT